TCCAACGATGATTGAGTCCAATAAGCACCGATTGGGGCCGATTTATTCCGGGTCAATTTTTGGCAGATTCCAAAGGGGTACCATCACAGATTTTGGGCGATTTATCCGAAATGGCATTTTCTTTCAATTCTGGAGGCTACAGATCACGGAATCAGGCCGAGGCTATTCTCCACCGACAATGAAGTCTATTGATCCTATTATCCGCGGATGATAAGTCCGTTAAACATCGATTTGGGCCAATTTATTTTCGAATGGCATTTTCGTAATTTATTGGGCAACGAAAGGCCATTTTCTTTGGATATTGAAGGCTACAGATCACGGGTTCGGCCTGAGGCTATTCTACAACGATGATTGAGTCCATTAAGTACCGATTTGGGCGGATTTATTCCGGGATAATTTTTGGCAAATTCCAAAGTGGTACCATCACATATTTCAGGCGATTTATCCGAAATGGCATTTTCTATCGATTCTGAAGGCTACAGATCACGAAATCAGGCCGATGCTATTCTCCACTGATAATGAAGTCTATTGATCCTATTCTCCACGGATGATAAGTCTGTTAAGCATTGATTTGGGCCAATTTATTTTCGAATGGTATTTTCGTTATTTCTTGGGCGACGAAAGGCCATTTTCTTTGGATATTGAATGCTACAGATCACGGATTCGGCCTGAGGCTATACTCCAACGATGATTGAGTCCATTAAGCACCGATTTGGGCGGATTTATTCGGGGTCAGTTTTTGGCAGATTCCAAAGGGGTACCATCACAGAATTCGGGCGATTTATCCGAAATTTCATTTTCTTTTGATTATGGAGGCTACTAATCCCGAAATCAGGCCGAGGCTATTCTCCACCGATAATGAAGTCTATTGATCCTATTCTCCGCGGATGATGAGTCCGTTAAGCATCGATTTGGGCCAATTTATTTTCGAATGACATTTTTGTAATTTCTTGGGCGACGAAAGGCCATTTTCTTTGGATATTGAAAGCTACAGATAACGGATTCAGCCTGAGGCTATTCTCCAACGATGATTGAGTCCAATAAGCACCGATTGGGGCGGATTTATTCCGGGTCAATTTTTTGCAGATTCCAAAGGGGTACCATCACAGATTTTGGGCGATTTATCCGAAATGCATTTTCTTTCAATTCTGGAGGCTTCAGATCACGGAATCAGGCCGAGGCTATTCTCCACCGATAATGAAGTCTATTGATCCTATTATCCGCGGATGATAAGTCCGTTAAACATCGATTTGGGCCAATTTATTTTCGAATGGCATTTTCATAATTTATTGGGCAACGAAAGGCCATTTTCTTTGGATATTGAAGGCTACAGATCACGGGTTTGGCCTGAGGCTATTCTCCAACGATGATTGAGTCCATTAAGTACCGATTTGGGCGGATTTATTCCGGGACAATTTTTGGCAGATTCCAAAGGGGTACCATCACAGATTTCAGGCGATTTATCCGAAATGTCATTTTCTTTCGATTCTGAAGGCTACAGATCACGAAATTAGGCCGATGCTATTCTCCACTGATAATGAAGTCTATTGATCCTATTCTCCACGGATGATAAGTCTGTTAAGCATTGATTTGGGCCAATTTATTTTCGAATGGTATTTTCGTTATTTCTTGGGCGACGAAAAGCCATTTTCTTTGGATATTGAAGGCTACAGATCACGGATTCGGCCTGAGGCTATACTCCAACGATGATTGAGTCCATTAAGCACCGATTTGGGCGGATTTATTCGGGGTCAGTTTTTGGCAGATTCCAAAGGGGTACCCTCACAGAATTCGGGCGATTTATCCGAAATTCCATTTTCTTTCGATTATGGAGGCTACTAATCCCGGAATCAGGCCGAGGCTATTCTCCACCGATAATGAAGTCTATTGATCCTATTCTCCGCGGATGATGAGTCCGTTAAGCATCGATTTGGGCCAATTTATTTTCGAATGGCATTTTCGTAATTTCTTGGGCAACGAAAGGCCATTTTCTTTTGATATTGAAGGCTACAGATCACGGATTCGGCCTGAGGCTATTCTCCAACGATGATTGAGTCCATTAATCACCGATTTGTGCGGATTTATTCGGTGTCAATTTTTGGCAGATTCCAAAGGGGTACCATCACAGATTTCGGGCGATTTATCCGAAATGCCATTTTTTCGATTCTAGAGACTACAGATCACGGAATCAGGTCGAGGCTATTCTCCACCGATAATGAAGTCTATTGATCCTATTCTCCACGGATGATAAGTCCGTTAAGCATCGATTTGGGCCAATTTATTTTCGAATGGCATTATGGTAATTCCTTGGGCAACGAAAGGCCATTTTCTTTTGATATTGAAGGCTACAGATCACGGATTCGGCCTGAGGCTATTCTCCAACGATGATTGAGTCCATTAAGCACCGATTTAGGCGGATTTATTCGGGGTTAATTTTTGGCAGATTCCAAAGGGGTACCATCACAGATTTCGGGCGATTTATCGGAAATGCCATTTTTTTCGATTCTGGAGGCTACAGATCACGGAATCAGGCTGAGGCTATTCTCCACCGATAATAAAGTCTATTGATCCTATTCTCCGCGGATGATAAGTCCGTTAAGCATCGATTTGGGCCAATTTATTTTTGAATGGCATTTTCGTAATTTCTTGGGCAACGAAAGGCCATTTTCTTTTGATATTGAAGGCTACCGATCACGGATTCGGACTGAGGCTATTCTCCAACGATGATTGAGCCCATTAAGCACCGATTTGGGCGGATTTATTCGGGGTCAATTTTTGGCAGATTCCAAAGGGATCACAGATTTCGGGCGATTTTTCCGAAATGACATTTTCTTTCGATTCTGGAGGCTACAGATCACGGAATCAGGCCGAGGGTATTCTCCACCGATAATGAAGTCTATTGATCCTATTCTCCGCGGATGATAAGTCCGTTAAGCATCGATTTGGGCCAATTTATTTTCGAATGGTATTTTCGTAATTTCTTGGGCGACGAAATGCCATTTTCTTTGGATATTGAAGGCTACAGATCATGGATTCGGCCTGAGGCTATTCTCCAACGATGATTGAGCCCATTAAGCACCGATTTGGGCGGATTTATTCCGGGTCAATTTTTGGCAGATTCTAAATCGATGGTACTATCACAGATTGCGGGCGATTTATCCAAAATTCCATTTTCTTTTGATTTTGGAGGCTACAGATCCCGGAATCAGGACAAGGCTATTCTCCACCGATAATGAAGTCTATTGATCCTATTCTCCACGGATGATAAGTCCGTTAAGCATCGATTTGGGCCAATTGATTTTCGAATGACATTTTCGTAATTTCTTGGGCGACGAAAGGCCATTTTCTTTGGATATTGAAGGCTACAGATAACGGATTCAGCCTGAGGCTATTCTCCAACGATGATTGAGTCCAATAAGCACCGATTGGGGCGGATTTATTCCGGTTCCATTTTTGGCAGATTCCAAAGGGGTACCATCACAGATTTTAAGCGATTTATCCGAAATGCCATTTTATTTCCATTCTGGAGTCTACAGATCACGGAATCAGACCGAGGCTATTCTCCACCGATAATGAAGTCTATTGATCCTATTTTCCTTAGAGATAAGTCCGTTAAACATCGATTTGGGCAAATTTATTTTCGAATGACATTTTCATAATTTTTTGGGCGACGAAAGGCCATTTTCTTTGGATATTGAAAGCTACAGATCACCGATTCGGCCTGAGGCTTTTCTCCAACGATGTTTGAGTCCATTAAGCACCGATTTGGGTGGATTTATTCGGGTTCAATTTTTGGCAGATTCAAAAGGGGTACCATCACAAATTTCGTGCGATTTATCCGAAATGACATTTTCTTTCGATTCTGGAGGCTACAGTTCAAGGAATCAGGTCGAGGATATTCTCCACCGATAATGAAGTCTATTGATCCTATTCTCCACAGATGATAAGTCCGTTAAGCATCGATTAGGGCCAATTTATTTTCGAATGGCATTTTCGTAATTTCTCGGTCTACGAAAGGCCATTTTCTTTGGATTTTGAAGGCTACAAATCATGGATTCGGCCTGAGGCTATTCTCCAATGATAACTGAGTCCATTAAGAACCGATTTGGGCGGATTTATTCGGATTCAATTTTTGGCAGATTCCAAAGGGATCTCAGATTTCGGGCGATTTTTCCGAAATGCCATTTTCTTTTGATTCTGGAGGCTACAGATCACGGAATCAGGCCGATGCTATTCTCCACCGATAATGAAGTCTATTGATCCTATTCTCCACGGATGATAAGTCCGTTAAGCATCGATTTGGGCCAATTTATTTTCGAATGGTATTTTCGTAATTTCTTGGGCGACGAAAGGCCATTTTCTTTGGATATTGAAGGCTACAGATCATGGATTCGGCCTGAGGCTATTCTCCAACGATAACTGAGTCCATTAAGCATCGATTTGGGCGGATTTATTCCGGGTCAATTTTTGGCAGATTCCAAAGGGGTACCATCACAGATTACGGGCGATTTATCCAAAATGCCATTTTCTTTTGATTTTGGAGGCTACAGATCCCGGAATCAGGCCGAGGCTATTCTCCACCGATAATGAAGTCTATTGATCCTATTCTCCACGGATGATAAGTCCGTTAAACATCGATTTGGGCCTATTTATTTTCGAATGGCATTTTCTTAATTTCTCGGTCGACTAAAGGCCATTTTCTTTGGATATTGAAGGCTACAGATCACGGATTCGGCCTGAGGCTATTCTCCAACGATGATTGAGTCCATTAAGTACCGATTTGGGCGGATTTATTCCGTGTCAATTTTTGGCAGATTCCAAAGGGGTACCATCACAGATTTTTGGTGATTTATCCAAAATGCCATTTTCTTTCGATTCTGGAGGCTACAGATCACGAAATCAGGCCGAGGCTATTCTCCACCGATAATGAAGTCTATTGATCCTATTTTCCATATATGATAAGTCCGTTAAGCATCGATTTGGGCCAATTTATTTTTGAACGGCATTTTCATAATTTCTTGGGCGACGAAAGGACATTTCTTTGGATATTGAAGGCTACAGATCACGGATTCGGCCTAAGGCTGTTCTCCAACGATGTTTGAGTCCATTAAGCACCGATTTTGGCGGATTTATTCGGGGTCAATTTTTGCCAGATTCCAAAGGGGTACCGTCATAGATTTCGGGCGATTTATCCGCAATGCCATTTTCTTTCGATTCTGGAGGCTACAGATCACGGAATCAGGTCGAGGCTATTCTCCACCGATAATGAAGTCTATTGATCCTATTCTCCACGGATGATAAGTCCGTTAAGCATCGATTTGGGCCAATTTATTTTCGAATGGCATTTTAGTAATTTCTTGGGCGACGAAAGGCCATTTTCTTTGGATATTGAAGGCTACAGATCACGGATTCGGTCTGAGGATATTCTCCAACAATGATTGAGTCCATTAAGCACCGATTTGGGCAGATTTATTCCGGGTCAATTTTTGGCAGATTCCAAAGGGGTACCATCACAGATTTCGGGCGATTTATCCGAAATGCCATTTTCTTTCGATTCTGGAGGCTACAAATCACAGAATCAGGCCGAGGCTATTCTCCACCGATAATGAAGTCTATTGATCCTGTTCTCTGCAGATGATAAGTCCGTAAGCATCAATTTTGGCCAATTTATTTTCGAATGGCATTTTCGTAATTTCTTGGGCAACGAAAGGCCATTTTCTTTGGATATTGAAGGCTACAGATCCCGGATTCGGCCTGAGGCTATTCTCCAACGATGATTGAGTCCATTAAGCACCAATTCGGGCGGATTTATTCGGGGTCAATTTTTGGCAGATTCCAAAGGGGTACCATCACAGATTTCGGGCGATTTATCCGAAATGTCATTTTCTTTCGGGTCCATATTTGGCAGATTCCAAAGGGGTACCATCACAGATTTCGGGCGATTTTTCCGAAATTCGTTTTTCTTTTGATCTTGGAGGCTACTAATGACCGATTCCGTCCGAGACTATTCTCCACCGATAATGAAGTCTATTGATCCTATTTTTCACCAATGATTAAATCCATAAAACATAGAATTGGACCAATTTATTTTTAGATGGCATATTCATAATTCATTGGAGATTTTTTTCGAAACTCCATTTTCCTTGGCTTTGGAAGGCTACAGATCACGGATTCAGCCTTAGGGTATTCTTCAACGATGATTAAGTCTATTAAGCACGGATTTGTTCGGATTTCTTCCGTGTCCATTTTTGGCATATTCCAAATGGGTACCATCACAAATTTCGGGCGATTTTTCCGAATTGCGGTTTTCTTTTGATCTTGGAGTCTAATAATGACCGATTCCGTCCGAGACTATTCTCCACCGATAACGAAGTCTATTGATCCTATTCTGCACCAATGATTAAATCGATAAAGCACAGAATTTGACCAATTTATTTTGAGATGGCATATTCGTAATTCATTGGAGATTTTTTTCGAAACTCCATTTTCCTTTGCTTTGGAAGGCTACAGATCACGGATTCTCCCTTAGGGTATTCTTCAACGTTGATTAAGTCTATTAAGCACGAATTTGTTCGTATTTCTTCCGGGTCCATTTTTTGGCAAATTCCGGGTACCATCACAGATTTCGGCTGATTTTTCCGAAATGCGGTTTTCTTTTGATCTTGGAGGCTACTAATGACCGATTCCGTCCGAGACTATTCTCCACCGATAATAAAGTCTATTGATCCTATTCTCCACCAATAATTAAGTTCATAAAGCACATAATTGAACCAATTTATTTTGGGATAGCATATTCGTAATTCTTGGGCGATTTTTTTCGAAGTCCATTTTCCTTGGATTTTGAAGGCTATAGATTACAGATTCATCCTTAGGGTATTCTCCAATGACGATTAAGTACATTAAGAACGAATTTGGGCGGATTTCTTCCGGGTCCATTTTTGGCAGATTCCAAATGGTACCATCACAGATTATTGACGATTTTTTTTGAAATGCGGTTTTCTTTTGATTTTGGAGGCAACGGATGAGGGATTCAGTCTGATGCTATTCTCCACCGATAATGAAGTCTATTGATCTTATTCTCCACCAATGATTAATTTCATAAAGCACATAATTGAACCAATTTATTTTGGGATTGCATTTTCGTAATCCTTTGCTCTATTATTTTTTTAATGTCATTTTCCTTGGATTTTGAAAGCTACTGATCATAGATTCAGCCTTAGGGTATTCTTCAACGACGATTAAGTTCATTAAGCACTGATTTGGGTGGATTTCTTCCTGGTCCATTTTGGCAGAATCCAAAGAGGTATCATCACAGATTTCAGGCGATTTTTCTGAAAAGCCGTTTTCTTTTGATTTTTGAGGCTACAGATGTCGGATTGAGTCCGAGGCTATTCTCCACCGATAATGAAGTCTATTGATCCTATTCTCCACCAATGATTGAGTCCATAAAGCACAAAATTGGACCAATTTATTTTGGGATAGCTTTTTGGTAATCCTTTGGGTGATTTTTATTCGAAAGGCCATTTTCGTTGGATTATTAAGGATACATATCACAGATTCGACTTTAGGGTATTCTTCAACGATGATTAAGTACATTAAGCACGAATTTGGGCGGATTTCTTCCTTGTCCATTTTTGGCAGATACCAAAAGGGTACCATCACAGATTTCGGGCGATTTTTCTGAAATATTGTTTTCTTTCGATTTTGGAGGCTACAGATGAAGGGTTCAGTCCGAGGCTATTCTCGACTGATAATGAACTCTATTGATCATATTCCTCACCAATGATCAAGTCCATAAAGCACAGAATTGGACCACTTTCTATTAGGATGACATATTCTTAATTCTTGAGGGATTTTTTTTCCAAAGTCCATTTTACTTGGATTTTGAAGGCTACAGATTGCAGATTCGACATTACGGTATTCTTCACCGGCGATTAAGTCCATTAAGCACGAATTTGGGGGATTTCTTCCGGGTCCGTTTTTGGCAGATTCCAAAGGGGTACTAATATAGATTTCGGGGGATTTTCCAAAATGCGGTTTTCTTTTGATTTTGGAGGCTACAGATGACGGATTTAGTCCAAGGTTTTTCTCCACCGATAATTGAGTCTATTGATCCTATTCTCCACTAATAATTAAGTCCATAAAGTACAGAATTAGACCAATTTATTGTGTAATGGTATATTCGTAATTCTTGGGCGATTTTTTTTCGAAAGTCTATTTTCCATGGATTTTGAAGACTACACATCACTGATTCGGCCTTAGGGTATTCTCCAAGGACGATTAAGTCCATTAAGCACGAATTTGGGCATATTTCTTCAGGGTCTATTTTTGGCAGATTCCAAATGGGTACCATCATAGATTTTGGGCGATTTTTCCGAAATGCGGTTTTCTTTTGATTTTGGAGGCTACAGATGACAGATTCAGTCCGAGGCTATTCTCCACCGATAATGAAGTCTATTGATCCTATTCTCCACCAATGATTAAGTCCATAAAGCACATAATTGGACCAATTTTTTTTGGGATGATATTTTCGTAATTCTTTGCCCGCTTTTTTCCCGAAATGTCATTTTCTTTTGATTTTGAAGTTTAAAGATAACAGATTCGGGCTTAGAGTATTTTTCAACGATGATTAAGTTCATTAAGCACACATTTGGGAAGATTTCTTCCGGGTCCATTTTTGGCAGATTCCAATGGGGTACCGTCAAAGATTTCAAGCGATTTTTCTGAAATACCGTTTTATTTCAATTTTGGAGGCTACAAATGACGGATTCAGTCCGAGGATATTCTCCACTGATAATGAAGTCTATTGCTCCTATTCTCCACCAATGATTAAGCCCATAAAGCACAAAATTGGACCAATTTATTTAGGAATGACATATTCGTAATTCTTGGGCATTTTTTTCGAAAGTCCATATTCCTTGGATTTTGAAGGCTACACATCATAGATTCAGCATTAGGGTTTCTTCAATGATGATTAAGTTCATTAAGTACGGATTTGGACAGATTCCTTCCAGGTCCATTTTTGGCAGATTCCAAAGGGATACCATCACAGATTTCAGGCGATTTTTTCGAAATGCGGTTTTCTTTTTATTTGTGAGACTACATATGACAAATTCAGTCCGAGTCTATTCTCCACCGATAATGAAGTTTATTGATCCTATTCTCAAGACAATGATTAATTCCATAAAGCACATAATTGGACCAATTTATTTTGGGATGACATTTTCGTAATTCTTGGGCGTTTTTTTTCGAAAGTCCATTTTTCTTGGATTTTGAAGGCTACAGATCACAAATTCGCCCTTAAAGTATTCTTCAACGACGATTAAGTTCATTAAGCACGGATTTGGGCGGATTCCTTCCGGGTTCATTTTTGGCAGATTCCAAAGGGGTACCATCGTAGATTTCGGGCGATTTTTCCGAAATGCGTTTTTCTTTTGATTTTGGAGGCTACAGATGACGGATTCAGTCTGAAGCTATTCTCCACCGATAATGAAGTCTATTGATCCTATTCTCCACCAATGATTAAGTCCATAAAGCACAGAATTGGGATGGCATATTCGTAATTCTCTTACATTTTTTTTTCAAAAGTCCATTTTCCTTGGATTTTGAAGGCTACAGATCATAGATTCGGCCTTAGGGTATTCTTCAACGACGATTTAGTTCATTAAGAAAGGATTTGGGTGGATTCTTTCCGGGTACATTTTTGGCAGATTCCAAAGGGGTACCATAACAGGTTTCGGGCGATTTTTCTGAAAAGCCATTTTCTTTCGATTTTGGAGGCTTCAAATGACGGGTTCAGTCAGAGGCTATTCTCCACTGATAATGAAGTCTTTTGATCTTATTCTCCACTAATGATTAAGTCCATAAAGCATAAAATTGGACCAATTTATTTTGGGATGGCATATTCGTAATTATTGGGCGATTTTTTTTTCAAAAGTCCATTTTTCTTGGATTTTGAAGGCTGCAGATCATAGATTCGGCCTTAGGGTATTCTTCACCGACGATTTTGTCCATTAAGCATGAATTTGGGCTGATTTCTTTCGGGTCCATTTTTGGCAGATTCCAAAGGGGTACCATCACAGATTTCGGGCGATTTTTCCGAAATGCGGTTTTCTTTCGATTTTGGAGGCTACATATGACGGATTCAGTCCGAGGATATTCTCCACCGATAATGAAGTCTATTGACCATATTCTCCACCAATTATTAAGTCTATAAAGCACCTAATTGGACCAATTTATTTTGGGATGGTATTTTCGTAATCCTTTGCGCGATTTTTTTTCGAAAGGCCATTTTCCTTGGATTTTGAAGGATATAGATCACGGATTCGGCCTTAGGGTATTCTGCAACGACGATTCAGTTCATTAAACACGGATTTGGGCGGATTTCTTTTGGGTCCATTTTTGGCAGATTCCAAAGGGGTACCATCATAATTTTGGGCATTTTTTTGAAATGTCGTTTTCTTTTGAGTTTGTAGGCTACATATGACAGATTCTGTCCGAGACTATTCTGCATTGATAATGAAGTTTATTGATCCTATTCTCCACCAATGATTAAGTCCATAAAGCACAAAATTGGACCAATTTATTTTGGGATGACATATTCGTAATTCTTGGGCGGTTTTTTTCGAAAGTCCATTTTCCTTGTCTTTTGAAAGCTACAGATCACGGATTCGGCCTTAGGATATTCTTCAACGACGATAACGTCTATTAAGAACGGATTTGGTCAGATTTCTTCTGGGTCCTTTTTTGGCATATTCCAAAGGGGTACAATCACAGATTTTGGGCGAATTTTCCGAAATGCGTTTTTCTTTTGATTTTGGAGGCTACAGATGACCGATTCAGTGCGAGGCTATTCTCCACCGATAATGAAGTCTATTGATCATGTTCTCCACCAATGATTAAGTCCATAAAGCAGAGAATTAGACCAATTTATTTTGGGATGGAATTTTCATAATTCTTTGGTCTATTTTTTCGAAAGGCCATTTTCCTTTGATTTTGAAGCCTACAAATCACGGATTCGCCCTGAGGGTATTCTTCAACGACGATGAAGTTCATTAAGCACGGATTCCAAAGGAATACCATCACTGATTTCGAGCTATTTTTCCGAAATGCGGTTTTCTTTTGATTTTGGAAGCAAATCAGGTTGGATTGTATTCTAATTCTCTTCACAACAAATCTCCTTTCCCAACAAGGTCATCTTCCTCGTCAAAAGAGGCCTCCCCGCCATCTTCGCGGATCGCTTGGGCGATGTCCGAGTCGGCCACATATCAGTCCTTCTTTCTTCGCTGAACAGCTTTCGTGCTCCATCCACCGATGAGTTCCACGCCGACGGTGTGTGGCCAAAGCCTTGCGAGCTAGCTTGGGAGGTGTCCTCCGCATCCTCAAATACGGCGTCAGGACCTGACCCAAAGAGTGGGTTTGACGTCATAGGTTTAGGTCGTTTGTTCACTTGTTGGGGGTAGTCTCGCTCTCCCTTGGTGTTTGGCGATGAAGATCCAGTACCAGGCCGGCGTGAGCCAGCCAGAGTCTCCAGATTTTTGGGGTCAGAGCTGTCATAAACCAGTTGGTCCCAATAACTCGAGTTGTTGGGAGAGGTTCATTCGTGGATCATATACCACAACACTAACACGCCCCCTCAAACGAAAGCCACTCACAAGGGGTTGAAGTTTGCACATGTCTGAAGACAAGAATACCATGTGCTTAACAAATGGGGGTCACCGGGAATCGAACACAAGACCTCTCGGTCACAGAAGGCTCTGATACCATGTCATAAACAAGTTGGTCCCAATAACTCGAGTTGTTGGGAGAGGTTTATTCGTGTATCATATACCACAACACTAACAAGAGCCCCCACGGCAGCCGGCCCTACCTCGGGGGACACTTCCAGGTTTTTTGGGTTGGGCTTAGCTTGCAGAATCACGAACCTTTATCTGAACAGACGATCAACTAATGGGCTTCATACCAGCATGTCTCAAAAGAGAAAAAGGCCCTTGATTGCCGCCTGCCGGCGAGAGGAAAAGCCAAAAGAGTATCCATTTACATATGCCTTCTTCGATAATCCAGTGGTGACGAGACGAAGGATTTCCATGTCAGTTCGAAGCCGTCCCCAAACTTGACCTTGACGTCTGACTTTTCATTTCAATTAGAGAAAGCTAGCTAGCTTTCCACGAAGTGAAGGCCGTAGCTTTCTGAAGTCTGATGAGACTTGCAAAATTCAGTCATTGCAAAGATTCCTTTTGATTAGATTAGGATGGGTAAGATATTCACTACCGCGAATAAATTTTCTCTACATTATATATTTTTTTGGGTAGTAATAGTATTTTGATCAAATTATGTGGATGTACAAAAAATATTGCTTGTACTTAAGTTGGACGTACAAAAAATACGTATTCAATTTTTTTTGAAAGAGAACTTACTCAACAACTTCTACTAAAGATTCATGATGACGATTAGAGGTGGCAATTGAATCGGATTCGTGGATTCGTGGATTGGATTGGTGGATCCATGGATCAAATGGATTGGATCCAATGGATTGGTGGATTCATGGATTGGTGGATTGATCCATGAATCCAAATGACATCCAAGGCTTGGACCAAAATGTAAAATTTGAAAAGTTCTGGTACTAAAATGTCATAATGAAAAATTTTAGGTACCAAAATGTAATTTTCCAATGATATTTTTCGTATAAAAATATAAATTTTAGGTACCAAAATGTAAAATATAAAAAATATAGGTACCAAATTGTAATTTGCCATTTGGATCCATGGATTGATCCATGAATCCACCAATCCAATTGGATTTGGATAAAATGGATTGGATTAGGCATATAATTTGGTGGATGGATTGGATTGGATTCATGGATTTGGATCCTAGTTGCCACCTCTAATAACGATACAAAAGAAAAATAAAATAACAACTAGGTAGATGATAAAGTGAGAATGCCATGTGCACCACTCTCTTTTTGAATTGAACAGTAAAGATAATATTTCTTAGAAAATAACACAATCAAGGGGGAGACTATCTAGTAATCGTATCTCCCCCCATAATTAACTAGAATTACAAATATGCCTTGAAACCATTAATGACTCTAGACAGTGCTCATGAAGGATGCAGGATCTGGAGGGATAGGAATTTGAACAGAGCCTTCCAACATACGAATGATTTTATTCATTCCAGGCCTCAGCGACGGATCATCCTGAATGCACCATATCGCAACCTTGACAAATTTCTCAACCTTTCCAATATTAGCCATTGCATCGTCGTCGCTCTCCACCAGCCTCGACACTTGCCCTTCCTGGTAGCATTCATATGCCCAATCGGCAAGAACCACTTCGTCTTCATTTTCCGCCTCCATTTCCAACTTGCTCCTGCAACAAACCAGCTCTAAGAGCAGAATGCCGAAGCTATACACGTCAACTTTAGCCGTGACGGGCATGTTCTTGAACCACTCCGGAGCGCAATACCCTTTAGTGCCCCTAATTCCGGTTAGGGTCCGAGTTTGGCCCACCTTGAGGAGCTTGGCAAGTCCGAAATCCGAGATTTTGGCTGTCATTGACTCGTCTAGCAAGATGTTCTGGGGCTTGATGTCGCAGTGGATGATCTGGGTACTACACTCTTCGTGAAGGTAAAACAGTCCTCTTGCGACCGCAGAAGCTATCTCCGCTCTTGTGTACCAACTAGGCCTTGAATTACGACCTCCTCCAAACAGCAACTCGGCCAATGACCCATTGCTCATGAACTCGTAAACTAGAAGTCGATGCAACCCTTCGTTGCAGAAGCCAATGAGCTTCACCAAGTTCTTATGATTAGTTCCGCCAATTACTTTCACCTCGGTTTTGAACTCCTGATCCTGAGCTTCGCTAACCGCCTTGTCCAACCTTTTCACCGCGACGAGTTGTTGGTCCGGCGGCAGAACACCTCTGTAAACCGTTCCGGAGGCACCACTTCCCAACACTTCCGTGAACCCTCCCGTCGCTAGTTCTAGCTGACAGTGTGAGAAGCTCTGGAGGTTCCTGGATAACCAATCATTCTGTCTCTGGAGAACAACGTCTTTGACACCGCTTTCTCGATCCTTCTTCTTCATCTTCTTTCTCCTGGTAAGGAGCATGAAAGTTGCGGCAGTGAAGAGGATAAAAAAAGTCGCACAGGCTGAAAGCACCAACCCAACAACGAACAAAGTTTGCCCATTTTTCTCCTCCTCCTTTGGAACTGGAAAATATTCTGGCGGCGAGGAGGTGGTGGAGGAGTTAGATATCCTTAACTTGATCAACGATTTCCCGGACATTGCATCTTCCACTCTTCCATTGGACAAAGGGCTTCTCTTCATCGTGCAAGTTTCTCTGCTGTAGGTTACTAAAGCACAGCGGCAATCGTTCAGACAAGATTGTTGACACGCATCCTCTGTCTCGGCCGGAAAAGAATCGTAGTTAGATTCGGACCAATTCACCTTGGGCATCGCCGCAAGAACGAATGCATTATTGCTTTCCTGTGGATGGCGGCAGTCCTCCGGATCGAAATCCGGAACGCACCCTCTGCTCTCGTCGGATGGGTCCTGAAACACATATTTCGGTGGGCACTTGCAAACGCGATGATTATCATCTTCCAATTCACAGTAACTGTTGTAGCCGCAAACTCCACTGCCCAGCGGGCCGCTGACGGCTGTGCAAATATTCGGTGGCTCGAAATACAGGCTGTCCCATTTCATCGGCCACACGTTGCTACTGTCGTTCCTCTTTGGGTGCTCGTAGTACCTCAAGACCCCGTCGTAATCGAAGGTCACCCGGTGATAAAAATCTTGGCTAGATCCACCACCGTTGAACACGGTGTCGAGCACGGTTCCATTGCTGGCAAGCAGGTTCAGGAACCCAGATTGGTTGAGTGCCAAACTGTAGCTCTCCCGTATGTAATTACGAGTTACCCAATAAGCAAATTCATCGGCCTGCGACTCAGGATAATGTGTGGTGTACATCACCAAATTCCCATCACCCTGCATGATGAACTTGAATCTGCTCTCGGAGTAATTCGATTTCGAATGCTTAGCTATCAGCTGGGCGTCTCGCTCCAGAGCCTGGGTGGGGAGCAGAGTATCCGTCGGATCCTGGAAGCTCCCCCACATAGACGAGACGACATTGGCTGCTGCTGCTGCCAGTACGAAATTGCCCGTGTCCAGCATGGCGCCGTGGGAAGCTGCTCGTTCGCCGGTGTCGGGAGTCCAGATTTGGCGGCCTGATGGGTCGGTGAGGACCAAGCGGCCGCCGGTGGTGAGCTCGACCTTGGACCCGCGGGGGGCCAAGTTGTTGCGATTGGCGGACCAGACCACGGTTCTCTCAGGAATTTTGTCCAACACCACGGCGAGCAAGTAGCCGCCATCATCATGGGTGCCAGCAACCTGCTCAAACCCGAACGCGAAATCGCCGGACGGGGATACCCAGTGAGCGTTTGAAGCAGCGGCGGTGAGGGATGAACCCAGTGATACGTTGCGGTTACTTTGGGAGGTGACCAAGAAGGGCAGGAGGAGAAGAAGAAGAAGAAGGGATAGCGTAAGGGAGAAGGAAATCGTGAAATATTGGAAGGACGCCATTGATGGATGGATGGATGGATGAATTTTGGGACAAGCTTGGTAGGCTTTTAAACTACCGGTACACTAATTTCTAACCACTCGGAACAAAAGTAGCGCGAGGTAGACGACAACCGTTTACTCGGGTGCATGTCGTGAAGACTGGGAGAGCTGAGGCAATCACTGATATATCTATCATCCTTCCCATCGCCGATGGGACATGGAATGTTGGAAATGTAAAACCAAATTGCCAACTTCACTTATTTTCCACTCAAAATCCCCATCTAATCTCTCCATCGTCTTCGTATTTGGGTTGATTGGTCCTTGGGTGGGGGAAGAGAGCTACGGCTTTTTAATCGGAACAGAAATATCGAAACAGAAACGTAAAGTGACACACTGAGTTACGTGGTTTCCTCGTTCAGTATGAACAAGATTAGTCCACGGTCGAAGTTATTTGTATCTCTTATTCAGCTTAGCTTTAACAGGTTCCATTACATCGATATATATACAAACTAGGGTACAAACCCTAGACTAATCTCGGCTAAACCCTAGGAAACCCATACTGCCGAAATATGCGTGGGCTGAGACCCAATTACACTTAACACGGCTAGTAATCGTCGTCCCCTTCAAGAGATTTTTAATTTATCCGTATTTGTTTCGTTTCAACCTTGAATTTAGATATTCTTGCATCAAAGAATAAGATTTTATGTGATCTATACAACGATAGCCATTTTGATGTATGTTGAAAAAAGAGTTCCAATAACATGTTCACGATCATATATTCATGAGTCACGCTACTATTTTACAGTTACTAAACTATATGATTATCATTCAATTCTACCGTCATATACGAATTACTCATGTACTACCATAGTTTACCAAACAAGTTTGTTATTCTACACAATTACTAAACTATTTTTTTTTAATAAACGAGCCTAACGAGTTGAGCTAGATCTAGCTCATATTCAGCTCATTAATAAAGGAGCAAGCTAACGAGCCAGCTCATTAAGTGACGAGCCGAGCATCAAACGAGTTTTTCTCGAACAAAACATCGAGCTGTTCGCAAGCGACTTGACTCATTTGCAGCTCTATTTAGAAGGTAAAGAATTTCCACGCGTTCTTCCATAATCCAGTGGTGAGAGAGAAGCGGTGTCTGCTCGTCCGTGCATGGTGAGAAAAGGGCGCCCCATAAGTTTGACTTTTCTAGGTGGAGAAAGCTTCCACGAAAGGAAGCATATAGCTTTTCTGCAGACTTCAATTGATGCAAGTCGTAAAATTCGGTCTGGATTATGGATCACATAACATATTCAAGTAACTTTTATTTAAAAAAAAAAAAACATATTCAAGCAGTGGCGGACACAGAAATTTTATATAGTGGTGTCCTCTTTTAAAAAATAAATTAAATACAAATAATTCTAAAATAATTAATAAAAAATAATATTTAAATAAGAAATACTTTACTCATACAGTTTGAAAAAATTCACAATGTGTTTTCATATTAAAAAATGATTGTAGAACACACTTGGGGTCTACACTATTCAAAAAAAATTGTCTCTGTATATCATATTAGACAATCATTCATGAACTGATCACATATTCAATTTCTAAACTTGTTCTTGATGTAATCCAAACCTGAAAAGACTCTTTCAATACTTGTTGTACAACCATAAATCAATACAAATTAAATTAAGGGTAGTTTGAAATTTGTTTAATTGTTAGATTTTGAAAATAATTAGAGATAGAGAATGACATTATACTATTACACGGTGTTTAAAATCGAATAACATATGAGTTGTAGCCTAATGAAAATTATGTTTATTAATAATAAAAGTGTCCTAGGTTTGAATTACCCAAACTACTACTTATATTCTCATACTCAAACTAAAAGATGAGAGTAGGATAATCACTTTTTTAACTTTAGGGGTGTGCTCGACTATCAATTATAATCTTTTTGTCAATACATAAATTACTACCGGGGTTGAATAATCGTTTTCCCAAAATTTAGGGGTGTCCCCGTGGGTCCGCCCCTGTATTCAAGTAACTTATATAAATTTGAGAGATGGTGGGTCCATTGATTTGAGAGATTAGTGTAAAAATAGTTATGTAAATTTGTTGCATATATTAATAATTTATTTATTTTACTCAAACTAAAGCTATTTTGTGAAATGATAATTATGTTCAGCTATTAAACTTCAAATACACAATAATATTATTTAGCATTTTTTTCACTTAGGCATCGTATTTTTGTGAGATATAATGATGTTTATCTGTATTAAGCGATTATAATTTCTAGTCTTGTTCCTCTTTTTTACAAGCTCTTCTTCTTTGAACTTGCTACCCAGCTTTTATAGGTTGTGAAATAATGATGTTTTTATTACAGTAAACTATGTGGAGGACACTCGCTGAAATGGAATGAGTATAAATAAACAATTATTTTGTACGACGAATTGAGATGAAATAGTTCGAACGAAAATAATATTTTACAAATTATCTCATAATATGAGATCACTTAGATCGTGCTCATGAAGGAGGCAGGATCTGGAGGGATAGGGACATGAACGGAGCCTTCCAACATATGAATGACTTTAATCATCCCAGGCCTCAACGACGGATCATCCTGAATGCACCACATCGCAACCTTCACAAATCTCTCGACTTTTCCTATATTAGCCATTGCCTCGTCGTCATCCTCCACCAACCTAGCCAGTTTCCCTTCCTTGTAGCATTCATATGCCCAATCGGCAAGAACCACCTCATCCTCGCTTTCCGCCTCCATTTCCAACTTGCTCCTGCAACAAACCAACTCCAAGAGCAGAATGCCAAAACTATGCACATCGACTTTCGCAGTGACGGGCACGTTCCTGAACCACTCTGGAGCTACGTACCCTTTCGTGCCCCTGATTCCGGTCATTGTTCGCGTCTGGTCCACCTTCAAAAGCTTGGCCAATCCGAAATCCGCGATCTTGGCGGTCATCGACTCGTCCAGCAAGACGTTTTGTGGCTTGATGTCGCAGTGGATGATCTGGGTGCTGCACTCTTCATGCAAGTACACTATCCCTCTGGCCACCGCAGAAGCTATCCCCGTTCTTGTGTACCAACCGGGCCTCGAAGAATCACGACCTCCTCCTCCTCCGAACAACAACTTGTCCAACGACCCATTGCTCATGAACTCGTAAACCAGCACCCGGTGCAACCCTTCGTTGCAAAAGCCCACGAGCTTTACCAAGTTCTTATGGTTAGTTCCGCCGATCACTTTCACCTCGGTTTCGAACTCCCGATCCTGAGTTTGGCTCACCGCGTTGTCCAGCCTTTTCACCGCGACGAGCCGTTGGTTCGGTAGAACCCCTCGGTAAACCGTTCCAGAGGCGCCACTTCCCAGCACTTCGTCAAACCCTCCCGTGGCCTGTTCTAGCTGACGGTACGAGAAATTTTGAAGGTTCCTAGATAACCAATCATTCTCCCCATCTTTGCCGCCTCTATCTTGATCCTTTTTCTTCTTTAGTCTGGAAAAAAGAATGAAGGTTGTGGCTGACAAGAGGATAACAAAGGCTGAAGTGGCCAAAAGCACCGACCCAACAATGAACAAAGCTTGCCCGCCATTCTCCTTCTCCTCATTCTCAACCGGAACTGAAGACACCGGCGGTGGGAAGGTCGTGGTGGTGGTGGTGGTGGAGTTAGATCTCCTCACTTTGATCAACGATCTCCCGGACATGGCGTCTTCCACTCTTCCGTTAGACAGAGGACTTCTCTTCATCAAGCACAAACCTCCGTTGTAGACAACCAAAGTACACCGACAATCCTTCAGACAGGATTGCTGACACAAATCCTCCGTATCAATCTCGAAAGCCTCGTAGTTCGACTGCGGCCAGTTCACCTTGGGCATCGCCGCGAGATCGAACGCGTCGATTTCCTCCGGGAGACGACGACAGTCCTGCGGAGCGAAGTCAGGAACGCAACCTTTGGTCTCGTCGGACGGGTCCTGGAAAATGTACCTCGGGGGACACTTGCAAACGCGGTACTGACCGTCCTCCATTTCACAGTAACTGTTGTAGCCGCAAGCTCCACTCCCCAAGGTTCCTCTCACGGCCGTGCAAATGTTTTTCGGCTCGAAATCGAGGCTGACCCACTTCGTCGGCCACACGCCGTCCTCCTCCGACGACGTGGAACCATTGTTGCGACTAGTAGGGTTGTTGTTGCTAGCGTTCCTCTTCGGGTGCTCGTAGTACCTCAAAACCCCGTCGTAATCGAGGGTCACCCTGTGGTAAAAATCCTGGCTGGATCCTCCGTTGCTGAACACGTTGTCGAGCACTGTCCCGTTGATGGAAGCCACGAACAGGAACCCGGACTGGTTGAACACCAGTCTGTAGCCCGACGGTATGTTGGAATGATTGCTCCAGTAAGCATACTCACTCGGCGTCCCGGGATGTTCGTCCCTCTGGTACATCACCAGATTCCCGTCGAGTTGCATGATGAACTTGAATCGACCCTCCGAGTGATTCGATCTCGAGTGGCTGGCTATCAGTCGGGAATCTCGCTCCATGATCTGGGTTGGCAAGAGAGTATCCGTCGGATCCTGGAAGCTCTCCCATAGACTAGACCCGTCGCTAGATGCTAGTACGAAATTGCCTGTACGCGCGCGTAAGAGAGTGTTATAACTTATAACTGTTAGTGATTGGTAATAAGATTCATTATAGAACCTCTCCTAACAATTCGAGTTATTGAGATCAACTGGTTCTTGACATGGTATCAGATCTGGTTTGGCCAGTGGTCGTGTGTTCGAATCTCCACGACCCGCAATATTAACAGTTGATTAAAAACAAAGATATGGTGAGTATGTGCAAACTTCAAGCCCGTGTATTGACTTTTGTTTGAGGGGGCGTGTAAGAGAGTGGCATAAGATCCAGCATAACCGTCTCTCAACAACTCGAGTTATTGGGATTAACTGGTTCTTGACAATAACATCAATCAGTAATAACCTTTCTTTCTGCAACTCGCGCGAGTTATTGAGACCAGTTTGGTTTACGATTATTATTACCTGTGTCGAGCATGGCTGCGTGGGAAGCTACGGGACCGTTGGTGTTGGCGGCCCAGATTTGGTTGCCTGATGGGTCGGTGAAGACGAGGCGGCCTTGGGTCGTGAGCTCGACCCTCGACCCGATGGGAGCCAGGTTGTTGCGGTTGGCGGACCAGACGACGGTTCTCTCGGGAATTTTGTCGAACACTATGGCTAGCAGGTAGCCGTCGGTGGTGATCCGTTGGAACCCGAACGCGAATTCGCCGGACGGGGATAGCCAGAGGGAGTTTGATTCGGTGGTGAGAGATGAACCCAGTGATACGTTGCGGTTGCTCTGTGAGGTGACGGTGAAGGGCAGGAGGAGGAGAAGAAGAAGCGAGAGTGAGAAGAAGCAGAGTCTGGAGTGTTGGAAGGGCGCCATGAATGGAAGTTTTGGAGAGAAAGCTTGATAGGGATTATGTGTGTTGGTGGGAATTGTTTGCTGAGTGTCTCCTCCTGCGGTGATGTACTTATAAGTGACAACCTAGCAGCTAGAAGACGAAATTAGAAATTCCATAAGTAGTCAACTTCCATTGAGAGAAAAATCAACGCGTCCTCATTATTTACTTGGTTTTTTTAGATTATAATCAAGGGATTCCCTACGATGTCTGCAAGTTGCTATAGTTATCGTGACTTGAGTGTTTGACATGCTATAACATGTTTTGCAAGAACTGTTACGTAATATAGCAGGCCATATTACGCAGTTTTTACGTAATTCATGTTTCTTTACGTAATAATTGCGGAACGGTGTTACGTATATCTTATGACGATATATGATATTGTTATGCAATGAATATTCACGCCGAGTTACGTAAGGTGTAAATTTATTATGTAAGTCTTATGTTGATATTGCAGGGGAAATGTTGGTTACACCGCAAGATTTCAGATTTATCTTCATTTGTTATGTAAATGGATTGTCACTAGCATTGCAAAGGAAAGAGCAAGACATTGTAAATGCTATGAGATTTATTCGTGCGGGAAATGCTAGATTAAAAGAGATATGAGAGATCGATGATGCGAGTCTCTACTTGAGGATGGCATCTCGTCTTGCAGTAAGGAACATGTTCACATTCTTAATATGGACGGTGAGTATGTTCTTCCAGGCCGGTCATCAAGACGCAATGCTCTACAGATAACAAACTTGTATCACTATCGGGTTGAATTGTTTTGCATGGTTCTTGATATGCATGTTGCAAGAGTTGAACAATCGCTTTAATGAGGTGAATACCGGATTGTTGGCTGGCATTATTTGTTTTAGCCGGAGAATGAGTTTGATTAGTTTGACAATAAGAAGATGGTAAACATTACTCAATTTTAACTGGACTATGAGAATTATTATTAGTGTGATATGATGAGTTATTTTGCGGATTAAAAGGAATTGATGAATTAACTCAGTTCATCTATCATTTCCATGAGTCCACTTGCTACTTAAACTTGTATTGACTTTGCTTGTTGCAACTGCAAGTGTTGAAAGAGTTTTTTCAAATTTGGGTTACATAAAAAAACAAATTTTAGAATCGAAGAGGCGATCAGTTCTTGAATGATCGATTGCCTAGTAAGTAGGATATGTTGAAAGAGATTTGTTGAGCACTCTAGACATTGAACATATTTTATAATTTTTTTCATAATATGAAAATACGTCGTGGTACTTTATAATAACTTGTACTAATCGAATATTTTCTTTGATAAGAAAATTTGAATTTGATTTATAGAAGATAAAACCTCTAAATAAAATTTGTAAGTCCGGGTTGATGCTACCGTACATTTTGGATGACAATAAATTTAACGAAAAAGTTAACAAAGAAGTAAGAACTATCACTGTCTAACATTCAAGGTATATGCATGGTCTTGTTAATTGCTCCAACAGATTTAACGAAAAAGTTAAGTAAGAAGTAAGAACTATCGCTGTCCAACACTCTAGAAGATTGGACTATTCCAAGCGACCTCAACAATATGGTATGGTAGATGACAAACTGTTTACTTGGAGCCGTGAAGACCGGCTTACGTTGACTATGGTGCTTTTCAGACACTTTCTTTCTTCGGAAATTAAGAATGACTCGGAAGTATTGGGTTCTACTTTCTTTAGGTTCTTTCGTTGCAGTTTCAACATCGTAAAAGCAAACGCGGCCACAAATTTGACATTTTTTCTTTGGCCAAGTCTTCTCTATCATGGAATATTCAGGCTACGCGAGAGATCAAACACACATGTACCAACGGTTCAGGGAGCATGGCGACGTGAACTAAAGTAGGAATGACAATGAGTCCGGATCCGAATCGGGTGCCTCAATACGTTCCATGATAGATTGGGTCCATATTATATATTGTTATCTAAGACACGGATCGTAACAGGTTGACCCAAGAGACCAAACCTACCTACATTGCCAGAGACTCATGGAGCATGCCTCCATGGCAAGAAGATGCCTCGAAGATCTCGATGTTTGCCACATTGGACCTGCACTCGTGGAGAAAGGTCGATAGTCGTACAACCAGGCCGAAACCCGAGCTTCAAGTGTCAAGAACCAGTTGATCCCAATAACTCGAGTTGTTAGGAGATGTTTAATCGTGGATCATATACCACAACATTAACACACACCCTCAAACGAAAGCCACTCACAAGGGCTTGAAGTTTGCACATGTTTGAAGACAAGAATACCATGTGCTTAACAAATGGGGGTCACCGGGAATCGAACACAAGACCTCTCGGTCACAGAAGGCTCTGATACCATGTCAAGAACCAGTTGATCCCAATAACTCGAGTTGTTGGGAGAAGGTTCTGCTGGATCTTATACCAGACTCTAACATGCCCCCTCAAACGAAAGCCAACCCATGGGCTTGAAGTTTTGCACAGGCCCATCATACCATGTGCTTGAAAGACAACGGTTAATATTGGGGGTCGTGGAGATTCGAACACATGACCTTTTGGTTCGAGGCTCTGATACCATGCCAAGAACCAGTTGCTCCCAATAACTCGAGTTGTTGGGAGAGGTTCAATCGTGGATCATATACCACAACATTCACATCAAGTCAGGTGCAAACCTACAAGAAATTGTCTGAGCTTGTCATCTGATTATGTCTATTGGAGCGCGCTGCGCGCAAACTCGATCTTCGCAAGTCAAAATTTTATCTCTTGATTAATAATCATTTAAAGGGCTCGATCTCGATATATACTCTTTATACCCATCCACATTACCAAAAAAACTATGTACGTGTATAAACTTCTATTTTGATAATAGATCACTCATGTTATCAAGATAACCAACCAGATATTCGCGTACATGAGTACATCCTTTGCTTTGTTTCTTCTTTTCCGTATCATTAAAAAGAATTACGTTTTTGTTGGATGTATCAATAAGAAAGATTAGGTTGATGGGTTGTGGTTTGATTTTTTTTTTTTAAATGGGCACACCTTTGAACAGTATAATTATTTGGTCGTATTAATACCCAATCCTGGGTTCCCTGACGGGACACGTAAGTACGTAACTAGTATTTACGTTCGTGCATGATACCATGCATTCATGCCCAATCATGAGCCATCATTACTCAAGAGCCCAATCCGAAAGGACCCAAGCAGCTCACCCATTTTCTAAGGGCCTCATTCTCACAGGTCCAATAGTCTCGAAACCGGCCCGGTCTCTGTCGTAGGCCCAAGAAAAAGTAGTCAGGACTCATGAACGGATTTCCATTCCAAATGACAAGTGAAAAAAAGCAGAGTCTTATATAAAAAAAAAAGTAATCAATCAATAGAAGATTACAAAACGTTGAAAAGTAAATAATGGTAATCAATCTAGCGTTGATTTACTAATGTAAGGTTTAGGAAACCCTATCGTATGTTCGTATTGGCTGGTTGGAATGAAAATATTGGATACCAGACACAGAACTGTAAACGGTTTTAGCGATATGAAACAGTTCAATCACGGTTAAGTCATTGATTTAGTACAAAATACCTTGTCATTCACCTTTCCGATATAACCTCCGATATCGATACAGTTTCCTAAATCTTGGGGGAAACCACATAAAGGTTAGGGATAAAAAAAAAGAGTTGTAGTTTGGGATTTACAAAAAAAGATTGAGAACGTAATTGAAACAAAAAAAATACAATAACCTATTATTTGTTGAATACCACCCCTCTCTTCCTACTATTTGTCAATTAACAAGTTTGTGATATTTTCAAAATAACAAATATTATACTTTTTCCAATCAAATGTACTATTTGGAACTAAATATGAAATTTGATTCTAGATACCACATCCAAATGACTATATAACCATTACATTCATAATTTCAACGAGTTCACACAAATTTAGACAAGAAAACATCATGATGATATGCAATGACTACTTTATCGTTTATATTCCAAATTCTAATAATTAACTAGTTGGACAAATATCAGACTTCAGTGACCAATTTACCTAAGATTTCAAAGTCGTCCACTCACCACCATTTACTTTGAATAATTCTCTTCGAGACGATCGAGGAAGAAAGGACGTATCATAAACGTCGTCACGCCTAGCCAAAGCTGGTTTCCATTTATTCGTTCCCACATGCACGTAACAATACCACCAACCTTCACCGCAACGAAAAAACTTCGCATCAATGGCGCCCGTCCAATTCCAATCCAAACTTTACTTCTCACTATCACTTCTCCTCTTCCTGCCGTCCACCATCACCTCACAGAGCAACCGCAACGTACCGCTGGGTTCATCTCTCACCACCGAATCAAACTCTAGCTGGCTGTCCCCGTCCGGCGAATTCGCGTTCGGGTTCCAACAGATCACCCCCGACGGCGGCTACTTGCTCGCCATAGTGTTCGACGAAATTCCCGAGAGAACCGTCGCCTGGTCCGCCAACCGCAACAACTTGGTCCCCCGCGGGTCCAAGCTCGAGCTCACTACCTCCGGCCACTTGGTCCTCACCGACCCATCTGGCCGCCATGTCTGGTCTCCCAACTCCGATCCGGCTTCCCACGCAGCCATGCTGGACACGGGCAACTTCGTGCTGCTGGCGGCCAACGATTCCTCGACTCTGTGGGAGAGCTTCCAGGAACCGGCTGATACTCTGCTGCCCACCCAAACCCTGGAGCAAGGTTCCCAGCTCATAGCCAAATACTCGAAATCAAATCACTCCCAGGGTAGATTCAAGTTCATCCTACGACGCGACAGGAATCTATTTCTTCACGTCACGCATTATCCTGAAATGCGCGCCGGCATTTCATACTGGCCACCTACTACTGCTGTCGGTGGCCAGTACTACACCGGGGACAGAGTGGTGTTCAACCAGTCTCTGTCCCTGGACCTGATCTTGAACAACGGGACAGTGGTTTTCCCAGTGTTCAACAGCAACGGAGGGTCGTCTAGCCGAGATTTTTACCACAGGGTGACCCTCGATTACGACGGCGTTTTGAGGTACTACGAGTACCCAAAGAGTAACGGCCAAAGTTCTAATAAAGTTTGGAGCAGCGTATATTTCAAACCGCCGAATATTTGCACCGCGGTCACTGGAGACATGGGAAGTGGAGCTTGCGGTTACAACAGTTACTGCGAATTGGTGAACGATCAATATCCCAAATGCAGTTGCCCTCCGGGTTACATTCTCAAAGACTCATCTGATGAGAGCAAAGGGTGTATTCCCGATTTCGCCCCGCAGGACTGCCGTCTTCAGGAGGGAAATAGCGATGCATTTGAACTCGTGGACATGCCCGCAGTGGATTGGCCACTCTACGACTACGAATCTTTCGAGTTCTACACGGAGGATATGTGTCGTCAGTCTTGTTTGAGTGATTGTCAGTGTGCTCTGGTCGTCTACGGAAAGTTTTGCTGGAAGAAGAAAAGTCCTTTGTCCAATGGAAGAGTGGGAGACGACAAGACCGAGAAATCGTTAGTCAAAGTGAGGAGATCTAATTCCACCACCTCCTCGCCTCATGTCGAGAAGAAAAGGAAAGGTTTGGTCGTCATTATAATTATCGGGTCGGTGCTTTTGGCCAGTTCAGCCTTCGTCATCCTCCTATCGGCCATGTTTCTTTCCATGAAGAAGAAGAAAAAGAATCAAGACAGCGCCGCCAGCAGAGCTTTTCTTGACAGGCAGAATGATTTGTTGTCTAGAAACCTTCGGAGCTTTGCATACTGTGAGCTAGAACTCGCAACGGAAAGGTTCAAGGAAGTGCTGGGAAGTGGTGCGTCTGGGATTGTGTACAGAGGGGTTCTTCCGAACAATAATCAACGACGGCTCGTTGCGGTGAAAAGGTTGGATAACACGGTGAGCGAGATCAAGGACCAGGAGTTTGAAACAGAGGTGAGAGTAATCGGCGGAACTAACCATAAGAACCTGGTGAAGCTCGTGGGATTCTGCAACGAAGGGTTGCACCGAGTTCTGGTCTACGAGTTCATGAGCAATGGGTCGTTGGCGGGTTTGTTGTTTGGAGAAGAAGGTCAGTCGAGGCCCAATTGGTACACAAGAATGGAGATCGCCTGTGCGGTCGCCAGAGGACTGGTTTACCTACACGAAGAATGCAGCACCCAGATCATCCACTGTGACATCAAGCCACAAAACGTCCTGCTGGATGAGTCAATGATGGCAAAGATCTCCGATTTCGGGATCGCCAAACTCTTGAAGGCAAATCAGACGCGGACCATGACTAAGATCAGGGGGACCAGAGGGTACGTGGCTCCGGAATGGTTCAGAAACATGTCCATCACGACTAAGGTTGATGTGTACAGCTTTGGCGTCCTACTTTTGGAGTTGGTTTGCTGCAGAAGTAAGTTGGAGACGGAAGCGGCAAATGAAGTGGAGGTGTTTCTCGCTAATTGGGCGTACGAATGCTACAGCGACGGGCAACTGAGAAAGTTGGTGGAGAATGACGACGAGGCTATGAATGATGTGGAGAACGTTGAGAGGTTTGTGAAGATCGCGTTATGGTGCATTCAGGACGATCCATGCTTGAGGCCTGCAATGAAGAAAGTTGTTCATATGTTGGAAGGATCGGTTCATGTCCCTACTCCTCTAGATCCTGAATCATTCATCAGCAATATCTGAATATAATAATATAATAGTTTTACAGGGGGAAGCTCATATGATTCATTGGTTAAGTAGTGAGGGTTCTTCAAAGAGGTCAATGGCTCAAATTCCAATCCAACCGCCGGAATAAATAAAAAATATAATAGTTTCACATTGCTTGTTAAAATTGTCCACAAAATCATTTATTTCTGTAACTTTATTAAAGAGGTCAATGTTTTAATTCCCATCAATGGTCCTTACAAAAGAATATAATAGTTTCACATCGCTTGCTAGAATTATCAACAAAATCTTATTACTGTAACTTCATATTATGTGTTTATATCATCCAAATTGGGTGATCACTTTTATCCTCATCTAGGCAAGTCTCAATTATATGTAGGGGTGGGCAATGGGTTGGTCCAAACCTAACCATACCGGATCGAATCGATGTTTGGATCGGACCACACCGAATCGAATATAATATGGTCCAATTCTTGATCCCGTGAATTTTATAAATACTAAAAAAAAATGAACCAAATTTACATTTGGACCGGATCAAAGCGGACTGAATGCACTATTGGTCTAAATTTGATCCGATTCGGTCCGGACCGGACTGATATCCACCCCTAATTATATGTTTCAACTTTGGAACTCAAATGTTTTTTTCATGAGCATAATATAATTGATTTTTTGTTAGACCAACTCCAATAAACCTGGCCGGAAGACATAACCCATGCATGCATTAAGGCTTATGACTGCATGAGGCCCAAAATATATAAGCCCTTTGCATTTATAATAATTAATACATTCCTAACGTTTTCTTAGGGCCCTTCAAAGCTTCTCATCAAGGTTGTCCACCCATGATTTGATCCGTCGGTTGACCCACTTTGATCCTGACCCAGCGAGAACAACGGCCAGCACACACTTTACTCTAGTACTTTTGCTGGCATTTTTATTTCTGGTGTTTATGAAGAAAGTTAAGGATAATGATGGTAGAAATTATACGCAACATGAAAAGTACTCAATGACAATAACGAAAATATACATTAATGTGAATTCGACAACGTCTAATTAAGTACTACACAGGGAGTCAGAGGAGTTTAATCTTTCAGGAGGGCAGTGAAGCTTATAGGAGTCCAGTATCTAGGGTTTCGGCCAAAACAAGCGGCAGCATGCAGCCTTGAGCCCTCACTCGTGAGCAAGTAGAGGTTCCAAAAGAAATACTCGTCCCGATTCCCGCACAGCGTCGAAGTCGGCCTGCACGGTGTGCTCCCGTTTCCACAGCATGCAGCTCTCACCTCCGTCAAACCTGCAAGAGATGAGATACATGTATAGTAATAAAACTCGTCGTTATAACGAAATGAGATACGGACAATGCAAGAAAGTAGAGAACATTGACTCACCACATCCTGGGAAACTGGGTGCATTCGCGGTGACATCAAGATAGAAGTTGGGAGAATTGCAGATGGAGTACCGGAAATCAGGATATGTAAGGCGCAGCACTCTCAGAGCCGAAGCAAGGAGGTTGTAGAAGCCGAGCGACAGCGAGTTGGCTCTGGCGTCGCACTCGCCGCCGCTGTTATCCGTCTCGTAATAAAAAGGACTGCATCCCACTAGCGGTGGCGCCACAATCCCGAACACTCGACCTCCAAGTGCATACAGAGTCTGCCAAACCAATCAATGACGAACCATTAATTAATTACTAAGTATCATTAAACCTCTGAATATACTAGAAACCAGAGAGCATACGTAATAGTGATTACACGAATATAATCAACGTATTGGGCTATGAGTAATTGCAGGAAGCGGGGGTCGGAGCTGGGAGGAGCATTGGTTCGTTGCTCGGCTATGTCAACGGTCCCGGTGGCCAGCAAGAAGAAGGATTGGGCCAGGAAATTGTCGGCGGCTACTCGGCCCAGTAAAGCTATCAGCCTGGGCCTGACTACCGTCCCGAACTGGTCGATCTGCTGCCCCACCGTCACACGTGCCTGCATGTGCGATGGGATTGGGAGTTCATGATTTCGAATCGAACGGGAAATCGATAATGTAAGAACACACAAATTTACATGGTTAGGTTAACTAACATGTAAGATATGTGTAGATACGCCCATAAATAAGAGAGACCAACTTTATTACACTTGAGTAGATAAATATTACACTGATCGACAAAATATAGATAGCGAAATCCTGCAACTTTTAGTCATATACGTGCGTACTTGGACAAGTGGACCGCTCTGTCCGGTGGAGTTGAAAATGCCAGAGAACGTGGAACCGAAGCTAACGCCCCGGCTCGTTATAACCCGATCGAACCTCTTGGACGAGTTCACGACGGCGAGGAACGGCGGGGGGCTTTCGTCGTAACCCAGCGCCATTGCTGTCCAGTTTTGATTATCAAGAGTAACGTAACTAAGTTTGATATAAATGTAAGCAGAAGAGTCGGAAAATACAGGTAACATATGGTAATAATCGCTCGATCAAATCATTACCCACAAAGTCGGCCACAACATAGCAGTTGCTTAACCTGCCGGTTGGCACAGGAGGGTCGCAATCGATCCCGTTGAACGGCCCGTTGCCCGGCGTAGAGGAATTCAAGATTCCGTTGGTGCCAACGTCGATTAAGCTAGACCCAATAGCGAAAATAGCCGGGGGACTGCGAGGAGTGCTACCGTTGTTACGATATGATAGACACTGAAGTGGCTTGAATATCAGAATCACGACGGTCGAGAAGAAATGAAGGAAGAAAGCCGACGACGGAACCACATGTTTGGTGGCCATTAATCCAGACGAGTGCTGCCCTGTGCATGGTTCTGATTCTGTTTAGGTATATGTATATGGCGCGCGCCGGTTGCTAGTTAATTAGTCTCCATCTTCATTCTTCAAGTTGAGAGGAGCAAACACGTTTCGGTTGATTACTTGGTGCATAATGACTCTGACGGCTGAACTGAAATGTATATTTCAACTGATGGTGGTGATGATCAAGTGGGAATAACGTACGTGAGGGTTTGGTTTGATGTTTCAAAGTGTTCATTGGCAATGGCGATTGCATAATTGCATTATTGTTAATAGGTTGGATCCAGTGATAAGATATAGGGTAGGTGTAGTGTTATTTTACCCAATAAATAATGACTGGAATATGAATATCATCTTTCCTGCCATGACGGGACGTATTGTTGGCAACATGCATGAAAATTTATGTCATAAGAGTACAGTAGTTGCCAAGATTCTCTAGGCGTTCCCAATAATGAATTGGTTTAGAGAATTTCAGATTCGAATATATTAAGTTGCATCTAATTACAAAAATAAACCTATTAAATTTGAAAAAGAATATTAATTCTTCAAGGTACGTAGCAATTGATTTTTGAAAATTTTGCTTCAGACTTTAGCTGATTACCACTAGATCGACTAGGGATAGCAATAAAGACTTTGTGGGTATTTAAATCTTACCCAATTCAATTACATTGGGTACTCGTTGATAGATTTGAAATTTGGTTCGAGTAAAATTTTGAATCGTTTAGATTGGGTTGAGTGCGGATTCCGTTAATCCAATCTATGTATTCGGCATATTTATACATGAAAATAATAAATCATAGTTAAGTTCAATGATGCATCCTTCAACATCTCACTTAACCCTTTAAACAAATTTGTGCCATTTATATACTAATAATTATAGAAATTAAATAGAGATTAGTGACTTCCCAACAAATCTCCCTTATCACTCTCTTAACTCGTTACTTGTTCCATAATTCATCGGATAGAAATTAAGAGATACTCCAAACTTATGATTACAAACCCTAATTTCCCCCCTCATTCCACAGTCCGAGGAGATATATTAATTGTACGCTCTTTGCATATCACCACTACACAGGGAGTCCGAGGAGTTTAATCTTCCACGAGGGCAGCGAAGCTGATCGGAGTCCAGTATCTGGGATTCCGGCCAAAACAGGCGGCGGCATGCAGCCTGGAGCCCTCATTCGTGAGCAAATATTGGTTCCAAAAGAAGTACTCGTCGCGATTCCCGCAGAGGGTCGAAGTTGGCGAACACGGTGTCCTCCCGTTTCCACAGCATGCAGCTCTCACCTCCGTCAAACCTGCAAGAGATCACAGTCGAAAGGCTGTACCCTAACGAGATTTCGGAATAGTAGCTTGTATTATCATGAAATCACAAAAATGAGGAAGAAATACTAATAGACAATTATAAAAATAATTATTCCGAATCTATCTCTAACATTTTTACCACATGATGTGAAACTTGAAGCATTCGCGATGACATCAAGATAGAAGGCGGGAGAATTGCAGATGGAATACTGGAAATCGGGGTATGAAAGGCGTAACAGTCTCAACGCCGCCTCAAGGCGGTAGTAGACACCCAGCGACAGCGAATTGGCTCTGGCGTCGCATTCGCTGCTGTTCGAATTGTAATAAAATGGACTGCATCCGATCGGTGGTGGCGCCACGATCCCGAACACTCGACCTCCAAGTGCATACAGAGTCTGCCAACCAATGACCAATCATTAAACCACGAACCCTATATAAGGAAAAACACAAACAGATGTATATGGCGAACAAGGAATTGGTCCTAGACATGATAATGGATCGATTAATTGAATACATAATTTGACCGAATTATATTGCCATGATCCATATTAGTATTCGTTCGGATCCAGATGGACACATATGCACTATTAATGATTTTGGGTTTGAGTTAGGTTTGAATTAGAATCCTATTGGGTCAATTCATGTAGAATTCATGTATTTGAAGAATTCGTGTATATTGTAAGGTTGAGTTGTGAGAACTTGTGTAATAATAGAATGCATTGTTTGGTTTGCATGAGTTCATGGTAGAGAACCCACATAATTTGGCATGAAAAATCTCAAATATTTTGGGTAAACCCAAAGCATTTGAGATATCATGATCACGTGAATTCTAGAATTACATGGTGCACCAATATCATGATATCTATCCAAAAATAAAACAAGAAAAACAGTGGAATCTCAGATATTATGTAATTTTGAAATTCGTGGGTAGATTACATGCTTACCAAACGACCCCGTAGATGTTTCCATCTTTCTATTTGTTTCATAAATAAAATAATAAGACAAAAATTACATTATAACCGGGTACCCGACCGTTTTCTTTTGTACTTACAAAATTATGGGTCCAATTTAGACCCAAACTAAGAAATTGGATATAGGTGTGACTCAAAAATAAAATTACTTAAACTTGATTTTACTTGGGTTGCACAACACTCAAATATTGACTCCTTTTTTTACATCCCTATTTAGTCTAACGATAAAAACGTTAGTCCTCAATATCAAGTCCAAATCCTAACATTTAAAAACTGAACTCATATCACTCTTAATGCATGCCCGTTAAATATACTAAACGGCGTTAACTGACCTGAATATAGTCGACGAATTGGGCTGTGAACAATCGTAGGAAGCTGGGGTCGGAGTTGGGAGGGGCATTCACTCGCTGCTCGTCTATGTCAATGCCTCCGGCGGCCACCAAAATGAAGGACTGGGCCAGGAAATTGTCGGCAGCTGGTCGGCCCAGTAAAGTTATCAGCCTGGGCCGGACTCGCTCCCGCAACTGATCGATCTGCTGCCCGAACGTCACATGCGCCTGCGATGGGGTATTTCTCACTAATTAATCACGATTTAATTAATCAAGTTAATTACGTTTATTCTACCAAAAAAAAAGTTAATTATGTTTACGTACGTACTTCGCCGCTCTGTCCCGTCGAGTTGAAAATGCCAGACGACGCGGAACCGAAGCTGACGCCCTGGCTTGTTATGGCCCGGTCGAACCTCTCGGGCGAGTTCGCGACGGAGAGAAACGGCGACGGGCTTTCGTCGAAGCCCAGCTCCTTTGCTGTACAGTTTGATCAAGAACACATGGTTAAAAAGCGCTTCACTCATGCTAAGGCGCTAGATAATATCAAAACGTCTCGTATAGTGATTTTACAGTATGGTAGACTTGAAAAAAACACATCGACTAGATAAGGCGCAAGTCCTTTAGGCAAAAGTAAAGGAAGCTAGATAGTCAATATCAAAAGAGAAAATCAACATCATCTATATCAATCTTTTCAATCGTCCCCTCCCGAAACAAGAAAGTGAAACTTTTTTTCCTTTCCGTAAAGATCAAGAGATTGGATCTAGCCGTAATAAGAATGTTTGGTCGATAAATAACTCACTTCTTATACTTCGACCCCTTCAGGCGCTACAAAAAAAAAGTCCCTCAATTACCATGCAATGAGATCTATCTTGTGTCTATAACTCAAGAACTTTATGAGTTATTGAGCTATGATTTTATAAACATGTGAGTTGTTTTTCTTGTTGTCAAGTATTAAACAAGTTATTAAATATTTCAATTCTTAGACAACTAGCTATTAAACAAGGTCCTCCCTTACGCGTAGCGCCTTCCTGAACCTTAGGAGAGTGCAAAATACAGAGAATTCATGATAAGTACAACAATCATTACCCACAAAGTCAGCCACAACCAAGCAATTGCTTAACCTGCCGGTAGGCAGAGGAGGGTCGCAATCGATCCCATTGAACGGCCGGTTGCCCTGTGAAGAGGAATTCAAGATCTTGTTGGTGCCGACGTCAGTTTGGCCGCCGCCAATAGCGAACATAGCCGGGGGACTGCGGCGAGTAGTACCGTTATGATCACGATATGATAGGCATTGAAGAGGCTTGAATATCAGAATCACGGTCGAGAAGAAATGAAGGAATAACGCCTGCGACGAAACCACATCTTTGGTGCCCATTAATCCCGACGAAGAGTGTGAATCATAGTGCACGGCTGATTCTACTTTATACATGCATGGCGCCCGCCGGTAGGTTAATTAGTTTCCATCGTCAAGGTGAGAGAAGCAAACACGTTTGTGATGGGGTCATGTGGTAATAACGTGAGGTTTTGGTTTTGACGTTAAAAGTACTCATTAGCAATCGCGAATGCATTATTTTCATTGTTATTATTTGGATAGGTACTGATGTATAATGATGATATCTGGGTAGTGGTTACACCGATAAATTAACGGACGGATAACCATCATAGCGTTAATATAAGGAAGTGGTTACGAGCTATATGCATTGGTCTCTCCTCCAGCAACTTGAGTTATTGGGACCAGTTGTTTATAACATGGTATCAAGTTGGTTGTAGAGCATGCTGATCACTTCCAAGGTCGACATCCACATTCCTATTCGTCCAGATCCTGAATTCTATCTAGGCGCCATTTGAATCGACTGGAGCATGTAGTCTCCGAAACTTCATTGAATGTTTAGCGTAATCTGTACTCATTTTAAATCTTAGTATAAGTTTTTTTTTCTTTACCGATAACGATATTGGTTTAATGTTTGAAACCGACGTTTCGTTATTAGTGATGAAATCATCTATAGATAAACCTCTTCTTGGAACTGTGAATAAAGTGTTGAGAATTGAGATACGTTGAAAGTTGAAACAACATCTTTGCGTAACTTGTGTATTGCTGGTATTCTTCCTCGCCTTCTTGTAACCAGTTTGGTATTCTTCCTCCTTTTTCTTTTTGTATATAATAAAATCCATCCCCTTATAAATAAATAAATAACTCTTCCTCTTTTGCTATTGGTGCATTAGATTCCAGAAAGATTGGAGGCCAAGCAAATGAAGGTATTAATATCAAAAAGAACCATTATAAAAAAAAATTAATATAAAAAAGAAAGAAATAGCTGCTGGCCGGAGCACTAATCTGGCTCCACTAACAGAGATTAATTAAGATTTCATGAGAAGACAAACGTGAGGAATCTTATACTTAACCATCACGCAATGAAGAACTGACTGGTGTGGAAGCCTGGAAGGTGGGTTCTCATCTTCCTTCCACAGGTATTCTGTCACATGGAGATATCAATGAATTTCCTATTAGTTGCTCAGTGGATTAGAGTATATGTATGAGGGATGATATTTGGAACACATGCCTCTTAAAAATGCATGGAATGATATGTTTTTTTTTTTTTAATATTTTCGTATGGCCTGAATTTTGACCAAAATAAACATCCTGGTCAATCTTTTCGATCTATAACATCCTGACCCAAACTATACATCAAAATAAACAATTTGGCCAGATCCGACTTTTGACCGTTAATTTGGAAGGTCAAACGAGTTGATCGTTAGTCAACGCGCCATGTCATTGCCAACTCAACAAGTTTCAATTAAATTTTTTTTAATTTACACCTATTTTCATTTTCTTTCCTTTTTTTATTGTTAAAAATTAAAAAAGGAAAATTAAAAAAGGTGTAAATTACAAAAAAAAATTGAAATTTGCTGAGTTGGTAGTGACATGGCGCGTTGACTGTTAGTCAACGCGTTTGACCATCCAAGTTAACGCTCAAAAGTCGAATCTGGCCAAATTATTTATTTTGATGTATAGTTCAGGTCAGGATGTTATAGATCGAATAGATTGACCAGGATGTTTATTTTGGGCCATAAAAAATATTAACTTTTTTTTAATCATGCAAAATTTCAAATAGCACAGGAACAATAAGTGTATGTATTGTGTTTTTACATGAGAAATGGGTGATATATTCTGAACATTACATGAATTTGTTAAACACGATTTCGACAAAGTTTGTCGGATGTTTGATCCGACAAAATTTGAGAAAATATGGTTTTGTGTGAAGCAAAAGAGGAAAGCACCCTGGTTCACCATTTCGATAGTACAACGAGCTTCTAACCAATGATTATTCGTCCAAATTTATCGATACTAAACTCGTATAATGAGAATAAATAGTTTTTTTTTGTCATATATTACCTTGCGGGTAAGTCAAATAAGAGCAATGAGTGCTTCAAGAACTACGACAATCTCGCATACTTAATAAATAGGTGAAGGCATGGACAAATTAAAATATGTAAAACTAGAACAACGCAAAGATTATCGTGTCACCAAATCAGCAATCCAACTCGTAGCTCGAAATGTAAACGCAAAGCGAGCTAGAGAGATCACTCAAATGAGTAAGGTAACATGTTCGCATAAAATAGTCCCACCAGAAACATCATGAGTAGAACCCCCGTCCTCAACTTATGCCACACTGTGAGATTCGCAAAATGCCGGCCCTGAGCCATCGTCGCCGGCGATAACCACAGTCCGGCCAGTGGGGTCCCTTCCGTCAACAACAATGCGAAGCTAAGGTTTTTAAATTCCATAATTATAAGAACCGCGTAGCTAATCAACTTTTTCAAACATGTCCTTAAGCAATTTGGGAAGCTTTGACGCTTTTTCATGTGGCCGAACGCCATCTTTATAGGGCTCCAAATACTATATTCCTGAAGATGGACAACGAGAATCACACGTTGTTGATTCTCCAAACTCCACCCGCTCTCCATATAAATGGTGATCAGATCAGTAAACCCAATCAGGATCTTCATCATCACCACAATCCCCACCAAAATCCAATTCACCAGAGAAACAGAAAAACACCAGTAACAAAAATGCCCTCTGTGTCAATGGGAGGCCTCCAGTTACCAACCATGTCGTCCCTGCTCTCCCTCTACGCCTCCCTCTCCGCCGTCATCATGATCGTCCGCACGATCCTCAACGACATGATCCCCGAATCGATTCGTGACTTCATCTCCCGGAAGGCCTCCGACTTCTTCTCTTCCTATTTCTCCAGAGACTTCACATTTCTGATAGAGGACCACTGGGAGGCCGTCGAGAACGAGACCTTCCGCGCTGTCCAAGCTTACCTCCCGACCAAGGTCGGGCCCGACACGAGCTGCCTCCTCCTCGGCCACAACGACAACAACAACCTCCTCGCGGTGGCTCAGCCGGGAGTCTCCGTCTACACCAGAATCGTCGACCACTTCCAAGGTATGAAGCTGGAGTGGACGCTGAACGAGAAGGAGGAGAAGTACAACTCGACTTACTACATTCCGAAAAACCAATGGTTCCAGCTCCGGTGCAAGAGGAGCGATAAAGAGAGAGTGATGGACAGCTATATCCCTCACATTTGCAGGACCGCGGAGAAGATCTTCTACGATCGGGAGATTCTCAGCATCTACACCTACAATCAGGAGGAGTCCAATTGGGAATCCACCGTTTTCAAGCACCCGGCAACATTCGAGACTCTGGCTATGGAGCCAGAGCAGAAACAGGGGATTATTGATGATCTCGATCTCTTTGTCCGGCGGAAGGAATACTTCCGGACCGTGGGGAGAGCGTGGAAGAGGGGTTACCTCCTTTGGGGGCCGCCGGGGACTGGGAAATCAACCCTTGTGGCTGCCATCGCAAATCACCTCAGGTTCCACGTCTACGATCTTCAGCTTCAGGGTGTTCGCAGTGACTTCGAGCTTCGTAGAGTCCTCACTTCCACTACAAATCGCTCCATTCTCCTGATTGAGGATGTGGATTGCAGCTCCAACTCCACGGAGCCTCGTTCTAGCGATGAAATTACGAATGATGATGAGAATGGCCCTGATGTCAAGAAGCGCTCTGCTTCTGATAAAGGGGTAAATAAAACAGAGCAGCTCTGTTTCTTGATTACTCTGTTTTTGTTGCTTTTCTCTGTTTCTTGATTACTCTGTTTTTCTTGCTTTTCTCTGTTTCTTGCTTTCCTTTGTTTCTTGATTACCCTGTTTCTTGCTTGACTCTCGATTCTGGCAGGTGACACTATCTGGGTTGCTGAATTTCATCGACGGGTTGTGGTCGAGCTGCGGGGATGAGAGGATAATCATCTTCACGACGAACCACAAGGAGAAGTTGGATCCGGCACTGCTCCGGCCGGGAAGAATGGATGTTCATGTCTATATGGGCCATTGCACAGCTGCAGGGTTCAAGTTGCTGGCTGGAAAATACCTGGGGATTGAGGACCATGAGCTTTTCAAGAGAATTGAGGATTTGATGCGCAAGTTTCCGGCTACTCCGGCCGAAGTTGCGCAGCAGCTCATGATATCCGGCAAACCGGAGGTTGCTCTGGACGGGCTGGTCGAGTTCTTGAAGGGAAAGGAAGTGGATCGGATCGAGAAAATCGGAGGGGAAGAAGAGTCGAAGAGCAAGAATTTATGGTGTCTCATGAGGAAATGGAAGAACAAGAAGAAGAAGAAAAAGACGCCATTGGTAGCAGAAGAATAAGAAATTGAGAATCATTTTCAGTAGAAAGATTAGATCAGTTGCTTGTTTTGTTCTCTTTGTTAATCTGTTTCTTGTTTGGTTCTCCATTGTAGCTTACAAGCCAATGTAATATATTAGATTGTACGACTGGCTTTTGACCAGGTCGATTGGCTTGAAGACCAAAACAATTTGTGTGTTTAAAAACATGCCTTGGGTTTGCATTGGTGATTTTAACCAAGTGGTGGCAGGGCAGGAGAAAAGTGGAGGAAGATTGATAAATGAAAGTCAAGCTACTGAGTTTAGGGAGTCTCTGGAATTTTGTGGGTTATTGGATTGTGGGTATGAGGGTTACCCCTTCACATGGGATAACAGTCGATCAAACGCTGAGTTTATCGAAGAAAGGCTTGATAGATGTGTGGCAAATTGGGATTGGAAGCTTAATTATCCCAAGCATCAAGTATTTCATCTCGATCGTTGTGGTTCGGATCACTGTCCCATTCTTCTCTATACTGCTGGAAGGGAGGAGGAGGAAATAAAATGGGGATGGTATTTTCGTACGGAAGCTTTCTGGCTTGAAGATCCTGAGTGCGCTGAAATTGTTAAGAAAGCTTGTGAGGAAAACCCGAATGAAGAGCTCATTTCTATTCTAAGGAAGTGCAGATCAAAGTTATTGGCTTGGAGCAAGAGGAAATTTGGTGATCTCAGAAGAAAGATTGATAAGATTGATAGTGCCCTGAAAAGTTTCAAATATAAACCTAAATCGGAGGTGTTTCTGGAACAGAGAAGGAAACTTGAAGAGATGAGATCGGAGCTGATCTATCAAGAAGAACTCTTATGGAAGCAACGATCGAGGATCGACTGGCTTAAAGGGGGGGAGAAAAACACGAAATTTTTCCACTCCAAAGCGACAGCCAGGAGGAAAAGGAATACGATTAAAATTTTAAGAGATGAAAGAGGCAGACTTTTCAAAGGACAACAGGAGGTTTCTAGGTGCCTTATTGACTACTACAAACAGCTGTTTACAAAAGGCAATTCCCCTAGCTGCGACTTTGTTATTCAAGCTATGCAGAGGAAGGTGACTTCGGAGATGAATATTTCACTTCTTAAACCTCTAAGAGATGATGAAGTTAAGGAAGCTCTGGACCAGATGGGCCCAAACAAAGCTCCAGGTCCTGACGGCTTCGCTGCGGGTTTTTTCCAAAAAAATTGGGGGATGGTGGGTTCAAAAATAATAAAGGCTGTTCAGTTTTTCTTATCAAGTGGTGAGCTCCCCCTGGAATCAAATCACACTCTTATTGCTCTTATCCCCAAGGTAAAAACCCCCTCCATTGCTAAAGATTTTCGGCCTATTAGCCTCTGTTGTGTGATTTATAAAATTATTTCAAAGGTGTTGGCAAATAGGCTTAAAGGGATCTTGGATGAAATCATTTCGGAAGAGCAAAGCGCTTTTGTGCCTGGTAGAAATATAATTGATAATGTTATCGTGGCTTTTGAATGCTTCCAGTCAATGAAACAAAGGGATCGCGGAAAGGAAGGTTTTTTTGCAGCAAAACTTGACATGGCCAAGGCCTATGATCGAGTTGAGTGGTGTTTCCTCGAAAATGCTATGGGAAAACTGGGATTTGAGCAGAGATGGATTGACTTAATCATGAAATGTGTTACAACGGTCTCCTATTCTGTGTTAGTAAATGGACACAAGACTGAAGTTTTTAAACCTACGAGGGGACTCAGACAAGGGGACCCTTTATCCCCCTACTTGTTTCTGATTTGTGCTGAAGGTTTGTCAGCTATGATTAAAAAGGCAGAGGCAGAAGGGAAATTACATGGGATTCAAGTTCGAAAGAAGGCTCCATCGGTTTCCCACCTATTGTTCGCGGATGATAGTATGATATTTGGAAAGGCTACCCTAAAAGACTGTGATAAGCTGAAAGAAATCTTGAAAGTCTACTCGGAGGAATCTGGTCAATTGATAAACTACGACAAATCGGAGGTGTCTTTCAGTAATAATGTTTTATGCAGCAGGAGGCTGGAGATTTGTGGGACTCTTGGCATCAAAGAAGTGGTAAAATTTCCTAAGTACTTGGGACTTCCAACGGTGATTAGCAGATCCAAAAAAGCTATTTTTGTTGACATTAAGGAAAGGGTGAGAAAGAAGCTTAAGGATTGGAAAAACAGAACCATGTCACAAGCAGGGAAAGAGATTCTGATTAAAGCGGTAGCTCAAGCTCAATTCCTATATCCTATGTCGGTATTCCTGCTCCCGGATGGAACTATTCAGGAAATTCAAGGTCTGATTGCAAATTTTTGGTGGGGTCAAAAGGGAAAAGAAACAAAAATTAAATGGATTTCTTGGGATGAACTTTGTGATGGAAAGGAGGAGGGGGGAATGGGCTTCCGTGACCTAAAGATTTTTAATTTAGCTATGTTGGGAAAACAGGTCTGGAATTTGAGATTGAGGCCTCAATCCCTCATGGCAAAAGTGCTTAAAGCTCGGTACTTCCCAAAGAGTGACATTTTTGGAGCTAAACTGGGTTATCGCCCAAGCTACATATGGAAGAGCATTTGGACAGCAAAGGAGACTATTGTGGATGGCTTTAGATGGAAAGTGGGAAACGGGAAGTCGATCAGGATTTGGGAGGATGAGTGGATTCCTGGTAAATCCTTCTTCTATCCTGATCCTATTCCAGGTAATGAGTACCCGGATGACTTGGTAAATTCAATTATTGATCAAAATCAGGGGGTGTGGGATTGTCAGAAAATTGAGAGATTTTTCTCTGCTCAAGACCAGGTGTTGATCTCTAAGATTCCCCTATGCTCTCCTCTGAAAGAGGATTCTCGGATCTGGAAGGACTCTGGTTCGGGCTCCTATACCGTCAAGTCAGCCTACTTCTGGATTCGCAACAAGCAGCAAAGCAAAATCGACCGTGCTCATAGCTCGGGGGAGGATTGTTCTGAGTTCTGGCAAAACCTATGGAGCCTAACCACACAACCTAAAGTGAAAATTTTCCTCTGGAAATTTTGCAGGAACATCTTACCAGTTGGAGCGAACGTGTCGGGCTGGGTGGAAACGGCTGAAGACGAATGCCCATTCTGCTCTCTTAGAGAAACCCAGCTGCATGCCCTCAGGGACTGCGCTTGGATCCGGCGGCAATGGCAGGGCTGTGAAGTGGAAGATGCCTACAAGTTAGGGGAAAATCGAACCCCTATTGAATGGTTGAAAGAGGTTTGGAGGGTGTGCAGCATTGAACAAGTCCAGAAATTTACCTCAATCCTTTGGTTCCTTTGGAAAGAAAGATGTAATCAGAAGTATAACAATAACAAGCTTGAGGAAGGCGATATCATCCCTCGGGCGCTGTCCTGGATTGGTTCCTATCTCGCGGCCCAAGATCCCTCGCTCGGTTCTTCAGTCCCTGGGGCGACGGCAAATGAATCCCAGGGAAGTCAATGGAATCCTCCCCCTGTCGTTGTTGTCAAACTCAACTCGGATGCTGGGGTTTTTAAGAATGGGGGCGTGGGTTTTGGCAGCGTATTCAGAGATTGGAAGGGAGCTTTCGTGGGAGCTACTCTGAAGAAGGAAAAGGGTTCATGCAGCCCGATTGAGGCTGAGGCAAGGGCACTGGTGATGGGACTGGTTGAAGCTAATCGGAGGAATTTGAGCCCCTTAATCGTCGAATCTGACTGTCAAGTGCTCATCAACAAACTGAGGAGGAAGGAAGAGGATTTCACTGAACTGGGAGATAGGTGCGATGAGATTTTGAGGTTGGCAAAGGTGAATGAAGAGCTGTCGGGGACTCGGGTGATTTGGTCGTTTGCGGGTAGAAAGAAGAACAGGGTTGCTCATTGGTTGGCCCATTCGGGGTCGGTTTGGGATAATCAAGTGGTCTGGACCGATAATCCACCACTCTTTCTCCTTGCTATGTTAGAAGAAGATTTGGGCTGTGGCCCATGTTACAGAGGCTGAGTTTTAAACTCTGTTCTTTGATATGAATACAGGTCCCCATCAAAAAAAAAAAAAAAAAATTTCTCCATATCATAAACCAACTATCTGTTTTTTAATACTTGGCAAAATTAACTTTGAATCTTTGATAGTCATAGTTAGATAATAATAGTCAAATTCTGAGACATACATAAAATATCCAAATTTTAAAAATATGTTTGACAGATTTAATCACTTCCGTCAAAAATTTTAGGGGTCGTTTGGATGAGGAATTCTAATGGATCAATCGGACACAACTGTCTCGCTTAGAGTCAATTGTGCTAGATTGATCCGTTTGGCAGCAGAAAATTTGGATGAAACAATTTGGGCTGGGAAATTTTGAATTGACTCATTTTGAGCCAATTATAATTGTCTGGGGAGGGCGCAGGTAATCTGAATTGACTCATTTTAAATTACTCGTTTTGTAAATACCGTTAAAGATTTGGCCAGTTACATTAACAAAATATTGATGAGAATGTCACATTGATACCAGGTGGATGCCACATCGTACTTTAATGGCATAACTATCGACTTTATAACAATAATTGCTAATTTCTCAGTAATACACAATGTCGCAACCTCCACTCAAAATAGAGGGGATCGACTGTGTGGTGCTTGGAGTCACCAACCATCAACCTTAATTGTAGTGGTACATCGCCCCAAACTTCCTGATTCTCCTAGCTAGGGATGACAATTTCGATCTAACCCGTTTTACCCGAACTGTTTGGCTTGTTTTGGGACGGGTTCGACCCGCCCCGTAGCCGGGGTGGGGGCGGGAATGGGTACCTCTCGTTGACCCGACCTGACCTGACCCGCCCCATTGTTGACCGTTATTGCATAATTTAATTTACATGTAATCTTAGTAAAATTACTTAGGATTTTCCTTTTATTATATCATATTTTAGCTATAATAAAATTGTAAATTAGTAAAAATCCCAATTTCTCTAATAATTTAGCTATATTTATAATAAGGTTACTCTTTTTCCGTCTGAAACATGTATCAGCTGCTTTGATACTGATTTGGAAGATCCGTTGGAGTCAGAGAAACGTTCTCTGATTTACGCCCGCCGGCACAGCTCGCATCTTTTTTTTTTTTTTCCAGAGTTTTCCGGCAGCCGGCCGGCGACAATGTTTGGTCGGTATTTTACCCATATTAATAATTACTAGGTTGTAGCTAGATTTGACTTTTGAGTTCCGTACAACTGAATGTTTGATGCAGACGGGAAGGAGGAGAAGGAGAAGAGGAAGAAGAAGAAAGAGACTGGTCTGGGGCTGTCAGGATGAGAATTTCGGAGAGTGGTACTCACAGGTGGTTGTCAACGGCGAGATGCTAGCTTACGGCGAAATGTCCGGATCCTATGTTATGATGCCATCTGCAATGCAATGGCTGTATGGAAAACCATGAAATTAAGTTTAATTAGCTTCTGTAAACAACCTACCTTGTTTCCCAAGTTAACGTACAAAATCTTCCTTGTATATCCAATTGATGTATGGTGAGTTTGTTTTGTAAGGATTTCTTCGAGGCCGAGATCGAGAAGATGAAAGTTAAAGAGTACAAGTTCCCTCTGCTTATATCAAAGAGCTCTCTGCAAAAGGAGAAGGACCACCTAGAGGACTTTGCGCCCGAGGTGTGTGATTCGCGATCTCGTTACTGGGACGAGTTATTGGGACGAACTAATAATAATTTACCTCTATGTTAAACATAGGTTGCGTGGGTGACGAGATGTGGTGAAACGGAGCTAACAAGGAGGAGGCAGATGCAGAGGTCCTCCAAGTACTGGAGCTGTACAGAAGAATTTATGAAGAGTTTCTGGCAGTCCCCGTCGTGAAGGGACACAAAACTCGGAAGGAAACGTTTCCTGGTGCGGATTACACCACTAGCGTCGAGGTAAGGCTATAGCTGCTGCTGCTGCCCTGCTGCATATATGGTTCAGTTATGAACTGAATATGATCCCGTACGTTCTGCAGGCGTTCATTCCTGGAGCTGGACGTGGTATCCAAGGCGCGACTTCTCACTCTTTAGGGCACAACTTTGCCAAACCTGAAATGTTCGACATCAAGTTTCAGGATGCAAAGGGAGAGACGAAAATGGTGTGGCAGAACTCGTGGGGTTACAGTATAAGGACGGTGAGCTATGTTCGATGGATCGAAGAGCTCGATCTGTTTCGTATGTTCGTTCGTTCATGTGAACTAAGCCAGCCTTTAGTTTTGACTATGCTGTATGTGTGTGTGTGTGTGTGTCTAAGTGTAGATCGGAGTGATGGTAATGGTCCATGGAGACGACTAAGGGTTGGTCATCCCACCTAGAGTGGCAGAGTTCAAAATTGTGGTGGTTCCTGTGCCTTCCAAGGATGCAGCTGATGTTCAAGGGATCTTTGATGCTTGTGCTGCAACTGCCAAGGTTTTGGAAAATGCAGGTGTTAAGGGTGTTGAGATTGACCTCAGCGACAACAATTCACCTGGGTGGAAGTACTCTCACTATGAATTAGTGGGTGTTCCTCTTAGGATTGAGATCGGACCAAACGAACTCGCTAAACATCAGGTGACCATGATCGAGAGAGCGCATCAACATCGCGTCTTATATGGTTATTTTATATATGCTCTTTTTTATTAATTTGAATGTTTACCTACATAGGTTCGTTGCGTTCGTCGTGACAACAATTCAAAGTCGTATGTAAAGAGAGACGAGGGTTTGGGGGAGGAAGTGAAGAAACTGCTGGAGCCTGGATGACATTCAGCAGAGCATGTTTGATGCTGCTAAGAAGAAGAGAGACGCTTGTGTTCAGGTCGTGAAGACGTGGGACGAATTCAAAGCTGCACTTGCCCAGAAGAAGATGATATTAGCTCCTTGGTGCGACGAGGAGGTGCGTGTACGAACAGCGACGACAGCGACACTTCTATCCATCAACGAAACAAAGAAAGCCTTACATAATATTCTTTTTGTTTATGATCTTCAGGAAGTGGAGAAAGAGGTCAAAGAGCGGATAAAGAGTGAAGAGGAAGGAACTGTCAAGAGCCTTTGCACTCCATTTGAGCAGCCAGAACTCCATGAAGGTTAGGAACTGCAATTAATTACTAGCAGCATTACTAATTATGAAGCAATTAACACCAACATTTACCCCTCTGTAATTATGATTTTTGTTTGAAATTATTGGTTGCAGGGACTCTATGCTTTGCCACAGGGAAGCCGGCGAAGAAGTGGACTTACTGGGGCAGGAGTTTCTAGCTCTAACTAGGCTTCTCTTTACTTTAACTGTTAATTAGCAGCAGTTGTTTGAAGTTCAATTACTGTTTAATTATTTGTATGTTTAACTCTTGCACCCAACCCAGTTAATGGTTGGGTTAATTCCTGCTGTACTTACCTAAATTCGATTCCATCGGAACCTTAAATGTAAATCGAAAAAAATCATGAAAAATTGAAAATCGAATATAGGGTAGCATCAATATCAGGCAGTCAACGATAAGCAGCAGCACTTGGTTGGATCTCTGAGATTCACCACTCAGATGGCTGCTGCATTAGATATGTGCTAACCTTATTACATCGAGTTCAGAATCCACAACATCGGCCCAGCTACGAGTTTAACTGAGCTTTAACAAGTCACTATAGAGCGTAAGTATAGATAGATAGACAAAGACAGTTTCACTCAACTGAAACATAACCAGGGGGGAATAGGAACCAGAGGTGGCTAGCTGTTCTGCTCTTTAAAGCTGTTCACTTTTTGGGGCACCGTTGATTCTTGAAAGCCGATATCTAAACAACATCAAAGAAGAAGAAAGGCGAGGGCTTTAACGTACAATCGGAGTAGAGCATCGTGAGAGAGACTTGTTTAGAAACGTAGTCAACTGTTTGGATAGCTGCGAGGGAGAAGAGGACAGTGACTGACCTTTTGATTCACTGATTAGTTATTCGATTTCTACCTCCATCAGCTGGTCTGTGGGTACCTTCTTTGGCCTTCCCCTTCGTCTCTTTGGCTTCACCCTCTGCCTTCACATTTACTATCATACATTATTTAGCAAGAACATCTGTACTTGGGCCAGGACGCAGAGCAAACAGCTATAACTAATGGTGATTCATAAAAAGGGTTCTAAGGAAATGCAAATAGGTACTTACAGAGCCTCAACCACCTCCAAGAACAATCGTTGATCTTCCTTGTCCCGATCCTCGACAGTATCATTTGGTGGAGAAGGAGGGAGGGACAGTTCACTCCTCCACTCACAATTGTTGGACTTTGCCTCCTTACTAACTCCAGGTCCACTAGGATCTTTCTTTGGAGACACAGCTGACACCAACCTTGTTTCTGCAGCTTCATTTTTATCTACCTTTCTTCTACTTTTCCTTCTGGGAGTTGGGTTCTTATGATCTGAGAGAAACGATTCTAAAATATTTAGTCAATGCATAGTGGCATAGATTCAATCATGAATCTTGTAGTTTACCTGATGGAAGGTGAGCTCTCAGTCCTAACACAATAATAGTTGGATACTCGGGTCTACGTCTTTTCCTGTTATTTCATATATATCAGTTGTGAAGAGATTTAATCATTAGAAGGATCAGTTGCTGAAGGACAGTAAGATCAATCTGTTGAAGATATAAGAAGGGTAAAGCCACAATATGTACCTTGTATGAATACCAGGCTTGCTTGCGGCTCTTCCTCGATTGCCAGTTCCTTTGTGTCTCTTGGATACCTAAAACAAGAATATATATTCAAGGATTATTATGCCGATATTCTCTTTTCGATAATATCATTGGACTGTACTAAAACAAGATGGAAGCAAATGGGAAAATTACCGGTTTCAGCATATCTGGCGCAAAAGAGCTTCTGCCGATCTGCTTTGCCTCATCTAGTTGCAACTGATCAAGCAATTCTGGATCCGTCATCACAGTCCCTGAATCTTTTCTTATCAAGCAACATGAGCAAAGGATCTGATGGTTTTCTCAACAAGAAAATGATAAATCGAAACACTTACCTCGCTTAGACTTATCCTGAGATGATACTGAAGCGTTCTCCTGGGCATTGAGATACAGAATGGGAAAGGGAGACCTGCTCTTACGAATTCTCATTATCAGATCAGTGAAGAGAGCACACAAAATAAAACCTACTCTCTCGATTGTATTCACTGGCCTTATTGCTTATCACGAACAGAACACCCAAAACATGCCCGTTACATAGAGTCTTTCCGGTCATTGAATGTGCCTGGACCATCTTTCCATTGCATTCCACACACGTGTAGCTGCGAGAAACCTCCAGTTTGGGTTTTCCTGAGTAGACAATGGCTTCACCCAAACCACTAAATCCACCGTTTTCTTTTTCCATGTGTGGGGGGGAAAAAGGGGGACTGATCTGTATTTGGAATCGCTCGCTCCTTTGAGTGCCTATTGCAACTAGTTGAACACCATATCAACAAGCATTACTCAACATAATAAAGGAAAACAGGATTAACATGCAATGACACAATTAGATTTCTAAATAGTAGAGAGAACCTTGCAATTTGCAAGTGTAGAAGCAGCAAATCTACAAGTGCAACGCTAGAACGGTACATCTGCAATAGCACTACCAAGTACCATCCACAGGAAGATTGAGAACTTGCCTTCACCATTTTTCTTCACATATCATATCTTCTTCTATGGGGAAATAATGGATTTCCGATCCAACATGAGAAATACAGCTTTTATGAGATTTCAGGATCTGTTACACGTAATTTATTTCCAATAAGGGGTATGTTTTTATTAATGAAACTATACTGTTTGAAACAAGAGCAAAAACAAACCAGGCGTGTATTTACGAAGAAACCGGAGAAGACAATTTCCAATAAGTGTTGAGCAGCAATCTACTTTAACTTCCAATGGTAGTGTTCAACTTAGAATCTCAATTTGTAGATTGACGAGATGCAGAATTTCTAATAAGTTACTCAAGGTTCCCAAAAGATGTAGAACCCCTTGATGATAGAAGGGTTTACTGAGGCTAACACTATTCATAAGAGAAAGAGAGCTCTTTCCTTGCTGCTGTCTTTTTCCATTTTTTTCCTTTTCTGGTGGAAAATGATAAAAAGGATTTAAATAGAGGAATACGAGCAAGAATTTGGGGAAGCATTAAGTAGAGCCTTTAACACAGAAATGTACAAGGAGATATGGGATAACCCAGAACACATGCATCTTTTCTACCCGATAATCCAACGACACAGTTCTGTGCATTATCAACTACCAGAAACAAAAAAAACTTCGAATTTTCTGTAATAGACACCTAAATATGATATGAGTTCCGTAGATACACCAATAAGAAGTCAATCTAATTTTAGACGACGAATTACTAAAGAATGAGTAAATTACAGATGAGAGGAAAACAATGAAAAAATGGTCCCGATGTCCAAAATAAACATACTAACTATGTTGAACCTCTAACCTTTCTCTAACTATCCAGCAGTAAACTATACATGGAAACTACAAAAATGTGGGAAGAAACCAAGCTTCTGGTCTCTTGTTTCCAAGGATTGCTGAACACATCAGACTGACATTACTTATTCTGGGTGGGATTTGAAAAACTTGGTGGTGCCTTCCTAAGACTTGTTTCCAGACCTTTCTGCTGATCTCCATCAGCAACACTGGACTTGCTCTCATGTGATGAAAAGGTGACCGAATCTACAAATCGCCTGGATAGTCTTTGGGGAGGAACAATCTTTCTTTCTCTGTTAAGAGAAAGTGACGAGGACACGAGAAAATGGAAAAGAATAAGAGAAACTAGAGCAAGCAAAGCTCTGTGGCTGGTATTCATACTGTGTTTCTGTGAGAAGGAAGAGACAACAGTCTTGTTTAGGCTCAAGATATGCTGAATCTTTCCAAGGAAGGTATGCCAGTTACATATAAATGGTTGCAACTTGCAAGTCCTACGAAGTATATTTAATCCCATGACTGCCAAAACGGTCTGTCATATATTTAATCTCTCCCAAGTCCTAACCTTTACTTGGTATCAAACACTCTAAAGCTTAGGACAGTAAATGCATGGATGGTATAACCATATCACGTCAAAGAGTAAAAGGAAGTAGATCTAAACCCTTTTTGGACTAAGTTAAACAACAATTGGTCCATACACCTCCCAGATTTCAAAAAGATACTCAGATCCAGTCTACTGAAAACATGTAGTTCAAATTAACAATGCAGCAGTAGGTCGGTCTAATAGAAAGTGTTCACTGTGTAATATGCATTCGATTATGAAAGTAGTCTCACTTGACTGGCTCCTGTGATAGCATTCTCCTAGATGACAAATTTTCAACGATTTACATCGTCAATTGTATCATTATGCTAGTGGTATGCCTTTTGATTAGGTTGGAGCTTGGAAGCAGCTAACCATGTGATGATGGATTGAGTATTATATTTGTCTTGCCAATCTGCAACCCATCTAACTATAAAAGTGAAAGTATCATGTGATGAGTCAGATGAGAACAAATAATTCACCTTTTTCTCTGTCCTTCCTTTTTAATAAAAAAATACTTAAATGCCTTATTACTGTTGTACCTTATTAAGAGCACATAAATACAGCTAAGATTAGCTGGGATAGCCTGCCCTTAATGACCTGAAGTCCTGACCAAACCAGTGTCCCTAGACAATGACAATCCAGATTCATGGCACATAGACTAATTTTCCTTAAGCAATTGGCCATAGAGGAGATCTTCTCCAACTTACGTTTTGGACGCTTCAACCACATTTAACATAGTCTGAAACTAGGTTCGGTTCAGCACTTGGATTACTCTATGCTACGTGTGTACTTGTATTAAAAATTACCATCAAGACTGCAGATTTCCAAAATTTCAAAGATGCGTCAGCTATAGAACATGGATTTAGTAGTCACTTGGAGACAAAATAGAGAAATATTTACCTGGAAGTGGAAACCTCCTACCAATCAATATTCAATGAGCAAAGGGGAACAAAGAGCACTGTGCTGAATTCAGAAATGCAGTGGCTTAACTGCAGATATTGTATCATTCAGGAAGAGATTGAGAAATCTCATCATCCATGTGACTTACTCACAAGGAGAGAGCTTCATTTTCAAGATCTGATCGAGAAACAGTGGAGTCAAGATGCTCCAATAAAGTTTAATTTCTTATTCAAAATATGCTATTTTCTTCTCTGGGTCAGGATTATACATTCCCACTTGACAAGGATCAAAATAATCAGAGCCATGAACAAAGTTTGTTCCTATAACAGATCAAATCACACAGATAGTACAAAGTTTAGATCGTTCATCCAAACCCATGAATAAATTAACTATCGCAAATCTTTGGTTTCAGGACAGGAACCATTTTCCTTCCAGACAAGATTACTAAAACCAAACAGTCTGGCAAAACAAGAAATCAACTGATCATGAACAATGTCTTCAGTAGGAAGCACAGTACCTGTCTCCTCCCTCAGGGAAGTAACTCGCTTATCCGCAATCCCACACGGCACAATGTTCTTGAAGTAGTTCAAATCCGGGTCAATGTTGAACGCCAGTCCATGAGAAGTGATCCCGGCAGAGATACGAACTCCAATGGCACCAATTTTGCCATCTCCGACCCAGACCCCAGTTTCCCCTTTTTCCCCAACAGAAGCCTTCACTCCATAGAGCGACGCCAGCTCAATCATAGTAAGCTCAAGCTTCTCGACGTACTTCCTTGCCCCGAATCCAATCTCCCGAAGAGACAGAATCGGATACAGCACCGCCTGACCAGGGCCGTGGTAGGTAATGTCTCCACCTCTCTCGGTGTAATGGAGCTGAGCTCCTATGTTCCTGAGTTCGGACTCGGAGATGAGCAAGTTGTGCTCCGTTCGTCGCTTCCCCAGAGTGTACGTTGGAGGATGCTGCAAACAGAGAAGCGTGTCGCCAATCTTCTGGGCTTTCCTCTCCGTGACCAACTTCTCCTGCAACTTCAGCGCCTCCAAGTAGTTCACCGTCCCCAACTTCCAGACGTTTAGACTCCGCGGCAACCTCATCCCCTCTCCAAATCTCTGCTGGATTTCCACAGCTCACTGCGGCATTTCGTCGAACAATGACCGGGCTAGTGTCGTCTCCGGAAGGTGGGAGTCGAAATTGCGGCAACCTGATGACAAATTGTGGGAAAATTGAAGAAGCAAGATTACGCAGGAAGAATTGTAGAAAAGGAGTAACTCGAATAACTGCCGACGGTCGACGAGAAGAAGTTTAAACGAAGCCGTTTTGGACCTACAGGACTTTTTGTTTCGATTGTTTGTTTTCGGTTTGATCGGTATAACTTAACCCGGCTGGTATGGTATTTTAAGTTTTAACTCATTTGACCATACAGTCCCGGTTTTTAGATCAGGTCCTAGTATTTAGAGGTTCAACAACCGATACGGTATTTTAATCCTTGATATTACCATTTTCCGAGCTTCATAATTTGCATAATAATAACTTCATGCAGAGGATTCCAACTTTTTCCAAGTATGTTATGTACAGAGTACAACAAAACAAGACTCATTTTCCAACACACTTGTAGCAGCAACCATCACTGAGACTAGCTACAATAAACAGCGCTCATGAAGAGCAAGAAAGCATGCAAACGCCCGGCCGGTAAGCCCAGGCAGGCGGCAACCGAGCATACTTCTCCATTCCGGGCTGCTCATCGTACGGACATTCGACGAGCTTTAGCAGCCTTCTCACCTCCGAGTAGTCTCCCACTTCAGCTGCATCGATGGCTGTCTGGCACAAGTAATTGCGGAGGATGTACTTCGGGTTTACTGAATTCATCTGGGCTTTCCTCTCCTCGTCTGAAATTCCACTAGCAGCAAGCTGCACAAGGGAAAAAAGATGTTACAATGCTAGTTCTTCTACCGGGTGAGAGTTAGGATTGGAAGAACAAGGTTCGGTTAAAACCGAAATCCACGACTTCGATTTGATCAAAACCGAAGCTGATATTTGCTTCGGTTTGACAAATGCTCGTCTCTTGAGTTTGGTTATAATGCTAGTTCTTCTACTGGGTGCAGAGTTCGGATTGGAAGAACACGGTATGGTTAAAACCAAAATGCACGACTTCAAGTTGATCAAAACCGAAGCTGAAATTTGCTTCGGTTTGACAAATGCTCGTCTCTTGGGTTTGGTTAACCAAAATAAAACCAATCCCACCTCAAGGAATGCATTGAACCAAAACTTAAAAACCTACCTCTTGAATGTAGGACTGCACCCAGGTAGTCCATGCCTCTTTCCGCTCCTTGCCAATATCCAACAGCACAGACTTCAATGGAACCAACAGTTCGTCTTCCGGGAGATTTGGATCGGCTTTGAGGTTGGAGAGCGTCCGGAAGAAATTGGTGTAATCGACTTTATCCACAGCCATGTTGTTCAGTAGCTTACCAATCAACTGCTTGTTGTACTTGGGAATACCGAGTTTCCTCGTCATTATAGCTTGATACTCGTCCATGAACTTAGTCCCATACCTGAGATTGACCAGAACAAAATCACTATAAGACCAAAGGAACCAATTCTCTAGACAACTGTTCACTTTTAAGATGAAAATTCCATCTATTTACCTTTCCATGGCATAGTTTGCTTCCTTCTCGTTGATCAACCCAGCAGCAGAGAGAGCAGCTCCGAACTGAGCAATGTTCCATAGACCAACATCAGGTTGATTTGCAAAACAGTACCTCCTTCCGGGAAGATCTGTCGTGTTTGGGGTAAAACTAGGGTCAAAAGCATCCAAGAAACCGAATGGACCGTAATCAATGGTTAGACCCAGTATGCTCATGTTGTCTGTGTTGAGCACTCCGTGAGTAAAGCCCACTCCCTGCCATCTTGCAAACAAGGAAGCAGTGCGTTCGGAGATCTCTACTGCCCATGCTGAAATAACATTGCAACTTTTTAAGTAGATTGAAAACATAAAATGCGTAAGATGACAGCATAATGGTAGAAAGGGATAGGAAAAGATTCTGCAGCATGATAAAGATCTAGTTCGGATCACAAAGCAAAATACCGAGTTAAAAAGTTATACTATCTCTCTACGAAACCATCTGTGTGACTGTTTATATATAACACTCAACTAAGATTCAGCAAGATACAGAGAGATGCCATCTAACAGCAAAGTTGAACAAGTTAAGAGGATGTACCTGCGTATTTATTAGAGGTTAGATCAACAATGGAATCCTCATCTTCCCCAGTAGTAAAAGACAAGCTCTCACTTTGAGTCATATTCTCAATATGAGGGAAATGGTGCTTAATGGCATAGTCTGCCAGAGCCCGAACTATTTCAAGATCCTCTTTCCCTCTGGAAGCATGTAGTTGGTACGAACCAAATCGTAGAAATGATGGGGCTACTCTGCAAACAATCGCACCAGGTTCATCCTTGGGATTGCCACTGCAAGAAAAAGGGGTTCAGAGTCGGCAATTAGATGTCATGCTCACTCAAAAAGTTCTACAGAGCATAAAAAAAACATTCAGCACGAAAACAGTCGAACATACTCATAAAACATATCCCGGGTAACGAATTTCCCAGTCGTCACAAGAGAAAGTGCACGGGTGGTTGGGATCCCCAGGTGGTTCATTGCCTCACTGCAAAGGAACTCTCGAACACTACTCCGCAACACTGCAAGTCCATCAGCAAATCGGCTGTATGGAGTCTTTCCAGCACCCTTGAGCTGCAGCTCCCATCTTTCGGACTTGGAGTTCAGGACCTCCCCTAGGGTTATTGCCCTACCATCACCCAACTGACCAGCCCAGCTTCCAAACTGATGCCCTCCATAGTTCTGAGCATATGGCACCCTGCAGAAATGAGCATTCAGTAAGGACATAAACCTAAACCAAGACCAATGTCAGCCAAATTATCCGTATAATTCGCTTACGAGCCAGCCATAAGCGATGCCCCTGAGAAGTACAATGGGAAATCTGGCCTTTCAAACCTGCAAATCCCGCATAATAAACCACCATCAATTCCACAAAATGATTCATTGAAGCCCAATGAGATTCCAAATATATCCATATACTTACTCCTCTAAGTCCAAATCAAGGAACCGAGCAACTGACTCTGACCAGGCAACCAGCTGCGGATTCTCCACCTCCGCCGAAGGGCTAACTTTCGTATAACAAGCATGATAAACCTGAAACGGTTCGAAAGCAAAATGAAAAACCCTAACTAAACCAAATTCCACATCCACGGGCATATCAGCTGCTTAATCTGAACATCAACAAAGGCGATGAACGAGTTACCTGACGAGGAAGTGGATCGCTTCTCGGATCCCCGGGCAATATCTTGACGAACGAATTGTCCCAATTGAGATCCTCGAGCTTCAATCCTCCAGTCTTCCCCGCGCCATTCCCCTCGACGCTCAGGCTCTGGTTCTTGAAATCGGCCGTCACGGCGTCGACGGACGACGTGGCGGATTCCATGGAGACTCTGTCGCTACTACACGAGCTGACAAAGCGGCGACGGCATGCGAAGGAAGTCGGGAAGTGGGATTTCCCGAGAGAGGAAGGGTCTAATCGGAACTTGGGCCGCGGAAGAAGGGAAGAATAAGAAGTAGAGGACGAGGAAATGAGCGAACGGAGTGAAAGCGGAGACTTCGGAGAGAAATGAGAAAGCAGCATTTCTCCTTCTATACGTTTGTGTTGAATTTAACAAACAAAAAAAAAGCAGGCGGTGGTTTTGGTTTTTTGGCCCTCGGAAAGTGCGCGAACTAACGGCGGCCGCCGTGGAGGGCGACGCCCTGGCTATCGACGAGGTGTCGACGTGGACGCTTCTCAGCCCATGTTAAGTGGACAACTTTGCAACTTGATGATATTGACTGGGCCTGAATTGAGGCCCAGAGTCTTTGGTTAGGTTAAGCCCATCAATCAGCGCGGGGAGGTTGAGCCATTTCACGGCGCGGCTAATGTTGCTCCGACCGGGAAAACGGCCGCCGCGGGACTCGAACGCAATTATTAACTGTGCGGGGGAGAAATTGAGCCGAGCCGTCATAGAAATTGTTCCAAGTCCGCGTTTGCTCCTCCTCGATCTTTGTCAGCATCATCGCTCGAAGCAATCAATCAATTGACGACTCGAATCTCGGCTCCGGCGTCTTTGGGATTCCAACAGCCGCTGTCTCATTCCTCAGCTGCTGGCCTTTTGCGGGAGGCTTTCGCCGGAGGTAGTTTCAGGCCGTCGGGTGCGGTTTTCTGGAGCTCTTTCGAGGGTTTTTGAGGAATTTGGCTGGTAATTCTTGGGTTTGTCCATGGCGTAAGGAGCTTTGGAGTTCTGGCATTTTCTGGTTAGGGATTGTCTCCGCCGGAAATTTTTCCTTCTTCAGCTTCTTTTGAGTTCGAAGGTGGATTTTTTCTGGGGGGATCTTTGTCCAAGACTGTAACTTGCTTACTGTTACTGGCAGCTGCTTGTGCTTTTCCGACCGTGGTGCACTTTTCTAGGGTTTTAAGAAGCTTCTATTTAGCCACTAGAGGTATTGCATTAGTACTGGTGAGTTCATGGGACCAAAATATGGGATCTTTTCTTCTTACAACTTCGTGAGGTTTAACTACTGTTGCCTTAACGAACAGTTCTGGAGCTGGTTTTCTTAATGCTATTGGATGGGACTAAAGTTTTGAATAGGGTTGGAGATATCTCCATTTTCTTTTTCTTCCCCTCTATGTGACTGGTGATGAGATTGCTGAAGTTGGTGCTGAGACGTTGTTATTGTTAACTGCATTTCGTACTTCAGTTGTCTATTTCAAGTCAGATTGTTTGAATGGTTCCCCAGTCAATGCGACCAAGGCATAGTTTTCTTCTGCTGGGTGTTCATGAACTAATATTATGAACCTGTGTGGTTTTGCAGTTTGCTAAGTTCATTGTAAGTTCAGAGCGAGAAGCTTCATGTTGAGAAATATGGAATCAGATAACAGTGGTAAGTTCGATTCTGAAATGACTTGTCCATGACTTCATCAACCGACTTTACACAGGGATCACTAAATAGGAAATTCTGAAGTTTGATATCTTGTTTGCATACTTCTCCTGACTTTGCCTAATGGTGAAGTTTGTCCTTTATGTAGATACAGACGAGGATGTTCCTCCGCAACTACAAAACCGATTCCAAAGTGGTATGCGACCTGCTGGGAATGGAAGAGCAGCAATGGCTGGGTCTGCTCCCATGCCAAGGCAAAATGATATGGAGATTCAAATTCACAATATCGAACAAGAAGCCTATAGTGCAGTCCTTCGGGCATTTAAAGCTCAATCAGATGCTATTACTTGGGTATCTACTCTGAGTAATCTGATGTATATATCACGGTTGCCATACAGTGATTGATTTAAAACAGAGTTTGTTCTCTGTTCCCAATAGGAAAAGGAGGGATTAATAACAGAACTCAGAAAGGAGTTGAGAGTGTCGGACGAGGAGCATAGGGAACTATTATCCAGGGTCAATAATGACAACATGATTCGAAGGATAAGGTCTAAAGATGTCTTTATCGTACTTGTGATGACTATAGTTCTCCTCGTCAATCTTGTGGCTTCTGATTTGACAATGAAAATTCATATCCTGATGTTAACAGGGAGTGGAGGAGAACTAGTGGGTCCCAATCAGAGATGCCGAGCGGTGCGCAGCCTGTCCATGATCGTGCCCCTAGTCCCTCGGTTTCGGGATCACGCAAGAAACAGAAAACATCACAGTCGGCTGCTTCATTAGCTATGGGTGCTCCTTCTCCTGCATTGCACCAACCAATGCAAGCATCAACATCAGCCCTAAGGCGAGGGCCTCCCCCTCCACCTGGATCAAGAAACAAGAAATCCCAGCCAGTACGCCGGCTTGGTTTTCAGTACTGGACTGATTTTGTTTTCCCGATTTTTCCTCTCATGTATGATGCTTATCTTCTATTCCCTGAATGCAGACCTTGCAGTACCCTCCTTCTATCGGTATGAATGAAGGTGGAAGGACCCAGGTTGCTAACAGGAATTCTGCAGGAGCATTTTCAACCAATGAGCCTGCAGCTCCTACAAGTCTAAATCCATTGGTTGGAAGAAAAGTTTGGACTCGATGGCCTGAAGATAATAGCTTCTACGAGGCTCTTATCACCGACTACAAACAAGAAGAAGTATGTCTTACCTTATCACTTTGCTAGCAACTTGCTTTTGCCTCTGTTTCTCACTTATAGCAAAAATTCTTTCACACTTGACAGGGGACACATGCTTTGGTGTATGATATGAACACGAAGAATGAAACATGGGAATGGGTCAACCTCAAAGAGGTAGTTACTGATAGAACTCATGCCTTGCCATCCATTTTTTATGCACTGGGTGATCCCATTTTCACTGCATATGAGATACTGAAAGGACTGACTCTCTGGATTTGAAACTTTTGGAATTAAAAGATAAACCACCTGCTGAATTACATGCTTGTTTACAATAGATACCCCCTGAAGACATCAGGTGGGAGCATGAGGATGAATCCATTTTTGGTAAAGGCGACCGACCTGGACATGGTCGGGGGAACAAGAAGCCCATGATGCGTGGTGGTTCTGCTGCTGCTGCTGCTGCTGCTGGGCCTGGACGAGGTAGAGGGAACACTAAAGGTCCGAAAAGGGAGTTTCCTCTACCACAGAATGGCACTGGGAAAAAGGCTTTGGGTGATATCGAGATCCTTCACACTGAGACACTAATCAAGGAGGTATTCATCCTATTTCCAGTTATTATTTGGATATGATTGCGAGCTGCAAACTTTTTGTCACCTAGATCTGTCGTTTTCCAAATAGGTGGAAAAAGTTTTCGGCGCTAACCTTCCTGATCCTACGGCTATTGAGAAAGCGAAGAACGTGCTCAAAGTAAGAGGAAGCATTCAACATTTAATTCTGCTGAAATAAGTTACAATGTTGATGTTCTCCAATTCACGTATGCCACACATTTGCCATTGGTGTGGGATTGATTGTGTGTTTTACTGCAGGAACATGAACAAGCTCTTGTAGATGCAATCGCAAGGCTTGAAGATGCTTCTAATGGTGTAAGTGGTAATACATATATATCTCTTAGTCATGCTCATTTCAATTTAAAATTAAGCTGTGTTTTTCCTTGTGTAATCTAAATGAAACTCTTGGATCTTCAAATGTATCTGAGATTGATCTCAAATGCTTCAAAACTATGCAACCTCGTGCTTTTAGAGTATGAAGTATTTGAAAATCCGCTCTAGAGAATTGGGTCACACGTGTTTTCTTTCACTTTCTTGACACGATTTTTTGTTCAGATGCACCGAGGTATAAGCTATAAGCAATCTAATAGCATGCAATTAAGACAAATTATATCTAATTACGAAAACGCTGAACCAAGCACACCCTAGATACTTGGTAGCATTCCCCTTGAAGAAGCTTCTGATCCTTTTGGGTTTCCAAGAGTAAACTGGTTGTCATAGTCTCCTCATAAAGGCATGCAGAATGAATGGAATGATTGAACTTTTTGAGTGTTGAATACTTTTGACCTATGTCTAGTAGTTAGAACAACGTTCTATGCCTAAATGAAGGTGGAGTTTGAGGATGAAACATTCAATTTGTTGCAGAGGATGGAGGGCGGCAGTTTCCCCATGGGCGGTTGGAGCAAGAGCAAGGTTGGAGGAAACAGATACAACAATGAATTTGGCGGCAGCGGTAGGGAGAGTAGTAGAGGTCCAGATGGTCAGGGAGGGTAAAGTTTTCTTTTCCTTGTTTTTTGAGGGGTGATGATGATGATGATGATGATGATCAGTTCTGTTTGTAACAACCCATCTGTGTATGATAGAATGCTCTAATCCTAAAACTAGGCCAAAGTACAACATGGCTGTTACTAACTTAAAATAGCCCATCGGATGGTGAGAGTGTAGCCTTTTTGTTTCAACACCCTTTTGTCATGTATATTACTCTCAGCTGTAGACCTGTAGTAGTACCCAAATTGTGATGTCCTCAGGTGTCTTAGATTGTTTGTGTTTTTGCCAACTGATTAGAGAATGGAAGAAAAGGATTTGCCTTTCTGTTTGTTACCCAGTTTAAGTTGGCTTGTGCTTTAATGAGCTTTCTTACCCTCTTTTTGTGCTTTGCAGTTGAGGTAAAATTGGTAACCTCTTTCCCGTTAGAACAAGAAATCTTACATGAATGTCGTTGATGGCTTTCGGTGACATTATTTGAGTAGCAAATGTCCTTTTATATGAACATCATTGAGAATTGTGAGATATATTTATAACATAATGTTTACCTAAAGTAGTGCCTATTTGAATTACTCTAATTCATTTTGAAATGAAATCTTTTTGTATATAGTAATTAAAAGAATTCATTGTTAATTCTTAATTTTAAACTCTACCAAATTGAAATCAAATCACATCTCGAACCAGAGATAAACAGCTCAATAGCATTTCTGCACTTAAGAAGTTGTTTTCAGATCCAAGTCCCTACTAAAGAGGTTGAAATGCTCCAAATACTTCGGGTCTTGATTCTGTATTTAACCATTCAGGTTACTCATAAAGAGTCACTAACAGCGAATATATTCCAGATATATCCCAAATGTCTTTGCTTATGTTTGGCCCGGCTTTTAGAAGTGCTTTTCGGCTTCAAAAGTTGAAGCAGAGCCAAACACCTCTAAAAGCTCGGCTTTTGAAAAGCCGAAAAGCGTTTTTGTATAACATAAAAGCAGAAGCTCCGATTTGGAGCTTCTGCGAAAAGCTGTTTTGAAAATACAAGATTATCCTTACCATATTATAATTTTATTTCAGAAAATATAATTTTCCTTCATTTATATCATTTTAAAAATAAAATAAATTATAAAATCATATTATTTAATATAAAAGAAATCTAACAAGATCCATTTTGATTACTTTTTATTGTTTAGAATTTTTATTTTTATTTTATATTATAAGTCCTTTATAGTCATTTTATACAACCGCTCATATTAGAAAGCACTTCTAATAGTTTTACAGTCAAACACTAAACTGTTTTTTTTTAAGTACTTATATAAAAGCTCCAGCCAGAAACTGCTTCTACAAAAGCTACAGCAGAACCAAACTAAGCTTTTATCGATTAAGATGCTATTTACACCTAATTTCCAATAATACAAATTATTCAGAGGCCTCTTTAAATAATTCTTCATCATCATCGTCATCAAGTTAGCTTAAAAAAATATAGTTGAATAGATAGAAAGCCCTGGGCCATGGCTTATTTTCTAAAATCAAGTATACGATGTTATTGGGCTCAAAGTGGGCAACCAAGCAAATAAGCCCATTAGACTTTTGTTTGTACCGCCGTCGGAGATTTACCATCGGCGCTGGGGAGCAGAAACTGCCCGCCGCCGCGGAACTCAAATTACGATTATGAACTGCGGGAAAAAGGAGGCGCCATAAACAAAATAATTTTATTTTCAAGTCCGTGCTTCATCCCCTCTCTCACATTCAGCGGCCTTTCTCGGAATCAAAATCCAAATCTTTTTTCTCTTTTTCCGCTTCAGATTCGAATCTCGATTTGGTTACAGTTTCCTCTGCAGTGGAGAATTCCGAATCAATCTCGTTGGATCTCTGGCAAACTCGCAAAGTCGATCGCTTTTCATCGAGACCGTCCCTGGGTTCGGTCTCCGACGACTTTGTTGTAGCTAGGATTGTCGAAGAATCAGCTGATGATTTGTTCTCTATATTGGATTCTTCAGTAAGCCATGTCGAGCTTGAAGGTTGAGGGTTTCTGTTAGGGCCTCTTGGCCCCAATTTTGGGAGAATTCAGCTGCTTCCGGTTGCTCCAAACTTTCATTGCCTTTTAGGGTTCGAAAGCACTTCAAACTTGGTCGCTGGGAGTGTTTACGGTGATAAAAGGTGAGCTATGATACCGTTTCTTCGTGCAGATTCCCGGGATTGTCACTACTGTGTATTTTTTAAGAATCATTATGGTGTGGGTTTGGTTAATTGTGGTGAATCGTACTGAATCATTATGGTGTGGGCTTGCTTTTGTTTTTTCTTCCTTGATGTTCATTGTTTAGATGATTTTCCTGCAAAAGCTGTAAACTTACCTAGTTTTTCTGTCTCCTGGCAGGTGTTTGTTGGCCTGGTACTGTTACAAATTGGGTTTGTTTTGTAGTTGCTAACTGCCAAGTTTGAGGCTTGGTTTTGAAGAAATATGTATGGAGATTCGGATAGCAGTAAGTTAATTCATCTGCTAAGTCTCCATCATAGAATAGACTGGCAAAAGCTCAGTTAGGAATCGCTAGTAGAAAGGCTTTCACATGTAGTAAGTAGTAACCATAACAATTACTTCATTTCAGAGTTCGAATTTTACTTTTTCTATTATTTGTTTGTTGACTGCAGGTACTGATGATGAACTTCCATCAGCTCCAAATAGATTCCAACCCGGGGTACGACCTGCTGGGAATGGAAGGTCTGCAATGCCTGGGTCTGCTCCCTTAGCTAGGATGCATGCTGATATGGAAGTTCAAATTCACGCTATTGAACAAGAAGCATATACTTCTGTTTTGCGGGCATTTAAAGCTCAATCAGATGCCATCACCTGGGTATCTATTCTGGTTGCTTTGTAACTATTGTGGTTATTTGTATTTGTGAAACCTTAGAAGGTTTTTGTTGTCTTATATTTCTCTAAAGGAAAAGGAAAGCTTAATTACAGAACTCAGGAAAGAGTTGAGAGTATCAAATGAGGAGCATAGGGAACTTCTATCCAGGGTCAATGCCGATGATAACATCCGAAGGATGAGGTATAAATTTCATCATTCTATGTAATGAGTGTCACTTTTATTTTTTGAAAAGAAACCTTATGCAATGTGATAACAGGGAATGGAGAAAGATGAGTGGAAGTCAACCAGGCGCACAAAATACTTCCCAGCTTGGGCACGATCATGTTCCTAGTCCATCGGTTTCTGGATCACGCAAGAAACAGAAATTGTCACAATCAGTTGGCTCGTTATCCATGGGTGGCCCTCCTGCATTGCACCCACCTATACAAGCATCTACATCAGCCGTAAGACGAGGTCCTCACCCTGCATCTAAGAACAAGAAGCCCCAGCCTGTAAGTTTGTTTGTTTGTTTCAGCTCTAATACAAGACTAAGACAATCCTTTGATTTGATTGGCACATATGACGTATTCTTTTCAATAGACAATTATTGTACGAATTACTATACTTTAATGAGTTAGATTTACCAGTTAGCTTAACAATGTTATTAGATGTCTTGAGAAGTTTAAAATTTCGTCCACAGGATAGTCTTATATTTTTTGGCAAATCCTGGGAAGGAGGTTTGTAAATTTACTATGCAAATATTTTCTTCCATTTGGTGGGCATGTTTATGTCACGTAGATTTTTTATCAACCCCATTAAGACTTTCATTGATGTTGTTAAGATAACTGTTCAATCTAACCTAACAGATCATGCATGTTTGTCATTTCACAAATAATGTGTCTCATTGACAATAACGTCAGAGTTGTGTCTTTAGTTGGCATTCTGTATTTATAGTTAGGAAGTTGGTTTATAATTTGATGCAAGTGATTAGTTTATAAGCAAATACCTCTCTCCGGTGTGCTTAGTGATGTATGACTGGGTGATGGGAACTAACTAACGACCTGCTGCATTTGGAATGCAGTCTATGCAGTATCCATCTACGAGCTTAGGTTCTCGCAGGGGCCAAGTCGCTACTAGAGGACCTTCTGCTGCATTCCCAGCCAATGGGCTTGCAGAGGCTCCCCAGTTTGATCTGATTGGAAGAAAAGTTTGGACTCGTTGGCCTGAAGACAATAGTTTCTATGAAGCTCTTATCACTGACTACAAACCAGAGGATGTATGTCTTACTCTTTACCATGCAGCACTCATCTAGATATGTTTTTTCACCGCTAATTATCTTATTCACCAAATTGTTTCCTATTGACAGGGTACGCATGCTTTGGTATATGATATGTTCACTCTTAATGAAACATGGGAACGGGTCAATCTCAAAGAGGTACGATTCTGTGAATTTTTTGTGGGGGGCTACTAAATTCATACTGCTAATTATTCAGTTTCTTCATGAATTTGCCACACCTAGCCATGGCTTCTACAAATGTGCCCTTGTATATATCCTGAAATTTATGGGACTAAGAATCCATCTTTATATTTTGCTTGGCACACCGTAGATTCCTGGATAATCTCTCCCCTTGATGGATTGTGCACCTGCCATCCATCAACACAATCTTGCAATCATAAATTCAAACGACCACTCAACCCCGAACTGAATTATGCACATTTTAGCCTTTTCTGCATCTTCTTATGTGTGTACTTCTGGACTATTGCCAGTGCTGCAAGCTTAATCTTTTGTATGTGTAATCAACAGATACCTCCTGAAGACATTAGGTGGGAAAGCGAAGATCCTTCCATCTTCCGCAAAGGTGGTCGTCCTGGACCTGGACCGAACAAGAAGTCCATGCCGCGTGTTGGTGGTCCCCCTGGAAGAGGTAGAGGGCCCACCACGAAGGGGCCTAAGAAAGATCATCTTCTGCCATTACAGAACGGCACTCGTAAAAAGGTTGTGGGCGATATCGAGATACTTCACACTGATACCCTAATAAAAGAGGTAATGAGGAAATACTGTGGCGACTTTGTTCAGCTAATTTTTGCTGTCCAGTTTGTTAATAAATGGTCCCTGATTCTAACAGGTTGAGAAGGTCTTTGGTTCCAACTTTCCTGACCCTATGGAGATCGAAAAAGCAAAGAAAGTGCTTAAAGTAAATACTCTAATCTGATCCTTCATTTCCTCCAGTTTAATCTCTGCTGCATTTAGGCCAGTGCTGTGAGGTTTATGTGGGTCTTTTATATGCAGGATCATGAACAAGCTCTTGTAGAAGCAATCGCAAGGCTTGAAGATGCTTCAGATGGTGAAAGTGGTAATATATGATATATAATATTGATAACCTTATGTTCATATAGGTAGATGGTGTTCAAAATAAAGATTTGCAGTCTTCTTGTTGTATCATCTAAGTGTAAACCTTTTGGATGTTCAGATTTAACCTGTAATATTTATGCATAAAAATCTTTCTTCTTAGACTTCAAAAGATTGTCAATCTAGGATCTTTTTGCCGCACTTGAATCTATGTTCATATACCTTCAAAAGATTGTCGATCTAGGATCTTTTTGCCGCGCTTGAATCTATCTTCATTTACCTTCAATTTAAATCTCATCCAAACAAAGATGGGAAAACAGTTGAACTGTTCAGCAATGTTGATGGTACATTGAACTATAAGATGAAACAATGCGATCTTTCTCTGTGTTTATTGAAAGCAGATGGGGGAAGAACACAAGTTTCCCGTGGACAATCATTGGATCAAGAACGATCGAGAAAACAGGTGTACAACAATAGTCGCCCTCTGGAAGGGAACAAAGAGGGTCAAGGAGGATAGAAAGCTGGATCATATGATGATCAGTAGTGTGCCATAACTTGTACAATAGAATGCTACAATTCGGTAGTAACTAACCAAATACATGTGGCTCTGACTACTTAACAATGGAAGATGTAACCTTTGATTTGAATCTCCCTTTTAATTTTCTGGTCCTCACTACTTGGATATTCCATTCCTTGTGTAAAATTGCTCCGAATGATTAGTCCTTGTTTGGCAGGAAATAAAAACCTCCTTTGAAATTTGCTCTTCAATGCTATCTTTGTGGATCTACAACCATGAATGATGACACAATTGATTCCATTATCCTGCTCTGTGTAATGGTACTACTGCAGAAGGAACCTGTTTAGACTTGTCGGTTCAAGGTACAATGAAGTATGATAGCAAAACTGTGTAATAACTGCTATAGATCATGATAAGACCACATTGATTTGATCACCGATTCTCATTTGATTCATACCAAACAGTCGGAAAGGTATCACAAGCACTGACCTGAGTACCTGCATATAAACAATATAAATAAACTGTTTGGGATACCATGGTGGGCCGGTGATCAAACCGATATGATTTTATCACACAGTTCTATAGCAATTCTTAAATTGCTTTGCTATCATACCTCCACCATACCTTTTCGTTAGTCTCGCAGGTTAAGCTTCAATGAGGTCCACAACATTCTCTACACCGCACGGAGAAGGAGCACGAGCATGGTGATAGAAGCAGCAACCCGAATCATCAGTTACTACCATGAACAAACATACAGACTACAACCACGTACCATCATCTGTCGTTAACTTATAAAGAGGCTGCAAAAGTGAGGATGAGGTTGGCCATCTGAGCATCATAAGCAGGACCTTCCATTTGGAAATGGCCGGCCCCTTCAATAAGATGGGTTTCGACTCGGCCAGCAGCAGACTTCAACTTGTTATGCAGCTGTTTAACGCTCGTGAACCCGTCCTGTGTTCCCATAATGAAGAGCTTTGGTTTCTGAGACTGTAGGATGGCCTTGTGATGCCTCCCGAATAGCACGGAGGCCAGCATACCGAAAGGGTACCCTATGCTTACATAGCCGACAACTTCCTCAATCTGATCGACGGAAGACCCAGCAATTGGTGAACCTGTATGACAAGAGCAATTGTCTATTACGAATTGCAGTAACAGCTTCAAAGGATTCAAGAGACTAGGCAGTAAAGGATCACAGGCGCAAACAAAACTGTACAGAAGATTATGCAAAGATACTGGCTTCCTACATGCTTATAAGTTAATCAAACTGTGATACAAAATTTTCATAATGATCCCCACTAGTTCAAGAAGAAATCAGCTTCTAGTTAGTTGTTTGTGCATTAGTCAATCATATCGAAAAGGACAAATACGCAGAAGATTGACAAGGATAACTACTTCAACCATACAAATTCAGCTTCTAGTTAGTTAATTGTGCATTGGCACTCAATCAAATCGAAAAGAACATATAGGCAGAGGGTTGACAAGGATAACTCCTTCAACAATACGAACTACCAAGGCCACAGCTACTTTCTCAGGTCAAACGAATCTCAGAAGGCTATCCTTCTAACTCTTATGTGTAAACCATCTAATTCTTCAATGATTATAACCAGGAATCGAGTTCTGTCAAGACTAAACCAACATTCACAAGTAAATTATGGTGAAAATAGAAAGCGATAGCTACAACACCACAAACACAGTTTCTCAAACTTGTCCAGATCAAACGAACAGAATGCTTAACACAAAACAGAGATTCAACACAAAAGGCTACACTATCAGCAGGCTGAGAACGCTAATTACTATGAATCTACAGCAAAATCCCAGCACCAATTTATCGCAGATCTAATCAATCATAGATCATATAATAATCAAATGGGGTCCATCCACTCCACGAACGAGTATCCAAGACACTAAATCTCCGTCCATCGGAAGATCCAAAATAAGGAAAACAAGTAAGACAAGGAAATGAAACTCACCTGCAGAGGAACCCACCAAGAGAATCCTTCTGGTGCCAAGATTCTCGCAGACCCATTTGCAAACGGCGATCACATCCTTGATTTCAGCGAACCCAGTAAGGGAAGCCCGTCCCGTGGATCTCCCAGCTCCTCTCATGTCAAAGGTCACAGCTTTATAGCCTCTCTCGGCCAACCCAATTGCAATCCCTTTCAGTAGAGCTTGGCAGCCGCCCAAAACCGTAAATGGGTGCACGAGCATAATCACCAAGTCATCCCTGCCGCCGCCTGCTTTGTCTTCTGCTTCTTTAGGCTTGAAGAACCTGGCATGGAGCTTGGCCGCCCCGTCGCTGGTCTCCACTTTGGTGGACTCGACTGTGTAGTTCGACATGACGGGGAATTTCGGAATGGAGAGAAAGAGAGAGAGAGAGAGAGAGGGGAAGAAAGAAGTACTAATAACAAATAGGGAGGAATTTTTGAGGCGTGGTGGTTGTTTGGTGGAATGGTTAAGCTGAACAAGAGAGGAACGAAAGAAGGGAGGGTGAGCAGGAAATGCTTCAATGGAGGAGAGCATTTGGTTCATATCACAATCTGTCATATGACTTCATTGTTTTCCATTATTTTTGTTGTTGAAAGTATGGTAAATTAAACAGTACCAGCAGTTCAACTACGAAATACCAGTATCGGAGGCTAAATCAGTAGGCGGTATTTAATTGTCTAACGATTGAATTACAGTTGAACCACGGTTTTATCATAAAATATCATATCGCTGACTTTTCCGTTACGATATCCGGTACGATTTCATGGACCATGGTTGAAAACTGGCATACGAGATTAGGCTTCTAGTTAAACAATGTGAGTATAATAGTTATGTAATTAAGTATTCGAGATCTAAAGATTCTTATTAGTGCTCATAAAATGTATTTAAACGAAATTTAATAAAAAATATAATACCGTTGAACTTATTCATTCTCTGAAATGATAAATCATACGTGGTAATTCTCGTACATATAGAATTTGAAAGAATTTTTTGTAAGAAACTATTGAACTAATTCATCATAGTAATTTAATTATACATAAAAAATTAATTCAATTCAACTTTACCTCAACTTTACCCATATTGGCATATTCGAATAAATAATGATTCCAAAATGATTTCTGAAAAATGGTTCTTATCAAGGAATTCCAAGTCATACCCAAGAAATGGTTCTCTTGTATCAGTAGTATTGTGCTAGTTCCTCATCAAAGAAGAAAGAGCACTCCTTTTCTACAAGTTCCTCATCCACAAACACAAAATCCCTCATCTTCATTCTTTCTTTCTTTCTCTATCCCTACACTTCGCCTACGGCCTACCCATTCCCTACCTAAATTAAACCTTCCAAAACCAAAAGTGAAATAACCTAACCATAAGAGAACAAATATATAAAAACCACCAAAAAAAAAAACAAGTTGTCAGAAAACCTTTGGAAATTCCCATGCTAATTTACATTTTACAACAAAAATCCAATCAAAATAATTAAAAAAAAAAACAAATCATCTATCTCTTTGCCCTCTTCCTAGCCCTCCCTCCACTTCCACCCCCTTCACCATCCTGATCTCTCCCTCTCTTCCCGCCCTCCGCCGCCGCCGGAGTACCGCCACCGCCGCCGCTCCTCCCTCCTCTTCCGCCGCCTCTCCTCCCTTTCCCGCTCTCCTCCCTCCCTCCTCTGCCCCTCGAACTCCTCGTGATCGGCGGTCTCTCCCTCGTCACATCTCTAGTACCACCCCGACCACCTCGACTTCCCGCCTTTGTATTGCTACCCTTCTCCTTCCCTGCATTATTAACCTCCCTCCTCTTCTCTTTCTCCTTCTCCTCCGCCACCTCCTCCTCTTCGGAGGAAGAGGATGACGACGATGATGCCTCGTCGCCACCACCCTCATCGTCATGATTCTCCTCCGTCGCGTCGCTGTTCTGCTTCATCCTCTTCAGGAAGCTCGCCGCGCCTTGCCTCTTCCTCACGCTAGTAGTGCTATTATTCTCCTCTTTGTTATTATTATTATTGCTCCTCTCCGCTTTCGAATCCGTGGCGTCGTGAGAGCTCGGCTCGTTCCCGCCGTACTTGTGCTTATTACTGTTAACCTCTCCATTCTTGCTGGCCCCCGATCTAGCATTCCTCCGTCCCTTCGTCTTCGTCGTTGTCGTCGCTGCCGCCGCGGCAGCAGGCCTCTCCTTGGCCTCCTTCGTCGCTGTCGTAGACTTCTTAGTTGGCTTCTCTTCTCCAACAACCTTAGGGGTCTTAATTGGCTTCTCTTCTTCAACAACCTTGGGCGCCACGGAAGCCTCACCCTTTTTCGAATTCTGCTTCGGCTTAACTTCCTCTGTTTCTTTCTGTTTCTGCTTGTTGGAAGTAGTGGTAACCACTTTCTTCGAAGCAGGCTTCTCCTTCTCCGACGTTCCTCCCTTCAACGACGAGCTCCGCTTGTTACCGCAGGAGACCAGAGTAGAGGTAGACTTCTCCGGCTTTGCCTCGGCCTTCTCGGACTGTTTCTGCCGCTTTGGAGCTGGAGCTGGGTCAGTAGTAGTAGTAGTAGTCTTTAAGTTCTTGGTCGTGGTTGTGGATGGAGCAAGAGGCTCAGGCTCCTGCGGCGGCGGAGCAGGTTTGGATTGGGGTTGAGGTTTAGAAGGAGGCGGCGGAGCAGGTTTACGCAGCTTGTCCTTCATGTTCTTGAGGACGAGACCTCGGAGCTCCCGGGCGGCATGATTCTCCGGCGAGCTCTCCCGGAAGAAGAGGATGGCGTTGTTGAAGAGGAGGAGGAGGTCTCTGTAGAACTTGGGGATGCAGCTGAGGTATACACCTTTGTCGAGCCGGAGCTGCACCGTCCGGAGGTCGATGTGCTGCCGGATCAAGCTCTTGTACCTCTCCGATTCCTGCAGCCGGGATAACCCACAAAATACAAATGAGTACTCTGAATCGCAAATGAGGAAAAGCCCCACCACCAACCATGGGGAATGTAAAAGCCCAAATGATGTGAGAAAACGTTTTGAGAAGGAGACAAAAGAAAGCCCTATAACAAGTCTTTTGGGCCTGCCTTGATGAAAAAGCCTTTTTTACGTTAAAGACAGGATTGGAAGTCGCGGTCAAACCGCTGGCAGTGGCAATACATACATAACCAACGGCGGCAAATATTCACCGTTGGATTGGAAGATCCAAACCAAATGACAAAAATAAGAAAAGGAGGGCGAGTAAGGAGTATTAAATTGTTTCTGAAAGAATTTGGTTATTATTTTGATTAAAGCAAAAGATTTGGTAAAAAAAAATTATTTACTCTAAAAAAAATAAATGTAACTATAAACTTATAAATTTGTAATTGTTTGTCCCTTCAGGGACATCTCATCATTCTATGATTGTTTGATCGAACATATTACGTTGTATTGTACATGGAATGCATAAGCAATGTAAGATACACCTAACACATCAACATGATAGAAGCCTGGACTCGGCTCAATCAAGTAATTAGGAGTTGTAGGGCACTATGAGTACTACAAATTATTATCAAATAATTAATTAATTAATAATAACATTTTTGTGGATTTTTTTTTTTGGTGGAGTAATATCAATTTCTCCTTTTTAACATAATGTCATTAAATTAATACTATTGTTTTCGGAAAAATCTTCATGACGGGCCCGCCAAAAACGAAGGCCCAAATGCAGCCCATCTCGCCGTATGATCCTACGTTGATCCGCAGAAAACGTCGCTCCCTTCACCATATAAAGCTCGTGCATATCCCATGCGATGGACCGTAGTAATCTAGTAGAGACTAAAATAAATAGTAACCTTTTTCTTTTTTTTACATTTCACAGTGAAAATTATTTTGAAAAGGTCGGGTGAAAATGACGAAATTGGTTAGACTCTAGTGTCTGAAACAATGACGTGGCTAGTGGTGATTGATCCAAGGCCGGCCATGTCGTTGGCGATTTGCAAGATCGGAAATTCTTCGTTGGTTTTTTTTTTTTCAAATTAAGAAAGGGAAAATTAAGCTGGGTGGAGAGAGGAAAAATTACCTGGCTTCGGAGCCGTCGTTCGAAAACAGAACCGAGCCTATGGGACCGGATGATCTCGAGGATTCTAACCAACGGTTCGGATTTCACAGCGGCGATCCGCTTCCTGGCGGGAGATACCTCGTCGCCACCCTCGGGTTCTTCGCCGCTGCTGGTGACGGCGGAGACTCCACCGCCGCCGCCAACATCGCCATTTACTCCGCCCCTACGACGCCGTTTCTTCTTCCTCAGCGTCAGGCTCACCGAGCTCTGCACGTCACTGTTCTGTTTCTCCTTCTCTTTCTCCTCCCGCTTCGACTCCCCCACCGACTCGCCCAATTCGTTCGACTCGCCGACGAGCGGGGTCTGACTCGGTCTAGGCTTCGTCTCACTGGGCGATTTCTCCTCCCGATTCCCTCCGCCTTCCTCCGATTTGACGTCGTAGGAGCAAATCCGCTCCTCAGCGGACGGGTAGGAGTGAACCGGATCCGATTCGGACTTCGTGGCCGGTTCGGGTTTCGTGTCCCCTTCTCCCTCCTCCTCCTCCTCGCTCCGCTCCTTCGCCGCTGCGTTCCCGGCTTTCTGTTGCTGGCTCGTGGAATTAGACTCGTTGAACGACCGATCCTCCCCGGAATCGTAGCAGCCGCCGGCGGATTTCGCGGCCGACGTAGGCCGACCGTCTCCCTTCCCTAGATCTGCCTCCTCCTTCGCGCCCCTCCCCCTCTCCTCCTCCAATCTCTTCACCTTCAATTCCAGAGACCTGAAAAACAACGAAAGGCCGTCAGGAACCGCTCAGATCTTAATCGGATCTCCACGAAACAGATTTCTAGTTTTTTTTCAATTTATTATTATTTACTCGATCGAGACGTCCCGCCGCTGGACCTCACGTCGGAGCTCCTCGACGCGGAGCCGCCGGAGCTCGTCCACCATAGGAACCAAACTGACCGCCGCCGCGGCCGGCGGCGGTTCCTCCCTCCTCGGAGGCATGAACCGTCGCCGGAGGTCATTGAACTTGTCCCTGCACTGCTGCGAAGTGAGGGAGGAGAGACTGGAAGTCCGGTTCTGGACTTCTACGGCTACGGAGTCCCAGCTCTTCGTCCCGTGGCGGTTCACGGCGCAGGCCAGCAGCAGCTCCTCCAACGTCCCCCAAGAAGATGTCGCGGTTGTTGGTGCGTCGCGCTCCTTAGCCATGTCGTTGGTTCCTTAATAACTTCATTTTTTTCCTCCTCCTTACAATTTTATTTTGGTAGTCTGTTTTTTGGTTCTGCGATTTAAGGGGAATTAGGGTTTTTGGCTCGATTGGGGAAAATTTGGATTGGAGGCAGGAGCAGCTCGGCGTTTATATTCTTTTCGATGGTGGTGGACGAAGAAGGTTTTATTTGCTTGTTAATTTATCGCTTTTATTTTTTCTTTTTGTATAGAGAGAGGAGCCCAAGGACGAAGGAAGGAGGCAAAGGCGATTAAGTCGTGTTGCCTGGCTGTGGCTGTGGCTCTTGTTGCGTTTCGGCCGATTCGGATTTGGGATTCGAGAGTAGGGCTTTTTATTTTTTGTTAATGGGCCTACAGTTTTGGGCTTCAATATTATGGGATAGGCTTGTACGCTTTGTGGGCTCGGTGGGTATGGTGCTATTGGATGCATAGGGGGTGAACAAAATAAATCCAACCGCTCGTTCATTTTAGAAGGTTTCTGATTGTCCAATTTTAATGTGTGGATGAGTGCGTTAGTAGTTAGTACTTAAAATCAAGGATTGAAATCGACCAAAAAAAAATTCAAGGATTGAAAAATTCTACTGTATCGGCTGTCCCACCAGAAATTTCTTATGGAAGGATAAATTAGTGTAATCGTATTTAACGGTTGAACCACGATTTTTGTATAAAATATTCTAAAGTAGATTATTCTGATACAATCTTCAGTATATTATTTCAATCATTGCTTTAAATTCGATATTTCGTAATTGCATATCGTTAGGATGGTTATTACCTGAGGAGCTTTACATATATTGTATTTTTATATATGAGTTTTCATTCAGTATAATCATAGCTTATCATTCATTTGTTAGTTTTAAATTTGATTTTTTGGTTAACAAAGAAATTTGCCGGGTGACACACTGACACCAAGTAAATCATATTTTTTTACGCATATATGATTTTCTAGTATGAATCCAATATTTTTAGAATTTCGTACTTTGTTGTTCAGAGGAAGTCAATTGGACGAAGTGGCGGATTCGGGAGGTTTAGAGGTGTCCCGCAATACAGCTAAATCTGAAAAAATGATTATCCAAATTCTAAACTTCGATAGTAGTTTGTTATGGATAAAAAAAATATTTAGATGTCAGCGGGACACCCTTAAAATTTGGGAAAATAATTATTCACCTTCTTGTAGATGTGACTACTTGTTTCTATTGCGTTCTTGTTCCTATTGTATAGAATTTAGTTTGGTCCCGTGGACTGCCAACTGGGTTACCCATAGAATGGCAAGACAAGCCCTGCTACTATCCTCTGTGGAGATATTTTCCTTTGACTTTATATGGTGGCTTCACTAGTTGTTGTTTGGGGGGGTTTTGGGTAGAAGTTATAACTATTTTACCTTGTCATTACTTGAAGGGGAAAACCTCCTGTAGTAGTTTGTGTATGGGTATAAAATATCATTTAAGTGGTAGTCTATGTGTTTTAAACTTGGAACACTACTATTATTAGTAAATATTTTTTCAATTTTGTTAGAACTCATTTGTAAGACTACTCTTATCTCCAATTATTTTTAAAATCTAACGATTAAACCTAATTATGTGTTATCCTTATCTAGTAAGATTTGTCGAGAAAGACTTGTTGAGTAGTGTAGACACCAAATGAATTTTACCATTTTTCATAATGAAACATGTCCAGACTTTTATTAAAATTCTTGCTAGTCGGAAATTTTCATATTTAATAATTATTTAATTTAATTTTGAATTAAATATCATTTTTGGGAAAGGACACCCCCTATATAAAATTTGTGGGTCTGTCACTGATTGCACGATAGTATTACTAGAAAGGAAATTTATATATTTTTTCTCTTGTAATTCATTGGGTTTACACCAAACTCATAACTAAATAACTCGATAGAGTATTGATTAATATGGGTGGATTTGAGTTTATCTGTCAATCATTCAAATTGAATAAAATACATGAGTTGGGTGACAAAAATAAATAACCCCAATTGTGTGTTGAGTTTGGTTTTTGTCTTCTTCCATAGGACTAGGATCCACCAATTATGACCAGGGGTTGGGCTTTGGCTTCGTTTAACTCTGCATATTTAATATTCTGGTCCAGTGACAATGTACCTTCGGTGCAGGATCCAATATACTACTTCTCTTGGGCCATGGAAGTAAAATCTTGTTAGCATTTGCCTGAACTTATTATATGGACCACAGAGTGCGTCCTTGGATACATTGGGCCAAACAAATTAAATGGACCGCGGAATGCAACCTTGCAATAGCCCATGGGCTATGGCTACTCTCTCTTTGTCGCGAACTCAGAACCCCATATATTCATCGCCTCGCTCGTTGAATCGGTTTGATTTTGTTCTTGACTTAGACGTCAGCAATTTGTTATTACGGTGCTGAAGTTTGTATATGCGTTTTCCCTTTAATACAAGTGCTCCAAACAACTCGAGATAATGACTACAGCAATGATTTTCCGTACAACGATTCTCACGATCATTAGTATAAAGTATAAACACTTGGAAGTAACCCAAGATATATGTAGTCTATGAGTAGGATTTATCTTAATTTAAAAGAACGTTCTAGGAAATGATATTAGATTCATTCTCCACAACCTTTACTAACAAAATCACTATTCTGATTAGTTAGTTCTTTACACCATAGCATATCAAAATTCTTTATCTCGAATGTTAGTTCGCGGTTTCACACATAGCATATCAAAATTCTTTATCTATAAAAACTTCGAATACACAAGTCGTCATCATTTGTAAGGACAGACTTTTGGAGTGCTGAAATCCAAAGTCAAAAGGTAAAAAATAATTGTTTCGTTGTGTTTGATCTAAAGAAGATGAGAATTTTAGCCTCTTGTAGTTGTGTACATTTTAAAGTTTTATGCACCATTTAGCTTACCGTCATCGTATCAATAAAAAAATATATGAGTATAAAATTAATCATGAGTATCTTGTAGGCGCATATCTTCAAGTGAAATCACATCGTGTTCTCGTATATACTTGTACCGTAAACTCATTAACTTCAATCGTTCTTTTCAACAAACAAAAAAACACAGCGAGAGAATCAAATGGAGATACAATAGTAATCTATTTAAAAATAGTATTATCAATGATAATCTAAACAAGTTAATCATGATTTAAATCAGTTTGATTTACTTTAGATATATAAACAAGTCAATCAATATATAAATCAATTCGAAATTTATATCCTTACTAAACTGGAAAGAGCCCACACCCCAAATCTGCAAATACGTGTTAATTAATCCAAAAGAATGTCTTTTTTGATAAACCAAACAATATGATGATAACTACCACCTAAGTACACATATAGCTATAGTAAAAGCGACAATTTATGACCAAATCACATTATAGTGTCGCAACAATTGGAATATTTAAATCCCATGATTGAAGCTTAAAGAATGATTATGTTAACAAAGCTGGTTTGCAGAAAAGTGGATAATAATATAATAAAATAAAAATATATTGTATATGTTGGGACATGGGAGGCGGACGGGCCAAAAGTGGGTTCCGGTCAAACCTAAACCTTTTGGAAATTGCTGCCATTATGGATTTGCCTAAATCAAGGTTTAAGCCCATTGGGTTAAGGGCTGATGGATGATAGTGGTTAAAATGCTTGCACTCAAGGTTGTCAAACTGGTTTATATCGTTGTGCCAGTTTAGCAAGTGGAATGGCTCTACCGGTGGTACAATCGGTTTGTGCCGGTTAATAAAATATGTAGAAATGTCAAAAACTATTAATGTCAAATGAATTTAATCATATATAAACCATATTTGAAGACAATTTACGTACAATTCATATTGATATTTAGATAAAATGTGATATTTTCAATAAAATTACATGTACTTATATTCAAATTCACTAAAACGATATTATTTTACTTAAAAATTCGCAAATCAATCATACCGATCATAACAGTGGTGTCATGCCGATTTCATGGCCGAAACCGGTTGAACCGGGTTGAACCGGTGGCATGCCGGCCGACATGACAACCATGCTTGCACTTCAGGGACTAGGTTAGTTAAAAAGAGGCCACCTTGGTGTTTGTTTGCTTGGCATGTCTGCAAATTGGTGCCACTTATAATAAGAGCTAGTGTTGTATAGGCCCCATAAAATGTCTATTTAACAAACATGTCATGCCATTTGATCTGTCCTGATCTGTTTACGATGGGTATTATTCGACATGTAGTAGTTTGGGGTGGGGCATGAGTACTATTGTTTACTATCTGCTCCACCTTGTTCTATCGTACTTCCCTTCAATATCTATATGTATTTCTCCTCTTTTGATCCTAAAGAAATTTTAGATTCAATTATTCCTTCCACTGTATTTCTCATTCACTTATGATGTATTTTCTCTGTGTTATCGTACAAGAGTTAAATATCGACTTTCTTTTTTCAAATAACTTAAAATAATGGATCGACTCGCTCCACCATGTACCCGCACGAGTATTACTCGACCTACCCGCGTTTAGCACGAGGTGGGTGAGTATGGGTATTGAAGTGCATGTCCAGCCCCATTAGCATCACTACCTCCAATCCCCAGACACATACGATCGATACTAGCTTTATGAATACATGATGAATGCAAATTAAGAAATTTTAACAAACACGTACTGGTATTATGAATTTAAATAGATAAGTCATTTCATTGAAAAACTTCTCCCAAAAAACTAGTTGTCACAATGAGACTCGCACGTTCTTCTTCGTAAGCATGTGTTGGCATGACTCGAACATTACATAACCTGGATACTGTTAATTGTCCAAATGTTTGAACTTTAACAATGTACTTCTGTTGCTGACTTCCTCGCAAGTTGGACGATGATGGCCATCATGATGATCACTCGATGACTATATCCCACAAAAGGGGCACTTCGCTACCAAACAAACGTTACTAAATAATGCTACAAAAAATGTTGGGCTCTTTCATCAATGGAACTCGTGGATTGTGGACATCTATGGAACCTTTTTTTCTTAACAAAGATGGGAAAGTTTGATCTCCACACAAAAAAGAAAAATGTAGGAGATGAAGAAGGGAAGAAACTGATGGTCACGAGTATTTGAATTTGATTTATAAAAGAAATCCTATTAATTCTTATAGTATCACGCTTTTAATTATGATGTTATACATATTGAAAGTATAGCATATGAGAATCTTAACAGTTCTTATGAGATCATGTTGTTGATATGGTGTTATACATTCAAAGTATTGAGAAATTATGAGAATATATATGTGTATAGATTAAATAAAAAGATATTATGGACCAATTATTATGGTAGAAAAAGAGAATAGGACACATTCCCCACAATATGCCCCCATTACACCCTCCACTTTACAAATATTTTTTTTCCAGGAAGAAGGTGAGGAAAAGGGACAAGTGACAACTCCTACAAACGGACTCGATTACGACCAAGTCTCTAATCGAGAAGGCTATACCGTATTACATGATCGTTGTAGAGATACGATGGTGGTTTGCAAGGGCTTGACATGTGCATATTATGCATGTTTACAGGAAGGCGAACGTAGTCGTTGATTACTTAGCTAATCTAGGCCACTCACTTTCCATTGATTCCCACATTATTGCAACACCTAATAATGTGTTGGCTTACTGTTGTACCATGATGTTATTGTTTCCAAGCAACCCGTTTTGTTATTGAATAAAGGTTGGTATGCCCTTCAAGTGCTTCTTCGTTTCACAAAAAAAAGGGGACAAAAGAATGGCGTGTTTGAATGAGTAAAGAGTAGATAGAATAAAATTAATGGCCCATGCAGGTCTCGAACTTGCGACCTCCGCGTTATTAGCACGACGCTCTAACCAACTAAGCTAATAGGCCAATTGAAAACCAAATTTATAAACTAGGTTAAGATTCACACACGCTCCATACGCTTGTGAGATTAGCATTTCGGTCGGGACAAATTGGATCGAGCATATTCATATAGAAATGAGCATTTATTGAGAAATCATTCATAAAACCTTAATAAGTTTGGTGGGTGGGTGGGGGGGGGGGGGGGGGGGGGGGGGGATTCAACAAACAAGGTAGAAAATTGTTTGAGACAAGGATTTGTAAAATTATGTCCAAAGTTGCTATAAAAAAAGTTGGTAATATAACAATTTATACTAAATCATGATCCAACTATTTCGTACTTTTAAAATTACTTATGTCTTAGACTCCAATAAACGATTTTTTCGATGGAACAGTTAATAATTGCGAATACTCATTTGGGATATGCTGGGGAAATAGACAAAAGGTGAGCCAGAAATGAAAAGTAAAAGAGTGGGGGAAAAGAAGGAAAGCAAAGGCTGCAACAACGACAACTATTGGGTTTGGTTTATTACTTCACCACCATCACTAATGGGGTAACTTCATCTTCTAACAACTCTCAAATTAAAAGTTGTTAATGAAGAAGAAAAGAAAGGAATCTGAGTGGGGGGAAGAGAGGAATCTGCTCAGTGAACCGACCAGCTTACTGGGAAAGACCACGTTCATTTCATTCATTGCTATAATATGCACTCTGGCTGCTGGGCCTGGGTTGCTGCTTCCTGACATCTTAACCAATTCCTCAGTTTTTTTTTTGCAGGCTTCCTTCTTTGCCTTCTCGTTTCCACCCTTATGTTTCATTGATTATTAATTATTTACCATTTCGTTTTATCCATCCTACAACCAAATTATTCGAATCGAATCTATTTGGTTCGGTCTGCTTATTTTTTCTCGTATTCAAGGAGATTCAAGAAAACTAATGGACCTAAAACTCAATAGTCTATATAAAAAATCAAAATTTCGGTTATGCTCCAAGATGACGACAACAACAATCTAATTCGAAAGTATCAGTTCAACACGCGATGCATCTTGGTACGATATACATCTCGGTACGAACTGAGTTTTTTGTCCACTTCTACTAAAAGTTCACTTGTTTGTGAGTAATAAAGCTAAATTTTACCATATTCAAATATGTAGCTCGAACGAACTAATAATTGTATTATCACGATGAACCTGATGTCCGTCGTACCGAGAAGGGGAGAAGGTGGGGGGCTTTGTATTTAAGCTGTCACAAACTCACAAGCCCTAACCCTCGAGAAGAGGACAAAGAGAGGAATGAGGGAGGGGGTGGTCCAAGAAGAGAGAAACTGGTCAAAACACCACATCATTCAATAGAGGGCCCTCCTCTTAGGGAAAGAAATAAAGAGCAGATTTGAATGTGGGATAAACAACAATAAAAAAAATATATATTTGAAGAAAAGGCCAGCAATAGTAGTCGAAGCAGGTAGCAGGAAGCAGTGGCCAAAACAAACAGGCAGCCATTTAAAAATGAATTGAAGAACAACACATGAAATAAAGAAAGAGTGAAGGAAAGTGATGATACAAAATGGGAAAGGGATACATCCAATCCAACGGCTACCTAGATTAACATCCTGAGCCCTACGGGAAGGGATGCCCTAGATTTATAGGGCTTCACCACCACCCTAACCCTATACACAAAGGCCAGGACTCGGGGGAATCAGGGATCAGTGCACCTTTTGGCTTTTTTTCGATGTGTGTTTGGTGTTTAGACCAACTCAGGGTAGGTTAGAAGGTTGAGAACAAGGTTGTCAATCCGCGGGTCGATCTAGACTCGGTAGAGCTAGTGAGTCAAGGGTTAATGGGTCACCCGGTTTAACTCAGTTTAGCCTAAAAATATGAAAAAATCATTATATTGTACTTATTTTGAATCCAACATAAAAAAAACCATACTTAAACTCCAACACACTTGAATAACATCAACTTATATTCAACATAGTAAAAAATACATTTACATCGATATTCATCGTTCTATGTTGCTTTCCATTATCAAATGATTATGACATATTATGTTTTGGTGAATAAAAGGGAGGACCTTTACCATCCGATTGGGTAGGTAATTCAGCAAAATACTATCGTTTGACTTTCGAGGTTCTTCATCAACTCAAAGCATAATATAACTTAACATCTAAGGAGGATTGTCTGATTATGATTACAACATCCAATGGCCTGCGTGAAAGTTGAAACCATTTCTGATCGTGCTAACCGTATCGTACCCTGCACTCGTTGCAGAGAGCACACATTTAGGACTGTGAATCGATATCATCAAAACCTTTGTTCTTAATAACTTGACCACTGGAGGCATAAAAAGAGACCATACCTAGGGATGCCCACCTTCATTTCAAATTCTCTATCTGGAGCTGCTTGAGATTGTCAAAACGGACCCAATTGTGACTAAAAGAGTCTATAAGACTCCACACTTTTTCCTCCCATTTGTATCTTTGAAACCAAAGATGGCTAGGCATAGGCTCCAGCCTCCAAATTTAGTGAACTCAATCCTACCAACGGGTAAAGAAAGCACTTGGGGAGTTAAAAAAGGATTCCTCTCTATCCCCTTTCAAATGCTATGGTTCTGAAGAGGGAAATCTTCTAGGACAGAACCATCTACCCTCCAGCAAGTTAAAGACTAGAGAGGTCTTTTCCTTTTCTTCCACACTCCCTGCAGCAGTTGGTGATAATGAGAACTACTATTAACTAAACACTATGGGTAACCTCTTAGCTCGCCTTTTCCCTCTACACTCCTTTCCCTCCTTTATTGCTCCAATAAGTGTTTTTGACAATGCCCTCAAAATCACAATTCACAACCAGAACACCAACCAATGGATGTGGTAAAGAAGCTGGAATGGATTCCCCCCTTGGCCCTTCATGTCCCAAGCCTCCAACTACCATACAAGAATCTGATGCTACCAAATAGTACTTTAGGCTGTGACTGGAAGTACTTGCTTGTAGGTATAATATAGCCTTGCCATAAATATGCTCAATCCAACTTGGCTAGATTTCTCCTATATCAAAAGAACAAATAAATTCGGTTTGGATTTGGTTGCGGGCTTTGTGCCTTGTGTGGCCACTACTGTTTGACAAATAGTTTATGGGGTTCAATTAGGGCAATGAATGAGGCGTGGATGCACGAGACTTGAATGTTACGAACCGTTGAATCCGAACCTTATGATCTAACCAGTTCATCTCACATGCTAAACATCGTTGGCATTCGTCGAAATCTAATCCGAGGTTGAGCAGGGTACATTTAGAGCGTTATGAATGTGGTTTGAATCATGTCTTGGAGCAGCACACAGTTCGGTAACACAACATCTCGAATAACTATACCCCCTAGTTATCCCTGTAAGGCAACAATTGATACATTATCCAACCCAATTTAACTCTTATTGAGATTGAGATCACGAGGGGGACACAATTCAACAACATCATCGCGAGCAAATTGCACATCCTAGTCATCCTCGCAAGTCTGTTGTAAACTTCGTCAAACACCGACGACATGGAGCATGCAAATGAATTGATGAGACAACCCTTTTCAGCTCAATCCAAAGCTTTTAGAACTAACATTTCAATTTTCATTAACCTCTAACTCATGCTAGATATTGGAGAAAGAGAGAATATTTTCAGATGGACTTCTAGGGGTCGTTTGGAAGTTGCATCGTTTTTAATGCATATATTGTTTTTAATGCATCGTTTTTTGTTTTTTTAGCAGAAACAATACATGGATTGTTTCTGTGATGTGACAAAAACTATCACTCATTTTGAGTGATTGTTATATCTCAACTTTTAGTTGTGATTGTTGAGATAGTTGAGTTGAGATTGTTTTGTCTCAGCTTTTAGCTGATGCGACATACACAATCACACATACCAAACATTGTATTCTACAATGCATCAAATTCGACAATACATGTATAATATTATACATGCATTCTCAACAATACATATATTTAACAATCGCAACTTCCAAACGAACTCTAGTTTTTGTTTTGGAGTGGAGGGTTAGTAGTCTTAGTAGACTCCCACATGTTTGATCCAAAGAAAGGGTCTCACTCTCACACATGGACCACCACCGACCAATCTTGTAGAAGATCAACAAAAGGGTTCTCCATCAAAAGGGGCACCCCCTCCAATCTCCATCCTTCCTAACTGGCAAATTGAATAATCTTGATTATATAATCTCAAGATTAACTGTCTAATTACACCATAGTCTAAGCATATTTAGTAAATAAGATTAAAATAACCAGTACATAATAGACTCAATAGGGAGAGAGGGAGCTTTGGGATCAGACTGACGTGCAAAAGTAAAGAATCAATTCAATTTCAGAAGAGCAGAGAGAGCGCTCCGCTGGCGCCAATCTTTGGCATCATTTCCCAAAAACCCTCCCTCCCACTACACAACAAATCTCAAAAGAAGACACAGCGAGAGATTCAGAGCGAGTAAAGAAATGAACAATGAAATGGGGGTTTCTTCGTTCTCTCACCGGAGGCAGACCATGAAGAGGGGAAAACAGAGATTCCATATCTTTCAATCAAACAGGATGAACAGATGAAGATGAAATTCGTTATAGATAACGATCTCTCTCTCTCTCTATCTCTCTTTTTTTTTATGTTTCTCTTGACATTAGTGTTAGCAATGGAGACGAACAAGAAAACTACAGTAGAAGCAATGGACACGAGCAGAAATGGACAAAGGAGAAGCCAAATATGTACACAGAGATAAACAAAAACACACAGCCTAATAAGAACAACACCAAATGACATTAACCCAGAACAGATAAATCTGCAAAAATGAAAGGGGTTGTGGTTAAGAAGCAGCTGGAGAAATGGTTATTGTGGTGTTACCCCATCTCGCTTGTTAATAAGCTTGTGTTCCGCCGCGGCTCGATTCCCTCTGCTAAAACTGGGCTGCCCTTTGCTATTGTAGTTGTTGACTCCGCCGCCGTCTCTCTTCTGGGGCGAGGAGGAAGAGAAGAACCCAAATACTGACCCGGATTTGGATGATCCCATGAGGGAGCAAACGGGGACATTGAGAACGGGGGTTACCCTGACGTTAGCTGAATAGGACCTCTCCATCCCTCTGTGTTTGTGCCTTGGACCGCCATTGAAGCTACTTGGACTACTGGAACTCCTCTCCAAGCTCTGGAACACGATTTTCCCAGAAGAATTCAGCCGCGGGCTGTCTATTGAGACTCCCCTGCTCTCGCCGCCTGAATCTCCACCTGCTCCGGCGGCAGTTGTCGCTCTGCGAATCGGACTCCTCCCAACTCTAGTTTCCCCTCCAATTTCGGCGGCTCGCGGCTTCACCATTCTCATCCGCGGCGGGTTCTGATTACGATTGAGGACGAACGGGTTCGGACTGTGCAAGGAGTTGAATGTCAGGCTCAAATTGGAAGCGGCGTTGGGCTTCTCCGAATCGAGGGAGAGCCGGGGGAGATCTTCGTGCTCGTGGCTGGATGACGAGGATGAAAGCGATAAGCGGGATGAAGAGAAGGAAACCGACGATTCGCAGTCCAGGTCTGCCTTCAGCAAAGGAAGACTCAGGCTGCCGTCGAGCGACGAATTGGAAGAGGAATTGCCGCAGCTGTTGCAGGATTTAGAGCTTCTATGGAGGAAATGCCTCAATGATTTCTGGTTATTATTGGAAGAAGAAGACGAGCAAGAGGAAGAAGACGACGAGGAGGATGAGGAAGGAAACGACGCCGCCTTGGAGCTGTTGTTCTGGTAAAACTTCTTCAGCCCCAGAATCTCTTTCCACCGGCTCGAGCATCGAGGCGCTTTCGGCGAGAACAAGTACTGGTCAGTTGTACTGTTGATCCCGACAGGTATCTCCATCCTCCGGCCAGATTTCGCCTCCGCCGTCTCCGTCGTAGTTGCGATTCCCGGCAAACACTCAGCTGAAGTCGTCGTCGACGACGAAGGCTTCGAGTTCGAGCTCGTGACCTGCATCGGCACCAGCTTCCCGTCGGAGAAGAGCTCGTCGGCGGGGAGCATGGCGACGGGGTCGTCGAGGCGGAACTCGAAGTCCGGGAAGAGATCTTGCTGCTGCTGATTATCCGGTGGCGGAATCTCAGTCGCCGGAGGCGGAGGAGGTGGAGAAGGAGCTGGAGCTGGCTTGGAGGGCGGCGGCTGTTTGTGATGGTGGTGTTTAGACAAGGAATCGTCCTCGCGGCTGAATGAGATTCGAGGACTCAGCCAGCCGTACGAGGAGTACGTCCCCGGCGGCGGGAAGCTCTCCGACGAAACGCTGATGTTGTTGACGCAAGCTGAAGCCATTTTTTTATTTCCAAACGATCATGCGAGAGAGAACAAAAATGAGATCCAGGTGGAGATTTGAAAGAGCAATGCGGAAGGGGTCAGGTTGATTAGAAGCTCGCCGGCGTTGAGATCTCGGGAGCAGGAGATCTAGAGAGAGTGTTTGTTAGGGTTTGGGAGATGGACGGATGGGGAGTGGAAGAAGCTCTGAAATGAATTTTTCCGAAGTGGGGAGCGTACTGGCGGAGAGAAGGAGATCGCGGTGAATAAAAAGGAGCGGGATGAATTACATGAATGGTCACTGAACTTCTGGGTCTTTGGTAGATTAGCCATTGAAGTTAAGTGGTTAACAAAGTTTTCACTAAAGTTTAAAATAACTAAAAAAAACTAAATAATAGTAATGTTTGGTAAATAATCGTATGGATTTATAACAATAATTATTGTACAAAAAAAACAAGCTGGAATAGCTCAGTTGGTTAGAGCGTGTGGCTGTTAACCACAAGGTTGGAGGTTCAAACCTTCCTTCTAGCGAAGTTTATATTTCAATTTTTACATAATTTTTCAAAACAAAAAGGAAATTAACGAAAAAATGTCATATGGAGCATAATGATCTGTGTGAATAAAAAAATTTAATTCGTATCCGACCAAAAACAAAACCTCTTTGGCCGACTCAATCTTGACCTACATTTAAGAAATTATCATAACTTTGTGTTTCCTTCACTTATAATATTGCTATATGGAGATGTTTAACCACTCCTTCTAACGAAGTTTAAGGTTGATACATGTTTGTTTTCTCATTATGTACTGCTTAACAGATTCGATCCATAACCTCCAAGTTGAAGATCGGTGATAGTATCACATACCAAACTTTTATTCACCATTTATATTTCCAGTTCATGACATAATTTTTCACCAAGATAAAAAAAAAAATAATGCTAGACCAAGTCATATGGAGCATAATTAGTTTTGTGAATGATAAACTTTGCTTCGTATCCTATCAAACCAAAACTCCTTACAAGAATAATTCCATCCCACATGTTATGAAATTATCATAATGTTATCCTCCCCATACTTTATATCTATTTGGAGAAGCTTGTGTTTCCTCCTTCACTTAACGGTCTTAAAAATTGAGCTAAACGTACCATGGAAATTGTTTCCACGATGTTGAGTGAAACCCTTAGCCAATTGAACAATCTTTAGACTATCAATCGAACCACCCTAGGTCGTTCTCTTTTCGAAACTCCCAAGTAAATATTATGTTACTCAAAATTTTGGCGTCAAAACGCTTAGAAATCAAAGCTCAATGGCCGGTTTGTCTAGGATCTAAAGTCCAGAGATCATTCTGGAAAATTTTCACGCCAGAGCTGGTGTTGGACACATGACTTGCGTTTATTGTATTCTTTTGCTTTGTCAGGCTTTTATGCGCTGCCGTTAACAAAGAATTAAAGACAAATATATGAGAAGAAATGGGTTTCAACTAGTGGGTTGGGTGGATTTTAGTTTTAAATTGATCCATTCAGGGTTAAAATAATTGTGACCCGCAATCACTTACTGTGTGCGAGTTGGGTTATTTGTGAGTGGATCGATATCAATATGCGGATTAACCACCCACGTGCCCATCCCTAAGTTTCACCATCACCTATGCCTGAACTTTGAGGGGTTGGTCTGTTGAGTATAATTTTGATTATGTAACACAATAATTAACTTAGATTAAATTTTAATCACCAACAATTCAAGAAGGATACGAAGACTCTGTTTGGTCCATACATTACTTCATTGAACCGAATCGACATTTTGACTGTATCATAACAAACCAAATATATTGCAGTATGGTCATATGAACTCTATATAAGTATTAAAGAAAACATACCAAATTCACATTTGAACCCCTATATGATCAAAAGCACATTCCAACTCTCAAATTGGATAATTAGAAAATTATTAATATGGTATTGACGGTTCACGATTCATGCAAATTATCCTAATATCTCCCATTGTTTTCACAATTTATTAGCACTATTTTACCTAGTTGATTGATCCAAACGACAAGGCGGTGCTAGGTCTCGACTAAAAATCGGTTGAAAGATATCCTCTCGTTTGCATGTCACATAGACAAATATACATGGATGGCACATGATGACTATATTTTACATTATGTTGTACTTTATAGAAGGAACATACCCTTTTTTAACTAGATTGTTAACAAGTTTGGAGGACTTCGACTCATGTTTGTGAGTCATATTATGTGTTTATGAAGCAGACTTGAAAAGTGAGAAGATGATAGTTAGAATTACGCACCCTAAGTCTCGACTTTGTCATTGTATACACGTATATATTTTGATGTAAACGCTATGCAACATGCCCAACCTACAGACGACAATGACATAGAATGTGAGGGGTACCAAATCCTACTATTAGGTTTTGGCGGTTTATTGAAGATTGTTCAAAATCGGTGGTCATTCAAAGATGTAGGGTTGATGTGGACTTAATAAGCTGTAGTCTAAGTTTATGGATTTCCCAAGTAGAAAGTTTAGGTTGGGCGGCTCTCTAGCCATATACCAGAGTCCACAAGTCACAATTCAAATTCGGCAGGACGTGGAAACTGGATTTGGGTTGGACCAAATTCAGTGTAGTTGATCACTAAGCACCAACCAAACTAGTTTATGTCTCTTTCTTCGCGTGGCCTGCCAATAGTGGAAACCCTCAAATCGATCATATCCAAAAATTTCATAGATTGTGAGATCTACTCCATTTAATCTCATCGTTAAGTTTGGATCTCTCTATTATCACTTTGAATGGATTGCAGTTATGTTACGATCGCAATTGGCTCCCTCGATGTGCATGAGCTGACGGAACCTTCCACTTCTCCTTCATTCCAAGTGACTATTGCCTCTACTTCTGAGTCTTTGGGGATACACCGAGGTTTTAACATTTAGTAGATTGTTTCTTGCATGAAAACGCTCATAATCCTAATTATGAGTATTGTTGATCATGACTCAATTCTTGATATCCAATGATCTATATAGAGACATACACCTACCTATTTTATCCTAATCTCATTGTTATCTCTTTCTAAATAAACTTGCCATAATTTACCAAACTAATCTCCACGTACATAGATAACGAAAAACATATTATCGAAATAAAAAGTCTCTTACCAGACTATCAGAATATTTTCAGAATACATGAATTAACATATCCACCACCGGTAAATTGGAGGATTCTTTTGATGGATCATTATGAATACATGAATTTCTTTCATGTGAGTCGTATCTCAAATCGATCCACCACTTAGTTGGTTGCTTACTGTTCCCAACTGTTCCCCGCTTTTAGAGGGAAGCGTGCACTAATGGAATTTCTTCAAGCAAATAATTGACGGGTCAATTATATGGGGAGTGCGTTATTATCTATACATCTGTTTGTTGCTAATGTACAAAGAACAGCCGGCAGCAGCCCTTCCCTCCTACATGTACATGTATTATTGTTCGCGACTCGTAAAAAGCACGAAATAGAAACTAATTTGATTATTTGATTACTCATTACGATTGTCCTCTTCAAAGTAAATTTTCTTAAACGGATTCAACCAATATAGCACAAATTGTTAATAAACGATATATTACATTTTTTAACAAATCAAATTATTGAATTAATTGGTTTTTTACATTGTATAAAATCCTTCTATAATCTAGAGTTCTCTCCCCCTCGTGCTCAATGGTCTTTCTTCTTAGTGCCTCAGGCCCCTTATCTCTGAATAGCTCCCATGGGAGGTTAGGTCCAAATACTATTTCTAAATGGGCCCATACAAAACAGAGTCAGGAATAAGAAGGCCCATAAGCATCTCAGATCATCGTTTTTGTCTTCATTTCCGATGCATCTTGTGAAGGGCTGAAGAACACAGACGTGTCTTTTTTTCCCCCACTAGATAAGAAGATCAAATGATCTCTCATGAGTACCAATGTCTCACATTTTGAGCTTCTGTCGCAAGAAGGGGAGTTCCATTACTCCTTTAGACCACCTCTACCCATGATGGCAATTCATTTCACTTGTATGCAGAGATTGCTACAAGTATGGGAACAACAATAATAATAATGTTGGGTTAATTGCACGTTCAAATTTGGTCACTCGGAATATATAAATTCATTGGTGGTACTTCAGTTTATTGAAACCGTTCACGTTTGGTCACTCTCCGTTCAACTTCGTGAACTTTTGCTTACGTGGCGGTCAACGCTAAAAGTTGACCGTTAAATGTGTGAGTGGCAATTTAAAAATAATAATTTTTTTAAAACAGTCATCTCATTTCCACCTCATTATCCTTTTTATTTAAAATAAATAAAAAATCATAATTTCTTCTAAGAGAAATTAAGCCTCCTCCCCCCCCCCCCCCCGCCGTTCTCGCTTTCTCCGCTCCCGACCCCCCTTCACTCTCGGCCGCCGTCGGTCGACACCTCACTTACCAACCTCCGCCGCCTCGGGTTCCTCCTTAGTTTCCGCCCCGTCGAGACCCCCTTCTTCCCTCCTTCGTTCTCGCTGGTGTACTCCTTCACCGCATCAACTCCCCTGGGAAGCGAGTAGCATCATGGCTCCTTGTCGGAGTCAGAATCGGAGGAGATGAGGTCGAGACGTACGAGTCCCAATCAGGTTAAAATATTTCGAGTGACCAAACTTGAACGTTTTTTTAATCTCAATAACCAACCATGCAATTAACCCATCTTATTACTATACGCATGGGCGGACCCAGGGGGGTTTAGGGATGTCCCCGGACACCCCTAAATTTTGGGAAAACGATTGTCCAACCCCGGTAATAATTTACGTATGGACAAAAAAAAATTGATAGTGAGGGACACCCCTTAAATTTAAAAAAATGATTGTCTTTATGTCATTTGTGTATAGGAATATAAGTGGTAGGTTGGATAATTCAAATCTAGAACACTATTATTATTAATAACCTAATTTCCGTTGAGCTAAACTCATTTGTTGTTCGATTTTGAACAATGTGAGTAAAATGACATTCCCTATCTCTAATTATTTTAAAAATCTAACAATTAAACTATTTCAAACTACCCTTAATTCGTATTGATTTTATGATTGTATGGCAAGTGTTGAAAGAGTTTTTCAGTTTGGGTTACATCAAGAACAAGTTTACAAATCGAATATGCGATAAGTTCGTGAATGATTGTCTAGTAGTGTATATAGAGACAATTTTTTTAACACTATAGACATCAAGTGTATTCTACAATTATTTCGGAATATGAAAACATATCATGGACTTTTTTAACCTATACGAATAAGGTATTTTCATATTTATAATTTTATTTTTATTAATTATTTTTATTTTATTTAATTTATTTTTTAAAAGAGGACACCCCTATGAAAAATTTCTGGATCCGGCCACTGACTATACGAGATATCATCATACCATTATATAGTACGAAACAATACCAGTATACCACCATGGTAATGTGTCGTACCACCCATGATTAACAACATTATGTATTGTTGCATAATCAGAGATTATTATGCACCATTACTAATTACTCCTCTAAACCCTCTTGAAGCGGAAGGGAAAAGCGGGGCCATCCAGAGCCAGGAACCTACCACCTTCCCTCATCAAAATGCCGGCAGCTCCGCACCCAGGCCCGTCGTCGCAGCTCGCGATCTGGTACGCGCCGCCGGTCGCCGTCGCGTCGATCCTGAAGTACGACGGCAGCCCTTCCGTCGCGACGAACCTCCTCCCGGTCTCCCCATCCTCCACGCCGATCCTCCACGACGTGGACCTCGCGCAGGTCGTGGCGACGGAGAATGTAGCAACCACGTCCCTCGCTTCTCTGACGACGTTCTCGTCCGCCGTCACGGGGGAGAAGTGAACCGGGTGCCCCTCGGACGGCTCCGCTTCCGGGGGCTCCTGGGCGACGTAGAGCGGACAGCGGTTTGGGCTGGGCAGCGAAGCCAGGGTCAGCCCGCCTGCTGGGTCGGGCGCGGCGGCGGCCGGCAGGATGTGGTAGTCTGTTCCGCGCATCACGGGCTGCCCGTCCGTGTCTAGGACCGGCGGGGACTGATCGTCGGCCGCGGCGGACGTGGTGATGATGAAGAGTAGCCATGCCAAGCTCATCATCAAGGTGGTTTGGAGCGTTCTTGTAGCCATGTTTTATCGGTTGGTTTTTTTTAGTTTCAGCAATCCTCTGCGACGGATTTGCCCTTCTGTTACATCTACTGTTGTATATAAATATATATTCAATAAAGAGCAACTCAGGTTTTCTGAGACACTTTCAGACAGAGTACTAATGGATGAATTTATTGAAAGAAGGGTAATCTCACCTAATAAAACTAATTTCGCCCACTACAACATTGATTAATATAGAGCATTTAATCGATTTTCTTAAGGTCAATCCAACCTACCACAATAAATCAGTTGGGACTTTAATTTATTGCGACGCGAGGTTTGGCAACTCCGTTTACAAGAGTGTTTTGGAGGACCGATCTTGTCACAACTTCTAAAGAATTGTCATTTTCACAACCATCTCTCACAGCATACCACTTCATCTGGTAACACTATAAGATGGACTGATACGCTACTAGAAGCGGTTGTGACGAAATCTCATCAAGTGTTTTGGCGAAGTTGCAGAGTAATCAAGCTCGTTGTCTCGCCTTTTCTTTTATTGTGACTCATGGACATGGAGATCATGTTAGGAGTTGGAAGGAATGTGCCTATTTGGTTACAAGATTTGGACGGTGAGATGTTGTACTTCTACTCTTTCTTGTTCCCAAGAAATGGCAGTGGTGCCCATCATCGATGTCCATGCGACATGAGACCCAACAATGGGGGAGCAAAACAAGTGCAAGTGGAAGGAATGCAAAACAATATAATAAATACATCCACTACTTCCGACAACTTAATATGTAGATATAATTTATTCTTATGTACAAATGATATTCGAGGTTATTTATATTTTTGGAAATATGATAACTCATGCTTTTGAAAAAAAAAGGTTGATTCACTAAAACCATTATTTACTTGTCAAAATCCAACCGATTATCTATTTAGATTTGAGTTGTAATTTTTTGTGTTGGTTGTTTGTCACAAGAATTGAACTGGTGAATGTTCTCATTACTACATTACCACTAAACCATCCTTTTGGGTTGTCTGAGTAATACTTAAGTCGAGAACCATACTCAAATTTGTAGGTCATGAGACTTTTTTTTTTTTTGACAATAGGCATCATTCATTTCATTCCAAACCCAATCAAGGGGAGCACAACGATTACAATAATGGAGCGACAAGGTTGGCAATGAAAATCCATTCCGGATGAAGGAGATCAAGGCGAGAGTTCCTAGCGATCCAATCAGCCACCTTATTAAATCGACGAGGAACAAACTCAACCGTGATCCAAGGAGAAACACAGAGAATGGAAACCACACGAGCAAGGGATGCCCGACACTGCCAGGGCCACAGGCTCGGATCTTGTCTCAACGCATTAGTCAACCTCTGACAGTCAGAGCGAACACACGTTGGTACAGGGTCCTGGGCCACCCAGATAACTGCATTAAGAATCGCAAACGCTTCCGCTTGAAGCGGGGAAGAACAAAAGAATCGCTCAGCCTTCCCATCGATAACCTGACCGTGGGAGTTTGCAATAGCAATCTCATAAGCCGCCACCTGTGCATCAGAAACAAAGGAACCATCACAATGCACAACCTTACAGAAAGGACCAGGCGATGATAAGGTCGACGATCGAGAGCTCTCAGGCTGAGAAGGCAATCCAGCTGGACATGAGTAGAAATTGGCTGAGGATCCGATCCTAGCTTCTTGGACATTCAAAACATCACGTTCGGCTAAAATTGCCACAGAGGACGGAGAGAACGCCCGACTCTCAAATACCCACCCATTTCGAGCAATCCAAATGTTCCAAAGGGAACACACAATCTTGGTAATCTGGCCAACGGAAACCCTGTCTTTTAGTCCAAAGAACCAATCCACAAAGCAAGAGTCAGCCACAGGAAGCACATTAAGCAGCCCAAGCTGAGTCCAAGTCTCAAGCGCCTTGGGGCAATGAAAGAAGCAATGCATAATCGTTTCCTCCTGGTTCTCACAGAGTGGGCACAGCGGGTTAGGAGCACACTTGCGGTCGAACAACCTCACTCGTGTTGCAATTGCATTTTTACCACATTTCCAAATGAAAAAGCGAAGCTTAGGAGGCAGCTTGAGACCCCACAACCACTTCCAATCATCTCGGCTAGGTCTAGAAGAGGAAAACAAGTCATTACCCAAAGTGGAATCTCGAGTCTCTCGAAACATCCGATAGGCAGACTTAACACTGTAACCACCTGACTCTGTAAGACGCCAAATCCAGCTGTCCTTAGCAGTACATGGACCGACCGGAACACGGGCAATAGCATGAGCAATCTCATCAGGCACCAGATTACGAATGGCCTCCATTCTCCAACTTCGAGAATCACGGTCAATCCAATCACTAACTTTGGATGGTTCCAACCCCAAGTGAGACAGATTGTAACATGGAATAGAAGGAAGCCAAGGGTCACAATGGAACCACGAATCCTCACCAGACATAATACCTCTTAACAAACCACTCTTCATCTGCTCCTTAGCCTCACACAACCCATTCCAAACCCAGGAGCTCTTTCTCCCCTTCGTTGCCGAGAACAACTCCTCATTTGGAAAGTAAAGCCCCTTCAGGAGCTTAGCCCACAAGGCATCGGGGTTATCAAAAAGTCTCCATTTAGGGGCGGAGGTAGCTAGTAGTTAGGGTGTTCCATGGCACACCCTTAGATTGGGACTATAACATAAAAAATAGGGTATTAGTTTATGCTACAACTAGGATTTAACATGGAACCCCTTGTTATTAGCTTTGGCATCTTCCATTAAACCACAATTACTTACGTGATACACTAATACGTTTTATTGTATACATATAATTACTTTACCGTTTACAAATAATAAGTAAATTAAATTAAAAAACTCATAATTGTATCCTTATTCAGTCAATAATCGAAAAAAGTTATATCTATGAGATGAAGAAAGGTAAGAGGTTCACTGGAGTAAAGGAGATTGCTGAGCTTTCTAGTAAGATGGTTTCTACAAAGCGGCATCTAGGATTTCCATCTGTGTATCTTCTTGTGAGGTTAGCATTGTTGCTGCCACTGCAAGTGTTGAAAGAGTATTTTCGACAATGAACTACGTGAAGAACACTCTTCAGAGTCGAATGAGTGATGATATCATGAATGATATTTTGGTAGGATACATCAAGAAGTCCTTCGATGTGTTTTGACAACTCGTCAAAATGCACAAATTAAAAAGCCTTTTCAAGATCGGGATGACAATCAACATGGATCGAACCACCGATAAAACAATTCGATATGTAAATTCACAAAACACACGGTAGAAGTCTAGATTCGAACCGAACATTAAGAACCGAAGGAGCTGACAATGAAAGCAAAATCACATTCCAGCATTTCATTGATTGCGCAAACAATCCACAACCCGTGCATTCAATCAAAACTTCGGATTTAAACAAACGAATTGGGTCGAAGGGGGGAGAGAGATCAGGTGTATATAATAGTGGTCATCCCTCTCAATGGAAAAAAAGTATCCATTTGACCATTTCGATGCCTCGGAATTGGATTGTCACACAATCATCATATCTCTCTTTAGTCTTTCCCCCCTTCGCCTCCCAATTCCATTCATAAAACACAATTTACCACAAACGAAACGAATGAAACAAAAGAGAGACAGAACTACAGAAGAATGGAACGACACGAACAAGAAGATGCAGATGTTGTGCATTTCAAACAGTGGCAGACCCGATTGTGAACAGAGGAGGGACCAGATGGATTCAAAATTGCTTTTCTCAGAACAGGGGAGGAATTTCGATTTTTGTAGAGAGAGAGAGAGAGAGAGAGAGCACTTTCCATTTTGGAATCTATCGTCTTCGAGCTGAAAATGACGAATGAGATGGAGAGGGATCTCTGGTTTTTTCTTGTTTGAATGGTGGATGGCTACTGACTACTAAGCACTGGCTTGGACCGAGTTAAATTTTTTGGGCACGACGTCGGCCCAAATTAATGGTTTTCGATTCTACGGCCCAAATTAATGGAGAGGGATCTCTGGCCTAGGAATTGCCAGCCTTAGGGGTGTTAAAACGGTGTAGTTATCGTGGTAACCATTTTAACCAGTAGTATTTGACTAATTTGGTTTGATTAATTTCGATAATTGATTTGGTTTGGTTAAAAAATTTAGCTTGTTTGGTTTGGTTTCAGGCACTCCTAACCAATCAAACCAAATTAACCAGTTAAGTAATTTGTCATATATCTAATATATATTATATACACATACTTAATACTTTGCATAACCACTCAAGAGTCAAATGTAAGATAATTGTATTTGTTACATGTATTTAGGTTAAGGGTTAACTACAATTATATGGATTGTTATGTGTTGTTCATTATATAAATTGCGAATTGATGCACTAACTGAAAAATTTTCTCACTTAATGATAATGTGGTGTTATATTGGTTATTTTGGTTAACCAATTAACCAAACCGAATAAATTTTAGTTTGGTTAATTTGGTTGTTGTATTAGTTTGGACGGTTTGGTTATGATATTATTTTCCATGGTTAATAGAATTTAGACTTATTTGATTTGGTTATTACCATGGTAACCATTTGAACACCCTAGCCAGCCTCATCAATTACAAGCAGACTTTTTTTTGTTAAAAAAAGGAAATAATCAAACAGACTTCAAAAAAGTAAAAACAATACAAGTATATCGAGTACAAGCTGTATAGGCACACGTATAACATAGTGAACAGCCCAAGCTAACTCCGAACATTCGCCCTCCCCTCATCCTTTTCAACTAGCTACACCATAAACATTACGAAAAATCGAGCTGATCAGGGAGGTGGAGGAATGGAGGGGATCGTTGGGATGGTCGGAATGGATGGAATCGTCGGGATTGTAGGGATCGACGGAATCATTGGAGCTGATGGGTTTGATGGCATGCCAGGAATTGATGGAATCGATGGTATCCCGGGAATCTGAGGGAACGGAGACGAGGAGCCACCACCTCCACCAACAGTCGGAGTAGTGGGGATGCCGGGGATAATGGGGATTGCACTTGGAGGCAGAGCAGTGGGGATAGTTGGTATTCCGCTCGGAGGCAGAGCAGTGGGGATGTATGGCATTGTGCTCGGAGGCAGGGCAGCCGACGGATGGCGAGGGTGATGTCGAGCCTCGGTGCAGTGTTCGAGGAAGAAGACTGCGACGAAGAGAACGACGATGAACACGGGAAGGGAGCTTCCAAGTGCCATTGCTGAATGTTTTAAGTTTTGCTGTGAACTGAGGAAGGGTGATGAGATGAGGATTGAGGACTGAGGAGGGTTGTATTTATAATGGAGTGGCGAGAATAATAGCTTTTCCAATACGGCATAGAGATCAGAACGTTTGCGTTGGGGCAAAAGGAAGGCTAAACAGTAAACACCCTTTTGCTATTTTGTTCGTGTTGGAGACTTGACCATCGCTATAGAGAAACGAACGGTCTGTTGCTGGCAATATTGCCAGTAGCAAGTCTTCTGGTGAAGGTTTGACTTGGAGTCTAGTGTTTTTTTTTCTGTGTGCATGACTAAGTCTAATATCGATTCCCTGTGATTTGGTTCAAAGCACAGTGAAATGGACATGGGGAGACCTGTGGTTGAGAGGTGAGCATGGAGAATTATATCTCAAGGCAATGAGTTAAACCGTAAACGTCTATTTCAGGACTATAATGGCTACAGTCTTTACATTACCAGTCAACGAATAGCGAAAACAGGCAGAAGTAAAGAAAAAAGGGTTATACTCTAATCTCTATTGCTGTGAAGTTGCAGGTCCTGCTTCCTAGACCTGAGTGCAGGAAGCTCTCCGACATGGTATTAGTCTGATGTATCTTGCTCAATGAAACGAAAGGCTGGAAATGGGAATACAGGAAGCAAACTGCCTTGATCTTTCAGTTCTCTTCACAGACTCCTTGGGTGTGCTCTATGGCATCCAGGATATGACAGCAATGGGGGGTTTATACGTGTTCGTGGTGGGCACTGTTACTCGGGAATCCAATCAACAAAAGCACCAAACTCGTCGTTAATACGCTATTGTTAGCATTTTCCTTTCCTCCGTCATAATAGCAAAAACTTACGGATGTCAGACGGAGGAAATGGAAAATGTCAATTGTGTGTTATTAAGACGAGTTTGGTGCTTTAACTGATGGCATGCAAAGTCTAACACCTTGGCCAGCAAGCAATGCTTCCCATTCCTGCACAATGACCCCTTTCAGTGCTCGATTCAGAAGCAAAGATGGAACTGCTACTCTGATTAAGAGACATATTATAAAGTTGAAGGAACCTCTATCTGATAAATATTTATGCATGTATACCCTAAAAGTAAAATCTCCAAGGCATCAACTTAACCATGCTGCCTACTCAATGAATGTAAACAAACTCTTTCAAATGACTTTTGTACCAGAAAAAGGATTTCGCACTCAACCTATTCCAACTCTTAACAGCAAAGATGAACTTAAGCTCGTAGCTGGCCGAACAACAGCAAGACTATAAGTATACCTTAGCTACATCAAGAGGACAAGAGAAGTGCCTGCGTGTTAATTGTTCGACTTCTTTGAGATCAGCAGATGTATAAAGTATGTATTAGCTAATATTATATTTCTATGGTCATTGGGAAATTGCCTGATGCAAAGGAGCTTCGGTTCACAAAGGCTGATGAAGGCACACATTTAATGTCTAGAATCAAAAGCAACTCTCACCCTCTTAACAATTCAAGCTGATCATGAACCAGAAATCACTAATATAGTAAAAACAATTCCACTAAAGACTCTTTGAGGACAGAATGCACATCAAAGCTCAGAGACTCAATAGAGACTATGTACCTTTCGATCGGAAATCAATGCAATGTCAGGAAGTCCCCGAGCCAGTTTTCTCTGCAAATGGGAAACCACGTAATCAGTTGACAGCAAAGTGATTGACTGTCACAAACTAAATGCAGTGAAACAAGAACGACAGTTATGCTATGGCCTCCAAACTCCCATCAATAATCGCAATCTTTACTGATCCTTTTCACCTAGCAGAAGGTATCGAAATCACCCTTATCTCTAATTCAGCTACCCACTGGAGCTGGGAACTACAACAAAGCCGGAGCGAATCGAAAAGCAGATACCTTGCTGCGTCCCCATAGACAGCGCGCGATCCATGTTATCAATGCGCCGCTGTATGGCTCTGAGCAGAGAGTTCAGGGACAACACTCTCTTTCGGACGGCGGAAATCTTCGCCGCGTGCTGCATTATGAACGGCAATGGCGCATCTTCCAGCAACCGATCGAGCTCTGACCAAATTTAGAGAACCTCACAGTCAGCAGTTTGCATGAAATCCTTAATCAAGTCGAGGGAAAGAGAGGAAATGCTTCATTTGTACCTCCGGTGAGACGATCGAGAGAGGAATTAAGCTGGTCTTGGCTTCTGAGCGTGGTCCGAGCTTGCGAATCGAAGTCCCTTATCACATTCGAGAGAATCGTGGATAAGCCCTTCGACAGTGTATCGCTGCTGCTGTTGTTCTCGAGCGTGCCCTCGGCTCCGCCTGGTCGGGATTCTTCGAGATCGGTCTCGCTGTGATTTGCTGCGATAGTAGGTGGGCTTGAATTCCTCGCCGGTGGTGCACTGACGATGGTGATCTCCTCGGTGGTGTCGGCGATGGACGGAGGCTCTTCCATTTTGCGAACTGTGGTTTCGAGGCGGAGTTCAGAAGAAACTCGGAACTCTCATATTTCTCGACGCGATCCCGCATGCGAAGAAATCGTGACCCTGGCGAACGAATTTAGTTTTTTGTGCTTATGGAGCACCCATAGGTGATACGACACCGTGCGTAAACAATGTAAACGGCTTACGTCGAGAAAGACGTTAATACCCCCCAGTTCTCAAGCCGGCAGCGAGACGGATTAGGGTTTCCGATGGGCTATATAAATAGTCGAATAAGCCTATGTGATTTTAGCTTTCAGTCGCAATTCCCTTTCCGTCGTCTTCATTCCATCGAAATCCGGCTGCGGGAGAAAGGCGGAGCTAAGCAACCTGAACCAAGATGAGGGCTAAGGTTCGTTTGTCACTGCTTCTTGTTTCAACGATCTCGTTTACTAGTCTGCGGTGCTGAAGCCTCAATTGTTAGATGTTCATCGTTTATGGCGTAGCATAGGTTTCTATATACTCGTTGCCTGTCGAATCGTAGCCGTTTTCTGTAAGATTAAGTTGATCTTGGAAGTGTCGATGGGTACTGCTATATTTACACAGTAGATATTGTTAAGATGTAATGGATTTGCAGTCCAAAGTTCATAGAATAAACGCACTCGGTAATTTGGAATCGAACTATTGATAGTGATTTCGTGAATTCGATATATTTCATTAAGTTTGCCGTTATATCTTGGGTTCATATTGCCGCAGCTCCATTATATTTCTTTCTGGGGCTGGATGTCGACCGGTGTGTATCATGTTTTTAGGGTTTAGCTCCCAATACTGTCCTCTGTGATGGGAATGTCTTTGATTGTTTTCTGCATCTATGCTATTGCTTGATCAATAGTAATTCTCGTTTTACACACCGGAATGCTGAATTTTGTTGTTTGTTCTTTCTTTGTGTGCAGTGGAAGAAGAAGCGTATGAGGAGGTTGAAGAGGAAGCGCCGAAAGATGAGACAGAGATCCAAGTAGGCTCTCCTGTTCAGCTAGCTGGAAGATTTGGTCCCTTTGGAGTTCATTCACTCGTGGATGTAGTCTAGGGGGAAAGGCTGTTTTGATCTTTCAGTACTAGTGTTTAGTAGTAGTTCCAAGGCTCCTTCATCCATGTTAACCTCTGCTCTACCGCAGGGTTAAAACAGTTCGAATCGTATTACCCTCTACATTACAGTTCACTATGTCTTCTTTTATGGATGGTCTTTGAACAATGCCATAGTGTTATTTGGTTGTATCTACCTGCGGCAATTCAAGTGATCTACTCTTTGATGTTTTGCGGCAACATATCTTTCTTTGCAGTAGTAGTGTATCACTGTTTGTTTTCTTTGAGCTCTCTGCGTTGGCCAGATCTCGTCAATGCTCGTCTCGTGCCATATGATGTGCTGTGGAAGAATATTGATTGATCTTCGTATAATGTTGCTTACAACAATCAACAAGTAATCAAAGGCTAAATAGGATAGTAAAGTTTACATTCTCAAGTTAGCGCAGTCAATTGAATGCTGTATCATAGTGTAGAAAGGAAATGCCTTCTGTTCCACTACACGTTGAAGGCAGGGCCTGTAAATCCAGAGTTATTCATCCGCTTTACAAAATGAACATGATCTAATCTCACTCCTTTCTTCCAATCTGTCTCCCTTGAATTATCGAGATCTTTGATGACTGATGTTACACATTCAACCCTTCGAGTTCGAGGTCATATTGCATGACAAGCCTCTCCAAGGTATTCAACCGCACTACTCCCCGCCCATACAACTCCTTCAAAACGTCGGCAGCCAAATCCTTCTCCCCTTCGTGCACAATCCCTTCTACCAGAATCGTGTAAGTCGTCTCATTAGGCAAGTACCCTTTCTCCACAATCATCTCAAAGACCTCCAGTGCCAGATCGGTCCTCCCACACTTGCAAAACCCTAGCACGAGTGCGTTGAAATTGTCCACCACGGGCTTGTATCGATTCTCCTCCAGCAGCTGGAAGATCTCCAACGCCTCGTTCAGCATCCCTTCCACGCACAGGCCCCTGATCAACGACGAGTAAGTGTGGGAGTCGGGAGTGAAACCATCTTTTGTCATCTCGTACAGAAGCTGGAATGCCGCGTAGGTGTTCCCCTTTCTCGTCAAGCTGGCAAGCACCCCTTTGTAGAACTCGTGAGTGGAAGCACTCCGCTTCTTCCCCAAGGTTTTGATAATGGTGAAGGCCTCCTTCACCTTCTTCCCTCCTTCCTCACAGAGCACCGCGATGGCGCTGTAAGTTCCATCATTAGGCATGACATGGCGATACAGCATCTGATCCAGACACTTCACGACCATCTCCACCATTCCTTCCTTCGCCAAACGAGCGATGATCGGATTGTACGTCGCAGTTGTCGGCTTGTGAGCCGCCCCCTTCGTCATTTCATCGAGCACTTGGAGCGCATGCTCGGTTCTCCCATGTAGCGCCAGCGAGCTGATGAGTATGTTGTAAGTAATCGCAGAGGGAGTTCTTTCCTCCCCGTCCATCTCCGCTAACAACTCATTCGCCTCCTCCCACCTCCCTTCATAACACAAATTCCTCAACAGTATGTTGTAGCTCACCACATTGGGACTATACCCTTTGGAAGGCAGCTCCCTGAACAACCGAATCGCGTCGTGAATCCTCCCTTCCTTGCACAAACCAGTCAGCAGCACATTGTAGCTGACCAAATTGGGCATCCCTCCTTTCGCAATGATCTCATCCAGAAGCTTCATTGCCTCGTCCGCTCCTCGCTCCTTATACGCGGTCTCGAGCAGCGACGAGTAAGTGAATGCATTGGGGACGAGCCCTTTCTCTATCAACCTCTCGATGAACTGCAAGCACTGGTTCAAATTCCCCTGCATACATAGCCCTCGAACTAGTGAGTTATAAGTCGTACTGCTCGTGGGGAGCCCGAATTCCTCCATCTTCTCCACGAACTGCATCGCGTGCCCGACATTTCCCCGTTTACAGAGATTGTTAACCAGGAAAGTGCAGGAAGCTGCGTCAGGGATGATCCCGGAATGGATCACCATTTCCATGACTCGAATTGCTTTCTTCAGCTTGTCCGATTTGCAGAGGTCGTACATCAATTGGGTCGCTTTGATGACGTCCGGCTTCTGCCCTTTCGCCACCTTGTGCTCCAGATTGTAGAACTCTTCGGTTTGTCTTGCTTCCTTGCTTCTAGCACTGGGATTTGGATTATTCGGAGAGTCCCTCCAGTTGGGTAGCGTCAAGACAGAGTCTTTTGGGGAAATTGTGATCTGGGTCGAAGCCAAAACTTTGGTGAAGGCCTTGTTGAGGGAGAAGGAGTGGAGATTCGGGACGTGGGAGAAGAATCCGCAGGAGATCGTCATTGAACCTCCGGTGGTTTCTTGGCATTGGGTTGGTGAAGTCGAAACTGGGTTTGGCAAACTCCTCATGATTCAACTAAATCCTCAGAATTAAGGGAGTTTCTAGGGTGGTACAGAGGGCAGGGGAAGTGTCACCGGGTCAGTGATCGACGGCGAAGTGTATTCTTCGCGGATGATGGTTTGGACCTTGGAGACGTTGAGAAGCCTCCGTCCATTCAATCCAAGACTGGCTCGCTTTTCTACCCTTTTCCGCGTTATCCGAATGTTAAATTTTTTTTTTGTCGGTTCATGAGAAGGCCACGTTTCCGGGTTCGGGGGATAGGTTAGGGTGGTTATCAATATCTATACCATTCATTATCTTTATTTTATTATATTTTTAAATTAACGATTAAAATTAGATAAGGGTAATTTAGGAAATGAAAAACATACCACACCTGATTATTCTATATATTATACTCAAACCCTAATACAACCCCACAACCGCCGCCGTCTTCTCCCTTCTCCCTCCTCCCTCCGACCACCCCAACCGGACCTCCCTCCCCTCGATGGCGTCCCTCCCTCCCCTCTCACTCCCCCCGATGGCGTCCCTCCCTTACCCCTCGCCGTCGCCGCCACCTCAGCTCTCCGCTCCCCTGCCGGCCGCGTCGTACGTCGAGCACCAGAAGGAGACGGCCACCTCTGCTCCCCGCTCCCCTGCCTGCCGCCGCCGTCACGATCAGGAACGACGTCAACGTCAAGAAGGAGACGGTTCAGATCGAGGAGGATGAGGAGAATCCCGGTAGTTTCCTCGTCGCGCTCACCATCGTCTCTGCAATTGGAAGGAGGAATTCCATTGGAATGGTATGTCTTTTTTTTAAATGGTAGTCATTTTTTTTAAATGGTAATCATTTTTTTCGTAGTGGTAGTGTTATTGTCGTATTGGTATAGTTTTTGTCGCATTGGTATTGATTTTGTCGCATTGGTATTGATTTTGTTACATTGGTATTGATTTTGTCGCATTGGTAGTGATTAAATCTGCAATGGTATTGATGTTTTGTGAAATGGTAGTGTTTTTATTTCTTGAATAGTAGTTTTCGTGTAATGGTATAAATTTATTTCTGCAATGGTAGTTTTCGTGTAATGGTATAGATTTATTTCTGCAATGGTATTGATATTTTTCAAAGTGGTAGTGTTTGTCTAATGGATTGGTACTAATTTCATTTTTTTTTCCAGAAAGATTGAGAAAAATATGGAAAGGAAATCTGGCAGGTGATTACGGAAGTGAGAGAAAGAGAGATATTTAATTAATAGATTTTTGTAACTACCTTAAATGTAATTTATTAAAAAATTAATTAATATAATTTATTTTTCCATACCCAATTTACCCTTAGTAACCACAGTGATTACTACTTTGTACTAATCACCGTAACCTGTCCCGGGTTCGGGTGTATCATTTTGGATCCCGTTTGAACTTTGGGCCCTGTTTGATCCACGGGCTTCAAATAGGAGGAAGAGCCCGTAACCGTTTGAGACCACACGTGGCGTTTACTCCGAGTACACCTGTCATCCTCGAGGCACTTGACACGTGCCACGTATGCCGCCTCAGAAACACTATATACGTAATGAAGGAAACGAAAACCAGGCGAGAAGGAATAGAATAGATAGCAACAATGGCGAAGAGCAAGGACGATATAAAGTACGGGACGGCGCAGGCGAAGTTATCTGAGGACGAGGCGATGAGGATTCGGTACAAGCACGGCTCTCCGTTGGAAGGTGGCAAGATAGCTGACTCCCAGCCGGTGGAATTGTTCTCTGGTGCTCATAGCGTCGCCGATGCTAACGCTGATGAAAGGGATTCCTCCGGCGGTGGTCAGTCTCAGCCGGATCGGCCGCGAGGCGGTGTGGCCGGGGAGAAAGCTACCGATCTTCCCACCGGAGCCGGCTGATGGAGAATCGGGATAACTTTGTATGCTTTCTTAGTTTAGGAGTCTTGTCCTTGTTTGGAGTTTGTTATCGAACTAAATAAGTGTTTGCTACTTTGCTTGCAATAATTACCGGTAGTCCGTAAATGAGATGGAAAAGAAGTGGGGAAAAAGACAGAACAGAACAGGATAAGGAAAATGAAAATGGATCCCTATATAATTAACCTTCCTCTATATACGGAACCAAAACGAGAAGAAAAGAGCCCAACAATGGCGGATTGGCAAAACCTTCCGGATGAGCTCCTGGACATAATAGCCACAAAATTCACCACCATCTCCGCCAACATCCGATTCACCGGCGCATGCCGTTCGTGGAGAATCGCCGGCTTACAACACCGTCTCCCCCTAACTCAGCGGCGACGGATTCCAGGCCTCATGCTTCCCCCAAATCGCCAAAGCAAATTACACAATTTCCCCTGCAAATTCATTCCACTAACCGAGTTCATCAACCATGGTAAGAAGAAGAAGAACAACAACAGGGGCGGCGAAATTCCGTGGCGGTTGGGAAAGAGGAGCGTCTGCATCGGGTCGTTGAAAGGATGGATGCTTATTCTGGACTACGACTGCAAATGGAGGCTGCAGAACCCTGTGACGGGCGCGGAATTCGCTCTTCCTGCAACCGGATCGAGACTGAAGAGGAGTGAAAATTATCAGCCATTCGTGTGGTGGGTTAATAGGCATCGATATAGGGTTTCAATCTGGGCTCCTCCTCCTCCTCCTCCCTGGAGCGGCGGCGGCGGTGGTCACTCTGTTTCCGTTTCCGATTGGTTCGTCTCCGTCGTCGAGCCTTGGAAAACCCACATGAGGTATTGCAGGGTTGGAGATTCGAAGTGGGTAGTTGTGGATTTTTCAGAGCGTAGGCTTGGAATAGTGGATGCACTCTGGGCTGAAGAAGAAGGGTCTCTTTATGTGTTGAATGCAGCAGGGGAACTCTTCTGCTGCGAAGGCGGCGGCCCGGATAAGAAGCAGAACAAGAGGCTCGTGGCATTTGGCATTGCTAACTTCTTGGAACAGGATCAATGGAGAGCATTCAAATTCCTGGTGGAAGTTGAGGGGGAGATTCTGCTGCTTAGCCGGAGGATGGAAGCTCCCCAAAGTGCTGGCATGTTTGAGTTTAAGAGAACTAGCGGGTTCGATGTGTACAGACTTGACAGGGAGGGGATGGCGTGGGCTGAGATGGCGGAGTTGGGAAAGCTTGCTGTGTTTGTAGGGTTTGGGCAGCCGTTCTGGGTTCGAGTCGAGCCAGAGTCGGGGATCAAAGGGAACTGCATTTACTATCTGGATATGGAAGAAAATAGTTGTATTTGGTACGGTATTTGTGCGTACGATTTGAAGACCTCAACGGTTGAGTTCTTAGATTTCGAACTTGAGATGCCACGGTACGGGTCCTACGGGAAACCAGCCCGATTGCCTATACCCATAGCTCCAGAGTCTTGGTGAGACGGGGGACGATGGCTCTAGCTGAAGGGAAGGAGGGGAGGGAGGGATGCGATACCAGAAAGCTTGTGTTATTGATACAATAATGTTATGGATTCAAGTTGAACTTGTGATTGTTATGTATAAATTTTTAAAGGACATATGAAGTTAGTTAGTTAGTTAATGACCACTAATACAGTAAACAATCTTTTTGTTCCAACGTGAAACAAATTACTAAATCAAATGAACAATCATGTCGTTTAATAATTTACGTCTCAACAAAATGGAACAACAGGGCAAAGAAGAGTTGGTAAACCAGAAGGGGAATGACACGATGAAACAAAATGATAATGGTACGGGGAGCCTATCCCTTTGGGTGAATAAATGAGAATACTTTACCTACAACTACCGTGGGAAGCGGGCAGTTCGAACTCTTAAGTTGCTATTACGATAAGTCTCCCCATATATAGTTTTCTTAATGTAAACAAAGCAAACAAAGGACGAGAATGAGACCACTAGGACGGAAATTGGTTTTTTGGAAGGTGAAAGCTGGCCATGGGAGTGATGAGACACCCTCTAGTAAAGGAAGAGCAGAGGACACAGGGTCATCGTTTCATTATGTTTGATATTAAAGTGGTTGATACGCAGAATGGAACTTTGAGGTTCTCCGACATTTATGGATGGCCGGAGAGTGGTGAGAAGCACCAGAAGTTGGAATTGATGAGTTCGTTAACACTTAACAACAGTGGGATGGGATGGGCCGTGGGTGTGCCGGAGATTATAATCAAAATCATGATTTGCAACTGGCACGTGCGGAGTCCGTGACACGACTGAAGTGGCGGTGCTCGGCCTGCCGCGTCGAGAAAAAATATAAATAGCGGAACCCGCCGTCGTCAGCTGCCGTCCTAAAGGTTATCATTTCTTCCTCTTACCGTCCCCAATTCGGATTCCAATTGGAGCGGGAAACATCTTTTACAGCCATGAAATCGTCGAAGCAAGTGGCGGCTAAGGCGGATAACAGCGGAGGCGTATCCGCTCGCGTGCAGACTCTCCACCAGCGTCTCCACAGCGCTCTCGGCCTCGGCACTAGGTCAGTCCAGTTCGGTTCCTATCCAATCTGACCGGACTCGGCATATTATTTTTCTCGTTCGGTTCCCCTGAAAAATTCGATCGTATTGTTTGCTGGTAGATTTCATGACGGTAAAGGTTGGAAGTGGAAGTCGACAGACATCGAGATACAGCGACACGTTCTTCGTTCGATTTCTTCGTTCCTCGATAGCGTGACGCCGGATATTTCTCGCCATAGTGTAGTGAAGGTCGGGTTTCTGGTACTCATGGCGTCCGAATTTTTGATCATTCAGTAATGTTTAGTAGGATCTTTAAGGAATTGATTTTTGAGGTGTTCTGTTTCAGGACTCAGTGGCCGATATTATTGGAGCGATGGTGTGGATTCTTCAGTACAAAAGTCAAGCTGCCGTGAGCGTAGCTGCAAATGTTGTATTGAAGTTGATGAACGCAATCCCTAAGTCGATCATGTGGCCGTATTTGTTAGATCTGGTTCGTCCTTTGTTGTCTTTGTTATGTGGCTACTCTTTAGAAGTGTTGACTTCATGCGCCATCGCCTTGAACATGATCCTCTCTCGCATGACCGTGAAAGAGGATCCAATGGTTTGGGAGATGCTGAATGATTCAAACTCTGTTCATAGCCTTGTGAATAGTTTATCTGTTGTTCCTGGTAGTGGTGATGTTGCGAGTATGGAGTGTTTCCTGGAGATGGTTTCTCTGTTGAGTACAATACTGCATCGGTGGCCTCGATCTCGGTATTGTGTTTGGAGCAATGTCAAATTCATGGAGGTTTTGGGGATTATGATCCAGAGGCCTGAATTTTCTGTTAAGATTGTTGTGATGAAGTTATATGCTGGAGTAGGTATAATGTCTGTACATTTTAGCATGTTGACCTTTCACAACTCTGAAATCTGCTAGTTGAATGATCAAGTTGACGTTTGGTGTGGCAGCTTTGTGTGGTAATGGTGCCAAGAAGCTTCTACAGAATGAAGAAGCTCTCGGGGTGATGGTTTCCTGTATGGACAAGACATGCCCCATTTCGTTGCGCTTAGAAGGGTTTAGACTTGCAAGATGTTTGGCGGTAATAACTTCTCCACTTATTTTTTCAAACAAGTATGATTGAGACTCTTGGACTGTTTGAGTTATTGGTTGACGGTGTTATGTTTTCTAGACAAATGAAGAGGGATACTTAACAATGGCGAGCTTGTTCTGTGGACCCATTGTTAAAGCTATAGTTGATGGGATGATCGGATGGTCATTGAATTCGAGGAAGATGGATGATGATCAACTATCTTTGTTGGTTGAAGCTTGTCAACTGGCTTGCATAGTCCGTTGGGGAGGGGAGCATCATAACTATTTTTGGAAACATGATATATGTTACGTCCTCCTTCGTCTTCTTTCAGAAAATCTTAGTGATGCTTCTTCTCAAGGTTTCTTATTGTTGGAGGAACAAATTCCTGTTGCCAAAGAAGCTCTCAAGGCTGATTTTCTCATTACTATTAGGCCTTATATTTGGGATATTCTTGGATGGCTTGCGGCTCAATGTACGAACGGTATAAACCATGAACTGTCTAGCCATGAAGGTCACATCAACATCCTCATAACATGTGCATGGTAATATTTGTTACTTTGCACATATTCTGTTTTATGGACATCTTCAGATACTAATATGATCTCGCCTTCTTTTGTTGCTTCTAGCTTGTCTTTTGTGGACTCTATTCAGAAAGGCGGCATAATAGTAAATGATGTCACTGAAACTTCGGAAGGTGGATCTGCTACAAGGGCAGTTCTGATGATGATATATTCTCCGTGCAAGTACTTCGAGTCAAAGGCTAAACAAACATTGTCTGAAATTCTAAAGCATGGTGGAAAGGATTATATGAAACAGATTTTACGTTATCTAAGTATTATATCTTCCAGGAAAGTTTTTGGCTCGCCTGACGTACACGCAGCAGGTGTCAACTTGATGGCTGCGACATGTTACTCCGGTCTGCCACTGTATCAAAGCCCTATGATAAAAAGTGGAGGAGTAACTGTTCTAATGGCTTTTATAGGATGGTGCATGAAACACGAGGTTCATGTCAAGGGACTGGGCCTTGTTCATCATGGTCTGATCTCTAAGAGACTTTGTTGTTGGGAGGATAAAGAAGACTGGGAAGGTGATGAAATGCTTCTATTGTGTGGCTTGTGGGGACTAGCAGAGCTCTTGTTCTCTGAATTTGTTCTGAATGCGGATGTATCTTATGGAAATATGGGTCTCACAGAAGCAGAATTTGTTGGAACTCTTAAAGATATATGTATGTCTTCTAGTTCTCCTGGACTGAAGTGGTACAGTGCACACATGCTTAGTTACTTTGGGCTATATGGTTTCCCTTGTAAACTTGGGCAATGTATTGGGAGAGCGTTGCATGAAAATGAAGATGCGGATATGCAAGTCATTCTAAGAAGCGGGCAGAGTTCGAGGGTGCACTGTGTTATTCTTTCTATCAGGTGTCCATCATTGTTGCCTCCTCGGAAATCAAGCTTGCAAAAGCAGGAAGTGGAGTCGGGTAAGGAAATTCACTTGTCTTCACATGTTGGAAATGAAGAATTGACCAAACTTTTGGAATATGTGTACTTGGGATATACTCGCCCAGAAGAAGAACATGTGAAGAAATTGAAGATTCTTGCAAAACATTGTGGTCTCCAACCCCTATCAATGGTTCTGAGCAGAAGCCGTCCAAATTGGGGATCCCCTTTCCCCTCTTATGATCTTTCTGTCGCTCTTACTTCGGCTGGTCAAATGTTCTCGTAAGAGTTCAATCCTTTATCCCTTCAGTTACCAACTTATCTTACTTTTGTGGTACTTATGAGTTATGGCTAAAGGTATGGGGTCCATTAGATATAGTACTTGACAGTTTGGTTTGTTTTGGTTTTCAGGGACATTATACTGGAGTCTAAAGAAAATGTATCAAGTAGCTGGGAATGCACATTCTGCTCCGTATCCCGACCCCATGTGCACGCTCATAAAGTTGTGCTGGGTTCAAGGTGTGATTACCTAAGGGCCCTTTTTCAATCTGGCATGCAAGAAAGGTGATCACCTCTTACTATATATATTTTCGCTTCCGTCTTACCTTAATGTCCTTATAATAAATTGGTTCGATTTTTCATCCAAGTTACTGTAATTCCTGTTGATGCAGTCATTCCAACACCGTAAAAGTGCCTGTTAGCTGGGACGCCTTGAATAAGTTAGTGCATTGGTTTTACACGGAAGAGCTGCCTAATCCTCTAACTGGATGTCCATGGCTCAACATGGGAACAGAGGAAAAGCTGCAAGCCGTCCAACCATATCTCGAACTCTGCTGGATTTCTGATTTCTGGTTTTTGGAGACAGTAGGAGACATATGCTACATAGTGGTTGTGTCTCATATGGAGGACTCGGACGTGAGTTTATCCCTTAAACTGCTTCAGCTTGCTGCAAACTTGTCGCTGTGGAAACTAGCTGAAGTAGCCGCTGATCGTCTGGCTCTTGCATATCGCCAGTTATGCCAGTCTGGGGATCTTGAATTGTTGGATGAAGGTCTGGCCGAAATGATTCGTGCTGCTTCTGTTAGGATCTCTCAATCGCTTTAAGGAGTTGAAGGTAATGTCGTCTCTACCTTTGTCTTCCTGTCCCTTGTAGTCACTAGACATATACTTGAGACATAATCAAAGAATAGAACATGTCATTGATTGAGTAGTTACCATTTTATTCGATGATTACAAGTTACTTCTATTTAGAAGTGGTGTCTATATCATACATACATCAGCATGCTATGTATCAAATTAAATGTTTATTTCCTTTATCTAATGCTGTATTGTGTGTTTGTATATTCCTATTTCCTTGTCAGGCAGAAGGCGAACCATCTTCCTCCCTTAGTTGCAGCCTAGTAGCACCGGCTGCAAGTCTCTTACTACGTCCTGCATCGAGATCGTGGAGTCAATGTCTTTCTGCAAAGAAACAACGGGGAAAAGTCGTTAGTTCGAAAGGTCGACTCTATTAACATCAGTTCTTATTCCGCCTCAAGTCTCCACTGAACGAAGAGTATCATCATACCTTGGTCACAAGCGTTACATCCAAGGAACATCTCCCGAAAGGCACGACATTGATGGCTAGCACAGTCAGGTGAAGTTTCTCTACTTCCCTAACAACTCTGGCTAGCAGACCGTGATGTTTCTCGCAGTGAATCCTGATCAGCACGTTCTCATCTAAGCCTCTCGCTTCCACTTCCGGGATCAAATTATCATCACCAATCCGACTCACGAACTCCTCATCAATCTCCATCTGGGACTTCTTCACGAAGATGATGGACTCCACCAACGTCCTCTTGGCTTTCTCGTGCAGCTCGTTCACCCTCTCCTGAAGCTGCTTGATGTACTTGATCGCCTCTCCCAGCACAGTCGCCTTGTCTCCCTGAAGAAAAAACAAGCAATCAATCAGCAAATGAGCTCGGATTAAACCGAAGAACTCAATCGCATCCTAGGAGGCAGGCAGGGCATTACCTTCTTCAGGTTCGGTATGTTGGCAGAAAGAGCAATGAACTGCTTGTTCAAATGCTCCCTGCGCTTCCTCTCCGCCAGTATGTGGTGCGGCACTGGCAAACCGCTCCGACCACTTCCCGAACTTGAAGCCGCCCTCATCGGCTGTTCAGGGGCCGCCGCATTGGCATTGTACTCCGACGAAGAAGGATGATGGTTGATCAAAGCAGACAGATCGTCGAACCCATCCGAGCCCTGCTGCAAAGAATCTTGCCCCAACGGCAGGAAGCTACTCAAATCCATTGGCGGCTGGTGGGTAGAGGTTGTTACAGTTAGGATTCCAGAAGCGAGAAGACAAAGGGATCCAACTGGTCGGTTTGAAACTTCCTGGAAAGCAGCTCCCTTTTATTCACAGGGAGGAAAACGCGTGGAAGTAAGATCCGATGCCGAGAAATCTAACTCAAGATAAATGAGGGGGCGAGGTTTTGGCTAGATAGCAACTGAATTTTAAAAATTCTGTTGCCTGTTTTGCGCGAGGAGATAGTAAAGATGGCGGCAAGTCATTCTTTTCCCTCCATCGGCCATCTCTGTCAGAGGTTTGATTAGTTCCAAGTATCTCAATTTTTTTTGGCGCGTTCCCTTCCTGTATTTATTTTATTCAAAGATTCTGCCTTTCTTCTTCTTCCTTCCCTAGGGAGTTTTGGGGAGTTCGGTCTTGGCATGTTCGAGCAAAGGAAAGCAAAGATTGAGGATGGCGGCAGTGCATATAGAAAATACAGGGGCCAGCCTGGAACTCGAGGTACGGGAAATTCTCCTTTGTTTTTTCTGGTTCTGCCGCATTCTGCAACCTGACAGAGACAGACACTTGGCTTTGTGTTTGGATTTGATTAATCAGTAATCAAACACAAGGCAATTGGCTGGTTATGTGTATCAATTTTTTATTCGTCTTGGTCTTTTTCTATTGGGTTACACGAGGTGCTGCGGTAGGTAGGTTGGATTTGAGCAGCAGGGGATTTGCTAGAACTGTAGATAGGGTGTTGAACTGGAAATCGAAGACGAGAATTAGAACCGGATGGAAAGTGCATTTATTATTATTATTATTGTTATTGGTGTTTCCATTTCCTTCTCCGAACCGATTACGAACAGTGGAAAATCGGTTCCCTCTTTCTTGTATATTTTATCCCGAGATAAACTCGAAGATAACTTGAATGTGAGTATATGGTTATGCATTGTTCAAATGTGTCTCGGTTTCGAATGTCGAGTCGTCTACTACTGTCTCAGGTTGAGCTCTTGCAAAATGCAATGATTGCCAAGTTTGCAGGTTATGGTTCCTTCACTGTGAACAAAATACAATCTGTTAGCGGGATAGCACTAAGTCTACTTCTCTGCTGAATGATTGCCAAGTTTCAAGTCTGGGCTCTGAACGTCCGAACGTGCATGTGGATGCTTGGGCACATACTTTGGGCCTGGGCTTCTCTCTCTCTCTCTCTCTCTCTCTCTCTCTCTCTCTCTCTCTCTCTCTCTCTTATCCTACTTAATCATATCACCTAGTAATAATAGAGCATATTAGCCAACGGTCAATCGTTCATGACTCAGTTGCTTTTTTCGCCTTTCAAGGCTGGTAAACAGCCGATCTGATTTCACTCCCCAACATAAATGACTACCTTTACCCAATCTCTCTTTTATTGCCTCCCTTGTCTTCGGAATCTTAAACACATTCTTAATTGAAATCATTCATTTGGTATTTCCACAAGAGAGAGAGCTATTTCCCTCTCAGCTCAAAAACATTCCTACCAAATTCCAAAGAGGGAATGGCAATGCCTGCTCTCCCCGTTGTAGCCAAATCAGCACTCTTCATAGCATTCTCCATCTTGCTAACCATCTCCCTCTTCACCTCCTTCCCATTCCAAATCCCCAACTTCCTCCCCACCACCACCACCTATCCTTCTTCTCTTCCCATCATCACAAGCCCCGACCCACCCGACCCAACCTTCTACGACGAGAACACCCTGACCTACTCGATCGGGCGACCCATCCCTGACTGGGATGCAAAACGAGCCCGATGGTTGAACCTCCACCCATCGTTCTCGGTCGAGAAGAACCGGGTCATTCTAGTCACGGGGTCTCAGCCTTCCCCGTGCAGGCACCCGACGGGCGACCACCTCCTGCTCAGGATGTTCAAGAACAAGGTCGACTACTGCAGGATCCACGAGCACGAAATCTTCTACAACGACGCCCTCTTACATCCGAAGATGACGGGTTACTGGGCCAAGTACCCGATCATCCGGGCGGCCATGGTGGCCCGCCCGGAGGCCGAGTGGGTCTGGTGGGTCGACTCGGATGCGGTTTTCACCGACATGGGGTTTCGAATCCCGTTCGAGAAGTACGAGGGCTACAATTTGGTGGTGAACGGGTGGAAGGAGCTGGTGTATGGAGAGAAGAAGAAGAGCTGGACCGGATTGAACGCCGGGGTGCTCTTGATTCGAAACTGCGAGTGGTCGATGGAGCTGATCGACGAGTTGGTGAAGATGGGGCCGCAATCCGCTGAGTATGCGGATTGGGGGAAACGGCAGAAGGAGGTTCTGAATGATAAATTGTTTCCCGAAGCCGATGACCAGTCCGGCCTCATTTACTTGCTTATCAACGGCGGCGCCGGCGGAGGCCAAAAATTCAGGGAGAAAGTCTACCTTGAAGACGACTATGATTTCCAGCGGTACTGGTTAGACCGAGCGGGTTCGTTCGAGAATGCGACTCGGGACTACGACGAGGTGTTGGACGGGGAAGACGGCGGCGGCGTTTTGCGGCGGAGGCACGCCGAGGGAGTGAGCGAGTTCTACGGCGAGATGCTCGCAGAGCGGATCAAGGAGTGGGATCGTAGCAAGAGGAGGTCGCTGATCACGCATTTTACAGGGTGCGAGCCGTGCTCCGGCGAGCACAATCCGATGTATAGCTGGGAGGATTGTTACGAAGGGATGGTGAAGGCCCTGAATTTCGGTGATAATCAGGTGCTGTGGAATTACGGGTTCGTTCGTCGGGATTTGATGGATTCTTCTCTGGTTTCTCCTCTGATCTGAATTGGGAAGTTAGTGATTGTTTTTGGTAATGGCTATTCTTGGTTGAAATTTAAGTAAATTCTGACAATTATGATCAAGAATACGTTGAATCATGATGATTGGTGATTTAAGATATGGATCTTAATTGATATTCATGACAAGTGTTATTCTTTGGTAATATTGCATGGGAAGTTAATGATATGGTTTGGATTAAATATTTAAATGGACAAAAATAAAATTAGCCTTTTGTTTTTGTGATGCGACGAGTATATTATATGTTAGGGCGTTTTTATTGTTTATAGTCGGTAAATTTAGAATTTTTTTCACTTGTTTGATCATGGTTACGGATCTATAAAGGATTGGAGGCAGAAAATAATTAATTGTAAGTTGGCAGCTTTAACTTTGCATCTTCTCTTTAGGGGGCAGCTTTAATCTTGATTAACATTTTGTCTAATGCTGGCAGCATCTTTTGTTGGAACCATCACTGGAGCTTTTCTAGCTCCATGGTTTTATTATCTTTCCATTTTTTCGGGCCCATGAGAAGTTGTAGTATTTTTGAAATGTGCCTTAATCAGTTGAGCATGGGAAGATTAGGTGATAACCCTTATAGGGATTAGCATCGTGATAACTAGCAAAAATCACTACGGATTATTATAAAATCAATACAACTTCTAAGCTAAATCACTACTACTTCAAACTAGTAGTAGTTTTTCCCTTGGTTAGGACGGTGCTAACTATTGTACAATTAGCACCGTAACCCCTCGTATGGGAAGTTCTAATTGAGCGAGCTAGTATGTGGGCCGAACTTTAAGCCTAGCTAATGAACCATCTCGAGAGATTACTATTTCAACGAAATTTAGTTGATAAGAGAACCACGCAAATGAGGGGTTAATGATAAAAGTACACGTTTGGAAATGGGCCCGTGATAAAAGTACACGTTTACAATATCCCAATCCTATGAAAGAATTTTTTTAATCTACTATGCACAAAGAATGAGCGAAAATAATAATGAAATCTCTATTCTCTATGACGAAAAATATATTCTCATTCTTCTGATTGCCATTATAGCATCGCAACCTTCAAATCTTCTGATACACACTATACTATATTCAATTATTATGGTGAATAAAGAATGAAGATACAAAAACACCAGCACAACCAAAGAATGTTAGGACTGTTGTGAAATAACAAGGAAGAGCAATAGACATAAGAGTAAGAGTAGAGACACAAAAAGAGTGGGGGATAGAGCTTTCTTATTCATGTATTCCTTAGTACAAGGAGATCATATATTTATAGGCATACATCACATAACCCCTACATTCTTACAATCAATATACATGAATGTGAGAATGAATGTGAAATAGAAATGGGGTGGGGGGTTACATGTAACACCCAATTGTGCATCTAATGTGTCATATGAAGAAATAAATATAAGGAGATGAGTTACATAGAACTTGTAACATACCATGGAGCATCTAATGTTGGTCATCCATAATGATAATAATATTTTCATAACACTCCCCCTTGGATGACCATTAGACATGAATATGCCTCGTTAAAACCTTACTAGGAAAAACCCTGTGGGATAAAATCCTAGTGAAGGAAAAAGAGTACATAATCATCATAATACGCTATTTGAATCTGCCTCGTTAAAAACCTTACCAGGAAAACCCAGTGGGAAAACCATGGTTAAGGAAAAAAGAGTGCAGTGCGTATATGCTCCCCCTCATGACAACATCAATAGTATTGTGAACAAATCTTTCAAATATTGTCATGGTAAGCTTATTAGTGAACAAATCTTCTAGATTGTCACTTTATGCATGATCCATTAGGACCATTTTCTTCATACATGATCTTCAAGATCATTTTCTATGAATATAATCCGCAACCACAAGTCATTTAGACGTGTTGAATAACAAATCTTAACCAAACAATTCATAACAAGTCTCATGAATTGTTGACCATTGTTCATGATAAGATGATGTTGTTATTGTGATTTCTTTGGAATCTCCATGAGATACTTGTACGACCATGAGTAAACAAATTACTCATCTATGATCCTCATCGTTACCAATAGGTAACAAAGTATAACTTAATGAAGTATACATTTTTGCTCTAACGACATTGGCATATGGTACTTCAGGACCTAATAACTCGCTTCTATCTCAAGGCCTAAATTGATCTTTGTTCACTTCTAGTGACCTTATGATCATTTGGCTATTGAACGTATGCAATTTTTCCATACAAAATTGTTCTTTCACTTTTCCGACATTGTCGTCTTGATCCAAAAAGAATCTTCTTAAATCCTCCATGTTCAATTTTCTTTCTTTAAGCAAACCATGCTTTATGAAGCTCTTCTGGAGTTCATATCAACTAAAACATATGAGATCATTATAAAATAATGTCTCGACTCTTTTCTTCCAAATAACTATAAAACTTAGCTAACACAATTGTACGCAAACAATTACTTCATAACACAAGGTCACAAGCAAAAGGCACGTCATACACACAACATCACTTAACCAAACCACATTCATAAATCAAACACATAACTAAAACCACAATATCACGCACATAAGCCTATATGTCATTACACAATCACACATGCAAAATGCAAATGCTCTAATGCACTTTATTCGAATTTAATCACGCAATGCTTATACGACCACTTCCTTTAGTAGATATTCACTTAGATGAATATACCATATTCATCCATTTTATCTCAATCCATAAAAAGGATTGTTTTATCGATCGATATTGTTCTCGAGAACTTCACATGTTTGCTTCCGGCAAACTAATCCTTCAAGGAGTTTCGTATAAATATCATTATCAAGGGATCCATACAAATAGGCTATCACAATATCTACCAAATGTTCATGCTTTTTGAACTGCCAAACTATTTAAATTGCACAACATAGTTGCATCCACCACAAGAGAGTATGTCTCTTCATAATTGATGTCAGGTTTCTACCAGAAACCTCTCATGAGAAATTGTATTATATCTCTCGCAATTTCCATACGCATTTGCACAAAACCTATTTGTATCCCGTTAGTTTTACATCTTCAGGTGTAAGGACTTCTGGTCCAAAACTTATACCAAATAGCCTAATGCTTTCTTTTATATTGGCCAATATATATTCCTTTGCATGCATCAATAGACTTTTACTTTTGATCATCTTTGTATCTATCACGTTCAGTGCTGCAGCATAATCAAAACCCTTGTCGATAATAAATACACTTCGGTTCCAACTTTCTTCATACAAGCCAATTAATTGAGATCTCTTCATTTTAAACGTTCAGGTACCTACTATTCTTCTGGAACTATGATCTCAATTTTATGACTTGACTCTTCTAGAGCTATTTTATCCTCGAGTTTACCATCTTAATTTATAGCTCCTTCCTTTCTCGAGGATTTTTATACTTGGAACCGATTGGTCTACCACGCTTCATGCGCTCGTTTAGACTCATTAGATTATCCAATATGGACATCAATTGTATTGGAGCATTCACAACTGGGCATGTGACATAATCACTCCTTTTAGTGAGTAAAAAGGCGTTTGGCAATCAATACATTTTTTTTTCTCCATGAATCACCATATGAACTTCGGGTTCATGTTTCTTTGTTTGAGGATCAAAATGCGATAATGATGATTCCAACTCACATCTATGCCCAACTGTTTACTTTTCTCCCCCTTAACGTTCGAGAAGTAGCTCATCAAAATGATGATATTAGCAAAAAGAGTCATGAACAAATCTCTCATTGCATTGGACACCATGTCCAACATAAGTTCTCATGGAACTCATAACGTGTTGTGGTGGAGCAATTGGGATGTATTATGCACACCCAAATTTTCTAGCAGTTTAAATGTTTGGTCCCTGACCAAACCATTTGTATGAAAAGGGGGAACTTATGATAACTTGTTGGCTTCATGCGAATTAATGATATCATAAGCCTCGATAAGAGATCGATAGACTTAGTTTGTTCTCATAAGAGAAGTTCTGTTTGATTGGATAATCATCAAAATATATCCATCATTCGGCAACTAATCTCGCAAACATCAGGTTGCGTTTAGATAACAGACATATATGACGATATAGTTGATGAATCAATCAAAATCATAAAATTCATATATGATTTGCACGTTGAGTGTATTTTTCTGCATACACTTTTATAAAATCTCAACAGATTCAATTATTTTCACGAGTATAGTCTCCTCGAGACCATGTATCACATAATCAATCCTTTGATTGATGAATTCTCTGAACTCTCACTTAATTTCCATATGATATCTCAATCATTTTCACATCTGTATCCGGGATGGTATGACCGGACATGCCAAAATAAAAAGTTATCCGATCTTGCAAACTTCTGGTTTACACTTTCATATGTACTAATATACATGTAGTACAAATTTCTCCAGTTAAGTATATGATCTCTTATAACACATTTCTGATGCAATATCAATTATGATATTCTTTTCTGCGAATATCTTCATAATTCGGTAATGCATCTTCAATTGACAGTTTAGTTCATTCATGTCTCAAAACATTAGCTCTTCTGGAGCCTTCACATATTCTTGTACTACGAGTTGGCCATGAGGCACCTTCTGATTCGGTGAACTATTGTAAGCTCATATACATAGTGATAATAATATTTTCATAATCACCAATATATTGATTAGTTACTTCAAGTAACAAAACACAATCTCTTCCGGAGCTTTTGCTTACTTTCATACTATATGATATAATACCACTATTGACTTTTGCAAATATTCATTCTATACAAAAACATACAAAATAATAATAATAACAATAATAATAATAATAACAACAACAACAACAACAACAACAACAACAACAACAACATATATGTGTTTCATAACACATTTCGACATACGAAGGTTACAATATATGATCATGACTTTTGCTACATGAATTATCATCCTCATTTATAATTATTTTATCTTTCACTTCCGGTGAAAAGATATATTTGTTGATTGTCGTTATCCAAACAACAAATTATATTAATATAATGGTGTGTCTCGATCCATTCACTTTTAAGAATGGTTTGTTTTCATTCGCTTCCAGGAATGAAACAACAGCCTTTGGATCAAATTATATAATATTTCTCATCATCACAAGTCCAATACATTTTTCACCTTTAACTAACAAGAAATTAACTTACACTTTGTAAAACCTCTAAGATAATATTGCTACTGCAGGAGGACATGTAGATTTTCATTTTTCTTTCAAATGATTCTTGGACCAATAAAAATTCTTTTCATACATCGGGTACAAGATCAATGATTTTTCCCCATCGCAATGGTAACTCATATTCCAATATTTTAGTTACCAGATCCACTTCTTTCATTTGACACATTTTTCTTCATTTTTTCCACTTCGGGTGAAAATGAGATCCTTAGACTTTCATTTCTCTATATGTCGAATGTAGAAATCGATAAGTCAACCCATAATGATTTTGCTACTACAGGAGCAATTTTCATTATCTGATAATGTCCAAGCACAAACTCCATGTTACGAGATCGTCATATATAAAATAATATAAACAAATAACATGATCAAATAATCCCTCAAAGACAATGAGATAGATAAACTTACTAACAAGAAACAACATGAAAAGTTGCATACCTTGATCGTGTTGTGATCTTACTCAAGTAAGTTTTGATTATGTAAAGAGACAATAACCAACCATGACTCTGGCAGAGCTTCGTGCTGATAACGTGTTGTGAAATAACAAGGAAGAGCAATAGACATAAGAGTAAGAGTAGAGACACAAAAAGAGTGGGGGATAGAGCTTTCTTATTCATGTATTCCTTAGTACAAGGAGATCATATATTTATAGGCATACATCACATAACCCCTACATTCTTACAATCAATATACATGAATGTGAGAATGAATGTGAAATAGAAATGGGGTGGGGGGTTACATGTAACACCCAATTGTGCATCTAATGTGTCATATGAAGAAATAAATATAAGGAGATGAGTTACATAGAACTTGTAACATACCATGGAGCATCTAATGTTGGTCATCCATAATGATAATAATATTTTCATAACAAGGACAAATAATAAGTCATTATTAGTTAATCCTTTCCACGATAAAACAATCAATCTCATTACATCTTATGTATACAAATAATAAGTCATATGTGATATGTTTGAAAATTTTAAATAACTAGCCAAATAGATAAACCTATATCGTCCTTATCAGGGGGAAAAATCGTAGTAAGGGATTGTTTCTTTTTGTTTTTTCTCTATTGATGACATAAACAAGGTATCAGGCTTGATAATAACAATAATAAAATGAATGAGTTTCGATTATTTCATGATAAGAGTTCAAAAGATTTCTATTTTCAAATCTTCTCATCTAAATTTACTATTTCTCATTACGTACTGATTTTTTTTTTTTACATTATTGTCTCGATATTGCTAGATTATTCAGCGTCGTTTTGCTTATACGTTAAAATACATACTATATTGAGTTGGTTCTTTTTTAGGGTATTAGTGTTACTATCAAACCAAAGTATATGTTCAAATCCTAAGGAAAATGAGATGCTTCTTTATGGCGAGCAACTCCATTTTGGACACATTATTGCTATGCTTTTTTTTTCAATCTTGAAGCTTAATCATGATATCATTTGGGGGATTGGTTGCCCACATTACCTAGTGACTAGTGTGCTCTTGCTGTTGGGGCTTGGTTATTAAACCAATCACAAGTTTCTATTACTAGTTGTCTATGGTTGGTTATTAGTTACCTCAATAATCATTATACAAAGCAAGATCTAACTCCGACGATAAAGTCTCATTATGTTGCTAAAATAGCCAATAAAATATCCAAACGTATGTATATAAATGACTTCAATCCATTCTTTCATTGTGAAAACAAAAATGAATCCACAACAACGCACTCCATCAATCTCAGAAGGCATGGTGGATGAATGGGGTTGAGATTGATGAGAGGAGAGAGAGAGTATTACTCAACCCGTGGGTTAGGATATGACTATCTACTTACGATCCTTCCTGTCCTAATACCTCGTCCTATTTTTGGCTCATTATATTTCAATTTCATACAATATCTATTCATATTTATTCTGTTTTGACTTTTTTCAACTATTCAGACTTTTCAATTAGTTAGACCTACCCCGCCCTGTACCCAAACGTGTATTATCCACCCGACACCACAATAACGTAAGACAAAACATTAGTATTGAGATATCGGCTTCGCCCAACCGGTTGCCATCACTATTTGCATGTTGTTGAGTGACAAGAAGAGTCACTACCTAGAAATGGAGGATTGAAAGACTGTCTCAGCCTTTCATGGTATATATAACTGACAAAATTTGTGAACGTGGACATCCCCTCCAGGATCCAATCCAAATTCTCACTTGCTTGCCCAACAAACAGAAAGAAGATTCACGACGACGGCTACCCAATCTCCATGTTCCCCTTCATGCACATGCTTCAATGACTTTCTAGGCATGGGCACTCCCTGCTCTCAAACAAAACCCTAAGTGTGGTGCTATCAATCACTAAAATAGCACGATTTACCTTAATTTTGACAAAAGATGATCGTCATCAAAGAATGTATATGTTTTCCAATTTCCACAATGTAGAAACGTAAAACAGATATTACCAAAAACACTAGGGCAAAAATAACAATCGGTTAGCAATGTCCTCTCTCTAGAGATGGCAAAAGGACCCTATATCTGGGTATTGGCCGAATCCAACTTATTATGGATGGATTTTGGCTCGTACTCATATTCGATTTTTTAGTTCGAATCTAAATTGAACTCATAGTGTTGGACGTCCAACAGATGCCCGATTATAATGAAATTTTTGTCTTTTTTTGTGAGAATAAAGGTGTATAATTAGGTTGGAGATAATTAATGAAATTGTTGATGTTGATTTTAGCGTATATAATCTTCTAGTTCCAGTTACACTCATTTGGACCTAATCCAAATAAATTGACCCAAATATGACCCAATTCAAACCAAATTCAAAACCATTAAAAGTGCATATGAGTTCATTCGGATCCGACACCCAATACCTATATGACTCATAACAATCGGGTCAAATTACCATATGACTCGATTATTGTCCTGTCTAGTCCCCTACCCTACCCTATGTGGAATCCCTAACGAATGATGAAATGGTAAATTCAATGCAAAGTGAAAACACGAAAACACTCGTTCTTGTTAGATGCCATTTTCCTTTTCACTTGGTTCACAAGTCCCACTCACAGCTGACAGCAAACCATGCACAAACACTATACAGGTGTTTATCGTATTTGCATGATAACTCACTGCTGCCGTCCTATCGCTTTTCCCTCTACTGGATGGATAGAGAGAAAAATAGAGGGAGGAAAAGTTAGTTCTATTTACATGAGAGCATTTCTATTTTCATTCCCCTTCTAGAAAATTTGAAATGAGACAACGATTCTTAAGGGGTCGTTTGGATGGAACATTTGTTAAACGGGACAATTTGACGTAAATGACTCATTATAGAAAATGAGGAAATTCTGTGAGAAATTTGTTCAGAATTGGCTTGTTTGAATTGTTATTTTTCATAAGACAATTGGAACAAGAAATTTTATGAAAAATACACTTTTGTCCTCGTCTTTTCCTCTTTTTCCCCATCTTTGTCCATCTTCCTCTCTGTAATTAGAAGCCCACAATTTCGACCAACAAAGATGAACACTCAACACACACACAATTGACAATGGAAAAACTCCTTATCATAAATTGAAGTATCCAATTAGAGGCTGATTTTGTTGAGCCGCTCTAGTCGGCGACAATCATCGCTTCGGGATTTGGCTTTTCAAGCGATACCGAACAAGGAGAAAGATGAGCTGCACAAAGGAGTCTTGAACGGCGAAGGGTGAGCAGCTAAATGAATCGAGCGTCGAGCTAGATGAATTGACGATCATCGCTATGGGATCTGGCTCTTTGAGCGAATCTCTCCTCCCGACATCTGTTTCTTTTTCTTTCTTCTTCAACAAATCGAGAACAGCCGCCCATGCATCGCCTCTCTCGATCCGGCGAAACTCACATCGATGGCTACCGAGGTAGATAAAATCGACCATCAGCGCTCCCCTTGCCAACCATCGTGCTCAAACTGTTGTTTCCACCGAAACGAACGGAGGGTGTCGTCGAGGGCGAGAATATAGCTCGTCGACAGAGATGAAGGTTTTCTGCAGAGAGGGGAAAGAAAGAGAAGAGGAAGGTTTTCCTCTGCCGAGAAAGGAAAGAGAAGAAGAGAAGAGGAAGAAAGAGAAAGGGTGTGTTACTTTTTGTGTGTGCAGAGGAAAAGAGAAAAGGGAAAGGTTAGAATTGGGAAAGATGAGAGAAAAACAGAACAATTGAGAATATCTCCCCCTACCTCAGGTATTTTGAATTAACCCATAACGGAACAATTCTGATTTCCCCGCTGCAAAATGTTTCATTTTCATTTTTTATTGCCAAACGAGTCAATTGGTTACAATTGACTCATTTTGAATCAATTGACCTAAATTACCTCATCAAAAAACCTCATCCAAACGAACCCTAAGTGTTGTTTTGATTCTTAACCAAAAGAAAATTATAGCCCAAATTAATGCGAGTTTTTTTTTATGGAAACCTGTAAGCTTATTGATCAATTGGTGGCTGTTACATCATCAAGCTCTAACTAATCAATCATAAAATCTGGTGTGCTATCAAGCCAAACAAGTCTTTCATCTCGTTGGGTATAGGTCCGAGCCATCAAGTGGGCGCCCCCGTTTGCTTCCCGCCGAATATGTCATCAATTATGTTGTTCTGCACCCTCCAAGCTTCTCCTGATACTCCTGCAAATTCCCCTGGTCTCCGTCAGATCTCTGTTGGGTCATTGAGTTTATTAATCACCACCATACTATCACTTTCCAATATCAATTTCGGTGCAGGGAGAAGTGGCGCCAGCTGACACCCATCTCGGCAACAAGAGCTTCGACCTAATCCACACTACCTCCCCCACTGTACATTTAGCAGCTGCCATTCGTAGCTTCCCATAACTGTCCCTAGATACTGCCCCCCAACCCCATCTAGTTGCCTGGGAAAATAGATGCATCAGTGGTAATCGAGATCCACCCGAGTTCCAGCTTGCTCCACTTCATTCGTGACGGGGAATGTTCCTCCATTTTGTCTCTAGTCTGGTGTGACTTATAATAAGTGAGAAAGAAGCCCGCCCTTGCGAATATTTCATCTTCTAGTAGTTTCGGACCATTCCGAAAATGGGCATTCCCCTCCTTCCACAAATACCACAACAGTACAACCCAACTTTCCACCGTAGCTTCATCCTTCTCCTTCATGACATCAGTTACCCACTGCAAGCAGCTCCCGACCCCCTCAACTCAAAACAGTCCGAGAGCGCTGAAGTTCTCCAAATGTGGCTTGTCCAGGCATACTCATGAAAAAAGTGAGTTTGTTTCTCTTAGAGATTGCAAAACACACATCTATCGCCCCACTTACTTCTACGGGGTTCAACGTGGTCGCCCGTTGGAGGGGCATCTCTCTCGAATCGCCAGAGGAATTGTCGAATTTTAGGAAGGACCTGTAGTTTCCAGGCCTTCTTCCACACTCCAGCCTCCCCAACTTTCATCAATCCATTAGCTTCACTAAACTGGCGGAACCAGACATGATACCTGTCTTTCACTGAATAGCCGAATACTTACCTGTAACACTATCACTTCAAATCAGCTCGTCCCTTTCTCCATTTCCGCGGAATGGTATTTGGGTAATAGCTTGCACCACATCAATCGGGAAGCACCTCTATACCAGATCATTGTTCCAAGTCTCACTCTCCGCCTCAACCAAGTCCCACACTACATCGTCTACAGGAAGACCCTTCGGTGGGGATGGGACGAAATGTCGAGAATTAAAAATGGATAATCAAGCATTAGTCAAAACCTCTATTTTCAAAACCGGATCGGAGACTGAAGATGAAAAGTTAGTGGTTTAGGGTTCAGTGGTTAACCGTTACAAAACCGTTGGCTAACGTTGATAGAACCGTTCATGATATATAACACATATATAAAGACTTGTATATCACTCTAACTTAAGCATGAAATTATCATTGAACATAAACAATTTCAAATTCATATCATCACCAAAATATCTAATAAATCATTCAAACCGTCTCACAAAAGAAATTATAATTTTTTTAATTAAAATTATAATTACGGTGTCAGTTTGTAGTGGACAGCGTAAAGTCGACAATAAGGTTGGAAAATGAGAAGAGGAAGCAGATATAAAATTAATAATTATGGTTTGATCTTTGATGACCTTAGTTTACGTTAAAGTATTCTTTTTTACATTATATGGTTAAAATAGTGAATCAATAGATCAGTTAAACCGTGGGGGTTCATATGATTTTACGTTGAACCGTGAAAAATCGTTTAGTCCACCTTCATAACTGGTTTGACGATTCTACTGACCCAACCCATGATCCGTTACTTGTAACAAGGCTCAACACACGACCGAATTGGCGGCTCTCTTTTGTGAAGCCCAAATTAATATGAAAAAATAGCCCAACGAGAGCGGTCAGCCCGGCCCACTATTTTTTTCGCCCAAATTTGCGGGACAATTTCGAATTTCACACTAACCGCGTGGCCTCGGATTTAGCTGACGAACTCGCTGGAAATTTCATTCTCCCGGCATTTGAAATTTGCGAACTCAGAAACAGATTTCTACTCTCCGAAATTTGAATTTGCTTTCTTCTTCATCAGTCTGCGAGAGAATGCGAGGTTTGCCGAAGGCACTAATGGTGGCGCCCACGTTTGTGGCCTTGAACAAAGCCATATACCGGCAGCCGGCTCAAGATTTGGTGAATAAGGGGGGGGGGGGGGGGCTTAGTCATTAGACTAAGCCTCTCTCAACCGTTGATTATTTTTTATATCTGACGGTGGAATAGCCTAGCAGTAGGGACGGGGGCGTTTTGGTCATTTAGGTTTTATTTAAAAAAAATTCTTTTTTTTATGTCAGAATAAAAGCTGTTCGTGGGAGAGGAGAGAGAATCACAAACCATTTTCACGGGAGAGAGACTTCTTCTTCTCCGTTTCCCCCATTTTCTCAGATTCGCCATTTTCGTCTACAAATTCGGCAGTTACGTCGGCGTTCTTCCTCGTCCGGCGCGGCGGTTTCCATCGAGAGTCTTCCTCGTTCGGCGAGCGCGTCGCTCTCTGTTTCAGCGGCTTCGTCGGCGGTTGTTTCAGCGGCTTTCATCCGGCGGTTTCCTTTTTCGGGCTGTCTTCCTTTGCGTCGGCTGTCGTCCTCGTCCGGCGGTTTCCATCGAGAGTCACTCACTCTCTGTTTCAGCGGCTCCGACGGCGGTTTCCATCGACATTTTCCATTTTCCCCCTTTTGTGTCAGCGGTGTGTCGGGCTCAACTCGGCAGGCTTTCTTCTCGCTTCTCCGTCTGCGCCGACGCCGGCGATTATTTGTGAATACGAAGACCGCTTTTTGGGTAAGTCAAAACCGCATTTCTTATTTCGACAATTCTTTAAAACCCTAACCGATTTTGATGCTAGGTCAGAATCACATTTATAATTGTGTGTTGATTTCTGGGTTTGTATTGTTGGAATGGGTTGGTTGTATACTTTCTGGGTTTCCTTGTATTGATTGTTTAGTAATGTTTGTGTGTTTTCATACCTCTGTTTGTATTCTTCATGGTTCATACAGTTTGTGCACTTTGTTTCTCATGTTCATACAGTTTGTACACTTTGTTTCTTATGTTCATATAGTTTGTACAGTTTGTGCACTTTGTTTCTCATGTTCATACAGTTTGTACACTTTGTTTCTCATGTTCATATAGTTTGTACAGTTTGTGCACTTTGTTTCTCATGTTCATACAGTTTGTACACTTTGTTTCTCATGTTCATATAGTTTGTACAGTTTGTGCACTTTGTTTCTCATGTTCATACAGTTTGTACACTTTGTTTCTTATGTTCATATAGTTTGTACAGTTTGTGCACTTTGTTTCTCATGTTCATACAGTTTGTACACTTTGTTTCTTATGTTCATATAGTTTGTACAGTTTGTGCACTTTGTTTCTCATGTTCATACAGTAAGTACACTTTGTGCGGTTTGTACAGTTTATTACTTTGCTTCGTATGGTTTGTTGTATTTGTTGGTTGACTTGTTCCGTTGTTGCTTTTGTAGCTGTTAAGTAAGGATGGTAGAAGGTTCAGAGGTGGGAGGGTCAAGTACCCATCCTGCTGAAGCTGAAGTTACTAAAACCAAGAGGAAGGGGGAGAAAAAGATTTGTATTACGGAAGAGGATGTTTACAGAGTTTATGGTCTTCCAAGGGGACCAAAAGCTGTGTGTTTGCAGAAAACATCAAAGGTGAATTCTAACCTTGGTAAAGATTATGGTTTCAGTAAACTGGGAAGGGTACTGTTGGTTTTGAGAATTTGAGGGCTTGTATGGGAGCGGAGAAGTCTGATTCTAGGTGGGTGAATATGTATGTGCTGATGATTTTTTGCCGCCTTTTCGAATCTGTTACATCTAGGACGGTGACAACAGAATACTTGACTTTTCTTTCTCAAGGAATGGTTAAGTATTTTTGTGACTATGATTGGTGCGGTTATGTGTATGGTCTCATTTGTGATAAGGTCACATCAAGTCAGCATCACAGTTGGGTTGAGGGAGATATGCATTTCTTGCTTGTTTGTTTCCTCGATAGGACAACTGTGAATGAGGAAGAGGCCAGCTGCTGTGTTAGTAATCTGGTGCCAACCTGTCAGTTGTGGAGTTCGACAAATTTGAAGCAAAGGAAGGCATAAATGGAGAAGAAGTTTGGGAAGGATTTTGGTAAGGTGTTTGTTCTAAGGGATGCACCCATTTCTTCTACTACTCGTCCGAAGATGGCTCAGAGTATTAGTGGTTTTGAGGTTGCTGGAGGTGAGAAGGGTTCTGGTATTGGAGATGAATTTCCAGATTTCGATTGGAATTTGGATGGCAAAACTGTTCAAGAGGTGAGTTTGTATGATTTTGTATGTGTTCTTTGCTTAGTTTGTACAGATTGTTCATATGCTTTATATGCTTTATGATATGTTTCTGTAGTGTTTATACTGTCTGTATATTTTGTACTGTTTGCACTGTTTGTACACTTTGTATGTTTTTCTCTCATCCTCTGTACTGTCTGTATACTTTGTACTGTTTGCACTGTTTGTACACTTGGTATGTTTTTCTCTCATCCTCTGTACTATCTGTATACTTTGTACTGTTTGCACTGTTTGTACACTTTGTATGTTTTTCTCTCATCCTCTGTACTGTCTGTATACTTTGTATCTTTTTGCACTGTTTGTACACTTTGTATGTTTTTGTCTCATCTTTTGTACTGTATGTATACTTTGTATCTTTTTGCACTGTTTGTACACTTTGTATGTTTTTCTCTCATCCTCTGTACTGTCTGTATACTTTGTATCTTTTTGCACTGTGTGTACACTTTGTATGTTTTTCTCTCATCCTTTGTACTGTATGTATACTTTGTATCTTTTTGCACTGTTTGTACACTTTGTATGTTTTTGTTTATTACTTTGTACTGTTTGTATTATTTGTGTACATTATCTAACTTATGTTTGTGTTTTCTTTTATTTGTTTTGTTGTAGGTTAAGTTGATTAGGAGAAGGTTACAAAGTGCATTATGTGAGTTGGAACAGCAAGGTAAGCTGTACCGAAGACAGATAAATCAGTGTCACCTATACCTAGTTGATATCGAGGTGCACACTGATTCTGAAGGTGTTGAATTTGTTGAGAAAGTTACAACAAATGTTTCTGAAGGTGCTGAAGTTGTTGAGAAAGCTACAAGAACTGATAATGTAGAGAGTGAGAGTGAAGGCGGGTATCAGAGTGGGAGTGGGAGTGGGAGTGGGAGTGGGAATGGAAGTGGGAGTGGTAGTGATGGTGATGGGAGCGATGATGGTGATCGGAGTGGTGACGATGATGATGATGGAGATAGGAGTGAGGAGGAAACTGATGATGATGTAGCTCTATTTAATCTGAAGAAGCCAGCTCTTGTGCGGCAGCAGCCAGCAGTGGAGAAGATTGGAAGTGCTCGTGCTCCAGCACTTCCGCAGCAGCCAGTTGAGCTCCAGAAGACTCCAGCAGTTGTGCGGCAGCAGCCAGCAGTGGAGAAGAGTGGAAGTCCTAGTGCTCCAGCACTTCCTCAGCAGCCAGTTGAGCTCCAGAAGACTCCAGCAGTTGTGCGGCAGCAGCCAGCAGGGGAGAAGAGTGGAAGTCCTAGTGCTCCAGCACTTCCTCAGCAGCCAGTTGAGCTCCAGAAGACTCCTGAACTTGTGCGGCAGCAGCCAGCAGTGGAGAAGACTGGAAGTGCTAGTGATCTAGCACTTCCGCAGCAGCCAGCTGAGTTCCAGAAGACGTCAGCATTTGTGATGGAGCAGCCAGCAGTGGAGAAGGATGGAGTTACTCGTGATCCAGCAGTTCCGCAGCCCTTTGATTCAACACTTCAAAAGCAGCCAGCAGAGGATGGAGTCGTGCCAACCGCAGTTTCCGAGGAGCTGCCACTTAAGGATAGTATGGAAGTTGTTTTACAGATTGCACAATCTGTGGAGGCAGGTGCTGATGGTGAGCGGGGTGACAAGCTTGATTAGTTAATGATGGTGGTTATTTAAATTTGTAGTACATCTTTTAAATATGCACTTTATGATTGGTTTGTATGGTTTGTACTCTTTGTCGTACTATTTGTACACATGTTGTGTGTGCACACTACTTGTGGATTGCAAACTAGATCTTATGGTTTATTAATTATCTAGTTCTCTGTCTTTATGTCTTTTGTAATGTTCTATATTGTTTCATCTTTGTTGTTTTGGTTGTGAGAAGACGAGTCAAATAGTGATGATAACGATGAGGTTGGGATTGAAGATGATTGTGATGATATTTCTATTGATAACGCTGAAGATGAGTCAAATGGTGAAGATGAGAACAAGAATGGCTTCGAAGGTAATCGTTATGTTTGTAGTTGGTGCTGTCCTTTAGTCTCGTTTACTGCAGTTTTAATCTTTTTGTACACTTAGTTACTTTTTCTGCTGTTGTTTGTAATGTTTGTAATGTTTGTACATTTAGTTACTTTTTCTGCTGCTGTTTGTAATGTTTGTCTGTTTTGTTTGTGTTGTCTCTATTTTGTTAGATTCTGGGTCGAATGTTGATTTCGTTAATCAAAGACGCTCGAAAAGGGAGCTCAAGCCATCCAATTTAAAGAGGACACCATATACTACTGGTAATAAAAAGCGTAAACCTCCTTCCATGAAAGCACCTATTCCTATTCGGCAAAAAAAGAAAAAACCTACCTCCAAGAAGGTAGAGAAGGTAGCTCCACTTCGGACTAGTAGCCAACTATTGTATGAAGAAAAACTTATTCAATATGCTTGGAGTGACAGATTTCCTGTGTAAGTTTCATTTCATACTGTTTGTATACATTTATATATCAGTTTGTACTTTTCTTCTTCGGTTAGTGAATTTAATATAAACTGTTTGTATACATTTTTAGGAATGAAATTCTTTTCGACATGGGTGAAGGTGAGTATCGCTTGTCAAGGAAGGATACCCAAACGACATGTGACAAGATTGTTCTATCAATAAAATTTCTTGATTGCTATATTGAGAATTTCAACCGTTGTTCTTCTTGTGAGAATGGATTTATTGGTAGATGGTCTTTTCCAACTGACTTTGCGGTGAGTTAATTTTCACATGTTGTTGTATGTCATTTAGTATCTATTAGCCATATTAATACAAGTTTTTTTTTGTCTTTGATTGTACCTAGTCCAAGGTTGTGAATGACAAAATGGAACCTAAATATTTGAAGGTCATGAAATCTTATGTCAGAAAATACCCATTGCAAGATGGTGCATCTTTCAAGACATGCCAATATGTAAGTTGGAATATTTCATCCTTTTGTACACTTTGTGATTCTGTTTCATATTTTTTGTACACTTTGTGATTCTGTTTCATATTTTTTGTATACTTTGTATACTTTGTGATTCTGTTCCATATTTTTTGTACACTTTGTGCTTCTGTTTCATATTTTTTGTATACTTTGTACAATTCTGCTTTGTATGATTGTACTGTTTATGATTCTTTTTTGTTTCTTCTTCATGTGCAGTGGCTTTTCCCATGTTGTATGGATGATCATTTCATGGTATATTGTGTTAACTTGAAGGATCGTCGTTTCGAGTACCTTGACAGCTCTCCTTCTAAGCATTTTCTAGATCGGTTTAGGAGAGTTGGAGAGCTGGTCGTCCAGTATGCAACATCTTACATTCAGCACATCATGCCAGGAAAGTATGACTTTGATAATGACTTCAAATGGCGAAGGATCACAATTCCATATGATGATTTCACTAGTGCTGGCATTATCTGTTTAAACTACCGTGAAGAATGGGAAGGTGTGGCTACAAAGATGATGAGGGAAAAATGGTCTTCTCCAACCTATATTTACAACCGGAAGATTAATGCTATGCTGACTTTGCTGAATGGATCAAGGAATTTGATGATCGAGCAATTGAGGATGAATGTGCCTTTTAGTGAAGAATTGTTGTTGTCATTAGGGAGTTCTAGTACTGGGTTTTCGCTTGACAAATGATGGAATAGGGAACCAATAGTGTTTTTTTTTGTGGTAATCCATGACAGTATGCACTAGTACTATTTTCTATTCTCATGTTTTGTAATGCGGTGACCTTATGAACAGTAGTGTGGCTGTTGGTGTTATGGTGGCTGCTATCTATGTTTTGGTTTTGTAATTTTTATCACAGTAGTTTGTATGTTTTGTTGGTGTGGTTCGTAATTTTTTGTATCCTATTCCGTAATGTTTCTGTCTAACATAGAATAAGCATGAGAAACATACAAATGTGAATTGAAAAAGAATGCAAGAAATGAATTGTTTGATGTGGCAATTATTCACTTTATCTATGCATCTATGCAATCACTCAAATTTATCTATGTATCTATCAAGTAATATATGATATGGCAAGTAGTTCTGTCTATGTATTTATATTCTGTCATCCGCCCTTTCTTGTAACATTGTTTGTCTTCTCCTTTCTTGAATGATTTCAGTACGAATCTTCCTCCTTGTCCTTGTAACTTTGTTTCCACTTCTACAATAGGATTAAACAGCAGTAGTCAGTTTTTGTATATAACAGAAAATATACAAACAATGCAAATTTTAACTAATATCATTATTAATAGTCATTGATATGAATATCAACTAAAAGAATACTAACTGTTATGAAAAAACATACTAAGGGTACAAACAGTAAGTGATATCATTACAAACCTGCTGCTTGTATTTACTTTCATGGCAGGTATCATGTATTTACTTTCCTTCCGCTGCCCTTTCTTGTAACTTTGTTTGTCTTCTCCTTTCTCGAATGATTTCAATTCGATTCTTCCTCCTTGTCCTTGATTTAAATGGATCAGTCCTGACTTTTAATGCTTTCGCCCAATGTGGTTCACTCTCTGAACTTGCTGGATTCAATTCTGCTTCTAGAATAGGGAAAAAACAAAAGATTTAACAACAATAGTAAGTTTTTGTAGCCAAACTTATCCTACAAAGAAACAGACCAGAAAAAATATACTAACAATACAAACTTTATCTAATATCATTACTAACAGTCATTGATATGAATATCAACTAAAAGAATACTAACTGTTATGAAAAAACATACTAAGGATACAAACAGTAAGTGATATCATTACAAACCTCAAACCTGCACCAAATTAAAGGTAGTGTTTCATACCTGTGCTTGTGCTAGGCTGGCCAAACTTCATGGCAGGCATCATGGATTCAGCACGAATCTTCAATGCTTGCATTCCTTCCTCAAGCATCTTGTATATGTCATCATCCATACAAGTGCGTGTTGCAAGCAAATTCATGGATCCAGTAAGTTGTTTCACCCTTGAACAGTACACCCTCTCTGCTGTATCTTGTACTGCCGGTAGTGTGAAATCTCCAGATTTTGCATCATATGTCCACCTCTTTAATATGTAGCGTGTGTGAATATTCAAGATTTCTGGGTGTCCTCCATAGCCGAGGTGATCTATTGCGCGCAACACATGGCGACAAAGCCATCCACACTTCTCGAACATCTTGCATGAGCAAATCAGCTTACGCTCCACAAAGTCAACCATAACAATCCTCTTATCAATAGGATTTCTTTGCTGATCTAGTTTGTGAAGCTCATATGCAAACATTCCATCTATATCCTTGGAGTTGTTTGGTCGTATATGGTATTTGATTGACTTGGAGTATTCATCTTGCATGTTCCCAAATATATTTTGTGTATATTTGGTAACAAACTGTTGAAGAACCTCACTGTTTGTGAAAACCAAGTATGGAATAGTGTTCAATGCTTCATAGTCACTTCTCAACTCCTTATGTCTTTTGGCTTCAAGGAGGTTGTTGAATTGTATAAAAAACTCCCACAAAGTAAGTTTCGACTGGAGATACTTACGCAAATGGCTGTTGCAACTCTCGCTGAGTTGTGAGCTTCTCATTCCACATGCAAAATGATCTTTCAGTCATGCCGATGACCATTTACTTCTCACTTTATGGAGGTTTTGCAGCCATGCCTCAATCTTACTTGTTAATTTCTTCCCTTCTTCTTCTTCTTCATTGAAGCAATTCTCAAGCATCTTCTTCCAATAATAGTCGAATTCATCCTCCGTCTCCAAATCATACATCAAGAAGGAAAGCTCTTCCAAAAATGGTGACCACCACAACCCATTACTCTTTGCATTCATTGTTATATGGAATGTGCACAACCCATGATAAGTGTGCGGCAATGCTGTCCTAATACCAGCAGCAATTGCTGCCGCTTGATCGGTAAAAACAGCTCCCGGTTCCTTCCCGTTCATGCAAATGAGAAATTGTTTGAAGAGCCAATCAAATGTGGCTGATGTCTCATCATAGAGTAGGGCAGCACCAAAAACACATGTTTCTCTATAGTTATTGAAGCCCACAAATAAAGCTGAAATGAAAATTTTGTTTAAAATTAGTAATGAGGTTTAACAAAACTGACATATTGCAAAAACATACTAAGAATACAAACTGTCAAAGAAAAACATACTAAGAGTACAAACTTTAACAGAAAAACATACTAAGAATACAAACAGCAACAGAAAACATACAAAGAATACAAACTGTAACAGAAAAACATACTAAGAATACAAACAGCAACAGAAAACATACAAAGAAGACAAACAGCAACAGAATCATGACAAATATGGAAGAAAATCATTACAAACATACATGTTAGTGAAAATTAAAAAAATTGTAGTACCTAATGGGCGAGCATTCTTGTTGGTGCGGCATGTTGTGTCAAAGCTGATGGTGTCACCAAAATAGAAATAGTCCATTCTCATGCGTCCATCCGCCCAAAAAATACTTGCAATTTCTTCATTGATGTCAACTTGGATCTCATAAAAGAAAGCTGGGTCCATTGAAGCTTCACTTTTGAAATGATGATAAATCATTGTTGCCTCCCCAAACTTCATTGTTTTTTGCCTTTTAGTCCCCAAGTATACAAACAGTACAAAGGATTAAACAAAACATACAAAGTATACAAACAGTACAAAGAATATTACCAAAACATACAAAGTACAGAAATCAAATAGTATAAACAATATAAAACAGATCAAAAAGCTTATAAAATGTGCAAAACCCACCTTTTAGTACGGATATAATTCTTGTGGTCCATTTGTGTGAAGCCAACATTTTCTCTTCCTCCGGCAGCCAAGCATAATGCTTGAAATGATGATTGTATCGATATTCCAGCTTTGTGATACATGTCAATCAAGAACTTTTGCACTTCATTCATCGTTCTATTTGATCTCATGAATTGTCTTGATGATGGTGGGATCATCTTGTGATTATGCTCATCTAACTAGCTTGAAATGTAGTATTTTTGGGAACTATCTTCAAGCTGGAACCGTATCACTGCTTTGCAATCCCATCTATCCTCTTTTCTGATTCTGCTTCTAGGTTGTTGGTCAACATGGTCGTCATTTGCTGGATTATTTGTACTACCTTTTCACCAACCTTCCTTATTGCATCTCCCCCAAAATATCTTACAACTTCACACGGTTTGTTATTGCTTGTTCTCTTAACCCCTCCCGTTTCTCTAACAGAAAATCCCTTATCATGTGCATAGCATTTGTACCACAGCAATCCATGATCTTTTGTATCAAAGCGAAGGTTCATCCACGTTTCTTCATTGCTTGGTATTATTTTGATCTCATCATCTGCAAAAACAGAACAGAGCAGAAAAACATACTAAGAATACAAACTGTCAAAGAAAAACATACTAAGAATGCAAACTATAACAGAAAACATACTAAGAATACAAACAGCAACAGAAAACCATACTAAGAGTACAAACAGCAACAGAAAACCATACTAAGAGTACAAACTGTCAAAGAAAAACATACTAACATTACAAACATAATTAAACCATACAAACTGATGCACTAAAGCTATAAAGCCATACGGTATTTCGTACAAACTGCATAAACCATACGTTTGTACTGTTTGCACTGTTTGTACAAACATAACAATCATCATATATGAAGACTTACAATACAAAATGTACAGAACAGAGCAGAAAAACATACTAAGTATACAAACATCCAAAGAAAAACATACTAAGAATACAAAATGTAACCAGAATCATTACAAACATCAGACAAGATTTCATACCGATTTCACGTTGTACTGTTGTTTCCTGAATATCTACATCCATTGTTGTTTCAGTTCCAGTTTCTCCCGTTTTTTGTTCATTAGTTCCATCAACCACTTCATCCATTGTTATAGGAGCAGAATCCATCATTCAAAGAAAAACGCCTCGCCGTTGGGTGGAAAAACGCGTTCGCCGTTGGTTGGAGGAGAGTGGAACTCGCCGTCGTCGATCGGAGGAGGAAAAGCGCCTCTCCAATCGCCAGAAATCGCCTCGCCGCCAATCGCCAAAAATCGCCTCGCCGCCAATCGCCAGAAATCGCCTCGTCGCCTATCGCTGGAATCGCCTCGCCGCCGATCACGGGAGAATCGCCTTGCCGCCAATCGCCGGAATCTCCTTCGCCTATCGGTGGAATCGCCTCGCCGATCGCGGGAGGAAAATCGCTCCGCCGATCGCCGTTTGCGGGAGGTTTGGACGCCGAGAATCTCCCTCGCCGTTCGCGGGAGGAAAAGCTTCGGGCAATTTTTTTCCCTTCCCAGAATAAAAAGGAAAACCAATTAATGAATTTTTTTTATTCCAGAATTGCCCCTCCTAGTATTTAAAAATCCCTTCCCTAATTTTCATCGTTAGATTGATCCTTCTACATCCAATGGCTAGGAGGGGCTTAGCCAAGTGACTAAGCACCCCCCCTTAGTCACCAGATCCGGACTCCCGGCAGCCAGCTGCTTCTGTTGAAACATTTCCTCCTGCTGATCTCCGCTCCGTTCTGCAGGCGACATCGGGCTTCCCGGTTGGTTTTCAGGTCGACGAATTCGACGAGAAAATCGATGGAAGTCCCCGATGGTTCTTCCTCTCCGGTAAGCTGAAATACGCCGGCGAGGATTACGAGCGTGTCAAAGTCTGGCTCAGATTTGACGACAGCAAGAATGACGCGTTCAACAAATTGTTCTATGGAAACTTCGCGCCAAGCTGGATGCCGCCAAGGCCTTCGAGGATGAAGGCGGCGACTGTGAGGTCGGTGCGAAACATTTTCCGTCGGAAAGAAGGTAAGAATTGAGATCTTATTGAATTCCGGATCCATTGTTCAATTAGTTAATTGATTATTATCTGATTGGAATTTCGCAGCTGCTGATGAAGCAACATTGAATACGGCTCTCAAGCACTTCATCCAGCCGAGTCTCCTTGGGGAGAACGGGTGATGGTGAGCGTGCGTATGATTTATTTTTAACTTCTCATCTTAGTCGCCTCTGACTTCGCGGTTTTGGTTGCAGGCGGAGGGAGAGTACGCCGTCATCGGCAGTTTCGAGACTAGCAAGGAAGGGAAGGTTCTTCTGGTGAAGAAGAAGAAGAAGAAGGAAGAAACCAAAGCATAGATGGAGTGTGATGGTAATTAGCTTTTTGGCCTTGTTGTGGTTTTGTGCTAATAGATCCATTTAGCAGGGTTCTATATACTCGTCGCCTGTAGAATCGTAGCTGTTTTCTGTAAGATTAAGTTGATCTGGAAAGTGTGGATCCGTAGTTTGGAATTGAACTATTGATGAGTGATTTGGTGAATTCGATCGATTTCATGAGGTTCGGCGTTAGATAGGTGCTGGATTTGGACTGGTTTGTATCGTGTTCTTAGGGTTTTGCTGCCAATACGGACCTCTTTGATTGGAATGTCTTTGATTGGTTTCTGAATCTGCGATATTGCTTGATCGCAGTAGTCATTCTCGTTTTACAAACTTAAGACCTTAATTAATCTTTATCTTTACTACATAACTTATTATTGTTTTTGGCTTTCAACTAACAAAACTTGAAGCTAAAGATATGGCAATAGGGTAGAGTTATTTTCATCTATTGGTTAATTAAGTTTTCGCAACTATTATGTTCATTAAACTTTGGGATAACATAGTTTCCTTCCACGTCGCAATATGTAATATGAATTTCTTAAGAGTCTTCAGATAATTGAAAAGAATAAATAATTTCAATTTCTGAAAAACTACATATTATGAACATATTTGAAATTTCAACAAATATGGTGTCAGTAGCGATTATTCTTTCGTCTTAAATTCTACATTATCATGAATTTTGAAGATACGGATTTATGTTTTTCTCTTACTCACATTAATATTAAATACTTAATTTTTTTTGTTAGGAATAGAAAGAACAATAAATCTTAACTAAGATTAATTATAAGAAATACAAAAAAACATTAATTTTTTTATTTGAAATTCATGATGGGGGTGGTTTTATAAAAAGAAAAAAAAACAGAGCAAGATGGAAAGCATTATTCTGCTCCTATAACTATTTCCCACCTCACTCTTATTTTTGCTTACTTCTCTTTTTTTTTCTCTCAATAATCAAGAAAAGTGGCAGTGATGATCTTCCAGCGGTTGGCAAGAGGCGTCGTTCCTACTACATCGTCTCCTAGTAGAGGAGGATGTAATTTCCATTCAGTTCTCAACATATTGTGTTTCTCCATTAGCGCAATTGTCGTAATTTCTAGAAAGTTTTTGGTATTCAATGAGGACAAGGAAACCATTTAACCAATACTAAAAGTAACAAAAAAAAAGTTTTTTAAATACCATCTATGTTTGTTGTTTTCTGATAATGACAATCGTTTAAACAAATTATCATTGGTTTAGAGTGTGATGATGAAGATGAAAATATATTTAAGGTGAATGTAAAGGTAGTTTTTTGTGAAACACATGTAGTAGGAAGATGAAGGAATGTGATCCCAGGTAATTGTGGTAATTGATTATCATGTTTCTCTCTTTTTCTATCACTCGACTTACTTGTTAATCAATCGTGAATTTTCTCCTCGGTTGGAAGAGAAAGAGAAATGCTTTGATGCGTGAATGGACATGATGCTTATAATACATACAATGAATGCATACTATAGTTTACTTAGTAACCTACCGCTGACAAAGACTATATTTGTTCTTATATGATTTAAGAACTGATTTGTCACATGTATCATGATGTGGTTTTATGATAGGCGAACTTATTGTTAGTTAGTAACATGTACAACACAATTGCAAAAGTTGATGTGATACATTTTGTTGTGTTTTTTACATTCAGTTTCAAATAAGTTTATGATATTTAGTTTTTCAAAAATAAATTTTTTTACTTTTCAATTATCTTGTGCTTTCTTTTTTCCTCGGTCATTCCATTCGTAAGATAAAAACATAAATCTGTATCATTAATTAAATTAACTTTTTTTTGTATCAATTGAAATAACTCCCTCCCCTATGGTATTTTCTATGAATTTTAAGATGTGTTTTGTGTTGCTTTCCGATCATTCATTGTTTTTTTTATTTTTCATGTTTGGTTATATAGTATATAATGTGTATATTGTCTTTTTCTGTATAAATGAACTACTTAACACTATAAAATTTTGTATAGGTATTCATAAAAGCGGACTTTAAGATATGGTGGTCAAATAGAGATCATGTAATATATTCACTGATTTGATTGTAATTAAATGAATGGAAGATTCTTATTGTGTCATCCATTTGTTTCTGTTTATGATATTGTGATTGTAAATATGTATTACCAACCATTAATATATCGTAATATGCTTGCGTTGAAATTGTTGCTCATAATAGATGTTTGGAAGCTTCAAATTAGCCTTCACGACCGCCGATTTCGCTGTGCCCGGGTAAGAAAAGACTAAGGCAGGAAACCAAACATGGTTGTATTTACAATATATCATTGTCGTTCTCTGTAGAGCCTCCTCTTTGGTGTGGTCTAACCTCATCAAAGCGTGCACCCCTTCGACGTATTCAATGTCGGCATATTTCAGCTTACCTTCCAGCAAGAACCAGTTTTGATCGTCATCTGTCAACTCCCCACATGCATCCACCTGGAAGCCGAAGGCGCCGAGTCCTGTGGTCGCCTACGAAGCTGGTCTCCAATTCGCCGGATATTGTATTTCCTCTGCTTCTGCCAGATATTGTGTTTCCTCTGTTTTTGCTTCATATGCTGTGTTGGTGGGAGAATGGCATCTTCTTTGAATGTTGCTGATAGTTGTCAGTGAGAAATCACAGGCTAAATACAGTAGTAGAGCTAGCTCAGTCAAATGAAATGAATGATGGTATCTATCATAGTGGAGGAGTTGTGCTGCTTCAATGAGGAGACCGAGTTGGAATGCTAAAACCGTGTCCAGATTGGCCTTTCTCTAAGAAGCAGAAGAATGGATTACAAGAAGCTGTTATTTCGTTTTTGTATGATCTCATGGAATGATGAATTATGTGCATCATTGATATGTGCTCTGATGAGACAGTCTTTGATATAGCAGAAAAAATCAGTTCCTTAGTGCTTGTTTATTTCATAACATAGAAACCAACGACCATAGTTGTACCGAGTATAGACGGTCGCCGCTCTCCGTAGAGCCGCCTCTTTGGTGTGGCCTAACCTCACCAAAGCCTCCAGCCCTGCAATGTACTCAATCCCGGCGTAGGTCAGCTTTCCAGCAACCAAAAACCAGCACCGATCCTCGTCGTCTGTCAGCTCCGCAAATGCATCCAAGTTTAATCCGAAGGCACCGAGCCCCGTGGTCGCCTGCGGAGCTGGTCTCAACTTCTCGGGATGAAGGTGAGTCCTCCAGTCGGTTATACCTTTGTCGACGCCAACTCTGTTCTTCCGATCAGAGGTGAAATTAGCAGCGGAAGCCGCAAAAAATGCTCTCGTAAGCCCTCTCATCGTGAGGAAGAAGAGGAGGAAGAAGAGAAAAGTGAAGGGAAGAGAATGAGATCGGAAATTCGAATTTCTCAATTTAGAGCTCGCGTTGCTGCTTCTCGGAAATTGGGATAAGAACGCTCTGCTTGCGCGGCCGCGATATTTGTGAGCGCGCAGATATATTTCCTCTCTCTATCCCGCGAGGTTGGATTTCAAATTTGGGGGGGGGGGGAATAGTGTTAATTACCCACAAAGTACAAAATAGTTAGTATTTATCATAAATGGTCACAAACTTATTCGCTTTGTACAAAACGGTTACAATTCTTTAATTTTGCACGTTTCGGTAAAACAAGTTTGAGCAAATAATGAAATGGTCAATCCGTCCAATTCCATCCAAAAATCTGTTACCTTTTGCCCAGTCAGCATGACACATCATTAAAAATATTAATTAAATAATTAGTTAATCACCCCACTTAACCTACACAACCCAACTGATCGTAAGAAGCTCTTTACCCACCTCTTTCAAAATTGGAGAAAGCCGACGACAGAGAGATAGGACAGCGTTCTTCTCCACCACTCCCCCACCGAAAATCCCCTCCTTCCCCCGGCCGCTTCCTCCACGCCTTCTTCTCCACCACTCTGTCGCTGCTCCACCGTGATAAGGACACCGAGCTCAACAAGGACGACATTTTCTCCACCGACAGCTTCTCCTCAGATTCCTCCCGTAATCAACAATAGCAAAGACATCACTACCCCGCAGGGCTCCCTCCCCCTCGACTTCGTCGCGCCACAAGGCCTTCTCCGATTTGTTCATATTGCTCGGTCAAAGCACCGATTTCTCCGAAACGTGCAAAATTAACGAATTGTAACCATTTTGTACAAAGTGAATATGTTTGTGACCATTTATGATAACTACCCTTACAAACCTTATCACTTTATACATACTGGTTACAAGCTTTTGTTTTTGTACGATTTGGTAATAACGTTTAAGCGTATAACAAAATGGTCATTCCGTCCTTCTCCGTAAAAAAATCAGTTATTTTGGTCCATACGTCCAGTCGGCACTCCAAGTCATAAAGATTAATGATAAAAATAACTAAACTCAACCAAATGATCCAACCCCTCCCACGCCACCTGGGTTCAACCCACCTACCTCTCTCAGTACCTAGCTGTCTGACATATCTTCTGCCTGAGAGAAAATCCCAGAGATCTCTCCGGTCTCCCTGCTCCTTCATTTCCTTCCTCTCGATATCACTCCCAACATCACTCTTCCTCCCTCTGTGGGTGACGATCAACCAAACCAAGCCATGCCCAAGAAAGTTCTAGACAACACCAATAAGCAGCACGACCCAAGCAAGCATGATATAAGCCAAGGCTCTAACTTCTGGACGTAACATTCAGAAATGCAACAAAGATCAGTTAGAAGCACAATGATCACAAGGCTGATAATAACCCAAACCAAATCCACGAGTCGGGAAGGCGGCCAAGTATACGAAAATGACTATTCGGCTAGGGTGATTTGCTAGCAGAAAATGTCGGTTTCCTCTTGCTAAATCGATACCACGATCCATAAAGAAGGAGAGAAGTTGGTGTTTGAAAATTCTAGGGTTTTTTGAATAAAAAACTCGATTACCCTCTAAAAGACTTAATCCAGCCCCTTATACAAGCTACAAAGGTTTTTGGCCAAAAATAACAAAGAAACCCGAGTTTGGGTGTGAAAGTCACATAATCCGCAAAGGAAATATAAAACTTGTCGGCAGCAGCTAGGGTGAAAAAACCGACCACCCTCCTAAATCCCCGATCGGGGAATATGCCTTTTAGGTTGGGGAAAATCATTGAACACAAAACCCGACTCTCCTTCAATTACTCGATCGGGTATTTTGCCTCCATGGTAGGTTTTTTCGACCTTAAGCAACTCCACTCCAATGATCATCACCTCCCGTCCCTTGGACAGCTCCAGCTCCTATGCCAAACATCTCTAGGGCATTTGGACTCTTCACTTTGCCTCCTTGAGCCTCTAAAGCCTTCATCTTCGGACCACGATCATTATATGCTCTTCGAACTCGATGGTTGTCTTGTAAGTGACCCGGTTTGCATAAGGGCAGAACCTCGATCAAACTCCCGATGAGATGTTCAGAGACAAATCTAAGAAGCACTGGAAATATACATATTTGATCGTTCAAATCACACACCCATTTCAATCTCAACTCATTCTCGAGACTTACATACCAGCCGTTGTACCAGTTCCAACATAAGCCAGCCAAATCGACAAACCCAAGGTTGCAAATCCTTGAGCAAGCATAGCATTACTGATCATGGAATGACTTCATCAATCATCAATATCCTTACATCCTAGGCAATGAGTTGGTCGCTTTTGAAATTTGTTCATAAATTTAAATTGGTTACAATCTACAGTTAAATATCCCGCATCAAATTGTGTTGGGATATAGCCTAGACCATCCCGTTTGATGAGTCAGATTGACTCTTTTTGTTTTGCTAGTGGAATCGTGACTTTCAATAAGGGTTATGAGTATATTATCGTGTAAACCACAATAAATATTGAACATGAGCATGTATCGTTCTAACTAATCAATTGTAAATATCAATATTATACGATAAAATTTAAGGTATCTTTGTAAAAGGGATAATACAAGAGAAAAGGTATAACTCACTATAATTAAGTAATACATTATAACACATAAAACCTCGATCACAAGCCAAAATATAGAACTCGACATGTTTGTCAAGATAATCCATGGACCCCAACATTCTCTCACTAATTTTACAAACTATCACATTAATTTTCTACAAACTATATTAATCAATAACACATAAAACCTCGATCACAAGCCAAAATATAGAATTCGAAATGTTTGTCAAGATAATCCATTGACCCCAACATTCTCCCACTAATGTTACAAACCATCATATTGTTCAATTTAAATTTTAATTAACACGAGTTCTTCATTTCCCCATTTTCTTGCTTTATATAACAAAAAAAAAGAAAGAAAAAAATAAGAAATAATTCAATCTACCACTGAAAATATTATGGAAAGGGAGAAAAAGAAAGGGAACGGCCAATTGACAAAATGCTCACCGACCGCTTCCTCCATATCTGAATCTCCCCTCCAATAATTTTTTTCTTTTTACTTCCCTTCTCTTCTTCGTTGTTATCTCTTCCCTCTTTAGGGTTCCTCTTCTCCAATCCCACAAACGGCTTTTCCCCCTCAATTGTTGAATAATTGCGTTACATATTTCTCCACTGTACGATCCGCCCCGCAAAACCCCTAGAAGTTTCCGGTGAAGCTCCTCTTTTCCGGGGTTTTAGATTTCCGCCATGGCCATCAACAGCCTCCTCTAGGTTTATTCTCCCCCCAAGTGTTTCGGAGTGGTAAGTGTAGGTAGAGATATATATGGATAGGTTCATGAATGGAGGCGGGGTTCCGCAGGGTTCGAAGTTGGAGGATCCTCGACCATTCGGAATTAGCAGTTCTGGTTAGTTCTTGTGCGTTTTCATGTTTGGTAGCTCGATGTTCTGCTTCTCTTTCTGGTTGTTGGAGATCTTGTTTTCGTAGAAGAAAGAAGAGAATTCTTCTTAGTGAATCTTGTGATGGATAGCTTGTTTTAGAGGTTGCTCAGGTCAACTTCAATGGCGGATTGAGATATATCGACCTGGCGTTGTTTATTCCTTTTGGTTGTTTAGCTGGATGGAACAGTTCTTTGTTACTGTGCGGGAGCTTCAAGTTTTGAACGAACCATTTTAGCTTTCTGATAATTCACAAGTGCTCTCATAGTCTCATATAATATTAGTCTGCTGGTGAAGCTTTCATGCCCTCAGTTGCCCTGTTCTTTGATCGTTAGTAGTAATTTGTCATTCAATTGCACTACTCAATTACTTATGGCTTGTGATTACTATCGAGGGTGACATAAGTGAGAATGACGTAGTGTTGATTGGTAGTGATATTGGGATGAATTGATTATCGTGATTTTGCTGACTCGATGTCTTTCGTAATTGCAGTGGATACTCTGTTTGATGCGTCTCAGTATGCATTCTTCGGCAAGGATCTTGTTGAGGAAGTGGAGTTGGGGGGATTGGATGAAGAGGAGGAAGAGCCTGCTCCAGCTGAATTTGACGAAGAGGAATTCATTTTTGATAGACAAGAGGTATAGCCCTGCTTTCTGCTTTGTAAGGTTAGAGTTGCTTGATTTTGTCCAGGTCCAGAAACAATTGAAATCTAATCTGCTTGCTTGGTTTCTCCTATTTCCAGGGCGATGGGTTAGGAACTTTATCAGATATTGATGATCTTAGCAGTGCATTTTCAAAGGTTAGTCTGATCCATTTGCAGATGGCCATAGAAGCGGCTTTATTATGGTGTATTACTGTTTTCAGTCTTCTGGGACCTAGCTTTCAATATGCACCATTTTCTTGAGATGTTAGGATACTGCTTTCTAATGCAGAAATGGGATCATGATTGTCATTGTTTACTGTTCCTTTTAGACAGTGTTTCCAGTTTCGTAAATGATTATTAGTCCAGTTGATTGTCTGTGTTAACTGATTCTTCATTTGCAGTTAAACAATGATGTAGGTGGGCCAAGAAGATTTGGTGTAATCGCTGAGAGGGGGTCAAGAGAAAGTGAGTAAAGCAATTTCAATTTTTTCACCTCAATTTGTGATCCAAATTATATGAATACTGAATTGGGCGATGATGATTGTGAACCATAGAACTGCTTCTTGTGTAGGTCGCCTGCTATTTTGACTGACTCTGTTTATAAGTTTTAGGGGCTTGAAACCAGTATTTTTCTCAAACACTAGTTAATTTTTTAGACGAATTCGGAGTGGTTTCGAGTTAATGAAAATAAAGGTGTTTTTCCCCCTCCCTAGACTCTCTGTCAATGATCACTAAACTAAAATTTATAGGCTGGCTACTACACATTCTCTTCAATTGCATGTCTGCATCAAATACTTTTTAGAATATTTCAGTCATGAATCTCTGAACAAGCTGCGTGAGATGAGATGGGGGTTGTCATTAATGAAAGTTGCCTCACTTGGTGCATTGAGATACTGATGATTAAGTGTTTTTTCCCCCTTTCTGCCGGAGATTAGATTGTGGTAGTCACTAGTCAGTTGTGAAAGTTGCTTCAACTAATGCATTGAGATACCGATGGCAACTATTCTTATATTCCCCCCAGGTTTAGGTTCTTTTGTTATTTGCAATCATACTTCGCCTGATTGATGTACTTTTGTTTTGGATAGATTTGTAGCATAGCAGTCTGGGACCATATGAAAAGGATTTTTTGCGTATGTGCTTTTGTTTTGGATTGAATTGTAGCATGGCCATCTGTGACCATATGAAAAGGATTGTTTCCTTTATATCTCATGTCAACAATTATTCAGATTAAGCTTCTAGCCACAAGGTTTCTTCCTTGTATGCATCATTTCACTGTTCAACCTCTTACAGTTATGCTTCTCTGAACAATCCACATGAGTTGGCATTATGGTAGTCATATAAAATGAGGGTAAACTTAGTAATACGTTCATATACAAACAGAAAGACTGATTGTGATGTTCCTATTCCAGGTTCATCTGCTGCCGAGTGGGCACAAGGGGAAGAAGTCCCTAATTGGTTTGGCCAGCAGGTAGTTGACCCCGACATATCTCAAGATAGCAACAGATGGTCATCACAGCCATTTTCCTCTTCTGCTCGGCCGGGAGATCCGAACAACTTGTACCGAACATCTTCATATCCGGAGCAACCACAGCAACACCATCAACAAGTACACCATCAACAGTTCTCAAGTGAACCCATTCTTGTCCCAAAACCTTCTTATCCTTCATATCCTCCTCAAGTTAGTGGACAATCCCCACATGCTTCACCAAATCACACTCGGTTAAATATCCCGCATCTCTCTGGAAACCCCCAGATGGCATTGTCTCCGCAGAACCAGTCTCCCTTTTCGAACTCTCAGCTCCAGATGCCTGGTGTGCACCACGCATCACCACAGTATGGCAGAAACTTGCAACAGCTTGCCTCTGGTCTAGCTGTCAACAGCCGTCCACCAGGCCAATGGGCGAACCAAACTGGGATGTTCCCCGGAGACCATCCCATGAACCAGCTGAACAATGTGCTGCCTCATCAGAATGGGTTAATGCCTCCACAGATGATGCGACCTCATATGCAGCAGCAGCAGCAGCTGAGATTTCACCATCAGGGTCAGCCATCTTTGAGTCATTTACCAGGTTTGAATGTTAAAATCAAGATTTTATGTAATGTTGGAAAGTTCTTTAAAATCATGATAAGATTGAACCTGAGGTTGCAAGAATTTAATGTCCTATACAAATAACCGTCATATTACTGGCATTCCAACCAATTGTAAATAATTGACCGAATGAGTAATATCACCCAACACAAGTGAGTAGAAGAGATATAATATTATATGAAAATATAAAATTCACAACTTGAGTGAGTGGAAGATAAAACAAGCTACAACTCCGTACCTGACAATTAACCGTAGCAAGGCTTCACATCTAAAATTGTAACTTCCACGGATACCTTTTCCATAAAATCATAACATTGGTGAATTGCGGATTTTATATTAAGATCCAACAAAGTTGGTATACTTGTAAAATCGCATGGTTCTAGGATCTAAATCAGAATTTACAACATTGCAGGTATTCAGAGTCAAATCTTTAACCCACATCACCCTCCACCACCTCCAATGATGGGAAACTTTGGTGCGGTTCTCGGCATGGGCGATCTCAGAGATCAAAGACCGAGATCGGTTCAGAGAGGTGGCCGGTTCAACATGCGGTATCCTCAACCAAGCTTTGATAGCGGCTGGCCACAGTTCAGATCCAAGTACATGTCAACCGATGAACTTGATGGTATTCTCAGAGTGCAACTCGCTGCGACACACAGCAATGATCCGTATGTAGATGATTACTATCACCAGGGGTGTCTCTTCAAAAAATCATCATCCGGTGCAACAAAGATCAGACACCATTTCTGCCCAACTCACTTGCGTGATCTACCTCCAGGGGCCCGCGTGAACTCTGAACCACATGCTTTCCTGCAGGTGGATGCTCTTGGTAGGGTTCCTTTCTCTTCCATCCGCAGGCCCCGCCCTCTTCTCGAGGTGGACCCTCCCAATTCTTCTACTACCAATAGTGAGCAGAACAATGTTGCCCCTGAGAAGCCATTAGAGCAGGAGCCTATGCTTGCAGCTAGAGTTGCAATTGAAGATGGTCTCTGCCTCCTCCTAGATGTCGATGATATCGATCGTTTCCTCAAGTTTAATCAGATCCCTGATGGTGGGACCCACTTGAGAAGGCGGCGGCAGGAACTGTTGGAAGGACTAGCAACATCTCTCCAGCTGGTTGATCCACTTGGGAAAAATGGACAAACAGTTGGAAATGACGACATGGTTTTCTTGAGGGTATTAGCCCTTCCCAAGGGCAGGAAGCTTCTCTCTAGGTATCTACAACTGTTGCCAGCTAGCGACCTCCTACGTGTTGTCTGCATGGCCATCTTCCGTCATTTGAGGTTTCTGTTTGGAGATATCTCTCGTGCAGCTGAAGCTACGAGCAATCTGGTTAGGACTGTATCATCGTGTGTCCGCCGCATGGATCTCGGGTCGCTCAGTGCATGCCTTGCTGCCGTGGTTTGTTCGTCTGAGCAACCGCCGTTGCGCCCACTGAGCAGCTCGGCGGGAAATGGGGCTTCGGTTGTCTTGGTTTCTGTGCTCGAACAGGGTGCTGAGTTGTTGAGCGATTCACTCAATGACGCGAGCAACTATAATGTCACAAACCGGGCGCTTTGGAAGGCCTCTTTTGACGAGTTCTTTGGTCTGCTTATCAAGTATTGCGTGAATAAGTACGACGGGATTATGCAGTCTTCTAGCTTAGATCCAGCTGAAGCTATCAAGAGAGAATTGCCTATGGAGCTTTTAAGGGCGAGTATTCCACATACCAACGAGTACCAGAAGAAGATGTTGTATGATCTTTCTCAGCGGTCATTGGTTGGTCAGGAGAAAGGCAATGGTGGTCAGGCAGAGTGAGGTGTTACCAATACCAGAAGCATTGTTGGGCTTAACTACACGACTTCCGTTTCAAGGTTCCACTATTGTTGTTGCACCACTCTGGAGCTATACATTCCGAAAGGTGGAGCACATTGACAATTTCCACTTTGGGGAGCATGCATCCTTGAAAGCTTAGCTTTCGCCATAGTGGCCTTTTAGTTTTTCTGAATAGAATTTTTGGCCATTCTCTTATTCAATTTCACCCTACTCGTCTTTCTGTATTACTGTCTTAGATCTGTTGTGGTTCTTGGAATTTTGTCTTAGTGTCTTGTCGTCGTCTGTCTCTTGAGAGCTTATTTTGATGCTCTGTTGTGAAAGAGTTGCCTCAATATAGAAGGAGGGTGTAGTGGTTTAGATGTACAGGTAACCTGAATGATTTTCTCCTACTTCTCTGTACTATTTGCTTATGAGGGAGGTCTGGGGATTTGGTTTTGAGTTGCTTATGTTGTTTTATGGCAGTCTTTGGCCATGGCTGGCTGTGCAGAATTGCTGCAATAAAGAGTTGAAGAAGCTGGTGGTGCTTCGTGGGTAGTTTAGTTAGTTGCCTTTTTCAGCAGATGTTCCTGTGGTCCAATATGCACTGCTATTTTTCTGCAGAGTTCTGACTCTCTTGTGAAAGGTTTTGATTCATATTTGCTGTTGCCAATCGCATATCAGTGCTCTTCCTTTTGCACTCTACACCTTGGATAGAGATGTCATCTTCTTGAACAGCCACCTTTCTATTTAGTGTTTAGGTATTGAAATATGAATCTTGTTGTCTCTTTCTTTCGTTGATGAGTATAGCCCTTTGGTTTGTTGTCGAGTGTCATCGCCCGAAGAGTGTTTACCAAGGTTGACTAGTTTCGACCATTGTGTGTGGTTATCAAGTGTCTTGTAATTCGTTTCTATCCTTAAATGAGATTATCCATGATGAAAAAGAATAGCTTTCAGTTTGTTATTATATGATTCTAAGCAATCTTTGTATCGCGAGGGGATATCGTAACAACGAGACTAATACTAGTTTATTGACAAAATCGTAACAAAATCTTGATGGAGTCGGAGCAATATTTGTGATAAAGCATGATCTAATATCTAGTGACCTCATTCTTTAATTTAACCAATACTATCAACTAGCATATCATGCCCATTTATTGTTTTGAGAGTAGTGCCATTGTTGATAGTGCAATGCTTCACATCCTTAATCCTTCCGTTTTAGGACAAAATGACCAAGAATCAAAGCACGAGAAAAGAATTATTATTATCTATCGATCCCACTAGCAAAATTTTCAGACAAATTCAATCACGTGGATTAATATGACGATCATAACTCACATTATGAAGCAAGACAACCAATCCATTGGCCTCTCTGGTTAGCATAAGAGCAGCAAAGTAATACCATCCGCCACAAACACCAGAACCTCTCTCACAACCCAAATCAGTTGCTCTTCCCATCCGATTGCAACCCAAGCTTACTCCTCTGCTGGTGCTCTGCAACTTTGTAGTCCACTACTTCCCGGAACAGATTCGGGTCCAGCACGCAGTCATGGCTTCCGTACACTGCAGCTTGAACCCCAGCCATCAGCTTCGCAATCTCTCGTCCGGAGAATCCCTCGGTCTTCGCTGCTGCTTCTCTAAGGATATCGTCGGTCAACCCTTTGATCTCGATTCTTTGCTGCTGTTGTCTACTGAACAACCTCTTCAGCCAGTTGCCCTTGGATTGTCTCGATCCTGCCTGAGCGATGTACTTGTCAAGGTAAAGTTTCAGGAGCTTGAACCGTTCGTCTTCACCGGGTAAGGGGAACTCGAGGACCTCATCCACACGGTCTGCCACAGCTGAGTCAAGGTCTCCGGGCCTGTTCGTGGCTAGGGCTAGGACTATGTCCTTGGACTGGTCTCCAGTTCGGAAGAGGAGTGCATTCAGCGCACTTCGTTGTGCCTCGCTCATGTAAATCTTGTTCCGCCTGCAAACATTTTGGAAGGAAGTTTCAGCTGTAAGACCATTTGATTGACACGGAGCTGGTTGTTCTAACTAGGATGATCATGTTAACTAAGGATATCAAGTGGAAACGAACTCCCGAATCCAGAAAAGTTGGTCTGAAATACCAATTTGGTCACTGAGCTTCCCTATTTGTATTATAGTGAAGGCACTTATATGATACATAGAGAAACCTTTGGTGCTTTAATTTGATGGTCTCACTACCAAGTTATGAGTTCAACAAGATAATTGAATCTAACCCATAAAAGTTGCCTAGGTAAGTATAAACTCACTCGCATAGGAACGCATCTGCTTCATCTATGAACAGCAACAAGCCTCTCTTAGACTTCTTCGCCCAATCAAACAATTGATGGATCTTGGTAACAGCCTGAGAGCCTAATGGAGCAACATCACCACCGGTCATCAATGCATAATCTAATCCCTGGAAAAAACAGAAATTTGACCAAGTAGAAGGTCAATAAAAACGCCTACTTTGTGAGGAAAATTTACCAAGCTAGTGTAGCCATAAGAAAAGCTGATGCGTTAAATAGTCGATCAAACGCCAGAGCTTTCCCTGTTCCAACCCATTTGAATTCCGGAACATTGAGCTTAGGCATATAGCTATTGGATAGAAACATACTGATTTACGAGCGAGTTCTCTGGCGGCCATGGTTTTCCCAGTCCCAGGAGGGCCATAGAAGAGCATGTTCCTGAATGGTGCTTGATGAGATTTCGTATTAGCAGTTGCACTAGCCAACTGTTGAATTCTCTTCTGGAGAGAAGGATGTAAGATGACATCCCCGAACCCGTTTCCATTAGGAGCAGGAGCTCCTTTGGAGGTCAAAGTGCTCATGCCGCGTTTGAAAATTCCAGACCAAGGGTACTTCCCTCTGGAGGACTCCCTGATTAGGGAAGGTTGTCCTAGTATCCTATCTACGTAGCTCCACATCACTTTCGCACCTTCCCTGCAGTGATGAGAAAAAGGCAAAGCATAAGCCATGAGCTTACAAGAATTTATTGTACTGTACATGTTTTAACTAACGCCCTTGAAATATGTCGTTATCCACTTGTAGTTCTTATCATACAATTTTTAAAAAGACACAAACTGCCCATAATATGGAACCCTTCACTACGGAAATCTGGCCAATGTACAAATCAACTCCTCATACAACATGTACATAAAGATAATTTACAACTTGATCAAGATGAATCATTCTTTGTCTGCTAGACAGTTTGCTAGCATGCATATGAATCTTGATGAGACCAATTTAATGTTTTACCTTGTTGTGTAAATTCCTGCTGCAAGAGCGGTCACTCCTCCAACCACAACAACCAGCTTATTCTGATCAGTCAAAACCGCTTTCAATCCCCCTAAAAAATATATCACATTTCATCAGTGTTACAGTCTTTCTCAACCATGAACCCATTATAGTTCTTTGAATAGGACCACTAGCATACATAATTGACAAAGTTCCTATACCGCCAATGTGGTCGAACGTAGTATTGATGGCAGCAACCCACTTCTCTCGTTCAGCATTTGCACGATCAACCAGCATTCTTCTGTTGACATCTTCAGCCAGCTTTGCCTCGTGGGCTCGCCCTTCTGCCTCTGCCATAGCTCTCACTCTGATTGTCTCTCGCTCTATCTCGGCCTTCTCCCTCTCGGTTTGTCTTCGTTGAGCCTGGATCTGTTCCTCTGTAGCTCGTCGAGCTTGCTCCTGCCGGATCGACGACTCCTCTTGCAGCTTGACGAGCTCTTGATTCCTCGCTCTTTGGTGTTCATTATCAGCCTGCCAATATAAAATTATAAATAATAATAACACTTGAACCCCTCTTCCTTAATATGCCATTAATCAATCAATGTCAATATTGACATTGATCTATAGATATACATGCCTGCATTCTCTTCCTTGCTAGTTCATCCTCATATCGAGCCATCTGCGACTTAACTTGGGCTTGATGTGAAGCCAACTTCTTCTGCTCATCATACATAACCCTTTGCCTTTCCTGCCAAATCACCACACTTAGCAATTCAGAATAACATATTGATTACCCCACAAGCAAAATCCCACAAAACCCCTAAAAAAGCTCTGCAGGATCTTACAGTTTCAGCTTGAGCTTGAGCAGCCTTGAACTCTGCAGCTTTAGTAGCCATCACTTTCTGCCTAGTTTCCTCCTGCGTCCTCAATGCCTCAAACACCTATACCCCCAACACCAATAAGTAATCCCTTATATTCTCTAGATTGGGAACAACCCATGATTGCCAAATCATTCAACTTCACTAGAAAAGCCTCGTCAAAGTTCGAACCTTTTTAGCGTGAGAGGAAGAGGTAATCTCTTTGATGGCCTTGGCGCCCCTCTCGAGGGCTTCTGGGTCAAACCCAGCGGAGGAAGTTCTCGGGTTGTCATTTCTGGAACCCTTGGGGACGGAATCAGTGGCGAGGGCAGCCAGCGCCGGGTCCACCGGCGGCGATTCGTGCGACTGCGGGGAGTTCTGAGGCGGGTTAGCACCATTCTGAGGATTAGTGGAGAATGGGTTGAAGTTGAAAGTAGGGCCATCGGCGTAAGCAATCTTAGAGTGCTTCGATTGGGAGATTGAAGCAGCGGCCGCAAGGGCTGAGACCAGCCCAATTGCCGACGCTTTCACCATTTTTGGGGGACGGGGGCTTCTTCTTACGCTGCTCTTCCTTCTGGTGCTAGACTGAAGGATAAACCATATGTGGGAGAAGCTTGGGAGGGGGGAATTTCCGGATGTGGGGATAAATTTGAGGGCTTTTTGGGCGGCAGAGAAGGTTCTGGCTTGAAGGGGAAGAAAGACAGTTGCAGTGGAGGCTTAGGAGTGGGAAAAGAGAGAGAAGAGTCGCGGAGGTTTTACCGGTAGGGTTTTTGTAGGGTTTGGACTTTGGAGGAGCTTTGTTGCCGGGTTCTGGCACCTTCACCCGGCCAGATTTGTTTTGCAGGGCCAAACCGGCCAGCTTGAGAGCGAGAGCGGATCCCATCACTAAGTGGTTCTTAGTCACTTTGACTAAAGCCCCTCTTAACTATTAGATCTGGACACTTCAATCCAATGGTTAAAAAGTGGGAATGGCTATTTAATTAATGACACGAGTAGTTTGGGTATTATGGAAAATTACGAAGTATACAAACCGGATTTACAATCAGTACAAATCATACAAACATACGAACAATACAAACTAGAGCGACAAAACATACAAACAGATTCACAAACATTACAAACGTATGAACTGTACAAACAATACAAACTAGACCGACAAACGATACAAACCATACAAAAAGAAAAAACAACCGGGTTGACTTTGGAGGCTCCATCCCTATATAGAGGGGCTCCTTCCCAAAGTCAACCCGGGTGTTTTTTAGACATACAAAACAGTACGAACATGGTGGACAAAAATGACAAACTAGACCGACAATCCATACGAACTGAAAAAAGTCAAAAACACCCGGGTTGACTTTGGAGGCTTCATCCCTATATAGAGAAGTTCCATCCAAAAGTCAACCAGGTTGTTTTTTAGACATAAAAAACATTACAAACATGGTTGACAAAAATAACAAAGTTTACAAACATTACAAAATAACAAAGTGTACAAACATTATAAAATATGTCAACAAACATCACAAAGCACTGTCACCGGAAAATCTCTCTCTCTCTCTCTGGCCGCACAAATCACTCTCTCTCTCTCTGGCCGCACAGATCAATAGATGGGGGATTAAAAATCCCACCCCTCTCTCTGTAGCCGCACAAATCAATGGATGGGGGGATTAAAAATCCCATCCCTCTCCACCGATAATGAAGTCTATTGATCCTATTCTCCACGGATGATAAGTCCGTTAAGCATCGATTTGGGCCAATTTATTTTTGAATGACATTTTCGTAATTTCTTGGGGGACGAAAGGCCATTTTCTTTGGATATTGAAGGCTACAGATCACGGATTTGGCCTGAGGCTATTGTCCAATGATGATTGAGTCCATTAAGCACCGATTTGGGAGGATTTATTCCGGGTCAATTTTTGGCAGATTCCAAAGGGGTACCATCATAGATTTCTGGCGATTTATTCGAAATGCCATTTTCTTTCGATTCTGGAGGCTACAGATCAAGGAATCAGAACGAGGCTATTCTCCACCGATAATGAAGCCTATTGATCCTATTCTCCACGGATGAAAAGTCCGTTAAGCATCGATTTGGGCCAATTTATTTTCGAATGGCATTTTCGTAATTTCTTGGGCGACGAAAGGCCATTTTCTTTAGATATTGAAGGCTACAGATCACGGATTCGGCTTGAGGCTATTCTCCAACGATGATTGAGTCCATTAAGCACCGATTTGGGCGGATTTATTCCGGGTCAATTTTCGGCAAATTCCAAAGGGGTACCATCACAGATTTCGGGAGATTTATCCGAAATGCCATTTTCTTTCGTTTTTGGAGGCTACAGATAACGGAATCAGGCAAAGGCTATTCTCCATCGATAATGAAGTCTATTGATCCTATTCTCCACGGATGATAAGTCCATTAAGCATCGATTTGGGCCGATTTATTTACGAATACATTTTCGTAATTTCTTGGGCGACGAAAGGCCATTTTCTTTGGATATTGAAGGCTACAGATCACGGAGTCGGCCTGAGGCTATTCTCCAACGATGATTGAGTCCATTAAGCACCGATTTGGGCGGATTTATTTTGGGTCAATTTTTGGCAGATTCCAAAGGGGTACCATCACAAATTTCGGGCGATTTATCCGAAATGCCCTTTTCTTTCGATTCTGGAGGCTACAGATCACGGAATCAGGCCGAGGCTATTCTCCACCGATAATGAAGTCTATTGATCCTATTCTCCACGGATGATAAGTCCGTTAAGCATCGATTTGGGCCAATTTATTTTTGAATGACATTTTCGTAATTTCTTGGGCGACGAAAGGCCATTTTCTTTGGATATTGAAGGCTACAGATCACGTATTCGGCCTGAGGCTATTCTCCAACGATGATTGAGTCCATTAAGCACCGATTTGGGCGGATTTATTCCTGGTCAATTTTTGGCAGATTCCAAAGGGGTACCATCACATGTTTTGGGCGATTTATCCGAAATGCCATTTTCTTTCGATTCTGGATGCTACAGATCATGGAATCAGGTCGAGGCTATTCTCCACCGATAATGAAGTCGATTGATCCTATTCTCCAAGGATGATAAGTCCGTTAAGCATCGATTTGGGCCAATTTATTTTCGAATGGCATTTTCGTAATTTCTTGGGCAACGAAAGGCCATTTTCTTAGGATATTGAATGCTACAGATCACGGATTCGGCCTGAGGCTATTCTCCAACGATGATTGAGTCCATTAAGCACCAATTTGGGCGGATTTATTCCGGGTCAATTTTTGGCAGATTCCAAAGGGGTACCATCACAGATTTCGGGCGATTTATCCGAAATGCCATTTTCTTTCTATTATGGAGGCTACAGATCACGGAAGCAGGGCAAGGCTATTCTCCACCGATAATGAAGTCTATTGATCCTATTCTCCACGGATGATGAGTCCGTTAAGCATCGATTTGGGCCAATTTATTTTCGAATGGCATTTTCGTAATTTCTTGGGCGACTAAATGTCATTTTCTTTGGATATTGAAGGCTACAGATCACGGATTCGGCCTGAGGCTATTCTCCAACGATGATTGATTCCATTAAGCACCTATTTGGGCGGATTTATTCCCGGTCAATTTTTGGCAAATTCCAAAGGGGTACCATCACATATTTTGGGCGATTTATCCGAAATGCCATTTTCTTTCGATTCTGGATGCTACAGATCACAGAATCAGGTCGAGACTATTCTCCTCCGATAATGAAGTCGATTGATCCTATTCTCGAATGATGATAAGTCCGTTAAGCATCGATTTGGGCCAATTTATTTTCGAATGGCATTTTTGTAATTTCTTGGGCAACGAAAGGCCATTTTCTTAGGATATTGAATGCTACAGATCACGGATTCGGCCTGAGGCTATTCTCCAACGATGATTGAGTCCATTAAGCACCAATTTGGGCGGATTTATTCCGGGTCAATTTTTGGCAGATTCCAAAGGGGTACCATCATAGATTTCAGGCGATTTATCCGAAAAGCCATTTTCTTTCGATTATGGATGCTAGAGATCACGGAATCAGGCCGAGGCTATTCTCCGCCGATAATGAAGTCGATTGATCCTATTCTCCAACGATGATTGAGTCCATTAAGCACCGATTTGGGCGGATTTATTCCGGGTCAATTTTTGGCAGATTCCAAAGGGGTACCATTACAGATTTCGGGCGATTTATCCGAAATGCCAATTTCTTTCGATTCTGGAGGCTAGGGGTAGCTATACGGTCCGGTTAAATTGGACCAAATTGATCCGTTCCCAGTCTGGTTTTTTCGGGAATATAAGGACCAAAGATTGGATTGGATACAACCTAGTCTTGTTCTCGTCCTGTCTTGACCCGGTTCGGTCCCAATTTTATCTTGATTTTAGGTGTTGGGGGTCTCGTATCCGGTCTTTATCCAGTTTTTTACCTCAAATCTAAGCCCGAATATGAGATTGCATTCTTTGCAATCCGGTCCCAGCCGGTCCCAATCCGGGTTATGCGGTCCGGTTTCGGGTAAAACCAAACAGTCCGGGACCAAATAGCCAGCCCTACTGGAGGCTACAGATCACGGAATCAAGCCGAGGCTATTCTCCATCGATAATGAGGTCTATTGATCCTATTCTCCACGGATGATAAGTCCGTTAAGCATCGATTTGGGACAATTTATTTTCGAATGGCATTTTTCGTAATTTCTTGAGCGACGAAAGGCCATTTTCTTTGGATATTGAAGGCTACAGATCACGGATTCGCCCTGAGGCTATTCTCCAACGATGATTGAGTCCATTAAGCACCGATTTGGGCGGATTTATTCCGGGTCAATTTTTGGTAGATTCCAAAGGGGTACCATCACAGATTTCGGGGGATTTATCCGAAATGCCATTTTCTTTCGATTCTGGAAGCTACAGATCACGGAATCAGGGCGAGGCTATTCTCCACCGTTAATGAAGTCTATTGACCCTATTCTCCACGGATGATAAGTCCGTTAAGCATCGATTTGGGCCAATTTATTTTCGAATGACATTTTCGTAATTTTTTGGGCGACGAAAGGCCATTTTCTTTGGATATTGAAGGTTACAGATCACGGATTCGGCCTGAGGCTATTCTCCAACGATGATTGAGTCCATTAAGCACCGATTTGGGCGGATTTATTTCGGGTGAATTTTTGGCAGATTCCAAAAGGGTACCATCAAAGATTTCGGGCGATTTATCCGAAATGCCATTTTCTTTCGATTCTGGAGGGTACAGATCACGGAATCAGGCCGAGGCTATTCTCCACCGATAATGAAGTCTATTGATCCTATTCTCCACGGATGATAAGTTCGTTAAGTATCGATTTGGGACAATTTATTTTCTAATGGCATTTTCGTAATTTCTTGGACGGCGAAAGGCCATTTTCTTAGGATATTGAAGGCTACAGATCACGGATTCGGCCTGCGGCTATTCTCCAACGATGATTGAATCCATTAAGCACCGATTTGGGCGGATTTATTCCGGGTCAATTTTTGGCAGATTCAAAAAGGGTACCATCACAGATTTCGGGCGATTTATCCGAAATGCCATTTTCTTTCGATTCTGGAGGCTACAGATCACGGAATCTGGCCGAGGCTATTCTCCACCGTTAATGAAGTCTATTGATCCTATTCTCAACGGATGATAAGTCCGTTAAACATCGATTTGGGCCAATTTATTTTCGAATGGCATTTTCGTAATTTCTTGGACGACGAAAGGCCATTTTCTTTGGATATTGAAGGCTACAGATCACGGATTCGGCCTAGGGCTATCCTCCAACGATGATTGAGTCCATTAAGCACCGATTTGGGCGGATTTATTCGGGGTCAATTTTTGGCAGATTCCAAAGGGGTCCCATCAAAGATTTCGAGCGATTTACCGAAATGTCATTTTCTTTCAATTCTGGAGGCTACAGATCACGGAATCAGGCTGAGGCTATTCTCCACCGATAATGAAGTCTATTGATCCTATTCTCCACGGATGATAAGCCCTTTATGCATCGATTTGGGCCAATTTATTTCCGAATGGCATTTTCGTAATTTCTTGGGCGACAAAAGGCCATTTTCTTTGGATATTGAAGGCTACAGATCACAGATTCGGCCTGAGGCTATTCTCCAACGATGATGGATTCCATTAAGCACTGATTTTGGTGGATTTTTTCCGGGTCAATTTTTGGCAGTTTGCAAAGGGGTACCATTACTGATTTCTGGCGATTTATCTGAAATGCAATTTTCTTTCGATTCTAGAGGCTACAGATCACGGAATCAGGCCGAGGCTATTATCCACCGATAATGAAGTCTATTGATCCTATTCTCCACGGATGATAAGTCCGTTAAGCATCGATTTAGGCCAATTTATTTTCGAATGGCATTTTCGTAATTTCTTGGGCGATGAAAGGCCATTTTGTTTGTATATTGAAGGCTGCAGATCACGGATTCGGCCTGAAGCTATTCTCCAACGATGATTGAGTCCATTAAGCACCGATTTGGGAGGATTTATTCCGGGTCAATTTTTGGCAGATTCCAAAGGGGTACCGTCACAGATTTCGGGCGATTTATCCGAAATATCATTTTCTTTCGATTCTGGAGGCTACATATCACGAAATCTTGCCGAGGCTATTCTCCACCGATAATGAAGTCTATTGAAACTATTCTCCACGGATGATAAGTCCGTTAAGCATCGATTTGGGCCAATTTATTTTTGAATGGCATTTTCGTAATTTCTTGGGCGACGAAAGGCCATTTTCTTTGGATATTGAAGGCTACAGATTACGGATTCGGCCTGAAGCTATTCTCCAACGATGATTGAGTCCATTAAGCACTGATTTGGGCGAATTTATTCCAGGTCAATTTTTGGCAGATTCCAAAGGGGTACCATCACAGATTTCGAGCGATTTATCCGAATTGCCATTTTCTTTCGATTCTGGAAGCTACTAATCACGGAATTAGGCCGATGCTATTCTCCACCGATAATGAAGTCTATTGATCCTATTCTCCATGGATGATAAGCCCTTTATGCATCGATTTGGGCCAATTTATTTTCGAATGGCATTTTCGTAATTTCTTGGGCGACGCAAGGCCATTTTCTTTGGATATTGAAGGCTACAGATCACGGATTCGGCCTGAGGCTATTCTCCAACGATGATTGAGTCCATTAAGTACCGATTTGGGCGGAAGTTTGACCCAAAGGGAGTTTCCCTTACATGTCTTCCCCGGGCGTAGCCTTTTGAAGTATATATGATGGCTTGCAGATAAATTTCGTTGGTTATTTATTCAGGGTCAATTTTTGGCAGATTCCAAAGGGGTACCATCACAGATTTCGGGTGATTTATCCGAAATGCCATTTTCTTTTGATTCTGGAGGCTACAGATCACGGATTCGGCCTGAGGCTATTCTCCAACGACGATTGATTCCATTAAGCACCGATTTGGGCGGATTTATTCCAGGTCAATTTTTGGCAGATTCCAAAGGGGTACCATCACTGATTTCGGCCGATTTATCTTAAATGCCATTTTCTTTCGATTCTGGAGGCTACAGATCACGCAATCAGGCCGAGGCTATTCTCCACAGATAATGAAGTCTATTGATCCTATTCTCCTCGGATAATAAGTATGTTAAGCATCGATTTGTGCCAATTTATTTTTGAATAAAATTTTTGTGATTTCTTGGGCGACGAAAGGCCATTTTATTTGGATATTGAAGGCTACAGATCACGGATTCGGCCTGAGGCTATTCTCCAACAATGATTGAGTCCATTAAGCACCGATTTGGGCGGATTTATTCCGGGTCAATTGTTGGCAGATTCCAAAGGGGTACCATCACAGATTTCGGGTGATTTATCCGAAATGTCATTTTGTTTTGATTCTGGAGGCTCCAGATAACGGAATCAGGGCGAGGCTATTCTCCACCGATAATGAAGTCTTTTGATCCTATTCTCCACGGATAATAAGCCCGTTAAGCATTGATTTGGGCCAATTTATTTTCGAATGGCATTTTCGTAATTTCTTGGGCGACGAAAGGTCATTTTCTTTGGATATTGAAGGCTACAAATCACAGATTCGGCCTGAGGCTATTCTCCAACGATGATTGATTCCATCAAGCACTGATTTGGGCGGATTTTTTCCGGGTCAATTTTTGGCAGTTTGCAAAGGGGTACCATTACTGATTTCGGGCGATTTATCCGAAATGCAATTTTCTTTCGATTCTAGAGGCTACAGATCACGGAATCAGGCCGAGGCTATTGTCCACCGATAATGAAGTCTATTGATCCTATTCTCCACGGATGATAAGTCCGTTAAGCATCGATTTGGGCCAATTTATTTTCGAATGGCATTTTCGTAATTTCTTGGGCGACGAAAGGGCATTTTGTTTGGATATTGAAGGCTGCATATAACGGATTCGCCCTAAGGCTATTCTCCAACGATGATTGAGTCCATTAAGCACCGATTTGGGAGGATTTATTCCGGGTCAATTTTTGGCAGATTCCAAAGGGGTACCATCACAGATTTCGGGCTATTTATCCGAAATGCCATTTTCTTTCGATTCTGGATGCTACATATCACGAAATCTTGCCGAGGCTATTCTCCACCGATAATGAAGTCTATTGAAACTATTCTCCACGGATGATAAGTTCGTTAAGCATCGATTTGGGCCAATTTATTTTTGAATGGCATTTTCGTAATTTCTTGGGCGACGAAATGCCATTTTCTTTGGATATTGAAGGCTACAGATCACGGATTTGGCCTGAGGCTATTCTCCAACGATGATTGAGTCCATTAAGCACTGATTTGGGCGGATTTATTCCAGGTCAATTTTTGGCAGATTCCAAAGGGGTACCATCACAGATTTCGAGCGATTTATCCGAAATGCCATTTTCTTTCGATTCTGGAAGCTACTAATCACGAAATTAGGCCGAGGCTATTCTCCACCGATAATGAAGTATATTGATCCTATTTTCCACGGATGATAAGCCCTTTATGCATCAATTTGGGCCAATTTATTTTCGAATGACATTTTCGTAATTTCTTGGGCGACGAAAGGACATTTTCTTTGGATATTGAAGGCTACAGATCACGGATTCGGCCTGAGGCTATTCTCCAACGATGATTGAGTCCATTAAGCACCGATTTGGGCGGATTTATTCCGGGTCAATTTTTGGTAGATTCCAAAGGGGGTACCATCACAGATTTCGGGCGATTTATCCGAAATGCCATTTTCTTTCGATTTTGGAGGCTACAGATCATGGAATCCGGCCGAGCCTATTCTCCACCGATAATGTAGTCTATTGATCCTATTCTCCACGGCTGATAAGCCTGTTAAGCATCGATTTGGGCTAATTTATTTTTGAATGGCATTTTCATAATTTCTTGGGCGACGAAACGCCATTTTCTTTGGATATTGAAGGCTACAGATCCCGGATTCGACCTGAGGCTATTCTCCAATGATGATTGAGTCTATTAAGCACCGATTTGGGCGGATTTCGTCCGGGTCAATTTTTGGCAGATTCCGAAGGGGTACCATCACAGATTTCATGCGATTTATCCGAAAAGCCATTTCTTTAGATTCTGGAGGCTACAGATAACGGAATCAGACCGAGGCTATTCTCCACCGATAATGAAATATTTTGATCCAATTCTCCACGGATGATAAGCCCGTTAAGCAACGATTTGGGCTAATTTATTTTTGAATGGCATTTTCGTAATTTCTTGGGTGACGAAACGTCATTTTCTTTGGATATTGAAGGCTACAGATTCCGGATTCGACTTGAGGCTATTCTCCAACGATGATTGAGTCTATTAAGCACCGATTTGGGCAGATTTATTCCGGATCAATTTTTGGCAGATTCCTAAGGGGTACCATCACAGATTTCGGGCGATTTATCCGAAATGCCATTTTCTTTCGATTCTGGAGGCTACAGATCACGGAATCGGGCCGAGGCTATTCTCCACCGATAACGAAGTCTATTGATCCTATTCTCCACGGATGATAAGACCGTTAAGCATCGATTTGGGACAATTTATTTTCGAATTGCATTTTCGTAATCTCTTGGGCGACGAAAGGCCATTTTCTTTGGATATTGAAGGCTACAGATCACGGATTCGGCCTGTGGTTATTCTCCAACGATGATTGAGTCCATTAAGCACCGATTTGGACGGATTTATTCTGGGAAAATTTTTGGCAGATTCCAATGGGGTACCATCACAGATTTCGGGCGATTTATCCGAAATACCATTTTTTTCGATTCTGAAGGCTACAGATCACGGGATCAGGCCGAGGCTATTCTCCACCGATAATGAAGTCTATTGATCCTATTCTCCACGGATGATAAGCCTGTTAACCATCGATTTGGGCCAATTTATTTTCGAATGGCATTTTCGTAATTTTTTAGGCGACGAAAGACCATTTTCTTTTGATATTGAAGGCTACAGATCACGGATTTGGCTTGAGGCTATTCTCCAACGATGATTGAGTCCATTAAGCACTGATTTGGGCGGATTTATTCCGGGTCAATTTTTGGCAGATTCCAAAGTGGTACCATCACAGACTTCGGGCGATTTATCCGAAATGCCATTTTCTTTCGATTCTGGAGGCTACAGATCACGGAATCAGGCCGAGGCTATTATCCACCAATAATGAAGTCTATTGATCCTATTCTCCACGAATGATAAGTCCGTTAAGCATCGATTTGGGCCAATTTATTTTCGAATGGCATTTTGGTAATTTCTTGGGCGACGAAAGGCCATTTTCTTTTGATATTGAAGGCTACATATCACGGATTCGCCCTGAGGCTATTCTCCAACGATGATTGAGTCCATTAAGCACCGATTTGGGCGGATTTATTCCGGGTCAATTTTTGGCAGATTCAAAAAGGGTACCATCACAGATTTTGGGCGATTTATCCGAAATGCCATTTTCTTTCAATTCTGGAAGCTACAGATCAGGGAATCAAGCCGAGGCTATTCTCCACCGGTAATGAAGTCTATTGATCCTATTCTCCGCGGATGATAAGCCCGTTAAGCATCGATTTGGGCCAATTTATTTTTGAATGGCATTTTCGTAATTTCTTGGGCGACGAAAGGCCATTTTGTTTGGATATTGAAGGCTACAGATCACGGATTCGGCTTGAGGCTATTCTCCAATGATGATTGACTCCATTGAGCACCGATTTGGGCGGATTTATACCGGGTCAATTTTTGGCTGATTCCAAAGGGGTACCATCACAGATTTCTGGCGATTTATCTGAAATGCCATTTTCTTTCGATTCTGGAGGCTACAGATCACGGAATGAGGACGAGGCTATTCTCCACCGATAATGAAGTCTATTGATCCTATTCTCAACGGATGATAAGTCCGTTAAACATCGATTTGGGCCAATTTATTTTCGAATGGCATTTTCGTAATTTCTTGGACGACGAAAGGCCATTTTCTTTGGATATTGAAGGCTACAGATCACGGATTCGGCCTAGGGCTATCCTCCAACGATGATTGAGTCCATTAAGCACCGATTTGGGCGGATTTATTCGGGGTCAATTTTTGGCAGTTTCCAAAGGGGTCCCATCAAAGATTTCGAGCGATTTACCGAAATGTCATTTTCTTTCAATTCTGGAGGCTACAGATCACGGAATCAGGCTGAGGCTATTCTCCACCGATAATGAAGTCTATTGATCCTATTCTCCACGGATGATAAGCCCTTTATGCATCGATTTGGGCCAATTTATTTTCGAATGGCATTTTCGTAATTTCTTGGGCGACGAAAGGCCATTTTCTTTGGATATTGAAGGGTACAGATCACGGATTCGGCCTGAGGCTATTCTCCAACAATGATTGAGTCCATTAAGCACCGATTTGGGCGGATTTATTCCGGGTCAATTTTTGGCATATTCCAAAGGGGTACTATCACAGATTTCGGGCGATTTATCCGAAATGCCATTTTCTTTCAATTCTGGAAGCTACAGATCACGGAATCAGGCCGAGGCTATCTCCACCGATAATGAAGTCTATTGATCCTATTCTCCACGGATGATAAGCCCGTGAAGCATCGATTTGGGCCAATTTATTTTCGAATGGCATTTTCGTAATTTCTTGGGCGACGAAAGGCCATTTTCTTTGGATATTGAAGGCTACAGATCACGGATTTGGCCTGAGGCTATTCTCCAACGATGATTGAGTCTATTAAGCACCGATTTGGGCGGATTTATTCCTGGTCAATTTTTGGCAGATTCCAAAGGGGTACAATCATAGATTTCGGGCGATTTATCCGAAATGCCATTTTCTTTCGATTCTGAAGGCTACAGATCACGGAATCAGGCCGAGGCTATTCTCCACCGATAATGAAGTCTATTGATCCTATTCTACATGGATGATAAGTCCGTTAAGCATCGATTTGGGCCAATTTATTTTTGAATGGCATTTTCGTAATTTCTTGGGCGACGAAAGGCCATTTTCTTTGGATATTGAAGGCTACAGATCACGGATTCGGCCTGAGGCTATTCTCCAACGATGATTGAGTCCATTAAGCACCGATTTGGGAGGATTTATTCCGGGTCAATTTTTGGCAGATTCCAAAGGGGTACCATCACAGATTTCGGGCGATTTATCCGAAATGCCATTTTCTTTCGATTCTGGAGGCTACATATCACGAAATCTGGCCGAGGCTATTCTCCACCGATAATGAAGTCTATTGATCCTATTCTCCACGGATGATAAGTCCGTTAAGCATCGATTTGGGCCAATTTATTTTTGAATGTCATTTTCGTAATTTCTTGGGCGACAAAAGGCCATTTTCTTTTGATATTAAAGGCTACAGATCACGGATTCGACCTGAGGCTATTCTCCAACGATGATTGAGTCCATTAAGCACCGATTTTTGCGGATTTATTCCGGGAAAATTTTTGTTAGATTCCAAAGGGGTACCATCACAGATTTCGAGCGATTTATCCGAAATACCATTTTCTTTCGATTCTGAAGGCTACAGATCACGGAATCAGGTCGAGGCTATTCTACACCGATAATGAAGTCTATTGATCCTATTCTCCACCGATGATAAGTCCGTTAAGCATCGATTTGGGCCAATTTATTTTTGAATGGCATTTTCTTAATTTCTTGGGTGACGAAAGGCCATTTTCTTTGGATATTGAAGGCTACAAATCACGTTTCAGCCTGAGGCTATTCTCCAACGATGATGGATTCCATTAAGCAGTGATTTGGGCGGATTTATTCCGCGTCAATTTTTGGCAGTTTGCAAAGGGGTACCATCACAGATTTCGGGCGATTTATCCGAAATGCCATTTTCTTTCGATTCTGGAGGCTTCAGATCACGGTATCAGGCCGAGGCTATTCTCCACCGATAATGAAGTCTATTGTTCCTATTCTCCACGGATGATAAGTCCGTTAAGCATCGATTTGGGCCAATTTATTTTCGAATGGCATTTTCGTAATTTCTTGGGCGACGAAAGGCCATTTTCTTATGATATTGAAGGCTGCAGATCACGGATTCGGCCTGAGGCTATTCTCCAACGACGATTGAGTCTATTAAGCACCGATTTGGGCTGATTTATTCCAGGTCAATTTTTGGCAGATTCCAAAGGGGTACCATCACAGATTTCGGGCGATTTATCCGAAATGCCATTTTCTTTCGATTCTGGAGGCTACAGATCACGGAATCAGGCAGAGGCTATTCTCCACCGATAATGAAGTCTATTGTTCTACTCTTCATTAATAAATTTCATAATATATAAGTTCATTGTGGACTCTAATTAATGGTATTTAAATTTTTATTTCAAATATAATTAATATTACGATAAAGATTTATTCACGTTAAATAATGAATAAAACATTCAAATTAACCCAATTCATATTTTAGTGTCGTTATCCTATGATTGTTGTAATGATGTTATTCAAAATCATACAAAGATTTACATAACCCATACTTAAGATTGCTCGTGTAACTTGTGGTTATAACTTTTTCTTATAAGTGTACATCAAAATAGAGTCAATTTTTTATTTTTCAATCCTCTTAGATAAGTTGCTTTGGAAACTAACATTACATATTTTACATACTTAAAATGATAGTTGACATACTATGTGTAATAGCTTTCAAAATGATGAGCTTCTGAAAGACTCAGTTTAATGGTAAAATGAGGAAAAAAGATAATTTATTGTTTAAAGACTAATGTTGTACAAAAACAATGCACCCTTTCCTTAATTAAATGCACCAAACACCCCGTCTCCCTCCTCCAATTTTTTTATTAATGATCAGATCGTCCATTTGCACTTTCTCGCTCATTAATTATTGTGAAACCATTTAAATAAAAAAAATCATCAAAATGAAGTATTCTTATTGGCTTAATCTGGTGTTTGGCATCATGCTAATAACAAAAGTGTTTGCATACTATCTCTTCCATAACCCAGCTCCTTAATTTATTTTCAAGTGCGTGAATGAATGAATTGATGTTCATGCTTCGTCCATTTTACAGGTCTATTTTAGCATCTTGATTGGTTTTCTCACATATCCAGGTTAAATTAGACTAAACCGATCATATACCATTAATTTTTAGCGATTCAGTAAGTAATTATTAATGTACACGCAAGAGTATAATTATCAAAATGACAACAACGAAAATAATGCATTGCCCGCGATTGCTTATGAATACTTGTAACGTCAATCCAAAACCTCACGCTATTACCACATGACCATCAATTGAAACATATAGTTGCGCCGTCGTCAGAATCACTATTCAACAGTTAATAATCAACCGAAACGTGTTAGCTTCTCTCATCTTGAACTATCAGAACCGAACCATACCATGACCTGATAATGCAAACGACTCGCATTTTAGTGGTCCAACCGATATCAGACCGTTTAAAAACCGGTACCTAATAAACGTTATCGGTATAAATAGTGGACATTTCTTAATCAGAGCTCGTCTCTTTCCTTCGAAATTGTGAAATGGAAATAAGGATTCAGTTTGAGAGCCCGACGTTTTTGTTTTATTTCAATTTTCAATTTTCTGCATTTTTTAATTAAATTTAACGGTTGAATGGCAAAAACCGGACGAGCGGCTCGAGTGATTAACCGCCTCGACCACTCGTCAACCGCTACATAAAATTGGAGCGACTTTTAGACTGTTTCGAGCCGATTTTGTGACCGGGTGGCGGTTTTACCGGTCGGGCCGAGCGGCTCGGCTCGGCTCGCTTTTGATAACACTACTTGAAGACTGAAGATGGAGACTAACTAGCTAACGGCGCGCGCCATATATATATATATATATACATAAAGTCATAAACAGATTCAGAGCCATGCACATGCATGCATGCAACAGTCGTCGGGATCAATATAATGGCCATCAAAGATGTGGTTTCGCCGCCGCCGTCGGGTTTGGTCTTTGGTTTCTTCTTGGCCGTGATGATTCTGATATTCAAGCCACTTCAGTGTCTATCATATGGCAGTCCCCCGGCTATGTTCGCCCTTGGGGGCGGCCTAACTGATGTCGGCACCAACAGCAACTTGAATTCCTCCGCACGGGGAAATCGACCCTTCAACGGGATCGATTGCGACCCTCCTCTGCCTACCGGCAGGTTGAGCAATTGCTGGATCGTGGCCGACTTTGTGGGTATGCTTTTAGATCACCAGAACACTGCTTTAATTTCATGTAGAATCGCGATTTTGACTGCATTATTATCAAACTGTACAGCAAAGGCGCTGGGTTTCGATGAAAGCCCGCCGTCGTTCCTCTCCGTGGTGAACTCGTCCGAGAGGTTCGACCGGGCTATAACGAGGCAGGGCGTCAGCTTCGGCTCCGCACGGTCCGGAATTTTCAACTCGACGGGGCAGAGCGCTGAACCCGCCGAAGTAGGTTTATATGTACGTAGTACTTGATTAATCAACATCGGTGGCGAACTCATACATAATATATTGTCGATTCCCACCGCAGGCGTATGTGACGGTGGGACAGCAGGTCGATCAGTTCGGGGCCGTCGTCAGGACAAGGTTGGTGGCTTTACTGGGCCGACGAGCTGCCGACAATTTCCTGGCCCAATCCTTCTTTCTGTTGGCCACCGGAAGTGGTGACATACTCGAGCAACGGTTGAATGCCCCTCCAGGCTCCGACCTCCGCTTCCTGCGATTATTCACAGCCCAATACGTTGATTATATTCGGGTAATGGATTAGCCGGGCATGCATTAGGGTTAATTCAGGGTGACATGATGCTTAAGTGATTTGCTTATGATACTTTGAAGTAAGGTAAATTGAATTTTGTACTTATTAATTATAACAGGTTTCTCAAATTGCATTTATGTAATGCGCTTCTGATTTAACTGTTACGTAAGAAATAACTAACATTTCGTAATTTTTTATGTAGTGGATGTGCATTTTACGAAATATGTTTAAAATATCATTATTAGAAAAGCCTTACGTTGTTACGTAACAGTTGTAAAAGACCCACAAGTAATGATCCGTAACGGTTTAGATTCATCCAAGTTACCTGACTTGAAATTATGCTTGAGTTGTCGGTCCCTAATTAATTTAACCTTGGTTTGGCAGACTCTGTATGCACTTGGAGGTCGAGTGTTCGGGATTGTGGCGCCACCGCCTCACGGATGCACTCCATCTTTCGGCAATTCGAATAGTAGCGCCAGCGAATGCGACGCCAGAGCCAATTCGCTGTCGCTCGGCGTCTACAACAGCCTTGCTTCGGCGCTGCGAGTGATACGCATTACCTATCCCGATTTTCAGTATTCCATCTGCAATTCCGTCGACTTGTATCTTGATATCATTGCCAATGCTCCCAGTTTTCCTGCATGTGGTAAAAGGCAATTCCAGTAGCTAGTAAGTACTCTTTACGGCCGGCGCGGTTTGAAAATATTACCATTGATGATCTGCATGCATGCGATCACTCTTGTAGGTTTGACGGAGGTGAGAGCGGCATGCTGTGGAAACGGAACGACGACGTGTGCGCCAACTTCGACTCTGTGCGGGAATCGCGACGAGTATTTGTTTTGGAACCAGTACTTACCCACGAGTGAGGGCTCCAGGCTGCATGCTGCCGCCTGTTTTGGCCGAAACCCTAGATACTGGACTCCGATCAGCTTCGCTGCCCTCGTCAAAGGCTAAAATCCTCGGCGGCGACGACTCCGGCCCTCGTCAACCTCTTTCTGTCCTTAAAACTAAAGCTAATTACAAACCATCTCTCACCGTATTCAACGAATATATAATACATGTCTTTAGCCTAGCTTGCTCTCCTTCTCAGTCCTCATCTTTTCATCAGATATTAAAGTGAAATTATTAGGTATATTTTAGATATTTGTATCGTGGAAATCATGGTTGGACTATGGTTGACGGTGTTTGGATGAAAATACTAATATAAACGCATGTCTGATCATTTTTCTAAAGTACAAGGATATGTTTGATGTAAAAAGATAGTAATAAGAGACACGATTGATGAAAATTCACACTAGACTAATAGAGAGGCATATTATTAAGTTTATATATATTCACCATTTTCATAATGTTTTCCAAACTTTTACAATGGAGAGACTAGGGCGGTTAAGGAGTCGAGTCGAGTTTTGTCTTGTTTAGATTTGACTTGTTAATAAATGAGTCGAGATTGAGCTTGGCCAATTTACAAACTTTAATCTCATGAATTGACTTCATTTAAGAGGCGTGTGAGGACGTGATTAATTATTGGACATAAGTGTCTTATAAAAATTCGAAATATTACGACAAGTTGGTTTATGAGACCTTACTCATGATTTCAAATACCATTTCTATTATCTTCCATATGCAATTCAAGAGCAAATAGCTGCATCAGCAATGGGAACGGCCTCATGATGGTGGGACACTTCTGGAATAAAAATTCACAAAATGAAGACGATATGAGATTTATGGATAAGATGACACACTCTATAACAATTATACTCTACTTTTTAAGCATCTTCATAACAACAATACCAACAAAGCAATCTATCACAATAGAACTATAAGATAAAACAAAAAAATTTAGAATTTGAAGGAAATATGAAAGTCTCTATAGAGAGTCAAATCTAAGAAATTAATTAATATTAAGAACTTTTTCCAAATCTACGATAGAACAATCAACTAAGAAACTTCTCATATATAAAATCTACTCTTTGCTCTAATTTTAATTCTCGTACCAACAAACATATCTATTAACAATGATTCTTCAAGTCGACCCGCTGCTGAAAGTGAGAGAGCTTGATGAAAGCGGTAGAAAAATTTCTTGAAAATTAATCGACCACTTAGTGAAAAACCATTTCTTCATGTTACCGTAACAAATCCCTAAACGATACATCATCTTTATATCTTTCATTTACCATCAAACCCTTGGAGATTCAATCATAAATTAAATAGTATTAATTAGGGTTATAGGTATAATATGCCCTTCTATTATGACGTTTTATAAAGATGCCCCTCTACTATTTTTTACAACAAATATGCCCCTGTACTTTGAAAAAATTATCATACATGCCCTTCGGTTGAAATTTCCATTGAAAAAATCGCCAATCGTGGTTGAACCGAGATTTAGACGACCCAACATCAGCAAATGGGAGGAAAAATGTCAGTTTTGTCCCCTGTTTTATTTCCCTGGGTCTTTTCAAAGTGAAATTATTTGAATGATTTGATTATACAAAAGAACCAAAAAAATTCCAAAGTGAATTTATTAGGGATATTTTAGTCATTTGTGTCGCTCAAACTAAATTTTGGATTTGATTAACGGCTTTTGGGTGAAAATTTTAATAAAAGGGCATGTTTGATCATTTTTACAAAGTACATGAGCATGTTTGATGTAAAAAATAGTAGACGGACATGTTTGATAAAGTGTCATAGTACAGAGACATATTATACCTATAACCCTATTAATTAATATACAAGGAGTACTAGTAACATCAAGCCAAAACCTCACGTACTTTATTGCCACATGACCAATCAATTGAAATAGATAAATAGTTCAGCCGTCAGAATCATATTCATTAATTAATCATCTTCCCAGACGTGTTTGCTTCTCTCAGCAGCGTGAAAGATGGAGACCAACTAGCAGACGTGTTTGCCATATATATAAAAGCAGAATCAGAGCCCATTTTCAGGGCAACAGTCGTTGGGATTAATGGCCGCCGAAGATGTGGTTTCGTCTGCTTTTGTCGTTCATTTCTTCTTGACCGTGATTATGATATTATTCAAGCCACTCCATTGTCTCTCATCATATCCTAGTTATGGTACTACTCGCAGTCCACCGGCTATGTTCGCTATTGGCGGCGGCCAAACTGACGTCGGGACTAATGCAATCTTGAACTCCTCTGCACCGGGACCGGGCAACACGCCGTTCAATGGGATCGATTGCGACCCTCCCTTGCCCACCGGCCGGTTGAGCAATTGCTGGGTTGTGGCTGACTTTGTGGGTATGCTGATTGTTATCATTCTCTGTATATATGTTGCACTCTCGTATGTATATACTTCAATAATGTAAAACTCAGTTCACTCTACATTTTGATCAAACTGAACAGCAATGACTCTGGGTTACGACGAAAGCCCGCCGCCGTTCCTCGCCTTCGTGAACTCGTCCAAGAGGTTCGACCGGGTTATAACGAGCCGAGGTGTCAGCTTCGGTTCCACATTGTCTGGCATTTTCAACTCCACAGGACAGGGCGGTTTATTTTTCCAAGTACGTACGCGCACGTAAATATATAATACTTCGTTAATTATTAGTACGCATAATTTTACTTAAAGAATTAATGTCTTGCATATATTTCCACCGCACGCAGGCGCGTGTGACGGTAGGACAGCAGATCGATCAGTTCGGGGCGGTAGTCCGGCCCAGGTTGATCGCTTTACTGGGCCCAGTAGCTGCAGGCAATTTTCTGGCCCAGTCGTTCTTCTTGTTGGCCACCGGAAGCATTGACATAGCGGAGCAACGGGCGAATGCCCCTCCCAGCTCCGACCCTCGCTTCCTCCGATTGTACATAGCCCAATATGTTGATTATATTCGTGTACGTAATTAACCGAGGTTCAATGATCATTAACTAAGTGATGATGATGATGATGAATTAGTCATTGACTTTGGCTGGTAGACTCTGTACGCACTTGGAGGTCGAGTGTTCGGGATCGTGGCGCCACCACTAGTTGGATGCTCGTCGTTTTACTACAATTCGAACAGCAGCAGCGAATGCGACGCCAGAGCTAATTCCCTGTCGCTGGCCGCCTTCGACCGCCTTGCATCGGCGTTGAGGTTGCTACGCTTTACATATCCTGATTTCCGGTATTCCATCTGCAATTCCCCCAACTTCTATTTCGGCGTCATCGCGAATGCACCCGGTTCCCCTGGATGTGGTAAAGTGATTATTGACTAACACACTCCCGCTCGTTAATTAGGGTTAGTGATAGTGATAGTAGCTCTCATGTTTGATTAATTACCCTTTTTTCGACTGATTCTTGACTTTCAGGTTTGACGGAGGCGAGAGCATCATGCTGTGGGAACCGAAGGGCATTGTGTTCGCCAACTTCTGCTCTGTGCGGGAATCGCGACGAGTATTTCTTTTGGAACCTTTACTTGCTCACGAGTGAGGGATCCAGGCTGCATTCTGCCGCCTGTTTTGGCCGGAATCCCAGATACTGGACACCTGTCAGCTTCGCCGCCCTCCTGAAAGACTGAACTCCTCGATTCCGGCGGCGGAGGCAACTTAATTAGCTTGCTCTCCTCATAAGACTTTTCGGTTGTTTTCTTGTCTACACATAATATAATACACCGAAGGGAAAAACGGGAGCCCCATTTCAAATTTCCTGCAACGAGAGTGAAAGTAGGAAGGACATTTTGGTCTTCACAATTACTTTTTTTTTATTCATTAAAAATATATGTACTGGGATTCGAACCATGACCATTTTAAAGAAAGGCAAGGATCATAACCAATCACACTAAGTACATTTGTTGTATCCTTTTAAATTAAAAACATATAATAGCAGGGTGGAAAAAACTCTTCCCCCATTTCAAATTCCCTGTTCCATGAGCGTTTGTAGGAAGGGTAGAATAGGGAGTGTCAATTTTTTTCTCTTTTCTCTGTGGAACGGGCCAACTTACCGTACACATGCGGATTTAAACGAGTCCAGGAGTGTCAATTTTTTTCTTTATACCTTTTTATTTATCCGTGGTGATAAAATATATATGAAAAGGCAAAAATAATACTTCTTTTTATTGTTAAAAATAAAAAATTTAACAATAGACTAATGCATGGTATCTAATGGGCTAACCGCTAACCATAAAATAAAAGAGTTGAATGAGCCTGACCTACATGGGATTTGGTCATCAAGTAAAACAAATGAACATCATGGGTTTGCCATTCTAAAACAAGCTATTTTCTCTGGCATAATATATATTATGCTATTATTTTATATCTTAGTGGCTAAAATATAATGTATTTTAAAGTTATTCAATGGTTCAACCTCGACCAACCCAATTACTCCAATTTTTATCATTTCAAATATATATTTTATAATTATTTGACATCATAATGATCAAATTATAGTATATTTTATAGGGAATCGTTTGGTATTTGTTAGTAAAAAACTAAACATAAAAATCTATTTGGTTATTTTAAACATTAAAACGATCCTCAACATTTTCAGTTCCTTTTGAATTTATATGGTTTTATTCCCGAATAAGTGATGTGCAAATGGCGAATTGTAGTCGTCTTTTTTCTTTCACTATTTTTTTATTTTCAAATAGAAAGTTTAAAAGTAAAGAATAATTAGAATTTGGCATGGGTCGGTCAAACAGGTTGAATTTCAAGTTTTGGCCCATTTGTTTTATGCATTGCAAATTTATTAGCATGTTGATGGAAATGGCTTGGAAAAAAGACATATAAGTTGTATCTTTGCATAAATGTCCTCAAATGTTTGAATGCTTTGTGAATCAGGTTCTGTGACTTTTGTGATGGTGTATGTGCTTGACGATTGCTCGATGTTGTAACTACTTAATTTAAGAGTAAATCTTTTGATTTTCCCTATGAGTTGTGATACCAGTTCTGGTGGTTGCAGCATGTTGTCGTTGTTGGCCTGTAAAAGTTGTTTCGCCGTGATGCTAAATATCTTTCTTTCTTTTTTAACAAATTGTGTAGTAGTGCTATGAAACAGACCACCCATGAACGCTACGCTTATTATGGTATGTTCTTACTTCCGGTGGTGAGAAATTGTGAATTGAGAATCATATTCGCCTACCGCACTATGTCTGGTTGGTGGCTGCTTACTGTGCTCTCTAGAGTTATGAAACAGACTACCCATGAACTTTACCCTTAAGAGTCCATAACTTTGCGAAAAACCAAATATAGGCAATCAAAGGTGGTGGATGTGTGATGATTTTTTATGGCTTAATTGTTTGTGAATTAGATATCTGATCTTTGTATGATTAGAGGGGATGTTTGCTTAATAGAATAATCCATTTTAATTCATGTTTATTTTTAACATGAACTTTAGTAGCTCAAAACCTTCGAGACACATATCACCTACTGCATTGTATCATTTTGCCTGGGTGCTTGCTGTGTTGTCAAACTTCTTTGCTGCTGATGCATTTACACTAACAGGGGAGTTAAGAACCCATGAATGTTTCCGTTTGACACAAACAAGAGGACTTACTTCTAAATCGTGCACTAAAGATGATTGGAGGAAACATCTCTGTTGCAGTTGATACACTGGAGACCATAACAAAAGCAACGTATAACATCAAAACCAACCATCTGAACTATTAGCATTGTTGCTTTACTCTTTTTTCGTGGTTGAGTCTCCTTCAGAAAATTTAGTTTGATTTTATAAAATTTTGCTTCTGCAGTCCTGTCTTGCCACCAACGCGTTCAGTAGATGGAGATGGCAGAGGCGAAGGCTATTTTGTGTTGTTGTTGCTGGTTTAGGGATCGGTTTGTGAAGAAGAAGGAGAAGAGAGGGGGAAAGGGAAATGCAAGAGAGGGGGATAACTCTTTTCTCCTACAAAAATGGAGTGAAGAAAGGAATTATGATCAGTAAGGATATGGTTATCTTACATAACTGTGTCTATTCTGTTTGAATTGAGCTTGGGAGGTAGTGATAAGGACGAGCTGCAACCAATTCATAGTGATAAGAGTGCTATTAACTGTGATCATGTCTTATTTCAAGTTAGAAGGTAGTTTCAGTATAGGGATTATTTAATTTGACAAGTTGTTTCGTCCATGATTCTTGGTAGTTTCAGTGCCATTCTAGCCATTGTTTAGTCTGTAATTTTTGAGAATTGATGTGCGAGTAATGACTTTCACTTAGCTTCAACTATTATGTGTGTATTTATTGGCATGTGATAGAATTCTCTTTTCCTTTTCTTTGAATTCAGTTTCATACTCTAATTGTATCATTTGTACATAGGCAAATCATGCTCGAGATGACAACTCGCTGATATGGCTGGTGCAAGGAATGAAGCCATCATTAAAATTCAGACCGACAACGGGGAGGGATGCCCAGGACTAATTCAATGATGATTGATGATGGTATGATAAAAACTGCAGTCTGCATCAGCACCAATTTCTAGGCCTAAGTAAAGTTATTCAACCCAGAACTCTGCTTAGCGCTAAAAATTGCCCTCACCCAACCTTTATCCTGTTTGACCCACTTCTGAAGAGTCAAGATATATTACTAATTCTCTCCGTTTGTATTTTCTTATTGACTCTTTCTGACCCTTTAGGTTGGGGCGGGGCGGGAAGAATCGGATTAGTGGGCCGGTCTTAATCAAGTGGAATCACAATCCCTTCACTCTCACTTGCTTTCTCTCCCATTCCACAAGTGGGTAACATACAGTAATCCGGCCAACGGGCCGGGTAATAAGCTAGTTTCTTTTATAAATTCCTATGTCACACGAGAATATTACTCTTCTCTGGCCATCTTTAAGCATTGGGTTTTCACATTGACAGAACTGAGGTCTGAGTAAAATATAGGCAAAATGTGATAAATCCAATTAACTATTTCTTTATTTAAACAACGAGAACTATAAATACATTATCTCTACTTCCCTACAAACCAGCTACCACGAACGGATTCATCAGCACTCTGTGCAACAAACTGAACAATAACTCTGTCAAAAATAGAAAGCCCAATAATTTTGACGGCCCAAAAAAATCGCCGTTGCCGGGGATCGAACCCGGGTCACCCGCGTGACAGGCGGGAATACTTACCACTATACTACAACGACCTTGTTGGCTTGTTTAGTTTAATAACTTTCCTGTCCTCACATTCTTGAGTTCAAGTATCTCTCCAATCAGCTAATCGAGGAGGGTTTATCTCGTTTAGGTTTTTCGCTCTGCTCACTGCAGGAAGCGTTCAAAATCTGACTCTCCTCCGATGGCGAAACCATCCAGAGGCCGCCCTTCGCCGCCGTCGAGGTCTATGTCCCGCTCCCGTTCATCCTCCGGCTCGGACTCCAGCTCGCGCTCTGGTTCCCGTACGAGATCTCCCTCGCGGTCAAGGTCGATCTCCTCTTCTTCTCCGTCTCGCAGCGCCAGTTCCGGCAGCCGCAGTCCTCGTCCTCCACGAAAGAGGTTACCGCAGTCTCTTCTCGCCCGTTCCTCTTTCTGTCGGAACACTGATTTCCTATGAATTTCGCAGTTCCTCTGCCTTGTTTGAGTGTATTTGTTATGAGCATTGAAGCTTTAGAACACATCATCGTCTCAATTTCTATGTTTTTGTTCACTTGCACAGCCCCGCTGAAGTAGCTAAACGAGGTCGCAGCCCGCCTGCACAAGTGAAGAAGGCATCTCCGCCACCAAGGTCAGTCTGCTTATCAGTTCTTCAACTGTGGATTGTTTCATTAGCATTTGCAAGCTGCCCTCGTTATGCTGTTAGAGTCTGCGAATCTTTACCTGAGGCAGAATAGAATTGTCCAAGCTTATTGTTCTTTCTACCAGTAGCTAGTTGTTGGCATTAGGGGCCAGCAGTAGGAATACGTCTCAAACAACTGTTTTCAATTTTTGATGACCTATTGGTTGGATGACGTTTCCAATCTAATGCTCTATTAGACTATTACACAATGACTCCTTTGCTGATTGATTCTGAAGGACGCTTACCCAGATTTGTTACCTTATTTCTTGCAGGAAAGCTTCTCCAGTTCGCGAGTCTCTTACTCTTCATGTTGACTCGCTGAGTAGGAATGTGCATGTTGGCCATTTGAGAGAAATATTCAGTAAGCTCTTCATCTTCCCACTCTCTATTCTGCCCGATGGATTTCCACTTGAAGCCATTTGAAACATGATTGTTCTGTTCGTTGTGTCTGTATGTTGATGTCAGTGGAGCTTCTTAATACGCTTATAGTCAGACTTCGGTGGTGGTAAATTGGTGCAGCTATGAGTTATATCGGTGGTGATTGTTCATGTCTTTTTTTCTCTTTTGACGCAGGTGTCTATGGCGAAGTCGCGAATGTGGATCTTGCAATGGACCGAGTTGTAAGTTCACATAACTATGTTAAAAATTTGGTGAAAATGCATAACCTTGCTGCTAAGCCTGTTGCTTTTTTCCCCGTTCAACTGCGTAGGTTAATCTTCCTAGGGGATTTGGATACGTGGAGTATAAGGTCAGAGCAGATGCGGAGAAGGCTCTGTTACACATGGACGGGGTAGGTTATACTAATAATGAGCAGAAATTCATTGCTAGGAATTAACTTACATGCACTAAGATTTTCTGTAAATTTCTTGGTTCAGGGGCAAATTGATGGTAATATTGTGCGAGTTCGTTTTACATTACCTCCAAGACAACAAAAGGTTTCACCACCTGCAAAGCCTGTAGCCAGTGCTCCAAAAAGAGATCTTCCAAAAATTGATGGTGCCAGTGCGGATGTTGACAAGGAAGGACCAAAACGTCCACGAGAACGTATGTATTGTTTGAGATAAAATTGTGATGCAAAGTTGCTAACTTTTCTTTATCTATGCTCCTTATATCCTAATTACAAATGATGTTGGGATTTCCTTGGAAACTTGTAGTCTCTCCAAGAAGAAGATCTCCTATTGGCCGAAGAGGCGGATCTCCTAGACGCCCACCACCAGATTCACCTCCACCACGCAGGCGTCTTGATTCTCCTCCTCGTCGCCGCGTGGACTCACCACCTTTTCGTCGGGGGGAGACCCCTCCAAGACGTAGGCCTGCGTCCCCAGGGGCTAAAGGTCGTTCGTCTTCTCCTCCACCAAGGCGATATAGGTCCCCTCCAAGGTGTGCTTTCTACTTTTTGCACGGCTTGTTAATTGTTGTGAAGTAATTCAATCCTGGTTACTAACTGTTTCCTCTGCAGGAACTCTCCCAGGAGAATACGTGGAAGTCCAGTTCGCAGGCGTTCTCCTCTACCGCCAAGAAGGCGGTATGCTCACCTGAACTACTGTATTTCTGTTATCATGCTGTCCTTTAATGGGTGGTGTATTTATTAAGTGTTTCTCTTTCATATACCAGGTCGCCACCTCCTAGACGTGCCCGATCTCCTCCAAGAAGGTCTCCTCTCCGTAGACGAAGCCGCTCACCAATTCGTCGGCCTCTACGCTCGCGATCTAGATCGCTCTCTCCTCGGAGGTAAGAAGTACATTGATATTAAATGTTTGTCGTGTACTGTTCACTTTACTGTCCTCTGTATTTTCTGTTGTGCATTATCAAAAAGTTTATTTCTCTTCTCTATAAGTTGGAATGCAAGCCTCTGGTTGTTACATTGCTGGGAATTCCTTAATGAACCATTCATAGCTTGTTTACATTTCTGATAGTGGTATGTTGCTGACTTACAGAGGCCGAGGACCAGCTGCAAGACGTGGAAGGTCATCATCTTACTCTGATTCGCCTAGCCCAGTGCGCAAGGTATATACTTTGTCATTTCTGTCTATTTAATTTAATGAGATATGGTACAACTACTGGGTTATGGTATCTAACAGTGCTGCCCTCTTCTTAATAGGTGGCTCGTAAGATCTCAAGGAGCCGCAGTCCTAAAAGGTAAAAGCTGTTTTCCATTATAACGATTCTTCTCCATGCCCTTATCCATCTTAGGCCAGTTAGTTATATCGAAGATAAATCCTTCAATTCTTTTAAAGAACACTATTGAGATCCTAGGGTTCTTCCTTCTCATATCAGCAACAATGAAGAACACTACTGATTGTGATGATCTTTTCCGTTTCATTCTTATACGCAGGCCCTTGAGGGGTAGAAGCAGCAGTAACAGCAGCAGCAGCAGTTCACCACCTCGAAAGCCATAGGCTCTTCATTCTTGTTAGTTTTGTTACCATGTTTTTCGGGCTTTAGTTGCATCTATGGTATTTTGGTTTGGTGAAATGATGGATATCGACTCTCCTTAGCTCTAGTTTCTGATCGGCATATTGTAATCATATTGTATGTTACTCCATTTGCTAGTCTCTGTTACTTTTTGGAATTCGTTAGTTTGTATTAGAATCGCGGCGGATTTACCTATTTGTACACTTTCATCGTTCGTTGCTTGCTCCTGAATTCATGCTATCGAGTTGGTCATAGAACCACCAGGTAGTCAGGTAGATCGATGAGCCAAGTTTGTACCTGTCGTCAAACAAGAGAGTTATCTTGTAATAATGTGAGGATGACGAACTATTTTCGCATCTCCTATCAACATTATCATTATGTTTTATAAGCGTTGGGCAATGCCATAACTTCTAAACTAGAGGTTCCATAGTAAGTTAAATATCCAGAGTGTGTTGATGAAATAAGACGATACTTGGGTGTCGCTCATGCTGTCATGCATAATTAGGCAGAGCTAGTTTGTCAAAATCGGGAGGAGAAAATCAACATCTATAAACTCAATATTTTCTCGATCTTGTAAATAGCTCAATAATTGTGTGATATACTCAATTTTGTAAATAGCTCATTATTGAGAGATGTGATTCTATTTGTTCTTTTTCTTTACCGACTATTTTTTGTTATTTTCTTGATCTTGTAAATAGCTCAATAATTGTGTGATATACTCAATTTTGTAAATAGCTCATTATTGAGAGATGTGATTCTATTTGTTCTTTTTCTTTACCGACTATTTTTTGAGTTGTTAAGTAAGTTATTAATCATTTCAAATGAAGTGATGTAAATTGCTCTATTGTCATTTACTACTATTTTTGTTTTTCATGCCTAGACACACTTAAGCGATACTTAGATGAGTTAGGCGCTAGACAAGATCCCAACAATCGTCCTATGTCCTACATCTAACACTCTTTCAAACTTTCCGTTCTATACAGGTAGACAAACAAATCTTATAAGAATGATAATCAAACCCGCGATCATGGGTACTCGACCCCGTCAACCAGGAGAAATTAAATTATGCTTTCAAAATTAAACTTGTACTTATGATAAAAAAAAATATATACAATGAAAGGAACATACGTGGCATGAAAATCAGGGGAGGAGACAGGTAGAGTAGAGATCAGCTGAATCATGCAAGGATGAAGAAAGAGGAAGAATGCTTACCTCCTTGGCCTCTCTTGTCCAAACCCTAAATTCCCAATTCGCAATTAACCCTTTATTCCAAGCATTCTTCAGTCTTCACCATTCGCGAAGCAATCATTGTCTGCTGAAGTCGCCATTGTCGCTCCTCCAGGAAGTATTGTAGAAACCGCCTCTAGTTTGACTGATTGCGAGCTCTTTACATTTCCTCCAAGCTTTGGTTGTTCTCCCATCACCCGCCAGCGGAGCAGTACTTTCATGGCGGTCAATGGCCTGCTGACATTAGGCCGAGTGAAACTCAGTGATCTAATCGCCACCGACGGCGTCCCTTCCGATTCCTACAAGCTATCAGTCTCGACTCTGTCCCAGTCTCTCGCTCAGTACTCCGCCGCCATCATTCAATTCTCCTCCAGCGACGGAGCTCTCTTGAGGTCGGGGTTGGATTCCGCGCGCCTCTACTTCCACCAGAGGCCATCGTTCCCCGACGCGATTCAGAGTGACGATGCCCGCGAGTGGTGCAGGACGTCCGGTTACTACGCCGATCCTCAGCTGTGGCAGGAGACGTACGATTACAGACCTGGTTTAACTCCTCCCGACGAGCATTCTTCAAGCAACTCCGTTGAATTCCTCCCTCCTGGAGCCTTGCCTGACATTTTTGCTCTGCTGGGGAGAGCTGCACGGGGTATCTTGGATGCAATAAGCTTCTATTTGAATCTGCGCAGCTCGCCTTTCGCGGAAATACTCGACAATGTGCCCTTGAGGGATCGAGAGATATCTTCTTCTGTGTTGTCGGTTTGCTGTCATGCAAGGCCGTCGTTTCAGGGAGCTCATGGCCAAATGGGTGGCTTGTATGAGGACGATGATCACCATGTCGACAAGAGCTTGATATCGCTGGTTAAGTCGGATAAAGCAGGGCTTCATATAAGAGACTTTAATGGAAGATGGGTTGTTGTGGATGGTGATCTTGGTCCTCAAGAAGCTATTGTTTTCCCAGGGCTTGCACTCTACCAGGCGACAGCAGGTTATGTGAACCCTGCGCTTCACAGAACCGATACTAGTAGTGGCATGCAGAGTAGTATGTGTGGAAGATGTTCTTTGACATTTAAGCTTATGCCGAAATCGATGACCAATCTTAGTTCGACGGAGATGAGAGCAGCTGGACATGGTGTTGAATCTCAGTTCCAGCTGCCAGTGCTAGTGGATGACTTTATGCAGAGGTCATACACTACTGATTATATATTGAACAAGCATGGATATCAGGGCTTCGGGTTGTCTTCCTCTCAAGACGGTATGCGTTATCATGAGAATATGCCTGATGCTTGTTTATGTGAATTTGATGCAGAATAGTTGAACTCTCTGGTTCAAAATCTTCATTCTGTGTTGGCAACATATGGTAGTGATATGACCATAACAAAGTGTCTGCTTATGCAACAATAAATGTCTTGGTGATCCTTTGAATATGAGTTGCTGATAACACCCTAAGCATAATTTTAGGACACCTAGTTGCTGTAGTTTTTATCTTCACATCTACATTTTGTTTTCTTATATTTGGAATTGGCCTTAGTAAGAAATCCTTTAACAGCAGGTCGTTGGATCGATGACATGCTGGTACAGGATCTGTGATGAAGCCCACAATGAAGAGAAAAAAGAGTAATAATTCAAGATGCAAGCCTCTGCCGCCCTCAAAGAGGCTGAGGCTCGAGGCACAGAGGGTACTTAAGGAGAGAGTTCAGGACATTGCTGATAAGAAGGGGATCAAACTCAAGTTTTGTAACTTGAAAGAGTGTGAGAGTCATGTTCATGATGTAGATAGTCCTTGTGCCAATATCAGAATGGAGATTGGGTGGCCACCTGGCGTGCCCTTCGTTCACCCTCACGACTTGCCCAACAAGGCAAAGATGGGGTTTCTCGAAGCATACGAGCCTGGTTGGACTGCAACTCAAGATTTAGATATGGCTCTTACAGAATCTGGACGAGGTGGCAGTCAACACTCAGACATTATGTAGCTGTACGTCTCCTTTTTAAATTCCATCGCTTGAGCTTGATTGTCTGGTCAATTATGTCCATACATCTTTGCTCTTATGCTACTTTGATGACAATGTCTTTATGTACTGCCCAGGTCTGGCCTTTGAGATGTTCGTCGCAAAGCTTCCGCAGCAAATTTTGGTTCAAAGTCAATCCTGAACACTGCAGCGGCCATGAAGCTTGATCTTGGCTGAAAGCCCTCATGGTCAGTTCGCCTCATCACACAAGGAGATACGCCTGCTGCAGTAATGCATTGGTTGGTGAGCTTTGATCAGGCTTAGTTTTTAAGGTTTCTTGGCTCCTCGCTTACTGCAACTTCATCGATGGGCATTCCGGTAATAAGCAAGACTTAACGAGTGCAAACTGCTGGTCCAGGCGTAACCAATTCGATCTTTTGACATGCTGTATGAAAAGTGTAAGTTAAGGTACAAAGAAAAAGAAAAGAAAGGATCATCTGTAACTGTGGGAAATGTACTGTGCAATGAGTTTTAAAGGCCTGAAAGCTTGTTGATTCAGTGTTGTTTACAAATGGTTGTATCTGCAACTACTTCAGAAACCATCGTGCAATGTATTATACTTTGGCTATTACACTCCCAACTGACATAATCATCTACCATACTAAACCAGTAATCTAACACTAACCCATTACAATGGCACCATGGCCAAAGACAGGATATCCCATCCTATAACCATTCCCGAAGCAAGAAGATCCCTGCCCCGCAAACTTTCCAGTCTTCGGCTGTTCGAGCATCTGCAAGCCTTCAAAAGAAGCTCGGTCTAGCTGACGAATGGCATACAACTCGAACTAGAGTTCAAATATACTTGCTATTCATTGTCAGCCGCGGAATGGAGGAGGCTGATTCTCGAAGGGGAGATCAATTGATTTCGCATTACCATAGAACTCCTCCAAGTTGTAGTAATCCCTCTGCTCGGGAAGAAATATGTGCACCACTACATCACCTAAAAACACTCGGACATCACCAATTCATAGGCATCAGTGATTCTCAGACATCCATCAACATCGACAAAAATGAGAGTTGGGGAGGCAACTTACCGAAGTCCAAAAGGGTCCATGAGTTTGGTTTTGTGTCTCCAGATGGAACTTTCCCATACTGCTTCTCACCAAGATCTCTTATCCTAGACCTGCAATGCAAGTAATCTCATCCATCATACAATCAAAGCTGCTTCGAAGGAAGTGGGCAAGCTACTGATTAGGTAATCGAACTCGCTCATACATGAGACGACTATAGAGCCAAGCAGATTCTACTTAGTTCAGTAACCAAATTGGTATTTATCCCCAACCAAACAACACAATAAGGAATGAAATTACTATGTTAGATGGGTAGGATCATACGCAATTGCATCAATCTGTGGCCGGGAAAATGCAGTGGCGATTATGAAGAAGCGAGTCCAGTACACCAGAGGCTTTACAAATAGGACCTTTATGTCACCAGCTTTCACATCACTCGCAACTTTTGCTACCGCCACGGCAACTGAAAACCAAAAACCAGCGAAAATCAGCTTTCAGGACCTTAATTTCTCAGCAGCGAAATGCAGGAATGAATTTTTGAAGTCTGTCCCAATTCAACATACATGACAAGGTTTCAGCATCGTCATCAACCTCGGCGATTGAAGGCCTCTGGTCGTTGCTTCTGAACACCACTTTCCCATACTTGTTGAACAAATCGTCGAACACTTCGTCGACGTCTTCCGCATTCTGCCCAAATCACGAAATTAAAAGAAGGTAAAAACTCTAATGATTCAAAAGCTTCAAAAAACAGAAGTTTCCCAAACCGTACCTTCAAGAAGTTGTCGTCGGCGTCTTTCCGTAGGGCGAAACTCCGGTTCGAATTCGACTTGTTGTTCGGTAGCGAGAAGCATTTCTTTTGCCTCACAAATTGATGCCAGGCAAAGCAAAAATCTGCAGGATGGCTTCTTACTCGGCTGAATAGCTTTGACTTTATACAACCCGGTTGCTGGTTTAACTCGCCGGAGAAAGGAGTTCCAACACCGGCGCCGGCGATAGCCAGAGCGGTGTACCCTGCCGTCATCATGGCCAGTTAACGATTACACGAAAAGGGAAGATACATTTTCCCCCATTTCAGAGGTTCAGATAAGAAAGCGGTAGATCTGACCCGAACCCGAACTTCACCCACCGGATACCCGCCTAAAATTCAAGATACCCGCCCAAAGTTAGCGGGCTTCTATTGATCAAACCCAATCTCTTTGGGCTTTCAATGGCGCATAGCCCACATTTTCGCGGCCCTCCACTCCCTTGCGCTAAACCTAATCGATAAAACCTAAAACCAGCGGCGGTAGGCAGCAGCCATTGCAACAAAGCTTCGAAGCAAAAGAAGCAAATCCGGACAAGAACAAGGGCGAGATGGTGAAGTTTTTGAAGCCGAACAAAGCGGTGGTGCTCCTCCAGGGCCGCTACGCCGGCAGGAAGGCGGTGATTGTCCGCTCGTTCGACGACGGCACTCGCGACCGCCCGTACGGCCACTGCCTGGTCGCCGGAATCAAGAAGTACCCTGCGAAAGTGATTCGCAAGGACTCGGCGAAGAAAACAGCGAAGAAGTCTCGAGTGAAGGCGTTCATCAAGGTGGTGAACTACACCCACATCATGCCGACGAGGTATACTCTCGACGTCGATTTGAAGGACGTGGTGACTCCCGACTCGCTGGTGACCAAGGACAAGAAGGTCACAACGGCGAAGGAGATCAAGAAGAGGTTCGAGGAGAGGTTCAAGTCGGGCAAGAACAGGTGGTTCTTCTCCAAGCTCAGGTTCTGAAAAAGGGAAGTTGAATCTGCTTTCGAATTGGCTTCCTGTGGGGGGTTTTAGCTGTTATTTTCCTTTGTCATTTTGTATCGTTAGCGTACTGCTGCAATTTGATTCTGCTTTTGTTGTTTAATCTTGGTTAGCATTACTCTTTCTGGGTTTGAACATTTGCAGCCAATATGAAATTACTTGCTTGTTATAATCTTGTAGCCTTAACGTGGTGATTGTGTAAGCTTAGAGTACTGCTCAATTTGATTTAGGTTTTCATTCTAGATTCGAACTTTGCAGCCAGTAAGCGATTAGATACTAGGCAATGGTGCTTAAATAGTAAGAACAGTGTTGCCGTGTTGGATTGTGAGTGAAAGGAACAAAAATGGAAGCTGAAATCTTATAGAGCTCTGTGGTTACGTAGCATAATGAGCGAAATGGAACCGGAAAAATTGCATATTGTATCATGTGCTTTTCATTGAACAATAGAATAGCTGACATTGAATGGTAGTCGGAGTTGCATTCGGCTTGCAAAGTGTTGTTTAGTCGCAGCAGACTTCGAAAGCGAAGCAGCAGCATAGCGCAGCAGCACTGAAATTTTCAGGCAGAAAGAACAGTGCTAGGTTAGTTAAATAGGAGGAATGAACATGAAAGAGAGATGGCGAAAGGTAATGAATACATACCATCCTTTCCAGAAGCCATCTCCCTTGCTCTGAGTGCCTGCAGCAACAGGCTGGTGCTGGTGCCCATGCTGCTCAACCATGACCGGGTAACCAGCCGGTGGCGGTGCAGCAGCGTGTGGATCGTGACCATAACAGGGTGCAGGCTGTGGCGGTGGCGGGGGCGGGTAAGGAGTGTATTGCGGTGGTGGGTAAGCATTCCCCATCGGCGGGTATTCTGGACCCGGAGGAGGTGGGTATGCATGGTGGCTCGGTGGTGGATACACTGGACCAAGAACACAATTCATTGCAATGTTAAACCATCGTAAAGCCATGATAAATATCATCGGTGTAGAATCGATGGTTTGAGTACTTACTTGCAGGAGGAGGAGCTTCGTGGTGGTGATCATGATGGTGATGGTGACCATTGTGGTGGTGTTCATGGTGTTGGTGGTGGTGGTGATCGTCATGGTGGATTTCGTCGTGATGACCCATGTTTTCTTCGCGAGTTGCTAGTAGTAGTTAGCTTCGATGGCTTTGTTTCTCAGTTTGCGAGGTGATAAAGTAGAGAAGGTTTTGTGGTGATGGGTATTTGTAGATGTTTCGCAAGGAAACAGCCTGGATTATAACGTAGTATTCAGGCAGTGTGCAGTAAAAAATGGGATCGAACTAGGTGAGGTGGTGTGAAATATGAGGAGGGATATTGGCTTTAGCAGGTCGATTCCGTTCTCCGTCTTCCTTGGTGCTTAACATTGTCTCCTAGCTGCGTTGTTTTACGGTGGAAGCTGTTCCTTTAGCCGTCGGTAGCCGGCTGCTGCAGACGAAGCCGTGAGGTTTCTATAACGGCAGGAGCAGGACTCGACCAGGCGTTTTATTGGGTTTGATCATTGATGTAACCTCTTCGCCAATGGACTGCGATTTGGCAGATTTGGGCCTGTGGTCCGGTCGTCCAATTGAATCTGGCTACTTTGGGCCTGGAGTATAGAGCCCAATTCTACATGGGCCGGGGTTTCACACTGATCATTCTCACAGTTGCACACGCACATTTGCATTTTTATTATATATTTTTCTTGAGTTATACTCATTATTATTTATAGGTTACAAATTGATTCATATATTTTTCATATATGAATAAATATTTTTTGTGCGCGGGTATGGGTATGGGTATAGGACGGTGAGGCTAAAACCATACCCGTCCCATGCCCATCAAACTTTTTACGGTTTTACCCATACCCGGTCAATGATGTGGAGATTCCCCGCGTTGACTGAGTCGGAGGCGGTTGGATACCTGTGGCATAGGTTTGATTGCTATCCCTAATAGGGACTCAGAAACCGAATGAAGAAAAATAGAGTAGGTTGAGATCCAAAGCTTAAAGCATCAGCTTGTGAACGTGAAAATTGGTGATGGTGGAAGATGGGAGTCAGTAGAGGAGAACAAGTTTAGGCGCAAATTTAGATTGATATAAACAAAAGGAAAAGGGAGGTTAGTAGATCACATTATAATGATGATGTTGAAGGGAAGTAGAGACTTTGGGGTGATGATGAATGAACAATGTGGGTTTTGGGGTTTGATTAATAAGGCAATTAATTGGTTAATCTTAAAGGCATTTGGTTACCTGTCACCCTAAACAACGTGAAAGTTCCATTCCAACCTTGCGGAAAATAAAGAAAGAAAGAAGTTTGGTTTCCAAGTCCCGGAGAAAAGTTGGGGGGTTACCATGCTTTGCTTGTGGTAGGGAGCATGTTATAGAAGATGACCATAACAACAGGCAGCGTGAACGTGATGGAGAAAGTTTTGGTTGTTGTGGTAGGAACTAGGAAGATGAATTATACATGAGAGAAAACAGCTCGATTGATGATCGATCGAGCTAAATCATACGAAAAAGTTGTTGTTTAGTTAATCACCACATATTTTAGACGTCTCATTGAAAATTGGACAGAAAAAAAAACTTTATTTATTTGGAGTGTAGGGATAAACTTGAATTTAACGAGCTATTTGATATTCTAGTTAGTGGTTTTATATATTGGCCCCATCATTTCGTGAATTCGGATTGAATAATAAGTTAGAAAATATTTAAAAAAATGTATGTGAATGGATGATTGAATTTATCAACATCAATAAGTTCATAATACGATTGTTGCAATGGCAAGCTAAAATATTGATATTTACCAAGTGTTTTTATAAATAAGTTGATGATTCAATTATCTAAAACGGGTAGCCTCTACAATTAAGTCACCACAGAAGAATTTTTATTTAGGAGAAGGTGAGTGATTATTAGGAGAAAATTGTCAAGTTGAGATGTTGTAGTTTTTAAATTGTTTACATAAATACCTTCATGAATATGTAGGACCAAGATCGTCGTTGTGATTTTTACTATGATAACTTGACATTTGGTGTCCTTTTTCCTATAAGTTTTGAGAGGAAATTATTATTTGATTTTCACCCTCTCCCCGAGTATTTGATGAAAAAATGGTTAAATTGCCAATATTAAATGTGATTCAACAACCCATTAACCAACTAGAATAGTAGCGATGGAGGGAAGTACAAGTATGTAGTGCAAGATTGGCCCACAAACTTCCTAAAAGACATTACTCTGTCTGTACCCTCCATATAATTGCAACCCACCTGCCCAAACTCTAAAGCTAAAATGTACCCTAAGCAAAGCATTTTCTTCAATTCTACACCTATTTCAAGTTCAGTAAAAACTGGATTGTTAGTAACCCCTTTTTGTAACAGGAGGATTATTGATTATATGACTCGTCTCGCTTTAATCATCTATGCTATATGTATGTGCGATAAATTGAAAGTTCTCCTCTTCTTTTAATTTTTAGTTATAAGCTAGTATTCTCTTCAAGTTTGCACCTGATTCACGTTGAGTAAGAGTTGAACAGTAACCCCTACTTGTAATAGGGTTGTTGATCTTGTAACTCGTCTTGTATGGGGTGATGAATAAAACTTAAATCATCACTTGATCGAAGTTCTTCCGAATACCCAATTTCTATGTTTGCAACCAACAACTGATAAACTCACCTGGACACCGTATCAGATATTGGCAGAAATTAGAAACTGAATGAAAGAAGTTAAACCATTTCAATAAACTTCTACAGACGTTTTACCTTAGATGATCCCGCGTTGAAGTAGGGATGGGACGAAAGATGTTAGAACCTAAGCTAGGGCCAGGAAGGAAAGAAGAAGAAAAAAAAAGTAATGTGCGTGTGGCCTATACTTGTCAACAACAAAAGCAGCTAGACATGGCAGGTAACAATTGCCCCATTTTCTAGATTTCAGGTCCCCTATTTTTAATATAACATGATGATCAGGAAGACCCTCTCTCTCTCTTTCTGACAAGTTGTTTTCAATATTCCAACTAAAAGCAAAAGCATCTTTTTCTTCTCTCTTTAATTCGATCGTCGTTCCTGTTTGTTGATTCTTGTTTTAGTTTTCTTGGTATTGAATGTGCAATGGGGGCAGAGATGATCTGATGGGAACAAAACTGTGGTTTAAGGGACATGAATGTGAAGTTACATGTCCACATATGTGCACATGGAAACGTTTGCATGCAGCGGCAGAGGAAAGACAGTTGGGGAAGGGAAAATGCCCATCGATCAACATCAATGGAGCCAAAAGAACAACACAGATTTGCATTATAACCTCAATAATAATTCATCAAGCGATCGATTATTAGGAAGATATTGATATGGTGATGTGCAAGATAATAATGGGGCTTTATCCTTTAGCTACTTGGGAAAAGATGAGTTGTGATAGGATATTCAATTTCACAGATTTAGAGGTTGATTCGTTTACATGTGGTCTCTTGTTCTGAATTAGCGATTATCCGCATACTGTTCAATGAATTTTATTAAGCTTAAAATTACATCGATCGATTCTTTATTAGAATGAAGATGTGTGTGAAATGTAATGGTGATAAATTCGTTGTTAGACTTGTTCGACAACAACTTGAAACATTGAGATAAAGTCATTATTAATCCTATTGGTTCGAATTCAAAGTGTTGTCAAAATGTCGCTATGATATCAAGTGAAACATCGGTTAATCTTTTGGGTATGATCATAGGTCCATCATTGAGGTTCGGGACCCTTGTATATAGATGTCTATCTAACCCCATTAGTACGAGATCTTTTGTGAAGGAATCCAAAAATTACTTCGTATTGGCTTGGTCTAAAACAAACTATATTGTGTTAATGGAACATCTGATTTCGGCAAGCTATTACAAGAACCAATCCATTCCAAGTTTCAACAATTCAAGTTCTTCACCTTAACTCGGGATAGTAAAGGAGTTATCGTGACTCAACTGATTTCATAACAATTTGGGAGAACTTCTCAATGGCCATAACTTTTGCCTAGCTTGACCTAGATGGTGCATGTCATAGCTTTCCAAAGTGACATTGTGGGCATGCATGTGAGCTAGCTGGTGGTGGTGGCCTTGGTGTTTGTCCTTTGCCCATATTCATTCATTCACTCACCATCATCATTCATGTCAGTTTCCTCTCTCTCTCTCTCTCTCTCTATGCATGCCCACTACAGCCTAGCCATATAGCTCTATATACCTTCCATGTCCATCCATCCATCATTTGCCTCTTGTACGTTTTCCCCATATCTCCATCCATCGATGGACAACCCTCACTCCAACCCTAGCTTTGTTTCTTAATTTCCCCTTGTCGATTTACATGTCCCTTTCCTTTGTTTTGCTGCCAATGGTAGTACTGGTGGTGATGCCTCGCTTTCTGCAATTATTAGTGACGAAAGTTGGTCTCCTAGATCTTTCTCTTTGCTTTGCTTTAATTCCATTCTTTTTCCATTTGCAGGCTGGAGGAGTGGTCGATTAAGTTTGTTCCTAATTAAGTAGAAACTGACCAATGCCTCCCATCTTGCAGAGATAAAGTAGCAGAAAAGAAATGATTTGTATTGGCAAATTGATCATGCACTAAAACTATAGATATGCATATATATAGGGCATCTACTACCTGCCCTTTATATCAATGGTGGTCCATCCATTCATGATATACAACAACAAAAGCTTCTTCCAAACCCTAGCAAGTAGCAACGGTCACCAAGTTACATCCACATTTTCGTAAGAGAAAGAAACTTAATATATATGGTGAAGAAACAACCATTTTACGCCAACCCATGTCAGGAATAAGATCGTTGTTTGAACCGCTATATATTCGACATCGTATGTAACTTTTGTGGTCATTGCGTTAGGGCATAGTTGAGACGGTATGAATACATGTTACTTACTGCATATACCCTTTTGGTTTCTGGATTAGGGCAGAAGAGACTAATGACTGAAGAAGACATGTGAAATGATGTATAATCAAATGGTAAGCCCTCTGTTTTCCTTTTGTTTAATAAGAGTTGATAAGGGAGTACAAGTAAGGTATGTTTCCAACACAAGAAATAATGATGGTTCAACTGACCCCAATTACCCAACAAGCATGAATTGGAAGAAAGAAAAGCACTATAATAAATTAATAACATTTGTGTAGCAGTTCTCAGAGAATAAATTTTTATTATTATCATTTTATGGAGCAGCAGGCAAGGCAGGCCAGGCCAAGTTGGTCCCAACCCAAACTACCCCAAAAAACAAGGGTGTGAAAAAAGGAAGAGAAAAGAAAAGGGTTTTCCCTCTCAGTTCCAACCCACACGGTACAGAGAACAATAATTTCTCAGTACTACTACCAAGAAATTTCGTGTTGCTTTGTGCTTGAGATTGGAAGATTCAGAAAACCCAGAAAGCAAAATAGAACCCTAGCTCATTTACTGCAAATAGTGTCATCATATATACAAACATACATGTATAGTCCTACATATCCTCTCTCACTTTCACTCTCTCGATTGGAGGGCAACTGGCCCAAGTCCAACCATATGTATAAGCAGTAGAAACGATCTAAATGAAACGTTTATATCCTTGTGTTTTATAGTCTAATTGATCATTATGCTACTTTTTTTTTTTTGGTAGTGATCATTATGCTACTTAACTCAACTTATTTGTATAAATTATATCATTCATGCACAGGAGCAGAAGGTAGGATGAGGTATTGATAGATTGATACATTCAAACCAACAAAATTGGTAAACCAAACTTTTAATAATGCAAGAGGGTATAAGATCAAACAAAGGGGAGATTGGTAGACTATTTATAAAATCAAATATTCCTACCATGAAAGCTTGTTTCTTAAAAAAAGAAGGTATTAATATTAGGGGAAAGAAGGGAAGAGTGAGTGAGACAGAAAGATTGGGAGATTCTCCACAAAATGTGAAGACTTAGAAAAGGAAAAGAAAGGGATCACATGAAAGAACACCAACTATCTTTAAGTTGAATGGAACCCAAATGAAGGATTTTATAAAGAAATGTAAAGTGTAAGGGCACTCCACACTAAGTCAAGGTATACCTGTTGGGAATTTTTTTAAGTTAATTAAATTATGAAAAATAATTGCCCCTAAAAAGAGGAGAAACACAAACACAAATGATACCCTTAGCCATATCATATATTCCAACCCTTTTGTAAAATATGTATAAAGAGAGGGTTGGGGTTGGAGTGGAATGGAAAAAGATCTAAACCAATATCTTGTTTTCTATATATTTAAGGGTACTTGTTTTTCATATTATGCCTTCCTTTTTAATTGATCCCTCCAATTGGTTGTGTTCCAATTTATCATGACAACGTGCACCAAGCAATCGTTTGCCGTTCAATTCATCACTATCCTTCCCCTTTTGCTTCTCTCCTCTCTTTCCAACAAGAAAGAAAGTGGTGGTGGTGGTGATGAAATGGTGTATATCAGTATATGGGTTAATTACATAAACGTTCACTAAACTTTGAGATTACTAACACAGTGATTACATAATTTGTGATTTTTCAGTGAAGTTTGGAATAACTAACATAATGGTTAGTAGGTCCATTTCCATCAAGTTGTTTCGTTTGAATCGTCTAAATTGGACGTATTGCATCATCCAATCAACTATCGAATAAGAACGTGGTGAATGGAGTAGTTGTGGACACTGTGGGTTAGAAATTGGATTTGATCAATGAATTTAGTTTGAATCTAATATTAAGTTTAACGAGTTTAAAACTAACAAGACGAAAAATTGAGTCGCTATTATTAGGACACTAGTGTGGCCAATTGCACCTCTCCCTTTTCCTTTCCTTTTCTTCTCCACTCCTTGACTTTTTTTTCTCACACATTGTTCATCACTTTGGCTAGTTTGCTTTCCTTGGTGGTTCTTTTATAATTCCCCCCCTTTCTTTTCTATCGATTCCGGTGGTGGTTAAACCAAAGTTTGTGCGTGCTTGTGGGTCGGATATGGTTGGCTTGATGCATGCTATCATGGAGATATGTGAGAATAAAACGCAAAGATAGATGGATAGACAGGGAAGAAAGGTGAAAGGGAGAGAGAGAATCCATCCCATTTTCCCTATCTTCAATACTAATATTTTAATGTTATTATTATATGGTCATTGAAAGATCATGATGCATTTATGTTACAACTATTCATTATATGTAACTAAAAGATTACCTTATATTACTCGTACAACTACAACGTATCCTTCTATAAAAGAGCTTTATGTTTAAACGTTTCAAATACGTTTTATTAATGTGTGATTTCACTGATTCTTACATCTCATTTTATTCTTAATGCCGGACATTATTAGTGCCGCCCTGAGATTACTTAATAACTACAACTAACAAATCTATAAATGGGAAGAGTACCATACTTATCATCAACCGATTCCCAATAATGTAAAAGAAACCCCTTACATTGTGTACACAAGTATCTATTTGGTCACAACTATGTAGCAATTTGAAGCATATCATCCATGTCCATCTCACAATATCATTTATTAATCAAATTATGTATAGTTACAAAAGCGACATGTGGGCTTTCTGCAGCCTGTAGCCCTGTACGGCAAGATCCCTCGTCTCCCATGCCGAATATTGGCTTTATAATCACCGAATTAATTAAAATTAGTAATCGAATTTATTAATTGATTAATTCTGCTAATTAGTTTTTGGCCTAAAAAACAAATGCTTATCGCCCCCATGTGGGTGTGATTTGCAAGACTCACTTAGCTGCATAATGACATTGATTACGGAACAAGCATGGCAGTTTAATTATATTAATTAATTTGACGCCCATGTTAACTAAAAGTTCCAATTCCATCGTCGAGGATTTTGCAAATTGAAACACAATTATTGTTAACTTTTTTAGTTAATTATTCCAGCTTGGACGGCTAGTAATGGCTGGCTTTGTTAACAATGTCGTCCAAAATGGATCGATCTGTTTCACTCTTTCAATTTTGTCGACGCCGATCACAACAGGGAGGGAAAATAATAATAATAATAATAATAATATTTCGATTTAATTAAGATTAATAATGTTGTATTGATGATAATTCAGGAGATGAATGGTCAATGAAAACCCGTAACTAGAAAAATTAAAATATGAGATATATGACTTGTCCATGCCATGTCGATTTTATTTGGAAGTTTGTATAATTGCTGAATTTGGTAGGAAAATGTATTTGTAGACAGAAATAAAATAAGCTCATTGTTTTAGGATCTCTTTGGATGTCATTTACCATAGCAATATAAATTGGGACCATCGATCGATGGGGGCAACGTGGAAGGAAGAAATAATGGTGACAATTAGAGATTTGGACTATTTTTTTTATTTTTATTTTTATGAATGAGATGTGGACTATTGTTTTTTAAGGGTTTTTGTATTTTTGTTGGAAGATGATGTTGGTTCTAGGTCACCATATATATGAGTCATATAGTTTGACCATATTTGTTATTTTTGTTTGGAATGTTAGGCTGGAACTTACAACTTATGGTTAAACTTGATAGTGAAGAGGTTAGAAAGATTATATTGCAATATTGCTACTCATAGTCCCTTGATGTATGAACGGATATGCGTTGTTTGATTGGTTCGATCTCGAAATAGAAAGTTGAGGTGTTTGATTAACTCGTAAGCTCTTTAAACATCAATCTAAAATATAAAACTTATAAGTCGTTTGATGTGATATTTGTCAAACCTGTTATTTTAGAGCAACTATAACACATATACTACATGCCACAATAAATATCGATTGATTTTAATCTTATAGTAGATTATTCTAATGCGAGATAAGGACCTCTAACTTCTGTTTAAAAGATGTACTAGAGATAATAATATCTATTAAAAAACTTGAATCCCACAAGATTTCCCCTCCTTTTTGGGACCCCCTATATGAATTTGAATGCATTACAAGATGATGGGGCAAAGTATATGTGAAAGGAAATGAGGAGAAAAATTAGGCAAATTTCTAGAAATCATTTTTTTGTGTGTGTTCCTTTTCAAAGTAAAGATGAAAAAGAGGACAAAACAATAACAGCCTAATTGAGCACATAAATGAATGTGCTTCGTTGAAATCTCAAACAGAATTAAAATTTCATATATATAATAGGGAAAGACTTTGGATTAATCCAGTGGTTACCTAATAATCCAATTTGAGTGCACTAATCAAGAGATTAATCAATTGCCTTGTAGTTGTTTTTATGTGTGAATAAAATAAAACGTGCTGTTTTTAGCCTGTTTCAAATGGCAGGACCCATGATGGGGGAAGAAAGAAAAAAACAGCTTCTTGTGTTGAAGATTGTTGTTTTAGCCTTGACAAACAAGGCAAACCAAAGCCCTCTAGATTGAGTTGATGAGTCCAAAAACGCTATGGAATAATATGTTACTGTAGAGACGATTCCAATGGGGGGTTTTAATTGCTTTCTTCTTCTTCCAACTTGATTGAACATGGCGAGGAGAGCAAGGAAAGTTCCTCTCAAAGTGTACAATGGGGACAAAGAAAAAAACAGTAAGCAATCAATCAAACAAATTGATGAACTCTTAATAAAAAACTGCGTGGTTGTTGTTGTAATGACAGTGATGTAAGTTTTATTCTTGGACTTTTTCGTGACAATTCGAACTATTGTCAAAAAAATTGATTTTTGAAATAACAAAATGAGGTTATGAGCTAGATTGTAGTCAGGCCCATATTACTTTTTTCTCTTGCATCCTGGTGGTTTTGTAACTCCTAATATAGGACGAAGAAAATGAGAGAGAACAAAAAAAGAGTTACGTGTTACGTTGTTCGGCCACTAATTATTTTTTGCTCTGTTTATGGAGTTGGTTTTCATCCGCATCAAACTACCCCATGTACAAACCGACCTAGCCCTCTAGACACATGTGTTAGGGAGGATATCGAGTTACAACTTAAGAACGAGATAGCTTGATAGGGTTAATTATTTTCGGTTTAACATGTTGATGCTCACTTTGTCTATTAATCATTACTAAAACGTTCTATGTCGGTCTATTTTCATATATGAAATAACTTTTACTGAAGAGAAATTTAAATATAGGAATTAGTTCGTTGTTGTTTTGCTTATGAGAGCTGGTATGATCGCACCCAAACTAGTCGTTTGTTGATATGACTTGAATCGGATTATCAGCCGCTACGACTGGTAATCGGGGGTCTCGCTGACCGGGTTGTGGGCCTGGTCTGTAACCGTTTCCTTTGCCATATTGGATTAGGTTTAGACCCACATGGAGAAGTACTATAAATACTTCTCATACTCCTCTGTAATCTGTAATCTCCTTGATATAGTGAAACTGACTCTCTCTCGCCCGTGGACGTAGCTAACACACATCGTGTTAGTGAACCACGTAAATCGTGTGTCGTGTTTTCGATTCTCGCTTTCTTGCTTTGTCGATTCCTGCGATTTCCCGATCCGTAGCAGCGCGTTTTATAACATCGTTGTTACTACGAAAGCAGATAAATACCTTGATTATAGAATGAATATTCATTTATGTTTCTAGGAGTTCGATCTATTGATTAATCAAACAAGAAATAATGCCTAGCATTCCTGTGTTCAACGATCTCTCTCCGTCTTCCTCTCCCCAACCAAATATATTGCCGTACAGAGATCACAGACGTGCTTGAAGGCAGCCAAGAGATTTGAAAGCCAAAGTTGGTAGAGATTTTGGTCAAATTATTCTGTTGTAGAAAAGGGTGTCAATTTCAGTTCCTGTTGAATTCAAATGGCAGCTTAATAAACATTCAGCCCGAAGAAAAAAATGGCAAGAAAATAGGGCTGACAATTTGCATATAAAAACTAAAGAACACAAGGATTTAACGTGGTTTCCCTGATGATCAGGACTAGTCCACGGGAGAGATAGAACTCTCCAAGAGTAAATTCTTATTTCCGTTAGGGTTTTACAGGTTACATGCTACGTATTTATATGTACAAAGGCGGCTGGCTAATTTCAAACAAGTACACAAAGTAATATATTTCAACACCCTCCCTCAAATTGATGTTGGGTACGTAACATTAATTTGGACGATAGAAACCAATGTCTACTAGAAGCCAACGCCTTTGTCAGAATGTCTGCAGTCTGATCCTCCGTAGAAAGATAACCAACCTGTATTGTACCTTCTGCGATCAGCTGTCTAATGTAATGGACATGTACCTCAATATGTTTCGTCCTGTCATGTAATACAGGGTTAATGGCAATCTGTATCGCACTAGTATTATCCCCATATATCTGCATAGGACGATGACATGCCATGTCCAATTCCCCAAGTAGCCGATGTAACCATTCCATTTCAGAGCTTACCTCAGACATAGACCGATACTCTGCTTCTGTTGAAGACTTCGATACTCGATCTTGTTTACGACACCTCCATGAAACAAACGATCTTCCCACCCTAATACACCATCCTGAAGTAGACCTTCTTGTATCCTTACACCCGGCATAATCTGCATCTGCAAAAGCTTCTACAACGGGTTCGCCATCGGCAGGAAAGAACATACCAACCTCCTGAGTTTGTTTCAAGTAGCGCAGAAGTCTATGAACTGCGTCCATATGCATAGTCCTCGCCATCCCCATATACTGACTAACCACCTGCACTGCATAAGAAATATCGGGACGAGTATGAGTAAGATAAATTAGGCTGCCAACCAAACTGCGATAAACCGACTGCTCCTCATTATCTAGCAGATCACCACTCTCACGGGTGAGTTTCAAGTTTTGTTCCATTGGTGTTGAACACGGAATACACTTGCTGTATTGTGCAGTGTCCAACAGATCCTTGATGTACTTCTTCTGAGAAACAAACAAACCATGAGCAGAACGTTGAACCTGCAGCCCGAGGAAGTACTCCACATCGCCTAGATCCTTGAGGTTAAAGGACCTGTGCAGTGAGGCCTTTAACTCTAAGATTCCCTCTGCATCACTTCCCGTGATCACCATATCATCCACATAGATCAGCAACACAATAATCCCATCCACCGTACGACGAATAAACAAGGACGGGTCATTTTGACTTTGGACAAATCCCTCTTGAACTATAGTACCGTGGAATTTCTCAAACCAAGCACGAGGTGCTTGCTTGAGACCATAGAGAGACCTTACCAACTTACAGACCATACTCGAATCTCCTTTGGAATAGCCAGGAGGCCGTTCCATATAGATTGTCTCCTTAAGATCACCATGAAGGAAGGCATTCTTTACATCTAGCTGGATCAGAGGCCAACCCCTCATAGCTGCAACAGCAAAAACACACCGAACAGTTTGCATTTTTACAACCGGAGCAAATGTTTCTTCATAATCGATGCCGTATTCCTGTTTGAAACCTTGAGCTACTACGCGAGCCTTGAAGCGCTCAAGAGTACCATCAGAAAGCATCTTTATATTGTAAACCCAACGGCTGCCGATCACAGACATCTCGGGTGTGCGAGGAACTAAGTCCCACGTGTGATTGGCTTCAAGAGCATCAGTCTCATCCTTCATCGCCCCCTGCCAGCGCGGATCATCCTTCGCCTGAGCATAGCTAGACGGTATCATAATGGGAGTAGTAGAAAATCCCACATAATCTTGCATTCGAACGGGGGGTTGTCCCAAATTGGCACGATTGGATCGTCGCAAGGGAACTAAGGCCTGGGCAGGCGGACTTGGCGGCTCAGAGAAGTGTGAAGCACTACTTGCTGAGGATGAACCAGTTGACCCAAGAGAACTCGGAGACCCACTACTGCTTGCCGAGGAATATCCCAATCCAGAAGAAGAAGAATGCAACACATTGCCTGGCGTAGATGGAGAACTATCCTCAGTCGAAGACAAATGAGAGGAAGAATTATCACTTGGCCCAAAAGAGGAGGACGTCGCACCGGACGTGGCTGCATGGGGTGGATTGGTAACGTCGGAACCAAAAGAAGGCAAAGGAAGCAGAAAATCCAGAGATTCTTCAGCCGGCAACTCATCCCTATTCACCGAATAATACATAACTTGCTCAAGGAAGACAACATGGCACGCAATTCTCATACGACGATCCGTCGGATCATAGCATAGATAACCCTTATGCTTAGCACTGTAGCCTAGAAAAACACACCGAGCTGTCTTCGGAGCAAGCTTATGACGTTCTCTACGAGGGAGTAATACAAAACATACGCAGCCAAAAACACGCAATGTAGAGTAATCAGGCATCTTACCGTATAAAGTCTGGTATGGAGAACATTGATCCAACACAGGCGTAATCTGCCTGTTGATAAGATATACCACAGTCTGAATAGCCTCGACCCAGAATCGATTGGGAACTCCAGAATGAAACAAAAGTGCTCGAGTGAGCTCAAGAACATGCCGGTTCTTGCGTTCTACAACTCCATTCTGTTGAGAAACTCCAGGACACGATTCCTGAGGAAGAATCCCTTCCTCCTTGTAAAACGCAAGTAGTTCATTAGATGTGAACTCACCGCCGGGATCTGATCGTAGTACCTTCACATTTTTAGCAAACTGTGTCTTAACCATATGCACAAATTCTTTAGCAAAATTCACCAACTCAGATTTCTTCCGAAGGAAGAACACCCATGTAAACCGACTAGCATGATCAATAAATAATGCAAAATAACGATATCCCAGACGTGAGGTCACTGGTGATGGCCCCCATAAATCCGTATGCACAAGATCAAAAGAATTCTCATAAACTGTTGTGCTTGGCGAAAAGGATATCTGAGACATCTTTGCCTCAATACAGCTTACACACGGAGAATGAGTAGCAAAAGCGGGATCAAATTTATCGGGCAACAAATTCTGGCGAAACATAGAGGTCAAACGACCTGAGTGTGGATGTCCTAACCGCCGATGCCATAAATCCCAAATCGAGGCTTTAACTGAAAAATCCAATGGGCGAACTGAAAAACCAAACAATCCCTGTGTCAACGTCTGAGGAGAATCAATTTCTTCCTCCAACAAATCAAAGGTCTCAAATTGAGCATACTGCTCATCTAATAAACTATCAGCTAACAAATTCTTTGGACATCCATAGGTCTCCAACGCCAAACTCCCTCCCTTCGGCCGAACAGCAGCAGCAAGCAACGAACAGCCCTCCCCAGAAAGCCTTGATGCTTGCAGTTCATCAAGGATAAAAACACGGCCACGTTTACTTCCTTTCCCGAGAACCTCCCCCGTCTGCGGATCCTGCACAACACAACCCTGCTTATTAAAGATGACCTCACAGCCGGCCTCAGCCAACTGACCCACCGAAGCTAGGCTGGGTTGTAATGATGGAACAAAGAATGTGTCGGGTAGAGTAACAGAACCAGACGAGGAAGTACCACAACCCGCCACTGATAGGCGAGCACCATTAGCTACTTGAAGTTGAAGATCAGGAGGGTCACGTAAATGTGTAAACGATGTACGATCAGGGGTCATATGATTAAATGCGGCCGAGTCAAGAAGCCAACGAATGGATTTACCTGAAGCTGCGCCTGTAGAGAAAGCGGAAGTCAAAGCAGATGGCAATGCTTCATTGAGCGCCTCCTGTACCAGTTTGCGGATCAAATCCGATGAGAATGGCTGGGATGATGGCGTACCTACCAACGCTGCTGAAGAGGTCGGGACAGACCCATCGGAAGCAGCACCACTTCCAGTCACCGCATAGGCCGAAGTCGACGAAGAGCCACTTGAGGGATAACGTACTTTCCCCCGACGAGTTAAGGTAGGGCATTCCAAGACAATGTGACCAGCCTTTTTGCAATAGTTGCAAAAATTCCTCTTCTTACAATGAATTTGAAGATGTCCCCCTTCATGACAGAAATGGCAAATCACATCTCCGGTTGGTGGCCGAGTAAACTGAGGCCGGGAGGAGGAACTAGATCGGCCCACCGCAAATGCCGCATCAGAAGAGGTGGCATTGTCAATCTTAGATTGACTCTTGAGACGTGTTTCTTCTCTAAGTAACTCACCCAACACATCCTCAATAACAGTAACCCCGCGGTGAATCAAAGAAGCTCGAATGGGCTCAAACTCTGGGCGCAATTTGGCAAGAAATTGCATCACCCTAGTCCGACTTCGTTCTTTCAAAATAGCATCAGATTCGGCCCCAGTGACAAGGGAGGCTGTCAACAAATCATACTCAGTCCATAAGTGCAAACTTTCCTGATAGAATCCTCGAATATCTCGATCCCCTTGAGCCAAACGACCCATCTCAATCTCGAGCTCAAACTGCCGAGATACACTGTTTTGTGAGTGGGTACGAGTGATATGCGCCCACATCTCCGCAGCTGTAGTATAGCGACGCAAACTCAGTCCCGTAGCGACATCCACACTACCAACCAGCCAAGTAATCAACTGAGCGTTCGAAGCCGCCCAATCAGCCTGCGCCTGGTCCGACGCGTCCACACCAGGAGCCTTAGTTGCACCCGTCAGAACGCCCAAAAGACGCTTCCCAGCAACAAAGTTTCTGAATTGAAACTCCCACAATGGAAAATTCTTACCATCAAATTTGATGGAAACCGAATCAAGCTTGGAGGAATCCATGACCACACACGCCAAATCAAACGAGATCACGCCAACGATGAAGACCCGTAGAGTTAGCCAAATAGAACCTCCCACAACGAGCACCAATACAGCCGAAGCAAAGGAACCAGCAGAATCTTGCACAATCCCCAAACGCAGCAAGGACCAAATCCAGCGCCGCCAACCGCAAGAACACACGACCAAAGCTATAACAAACGTGCTACGCAAAAACCACCAAACGAACGGATCAGTGCTCTGATACCATGACAATTTGCATATAAAAACTAAAGAACACAAGGATTTAACGTGGTTTCCCTGATGATCAGGACTAGTCCACGGGAGAGATAGAACTCTCCAAGAGTAAATTCTTATTTCCGTTAGGGTTTTACAGGTTACATGCTACGTATTTATATGTACAAAGGCGGCTGGCTAATTTCAAACAAGTACACAAAGTAATATATTTCAACACCATAAGCTATAGATAGAGCCTTCCATGACCACTTGACCAGCATAGCTCGGCGGCCACGATTAACAATGGTGCTGACTACATATATTCAGATCCATTCATGACCCTATGAATATTTCCTGAAATGCGTGGAATGGTTACTGTATATATTACAAGAAAACCGTCAACTATATGTTATGATCTATCCACAAATTATTATCGACACATACCATGCGTAAATGTTGAGAATACTACATAAATTCGTCATAAGATACAAAATGATTCACTTGGTTCAGCATGACGACATCTACATCTCCATACACGAGGTGCGAAGTAGTAGTCTTGTTACACGCTTTGTTTAACGTGGTTCAAGGGTGAACCTACGTCCACTTGAAAGGTGTTTCTCTTATTATGTTACATGGCCAATCGATCTTACACCAATATTTCTGCGTACCCTGAAACTCATCAACTTAGGAATTTACATTCATGAACTAGACTGCTTCCTAGTCCTACACGGACACAAAGGGCGAAGAGTACATGGCCATGTTGCTCTCTACGTTAATATTGACCTGACTCACTTGAGGTATGCTCGGGGCCGAAGTAGATGCTTCGACACGAGACTCGTCATGACCCCGTATAATTAACCTTCTTCTTTATCACATAAAAAATACTCTATTCCTGCTCTATTTTTGCAACCACATCATTCATAAATGACAACGAAACATAAATTGTTGTGAAAATCAACCAGTTAACGACCGGATCACGAGGATCATTCGAGAAGATGGGTTCAATCACTATAGTTAAGGTCAAACCCTAGAAAGAGGAAGAGATGATGACGAGATGTTATATATGCTATTTTTAAGGTCAAAACCCAACCCTAAGAAAAAAAGACACACAACATAATTAAGCAAAGCTTCTTCCCCGTGTAAACCTAACAAAGTTGGCTAATAACAGTTGAACATATATACTTGGAGATTCCTTGTGCGATATTTCGCCGAAACTCACTCCACAACGAAGGCAACCAACATTTATATGGGTGAATTTTACAATAAAAGGAACAATGTGAATGAATCGACCCCTAGCTAGCCAAGTTAGTTGTAGATGGCAAAAACGATACAAGAGATCTTTCGAATGCAATTGGAGATGCGTTCTTATTAGCTGGCCCAATAGCAGCAAGATAAAAAGGCCGGTGAAGAATAAAGGGTAACAAGGAGAGAAAAAAGAAAGGGGAAAAAACTAGTAATGTTGTTTACCATAAGTTCATTCGTGTTATGGTAACATTCATATCCTTGTTACTCTTCCGAGATATCTATCGCAAAAGTAAATAACCATTAAAGTGTAGGATTCATATATATATAAAAATCTATCAAGCGAACTGACATCGTAAATTACTATTAAGTCGTACATATCATGATTAGATATAGCACGATTCATACAGTTATATGTTTCCGTAACATATGTAGTTCTCATTTATGTACACGTGACAGTACTTATACGCCGTATACTAATTACAATAAACATCAGAATAACTATCGAAGCAGTGTTTTCGGATTCACGCTTCGTTCTATAAATTGAAAACAAAGTTTTTAAATTGTTCATCTCACTTATTTCGAATTCACATACGAATCAACTCAACGATACACACGTTGAAGTTATCAACCAAATAAGTACCAAGAAGGATAAAAATGAGTAAGTTCTGAATAGAAGGAGAGGGTTAAAACAAATGGGAAAGAAGACCGACCCGAACGGAATTACCATAAAGAACGGCAACCCAAGATTACGAGACTACCCCGGGGTTTCTGCCGAATTACGGGCAGCTCTGCGTTTGGTTGTGGAATAGGAGTCAAGCAGGCAGGATTAGGATTTAGGAGGAGAGGTAGCAAATCCTCCAATTAATTAATTGCTTAATTAAATTAATCACACCCCATATTGGTGTTATGAACCAACGAACCTTTCTTTCTTCCTTTAATTAATCACACCCTGATTTATTACGTTAATAATGATTTAATAACACTTCTTCCTATTCTATTGAGTATTTTAATTTAAATTGAATTTTCTCGTTTTCTTTTCCCTTCAGGTAACCGAATCCCAAAATAGACAAAGAGATCCTTAACCAAGAAAAAACAAAACCCTTCTCTCTCTCTCATCTTTATCTTTGTTCTTTCTCGTCGACAGCTACAAATATATTTCTCCGTTCGCCATTCCTCTTTCCTTCCCAATGCTCTCTCTCACTACTCTGTTTCTCTCTCTACCACCAAACCATTCATAAACCTCTCCTCTCTTCTCTCCCACCACCATTGCCATTCATCAGTTCCCCCCTTCACCGATTTTGCATGCCGCAACTGCTCAACTCGCATTGATTCACTCCCTCTCTCTGTATCTCTAATCTCCACCGCGCTCTCCTTCTTCTTCTTCTCTCTGTAATGGCGGTCGAGGCCAGGCATCTCAATCTCTTCCCTCCCCAGCTCCTCGGCACCAGCCGGTAACTACCCGCCTCCTATTCCTTGCCGCCGTCGACGGCGACGGCGAGTGTTCCCGTTTTCGGGGATCTTGATTTCTTTGCTTTTTTTTTTTTGTCCTTCTTCCTCTCCGGTGTGGATTTGGGTCCTGAATTTGTCTGTTTTTGTTCCGGCAGGGAGATAATGAATTCGATCGAGGTGAATAATAACCTGTACGCCAACCAGGTCGGGTTCGGCGTGCCGTTGTCCGGCACCACGACGGCGACGACGACGGATGCTCTGCTTCCGATGTACAGCTCGGTGATGGCCGACTCGAATAATAATTTCCTTCTACCTTACCAACAGCATCAGAAGATGGCGACGGCGATCAAGTCGGAGGTCAGTGGCCTGTCGACGTTCAACAACAACAACATCAGTCAGATTCCGGCCTCGAGGAAGCGGCCGAGGGATTGTATGAACGGAAACGGAAATCCTCTGTTCTCGTCGTATCAAACGCCTCTTCAGTCGAACAACAATAACAAATCCACTGGCGGTGGCGGGATTAGCGGTGCTCCTTTCTCGTTTCTCGGACACGATTTCTCCCTCCAGATCCAGCAGCAGCAACTCGACGTCGACCGCCTGATTTCTCACCATGTAAGTTCTCGCCGGAGTAACAGAGTCTGCAGGCTCGATTTGATTTTCCCCCCCAATTTAATTGGCGACTGATATATTGTGTTGATTTTTTTTGGTTATAACAGATGGAGAAAGTGAGGGCGGAATTTGAAGACAAGAGGAAAAGGCAAGCGAGGAGGATAATCCAAGTAATCGAGGAAGGAATGCTGAAGCGGCTCAGGGCCAAAGAGGACGAGATCGACAAGATTGGAAAACTGAATTGGGCTCTGGAAGAGAAAGTGAAGTCGCTCTGCATCGAGAACCAAATCTGGCGAGATTTGGCGCAGAGCAACGAGGCCACGGCCAACGCCCTCCGCTCGAATCTCGAACAAGTCCTCGCCGTGAAAGAAGACCAGCAGCGGTACCACCATCAGTCGATGGAAGACGCCGCGGCGCTGATGGACGACGCCCAGTCCTGCTGCGGCAGCAACGACGATTTCGAGAACCGGTTCGTCGGCCGGAGGGATAACGAGGACGAGGCTCCGGAGAGCAGTAACAGCAGCAGAATGTGCCGGAATTGCGGGAAGGCAGAGTCGTGCGTGTTGCTCCTGCCGTGCCGGCATTTGTGCTTGTGCAGTGCCTGTGAGTCCAGCCTCCATTCTTGCCCCATCTGTAAATCCACCAAGAACGCCAGCTTCCATGTTAACATGTCGTGAGAGAGAAACTCTCCTCCGCCGGCGAACAAAAAAGACAAAAAAAAAAAAAAAAAACAGTTCAAAAGAGATAAGAAATTCAGGCGAATTCTAGAAAGAAAAAATTGTTTATTCCATCTATTATTTCTCCTTGATCTCATCTATTTCTCGCCTGCTTAGATATTAATCTAACCTTCTTTTTTTTTTTACTGGAAATATATCATTTAATTTTTTGATGATACGATACGATTTTTACCCTCCCTTGTGTCCGTTAGAGTTTAGGAGCTGATTTGTTAGTGAGTGAAAGTAGAGTGGCCATTTTGGATAAATATCCTCTGATTTTCGAGGGAACGTACGTAAGAGGGAAAAAAAGAAAACAAAGGACGTGGGCCCCGGAAAGGAAGGGGGGTACAGGTACGGGCGTGAAGTGAGTGGGGCCCAGGCATCTAACCGACAGATGGACCGAACAGAAGAGGGAACAGCGCGGGAGGTGGAGCGTGGGGAGTACGCTCGCGTGGAGTCAACGAGAAGGTGGTGTGTGTGGGGGGAAAGGAACAGGTGTGAGGCAAAAGCTGACACGTAGGACGCGCGCAAATGTCGCTGTTGTTCTGCAGTTGGCTCAGTAAGTGGCGCCAAAAAAATAAATATAACCGATTGGAGAAGACTGACGACCACCACTATTTTTTCCCCTCCCTCTCTCTCTCTCCCGTGCGCACATTACTGTTTGCTTTTTAGTTTTTAACATGGGAAACCGTAACACAAAGTCACAAACAGTCTTTGATTTGATAGAGTTTCGTTACATATAGTCCTATTTCTTATTAAGTCGTGTGACGAATACAAGATTGTTGCCTGAACTACGAGATTTTACGTGATTTACTCAATCGAATGCAACTACGAATACGATGGAGGAGTAAATGTCGAGTTTCGATACATTCGAGACTAACCCGTTTGTCGAGGATGGTTAATTTACGTGAATGAGGGAGAGAGAGAGAGAGGAAAAGGACAGAGGAGGAGGGGGTGATGGGTGGTTGGAAGGAGCCCCGCAAAAGAGGCAAAGAAAAGGTGCCAAAAGGCGAAACAAGAAGCCCAGCTCTGCTTTGCCTGCCTGACTGACACCCTCTGCTTGCCCGTTGCGTTGATTTTGCGTTTGCTTAGGCTGTTTTCTTTTTTGTGTCCACCAGCGTATCTTGTGCATCATGCTTTGGCTTTATTATTCCAACCAAAGGCTAGCGAGCACGACGTCGTTGTCGTCATTTCCTTTTCCTCTCATGGTTTTTTCTTTGGTTCTATTCTCTTGTGAAGCAACGCTCCTTCCGTTTCGAATATGGTAATGGGATGTTTGGTTTTTTCTCCTATCGAGGATGGTGATGCGATGACGACATTGCAGATATCTTCAACGGGAGTGGGAGGATAGGAAGGATGGATGGATGGATGGTGGGTCGAGAGTGATGTGGGGGTGAGTTAAGTAGATATATATATATATATATATGTTGTGGTTGGTTTCAGACATGGTGAATCGCGGTATAAAGATTATCCTTTAAAAGCACTATACAAAAATATCAGGATTATACAACCAAATCGAATGGAATTGGAACAAGGAAAATTACTCAACGGCAACGTACCGCGTTGCTGTCGAATTAAATCATTGTTTCACTTATTGTTAGATTGCAAAATCTATTAAACGGTTTCAATCTTAACCCGATGGGTTCTTGTACTAAATTCATGTTTGAACATGGTAATCCATGAGTAATTGAACATTAATGTATCACAAGAACATATTGGCCTAGTAATGATCTTGGATTCGTTCTCAATTAGAATTGCAATAATGATGGTTTTTGTGACTTGTGAAGGAGGCTGCGTCGTAGCTAGGTTAGGGTTAATGTTAGCTTCCTTTTTCCTCTCCTCTTACGTCGCTGTCTCTCTATAGTGGCTACTGACTACTATATAAGAAACAGAAGCCACCATAAATATACAATTGCCTACCACAATTGATTTCTTCCTTCGACCCAATTATTCAATTAAAATTATTTAAAAACAAAAGGAAAGAAAATGGATTATATGATTTAAATTAATTACCTGCCCAGAATTGGCAAAAAAAAAAAAGAAAATGGTGGAATTATGGGGTTGGTGTTTGCTGACAAAGGGAGGAGGGGCCGCTCTCTGTCCAATTTAATTAAAACACACAGATGTAACTCATGGGTGGTGGGTTGGTGTCTGCTGCTGCCATCAGACTCTGTTTCATGCGCGCTTCATTATTGCCCTTTTGACGATCCTTTTTTTTTTCATGGCCACGGTAAGACTGTAGATTCATTGACTAAGAGTGATTAATTTACATTGATTGAAGGATTTTAATTACCCTTGATGATGTTATTTCTTTAATATTATTATTGTTCCTAATTATGTTTTGTGTTTTTGTATTGCTTTGCACGGCCCTCCACCCCTTCCTTAATCAAGTAGTCAAAAAAGGCCTTCCATTTGTTATTTACGGTGATGATGAAATTGATCTCAAATGGTTATTAGGGTTAATTAATGGTGGCAATTCTCCAAGCGTGTTGCCTAAAGTGGTAAAATGGGAGGTGCGATTAATTTAATACAACCCCTTCGCTGTAAAATATGGAAAGAGATAACAACACGAAACTTTAATATCTTAAGTTTGTTATTATTTTATTAATGAGAAAAGGAGGAGATATTAACACCGGAAAAAAAAAAACCCTGAAGTTACGGTGTAACTGAAGATGCTCTTCCCGTTGTACACGTGACGATGAGCACGTGTCAGGCCCGTTATAAAGTCAATAGCAGGGAGGGCAGGGCATCCATCCATGCAGCCCTAATTGTTGTAAGTAAGGTCAGAAAAAACTTGAAACTCGGAAACTCTCTTGGCGTATATGAATGGCGTTTGGATTTGGATGGGACGAAACAAAGAGGAAACTGGGGGGACGAGTGACCTTCCCGTAGGTCAGTGTGGTCCCTTAACACAAAGGAACCGTCAACCCTCAAATGGTGAAAGATCATCAAGACGCTTTGATTCACAAGAGGCATGCTTTGATTTGATGAGTCCCTTGCTCTCATCATGTTAATTAATGTCATTCCTTGTGTAGAATTCTAAATATCTCGCCTCACTCTCGTAACTCTTTCGTTTTAAGCTGTAATAGTCTTTCGAGAAAAGTATACGGAAACTAACTTCAAATACGTGGTTGTATGTTTCCCAACAAATCATAATATCTGGTCCGCCTTCTAGATAATTGAAAAGGATTGTTTCTTTCTTCTATGAACTAGAGAGTGATGGATGCATTTGATAAAAGAAAAAGGTAGTTGATTTGTGGGGCTAGGTAGTGGAGGAGGTCGCCAGAACAATGAGGATTGATATGATTGAATTCCAACCCATCTCCATGTTGGTTGGCGTTGAAGGTTAGTTAGCTAGGGTTAGACGCCTCCTAGCTCCTCTCTTTTTCACAAGGTACACAACACAAGAAGTAATAGTACTCATTAAAGACCTCGAAGAAAGTAGGTCGGATCAAAGGAAGGCGATTGATTAGACAATTTTTGCTCCTACACCCTCTCACCCCAGGACCATTCACAAGCTCCCGTTCTGATCCTCGCCCACCGACTGAAATACATAGCTTGTCTGTCTGTACGAACTTCAAACTAGGAGGATTATAGAGATAACGATAAATCCGGTTTTTTTTATCTATAACAACGTGTCAAGAAAAAAGGACACATAGTTCGCTAAGAATCATGGTGTGATGGGTCAGTCAGCACGTTCACATGATGCGCACAAAGAGTTGGATCAATTGATTTGTTACATCAGAAAACAAGGAAGGAAGAAGGAAAGAGAGAAAGGGAAGTCGTGTTATTTGAGGCTCTACTCTACGTGAGATGATGAGATGCAAACTAAACTAACTTGTCATCTTCTTCCTTTGAATGAATGGGGGAGATTTCTTTTTTTGTTTTTTTGTTTTTGTAGAAAATGGGGGAGATTTCATTAACTATATAATAATACAAATACTTAATCCTTTTGTTTGTTTTTATTTGCGTGAATGCATGCACTGAATTTTCCCCCTCCTTTGATTCATGAATTTGGGAACTTGTGATTTTTTCCCCCTCTTCCCTTTTGGCCTTTCTAGTTACCAAGTGTCACGTTATCCATCGTTTACACCTCCTTGCATTTTTCAAATTCTATCCTTTTTCTAGACCATCTAATCTGGCTGCTCGATTGAGTTACACGCTTCTACTTTTACTTTCTCAATATTAAGATTTGCTACGATCAGATAATTGTAATGTATGTGTAGGAAGCAGATGTATGCATCATATAGTGACTTAATCTTTTCTCATGTTGCTCATATATTGCATCATGTCGTTCAATAACTAAAACGACCTATAATTGTGCGATCATTCGATCAAGCTAAGAGGTCTAACAATTACAGACTTAAATATGTTCTAATCGGCCAAGGAGTGGGGTTGCTTTCTTTTTCTTGTGGGTGGATATGTTCTCCATACTTTGATGAATCGCCAAACCAAACGAGAGCAAAAAGATAAAGACAAAACCGTTTCACAAAAGGGGAAGAGAAAGAGAGGGCCAAGGTGAAGGTGGGGAAAAGGTAGGACAAAATGGCTTAGCAATAGCTATATTAGTAATCGTTACTCTCAAGGCATATAATGTTTATTTATTCAGTATTACCACCTTTTTTCATGCAAACAAACAAAAGAGTAAATTAAACGAATGGTGGTGTGAGAGGTTTTGTGTAATTAAAACTTTGCTTAAGCTTTCCATGGGGAAGAAAAGATATCCCATTAGTTGGATTCGCTTTCCCTCTTAGTGGTTACAATTATAATTAAGGCTGCATTTGGATAAACACAAATTCAGCTAACAAACAGACAAAATCGGACATCACTGGCTATATAGCTAGTAGTTAAACATGATAATTAACACCCCCACCCCACCAAACCCAACTTATTGGATTTCTTGTTATCGAAAGAAACCTAATTCATCAACTTACTTAATTACTCACCACTTGGTTGTATTTGTATAATTTCTATAGTACTCAAAAGAATTAGGTACGTTAGATTAGTCGTTGTTATTAACTGCCATCTTTTAATATATATTAGGTCTTATTGTATCACTATTTTAACGATATCGTCTATGATGGGTTACGATCATGAACTAGTTTGAACTACTAGAGATAAGAAATATGAATGTAGAAATCTATGGTATGATATATCATATATCTAAACGTCGTTGTAAAAATAAGTATTTGTTTTTAATATAATATTCAATTATGGAATTTTCAGCCACGAAAACAATATTTAGTTAGATATTTCTCTTGTTGTTCCCATCGTTATGTGCTTATATATTGGAGTGGCGAAAGATTAAGGAACAAATGGATGTCCATCATTTGCATTTTCCACAACTTTTAAAAAATCCAATCCTTTGGAAATTGACTTATTCAATTTGGGATAGAAAAGGGTGTGGAAGGGAATATGATGGTTTGATGTAAAATAATTTAACATTCTCAAAACTTTTCCCTCTCAATATTAGGAGCTAGTGATACTTTGGGACCATATTTATATATAAAATAAAATCCCAATTTTAATCCAACAACTCAATATTGGTCCCCCTAACCTTTTTTTTCCCATCATCAATCAATTTCTTCATAAATGTTGTTTTTCCAAAATATCACAATTGGACAAAAGAGGAATTATCATCCATAGGGAGAACCATCCATCTATAAATTTTGTGTTGTGTGTGGATGTGTCCAACTCTTTTACTACTAAATAATAAATAAATAAATTACATAATGGCCATAGTCCAAATTTTGGGGAGGAAAATGGGACAATTATGAACATTAGGTGGGGTTTTGGAGTTTTCAAACAGACAAAATACCTTCGGTAATTAAGTTGGTGGGCCCAAAGCGTGGGCCACGTACAAAAAATCCAAAGTTAGCATTTAATAAGGAAAAAAAGGGAACAAGGGAAGGACAAACACTAAAATAATAGCAGATTTCCCTTTCTGGGATCCTTGGGCCCCTCACACGTCTGGAGTGGGCCCTTACTGGATCTGGACCATCTGTCGCTTTACGACCGGCATGCCCTAATTAACACGTGAATCCGATTCCCCCCTTAATCACCGCCTGCTCTCTCTCTCTCTCTGCCTCTTAATTATCGTACTTAGTACCCTTCTATCTATCCTTAATTAATCACGTCGATTGACCAGACAAAATCACATAGGAACTGACTAACAGCTGAATAATCTCATTGGTAATAGATTCATGGTATGATAAGAGAAATTTACTATGTTATCGATATCTTATTCGAATCGAATTAAACAAATCGTAACAAATAATTGACATAAACAAGTTTAAATTCAATCTCGATTTAGTTTTTTACTTGTTTCAGGAAGGTTAAAATAAACTTGGTACTCTCTATCCCACTTGATTAATTATCTAGTTAGCAATGATTTGCCTAATAGTAATTGATTCAAAATTTTGGGAGGTGATGATAAATGCTTTCCTAGTAGTGGATTAAACTAAAACACATTAATGTGAGCATATCCTCTTGACTTGTTTCATGATAGTGATCTATCATCTTTTTATTATGTGCGACTCTTATTTCTTTTTTATTTACGCCTTCTTTTATTTAAAGAAAAATTCAATTTGAGTTCTCGCCTATTTCAACCCGCCCAAAAAAACTAAAGGAGTGGATGAACTTGTCTAAAAGAAATCACTTTACTTGGATATGAAATTTAAAAAAGAAAGTAAGAGAATTATTCCCTTTTTTGGGGTTTTTTTCTAAGCTTTATGATTATTCATACCTTTTTATACAATATAGTTTGTTTGGTATGAGTTGGTTCAACTATTTGTCGGGCTATGACTTGTTATTAGCGTTGGATAGCATTATAATGGCCACTACAAGACATCGCCACCTCACGTGGCATTTCTTCTATCTTTTAATGTCTTATTCCATACTTAACTTAAGAGTTTTGGTAAATTTCCTCGAAGTTAAAGGCAAAATTCGGTTTGGGTGTTCATTTACTAGGCATTAGATTTTGGGTTTCGATAGAAAACACAAATATGCATAACTATAGAATTACGTGTTTTAATATTCTTGATACAAATTTTATTAGAGGTGGTAAGACGCAAAATTTAGTAAGTTCTGCAAATATGAATTTTGTAGTAGATAGTTTTTCTCGATAAATGAAGGGAAATAATCTAGTTGATGATTCCTTCTAATGCTATTTTTCACTATAATTATAGTAGAATTTGATTTGAAAATCTCCCTATCGAAACTTTTTTTTGTTTGTATTACCTTTGCATGTCATTTTTCTTTGCAATTTTTTTAATTATTAGGTGGCTGACTAAGATTCCTTGTCCATTTGGGCTTTCTATATTTGTTTCCAGAAATTCAGAAATGAGTTGCTGGCTGGTTCTTTCAAAATCAAATGTGTTCATTTGGTTTCGCTATCTCATTATGGCGACTGGTTTGTATTTAAGTGTTGAATAGTCTTGGAGCTATAGGAAATTAATTGAATATATACATAAGAGTGACAGACACCTTCCTGATCAATCAAGATTGTACGCCATTGCTTTTTATCATACTCAAATTCAAAACTTTTTTCTATTTTGAACCAAATACATGAAAACTATATATAGGGTAATACAATATTACTCGTCGGTTGAAATCAATATAAAAGGTCCATACAACAAGACGAAAAAGAGGGGGGGAAATTAATGCAATTTTTATTCAGAAGTAATTTATCTTTGTAATCGATTGGCATTAAAATTTATGTTAAACGGCCTATACCGTAAGAGATTTTTATACGTTGTTTTAAATTTTCATTTTAAGTTGATATGATATAATTCTATATCGTCTATTACGAGATGTACATTGACAATGCTTCTATTTAAACATTTCTATTAATTCAACATAAAATTGCCCTTCTTTTCTAGAGGAACAGCAGAGCCAAATCAAACCCATAAAGTTGACCAAAATAGTAATATGTTCATTGGAGGTTAGGGTTTTATATAAGTTTTTCAATAAATATTAACATTGTCTATAAACCCATTTGATTTTTTTTTCTAATCCAACCACTTTGCCGTATGCAAATGGGATCACCTATACCTGATTTTCAAATTAATATAAAAAAAAAACGATAAGTACAATATTGCCCACTTTCCATGAGATGTCAATGTAATGCCACCTCAATTATCGTCAATATATGAAAATACAAACACAGCATTACATTACATGATGGATCATGAGGGTCGCAATCAATTCCTTCGTCAAATAATCACATCTTCAAAATAATTAATTTTGAAACAGATTAAGAGAATTGACAGATAATTTTTGTTTTTATTATTTCTCTTCCTGTTTTAGTATAATCTTTTGGCTTATATATTATATGGGTTATAATCAAAATATGATAAACCATTACGCGAGCAATAAGGACTCTAGTAGTTGTCGATTCTATTTGTTGGATAATTTTAATTATGGTTGTAATTAATTAACAATTTAGCTAGTTGATCAATCAGATGTCTAAGATGTGGACCATTTTGATATATAAAAGTGTCGGTCCATTATGTCATATTTGAGATTGTATCGTGGAGGGTGTTTGAGTGTAGATCATGAATTTAGTAGTTTTTATATATATTGTGGTTTTGACTTTTAGTTGTGACCAAAGATGAAGGAATTAACCATTTTTTTCTTGATTGATTATGAGTTTTGTTTGCATAATTTATACAAAATTATTTGTGCACGCTAGGCAAAAGGAAGTAGAGATTATCTTGTGGCAAGTTGCCAAACAACTACAAGGGGAAATGAAACCCATCCTCCTTTGAGTCGGGATGAGTAGTAGTAAGATTGGAACGATGGAGATCGATCGATCCTTTAGCATCTTCGTCTTAATTTGATATACGAAGATTCTGAATGATTTGTCTGCAAAAAAATAAATAGTGAAAGCGATCAGAATGGAGGTGATGAAGACAACAGATGTCTGCAAGTTGGATCCCAAGCCCTGACTATCGAGTTTCAGAGGACAAGCTGATCATTTGTTGTGAGAAATCGTTAACATCTCATTTCAACGCACAAAGATTGGCACTAAATTCGAGATTTTTTTAATGAGCGGACTCGTAAAATATAATAAGAATGGTCGACAATGCACGAAACCCAATCAAATTTTGTAGGCGATAATTAAGAGGCAATGGTTCTACCAAAAGAAAAAAAAATAAGAGGCCATGGGTACAATAGTGAAGTTGGTGGTTGACACCGATTCAAGCATGATGCTGATGAGAGCTTTGCTTGCTAGCTAGGGCAGATCCAAGTTTAATAATAAGTGCGTTAAGTTAGGACCATAATGGGTCCTCCAATATAATAAACTAGCAATTGCCGTACCCTCATAAAATTATTCGACCGTGACCATGAAACATGATTTGATTTGATCCATTCTTTCCTATTATTAATAATTTGTCTCGAATGGGTCCACGATGTACCCCAAATTCAATGTGTTTGATTGCATCGACATCCCATCGTTAAACCCTACAATAAACCATATATCTAATTGTTAATTAAGCACAAGGGGTCAAGAAATGGCATCTCTTGTGGTGGAGATAATTGGGATTGTCAAAAGGTTAACTTATTATCTTGCTAAGCTACTTGATTAGTTTAAACCTATTCTTTCAATGGGAGATTAATTAATTGATTAATCTTGTTGCATTGGAATGACGACACATAGCTTGCCTAGCTTGTCCCTGTTGAACGTACCTTAACCCTATAGAGTGTGGCAAGAGGCATTGCATTTTGTTCATTGCAATCCCTCCAAAGTCATGTTTAATTTTTTAGAAGTATATAATTACCCACCACACTAATTAATTGTGCTATCGTCATGATATACGTATAACCCCCCAAGTTTGGATTTAAAAGCTCTCACAATATTGATGTGGTCATATGAAACGTTCTTACAAATTTCTCGGATATTCACGAGAGCTGGAATTTACTATAGTTAACGAAATTTTCTCTTATGTTTGAACAAAAATTATGTATATCATCACATATAAGAACCTCGTAACTCTCTATATACATGACAATCACATTGTAAACTGTTCTTCTCTAACCACGAAACCTACTCTAAACGGGTCCATTCCTCCCTCCTCGCCCCCTATCACTATTTAAAGCCTCATAAAGGAGAAAAGAATAGTTGAAAATAATCATAATATGTCTCAATCTTGTAATGAATCAATAAAAATTGGGGGAAGTACAACATTTAGGGCAGGGGGCCATGAGCCATGTTGAACGGGTCGTGGTCCTGTTTCCTATACAGAATCACACATCAACTTCAATTATCAATTCCTCTCTCTCTCTCTCTCTCTCTCTCTCTCTCTCTCTCTTGTCGTGGTCACTGACGGCTAGCTATGAACATTACATTTACAGCTATGCTTTCGTACCCTAATTAAACTACGAGCCAAGGGACAAAAGAGGAGGTTGCTAACTTGCTATAGCTAGGGTTGATTAAGTACGTACGTTAGGTTAATAATTGAGTTGTTTATTTGTTCTAATCCACAACCTCACTTTGCGTATACATTGAACTGAACTTGGTACACTATATTATCGTTTAAGTACCATTATTGTCATGTAGTTTGAGTTCCCAAACTTGAAAGTCTCCCATTCATTCAAAGTTACTATCAACATTTGCCTAACTAGCAAGTTATAAGTGTCTTGCTACGTGGTTTCTGTTAGTTGTGATTAAGAGGGGGCGATTACGACCTGTGCTTGTATACATATCATATCAAATCGGATACATGCGAGGTTGATATGATTCGAAACTTTACATGATGAATCGATATAAGGATTCAGAACTCATTATCAATATATCGAATCGATTCAAACTCGCTTTTGAATCGGTTGGAACAGGATCATACAAACCTAAAAAAAAAAAAATTTACATAAAATAACGGGAAAAAAGAAACTATATATACGGTATCGAATGCATCATTCATCACGTACACCCCACGAAGCAGCTGGCGGCAAGGCCCACGCATGCAAATGCAACACAGCCCACAAAAAACGCCGACGGCGACGACCGACGGCGACCTCGACACTTGGCCCGACGCTATATATTTCGGTTTCCTCTCATTTTTCCTTTAATATTGTAGTAAGAATATAATAATAAGGTATTGTTTGGGTCTCAAAGAAAGTGAAAAACTTCTTCAACTCTCTCTTTTGCAATGCAAGCATCTCTCGAGGTCCATGCCTGGCCTCTTTCTCATGCGGCCCTCTTTTGTTTTGTTTTGTTTGCTTTCTTCCCGTTTCCCTGTCACCTTTCCTTTACCATTTTTGTATCTATATACATAGATGAGACTTATGGGTGTTTATATACGTGTACATTTTCTCCTTTTCCTTTCCTAGAGAGAGAAGGAGAGAGTGACTTGTTGATGTTACAAGGTGGTATATAAGGAGGAAAACAAAACAAGAAAATGTGAATGTGTCCACTCTCTCATCATGGGATGTGTGTGTGTAAAGAGAAAGACAACACATTCTAGAGAGAGAGAGAGAGAGATGGAGAGAGGTGTGGGGCAAGGTCACTTGTATGCATCAAAGTAATGGACAATGGTAGTACCAAAAAGGAAGAGTGGAATAGGATAGAATATGTATATCAATATATGAGAGAGAGAGGGGGCCATAGTCATAGACAAATCATGATGATGATGGGGAACCCTAGATAATGAAACTTTCTTGCCTTGTGAAAGAGGGCACTCCCTCTCCTTCCTTTGCCTTTGTACTATTCCTCACTCTTTTCCCCATCACCTCTCTCTTTCTCACTCACTATTTGGTTTCCCCTTTCCCTTTCTAAGTTCATCTCCCCCTACCCTTTTGCTTTACCTTGTTTTCTAATGTACTTAATGATCACTAGGGCTCTTTAGTTGTTGTTCCCTAATCCCTAAGTTTAAGTGGGAAGAAAGTAGTTTTCTATCTAAATTAATAGCAATATTTGAAATCATATTTGGAACGAATCCTGAAAATGATCAGTAGCAAACCATTCACGCTCATTTCTCTCTATATATTTCGAAATAACCCTGAAAATGTTTAGAAAACCATCCTTTCAGTTTGGTTCCTCTTTTCACAAACCCTTTCACTCATATGTCGATCATATTTCGCCATATTCATGGTTAGCCAATTAACTTCCCGAAACGACGAGTGAGAAAAAAAAGTTCATGTTACTCCTGCCCCTCTACCCTTACAACTTTGGCCCTAGTACTTTGATATGGTCCCGTTTACCCTATCACAAGCCAGCCATCCAATGGGGCAAACCAGTCAGGAGGCCATAATTAGGTCAACTGTAAAGTCAGAAAACAACCCTTTTCTTAACCCTCAAGCATGTAATATTATTGCATGTACCTAAACTCCCAAGGCAAGCACGACCCTCAATGGTGTACGTTGGGAGAAATAAATATTTAGTACTACACATCATTTTCACTCTCCAAACTTCAAAGCTCCCCATTCATTCATTCATTCATTCGATGCCACCACCAACAGTAATAATAATAGTAGTAAATGGAAGTATTCACCCATTCCAATAGCAGTCTTTAATGGGACAGTAACAAGAGAGAATCGAGCTATAGCTATTGATAAGTGTAACTCTATTTTGAGGGGGTGTGCAGAAGAAACAGGTAAAAGGGCTCCATTAATATTGTATAGTTTTCCCCTCTAGCTCCCATCTTGGATTCAGAGAAATGGTGTGCTTATTTAATGGTGATTTTGTTTCTAGGTTGAAGAAGAAGTGGTAATTTAATGGCATTGGATGGTGCAGGCTGGTCAGGCAGAGAGAGGGAAAGAGGGAACCGTTCCTCTTACTCTGCACAAAATTCTCATAATGTGGGAAGGGAAGTGGTGGTTGTGTGAGATAACAATAACAATGGGAAAGGGTTTGATGCCTAATGGCATTTCAAGCTATTCTATTATGCATTGTCCACATGTTCTTTATCATATTAAGATGTGAAAGACATCGATTTTTCGTATTCGGTATTTATGTGCGTGCAAGACTCATGATTTTGTGAAGATTTCCCGATCATGGAATTCGTTTTTGTTGATTAACTAGTGAGGGTTTTGCTGAATAAGTTGTCTGGGTGAGTCTATTGGGTATTATGATTAGAAGGAAGAAAGATGGAAAATCATGATTGATACAAGAAATTAAGCATCTTAACTGTCAAGCACCGCGTTTCATTATTTTAGAAGATATTTAATGGATATATAATATGTTTACTGTTTGTTACCATTCATATAATGTGAAGATTTATTTTTTTAAATAACTAAGTATATATTTATATATGTGTGTGTTTTTTTTGAAAGTGAAAGGTCATGAACCCTAATAAAGGAAATATGCATTCCCATGTGAATATTAAATAAAAATCTATTTACTTTGCTTCTAGGAAAGGGTGGCAAACTGGCAATGGAATGGTTACACGATGTGTGGGTCTATATTGGAATCCCACAACCTCCCAAAAGATGAATAAGGAACCCCAAAAAGGCCACAAGGCCAACCATTATTTTCAGCTAGAAATCATATCTATCTAGCTACCTCTCTTTCTCTCTTACACACACAATGAGTAAGTTGCTTGAAAATGTATATTTATTCCTCTTTTCAGTTTTCACTACTCTCTTTTGCTTTTGTGGGAGTTTTCAAGAACCTGCCAAAATGCCATGAGCCAACCTAGCTATCAACTTTTTTCACTTGGATAGATTTGGTTATGTGTGTTTATGGGGGAGTGGAGTAAGGCTAAAGATAAAAAGAGAAATAAAATAATATGTCCCATAAATAATTATTCCCAATCTATGCAAATCTTGAATCCATGAAAACTCCTCCCCATCTTTCTCCCCACTATGTTTATCAAACAATTGTAGCATTGAAAAGAGAGGACCAACCATTCATAAAAAAGTGTGTAGCAAGAAAAAAAAATAGAGGACCAACTCATGTTTAGGGAACTATTCTTCTTTTCTTTTGTGTCTATTTGGGTCAATTACCATATACACTAACAAATCAGACACTAATTTTAACGAAGTTATTAAAATCCAGAATAATCAAAATGTCACGAATATTCAACCACTTTATTCATCATCATCAAGTTTATTGTATGATTAGTGTGTTATCTCACCCATGTTAATCACAAAAGGCCGCATAGACCCCTAACCCGCTAGCTATATGACAGAGCGAGGTTTTCCCTGGATTAGGTAAGAGGTAAATGAATCATTAATTACAGTTGATCAATCAACAATCTACGTAATCATTTAATTATTAATTCGGACGAGTTGGTATTACTAATAAACTTGGAGTAAAAACCAAACCGCAATGGACAAATTGATTATATATTAGCTAGGTCATCCACAACTTCCATGACCTTACATATTGGAAAGAAAAAGGTTGGTGGCTGATTTGTTATTAGCATAAAGTTTATTGACCCATTTCTCTTCCCTAGGTTTAGCATAAAAATGAAGTGCTTGCTATACATTGGTTGTGTGCAAAGTGTAACCATCAACCTTTCCTCCCACTTCCTCAATAATATATGAGATATGCCATGTGCTATGAGCATCAAAGGCCCTTCCTTCTCTCACTCTATCATCCTCCATTATAATGGAGGAATTCTTGGACATTGTGGTGGCAAACCCAACTCCCTCCATCTTTGGTAAAAATCATTATGCTTTTCCTACTTTTTGGGGCATTTCCTCCCACTTTCTTTCCCCCTCTCTAGTCTCACAAAGTGCTTCATTAGTTCTTTCTTGTGCATATTAGCCATTAGGGCACTACTTGAAAAAAGCCAACCACTTTGGAAAATCATTTCATCATCCAGAGTTAGCTACAAGCCTATGTCTATATCTTTATAGCTCCTTTTTTGGTGTGTTTGTGTGTTGGATTGTAAGTAAGTGGGCAAGCAGCAAAACATGATCTCCATTATATAATTATTGCTATCAAAGCAAAATGGATCTTCCATGTGGATGGATAAAATGAATTGGTGGCGAGATTGGACTATGTATGGCTCAAGCAATTACAATAAGATAAAAATACAAAATATGAGTGAAACCAATGATGGGTTTCAAGGAAATGTTATAAAGTTTGATCGATTAATAATGACTATAAGTTTGATAACACATTGACAACAAAACATACTAATTCGATCAAAATATATTCTTTTTTATGATGATAATATCCTTTTATTAATTAAGAGACAAAGAAAGGTCCAACAAACAACCACTCACATAACCATATTCAGTTGGCTACCTACTAATTTATACAAGCAGGAGTCATGAACGATAAGGGAAAATGGGGAAATGGAAAAATATACAGAAATCAATAGCGGAGGTGTGGATATTCAGACACCCACTACGAAAACCAATTGTCTATTGGGCGATGCAACACGGTTCTTCAATATCTCAGATCTTCTTCTTTGTAAACAACCACACTAGCCATTCGCCAAGCTAGTGTGCAACTACGATCCATCCACCTACTCTCAAGCTTCTATGGAGACTTTAGCCACAATTGTGTCGTTACTCTGTCTACTTTGCCAACCGTGATAAGCCACTCATATTGTTCGATTTTTATCTGTTGTACCAACCGTTTTTTTCTTCTTAACAACGAGGCAGACATATATATCAATCTTTATGCCCACATATGAAACAATATATCACACTAATGTTTCAAATCTCCTACTTTCTTTTGCCCACCTCCCATCTTTTCTTCCTCTACTTTCTGAAGGTTTCACATTCTCAACAGTGAAAATGACATGAGAGCATGGATTTATTTGGAGGTGACACAACACAAGAATCAAAGGGCTAACACATTGGACCAATTCCATTGAGGAAAAGATATGGTAAAATATATCCATCAGCAAATTGTGTGGAGTACTTATCATTGTGGCATCAATCAAAAAGCACCCCTCAAAGGAAAAGAAAACAAAGTCCATTGCTTGAAGATTTTTCAGGGCCTACCCATTAAAAGTTGTCCCCTATAATTGGATCCCATTTGGATTTAATTGATCATCATGGTCCTAAAATTTGGCCACCACTAGCTACTTGCAACGGTTGAAACTTTAGTAGCGAGCTACGCATGATGCAATTTCCATAGGTAGTAATATTCTGTTCTTATTCGTTTAGTGCACAACCTAAGGTCCCTAATGGACCGACCTGACCTAGTAGTCTCTTTGAATTTTCTTATATTCTCAACACCAAGGATTGAAAAACCGTACTGTACCGATAGTTCGACCAGAAAAATCTCATATCAGAACTTAAACCGGTATGTGATATTTAGCGATATGAAACGATTGAACTACAGTTAGACCACAGTTTTAACTTATGATACCATGCCACTGAATTTTTCGATACAACCTCCAGTACGATTTTAGAATCCTTGGTCAACACTTCCCACGTAAAGAACTTTAGGGGGTCGTTTGGATTAGAGATTTGGATGAGTGATTTCAGAAGGATTTAAACATAATCTCTAATTCTTCAGGATTTTAATACAATTATGAGTTTGGGAAAGATGAGGGATTTTACAATTAGGAATTTTAAAAACTCTCAATCGTGGGTTTTAGAAATAGCTGATCACCATCAGCTATTTCTAAATCTCTCGTTCTTCTTTTATTTATTCCAAAACCTACCCTCCATTCGACTCTTCTTCCTTCTTCTCTGGCCGACCTTATTACTCCAATCACTCCACCCTCAACCGCCGACGCATAGCATCCTGAGCAGCATCCAGATTTCCCCAACCACCACCACATCTATCAACCTTCTCCGTTGTCCTATGCCATTGACCCCCAGTCACCGCCACTACGGCCGTGATCGAAGAGCTCCAAAAGACGACAAGCAGGCTTCAGCTCCGCTTGTCGATTTGTTGATCGATGGTCCCGCCGTAAACATCCCCACGTCGGTGCTGATTTGTTGTTTGAATGTGCCTGGTTAAGAGTCGAGAAGAAGTGAGGGAATCTGAGGGGTCAGATGGAATATCAGGGAAGGGGGTCAGATGGATAGAGAAGGGGGAATCACCCAATCTGGGTTTCAATCGATAGACTAGCGAACTCGAGTCATCTGAAGTGGAATACAAAAGCGGTAACCAGCTAGGGTCGTTTGGGATTGGAAGGGAGTGAGATGTATATTCAATTTTGGATTGGGGTTCTTATTGTTTCTGATTCTGAGTTTGTTATCTTCTTCTTTTATCTGCAAACAATAATGGGATTATGGGTTTGTGATGGAAGCAGGTAAGAAGAGCAGTATGATTAATTGGTGTAGAAGCAGGGGAAGAACAATTGATTGTTAGTTTGATTACAAACGAAGAACACGAGGGAAGATGACAAAGGATATTCTTGTAATTTGAGTTTTAAGGTTAAAATTCTGTGTTTTATCCAAACGAGTTATTTCTATCAAATCCTGTATACAAATTCCCTGGTATTTTAAACGAGAGATTTTAATCAAAATCCCTCGTTATTAAAATCTCTCATCCAAACGACCCCTAGAACTTTTCCCCCAAGTTAGTTATACTTTACTTAAATGTTCTCTACTAAGTTGATCTACCTAATCAATGGAATATATAGGTGGGAGAGGTCCAATATCAAACATTAAAAACTTGAGCCAATGTCATATTCGTACTATTCATCCAAATTGTCCATGTATAACAACGTGTCAATTCTCCAAAACTATTGATGAAAGAGGCAAAGAAAAATCATACTTATAAGTTTAAAATGTCTTACATAGCAATCACTTCTTAAAAGTTTTCATCTAAATTGTTTCACGTACATTGATCTGTCAATTCACCACAATTTTTATGAAACACACAACAGAAAATCCTCTTACGCTATGGATAGGGGCGTCGGAGATCACGAACAGAGTTAGTTATGATCTAGCTAGGACCAATTTGTTGCATCACTTGCCCTTGGGTAAGTGTCATGGCTTGAGGTTTCCATCAACGGTTTTTGTAAATCGTCACTTGGGTAATTAAAAAATGATCGATTTGTCACTTGCCCCAAAATTCAGTCACCATTTTTGTAAATCGCCCTTGGGTTTGGGTAAGTGTCATCACTTGAGGTTTCCATCAACGGTTGGCTCCATTTTGGATGGCTGACGATGGTTTTACTTTGGAAATTACGTGTTCAATAGCCCTTTTCTTCTTTTCCCATCACCCATTAGGCGACTTTTCTTCTTTTCCCCATCACCATTAGGGTTGGTTTGGCTACTTTCCTTTTAATTATACGGATTCTACTTCTACTAGCTATCTAGCTCAGGCTTATATTGGAAGATGCCATATGCCAACAATGTTTGAATGGATTAAGACATTGGTGTGGTGTGGGTTAGAAAATCACTCGAATGCTCGGATGTCACTTTCAGAGGTTGTCTTTGCTTTGCTGAGGGAACACATTGCTTGGGATGTTTGAAATTCCAACCAAAGTTTAAGAAAAACCAAACACACTTTGAGACATCATCAATCAGGCAACTATATTGGATGACTTGTGAATTGTGACGATAACATCCAAAACCCACCCAAAAGAACAAAACTTTCTACCTTCAAGCTCAAAGTTAGTGTTTAACAATCCCTCACTTCACTATAAAAAGATGCTCCGAATCACGATTATCTACCATTATTGCAGTTTTATATAATTCAAATTTGGATAACTACGTAATTATCAACGTAAAGGGTATTGTATAACACTAAACATACAATACCGTCATCTTGAAGTTTTACATGAAGAATCAATAACAATGATATGCACCTGATGAATAAATCACTCACCATATAACCATATCACATTAACATAAGACTAGTTATCAATTCAGTTCGATCGACCGGATCAGTAATCGGTTCAAATAGCGAAATCAAACTTAATGGTCACCCCTACTAGTACTTGATGATGGGATTGGGTGGGGTTACCTGTTCCAACAACAATTGTGAAGAAAAAAGGTCGAATCAAAGGGCTCCAAAATGGGCCACTTCACCCCAACCAGATCACAGGACAAAATTTTAGGGCCCATTAGGTCCACCACGAGTTTCGTCTTACATCCCAAACCCATTCAATCAAAGGCAAGTGGCCTTTTTTTAGGGCACCCAGCAAGCATTGAATAAAATACAAAAGAAACGGGGAAGAAGGGGCAAAGCAAAGCAAAGTAAGATCCCATCATCAATGGATTTGACTTTTTGTGAGTTTTAAGTTTTTTTCCTGTGGGAGTTTATGTTTTGTGCAGCAGACACAGCACGAGGCTTTTCTGTGGAGGGAGATGATCAGATCGATAGTGCAGCAGAGCAGTGAGCCCATTTTCCTTGTCATTTGCCCACAACCAACCCTATTTAGGGGCTGCCGCTTTGTTTGTTGGTGGTGGTGGGTTTTCTTCTGATTCGTGACTTTGATTTTTTAAAAACATGGTTACAGGTTTTGAGTGAGGTGTGAGATGGATCAAACAAAGCACCATTGCCCATGTGTAAGAGATTCTTGATGATTACAGTAGATGGATATCATATTAAATTTAGATATAGGGTTCGGGGTAAATAACTAGTTCATGTATATCGATGACTCGTCATGAGATGTATAACAAAACATTGGTTTAGAGGATGGTATTGCTTGCTCGATATTCATCCATTTTAAATCAGCTTCAAAGAACTCATAAGTTATCTATACGGACAGGTTATTTGTATGGTATTAGACTATTCAATGATATAGATCTTGTGTTTTGAATCTCGTTAATTACCTCCTAATTCGTAGTTTTAGACTCGTATTCGGAGTTATCGGAATGAACTAGTTAGTTGCATGGTATTATATAGAGTGAGAATCATCTTAGATAACATAAAGATCTCATGTTCCATATACTTAGGGGTGTCCATTCGGGTTCGGTTTTTCGGGTTTACCCGAAACCTACCCGTTTATATACATTTTCGGTTTTTCGGGTTCGGGTTTGTTTCGTGTTCGGGTTTTTGGTTTCGGGTTTGGTTTTGCTTATTGGGTTTTCGGGTTCCGACTGAAAACCTCCAATGAATAGAACTCACCCGTATTCTTAGGCGTTCGGGTTTTCGAGTTTCGGTTTTGCTTTAAACGAACCCGAACCCGCAAGACCTTATCGGGTTCGGGTTCAGTTTTAGTGATTTTCGGTTTCGAATTTTCGGGTTTTTTTCAGGTTTTGGTTCAGGTAACCGAACCCGACCCGAACTGACACCCCTGCATATACTTGATAACTCCCAATATTGATAGTCAGATTTGACAACTTGGTAAGCTGGTAGAGTTATCCTCTGTAAACCCTCCACAGCTTATGATGATGCAAGCCGAGAATCGTATTAATCATTTCAAACTCCACTAACGTATATGTCCAAAGACAAAGTTCAGACTTTTAATTAGTAACTGATTTACTAGTAACTCTGAAGCCACTCCCTGTAGTTTCCATATTCTGCTGTCTAATTCTTCCCCCGGGGAATTATTCACCGTCGGCAAACGGCCACCAGCAAGTGTACAAAAGATCAGCATCATCAGAGAAACCGATAATATGGATTCAATTCCCAGCTGCACTCGTTTTCATCTTTTCCCCCCCATTCCCATGGGTTTATTATTTTTTTTTCAATCTGACAACTGACAAGATATGCCAAGCAGGCCATGCACCAACGCCATCATCATCATTTACATCAATATTATACGGTGGGGAAAAAAGAAGACAGATGCTGACAGAGACGAACATGTCCATAATGTGCACACACATATGCATTGGCAGAGTGTCGGGCGGGCCGCGCATGTGAAAAAACTATACCGTCTTTTTTCTTTCGGTTGTTCTCATCATCGGTGCTCTCTTTTGTTATTATCTCCCATTTGATGATACAAAGGTTTGTTCGGTTTCTTGTTGTGGATTTTTGTTTCTTTTGATGCGAATGCTTGTGGTTGTGGTTAGTAGTGGCCAGTGGGTGATGGGAGATGATGATGATGTGGGGGAAGTTGTTTGTATCCAAGGCAGGATTTTGAAACGACTAGTGAGTTGCGTTGATGATGAAGTTGTTTGTTACGGTGCGAAAGATCGTGGTATCGTATAAACGAAATTTTTCAAATAATTTGGACGTCTCGTGAATGTCTAATAATGGATAGTTGTACGAGACTTAAAGTTGGTGTTAATTGATCGGCTGGTCTTGTATATGGACTTGGATAATCGTATATAGATGTAATGCAACTACATTAACTACATATAAGCCAACATCGTCTAACCCCATCAGAATTCGTATTAACCAAGAGGTATTCTCATCTCATGTTTCAGTCAGATAAAAGTGAACGGTAATTGAAGGTATGATCTCGTCATTCGAATCTACTAATTGTGAGACTATAGTTTCTTCTAATATATATATTTTTTAAATGTTTCCCACACTAGCCTTCTAATTGAGTTAAGCCATATGCACATGCTTCACCAATATTTATGTCGTTCGACATATGCAAACTATGGGATGTATTCTCATATTGCAATCCAATTAAATTCAACTATAATTGAAGAAATGACTTATCGGTGCAAAATCCACTAAACAAACAAGTGTGATAAGTAAGTATATACAATCAATTTTTTGTGTCTCAATCTTCAAGCAACTCAAACGCCGAGATAAGTAATTTCTTACAAACCTTCTAATTGACCTAAAGTTACGCACGCGTGTGCATGTATTCTATATATCAAGAGAAGTAATCTCATTCCCCTTTAGTAATCTTCACGATGCTAAAAAAGTTCAGTTCACGTTTTGATTCTTCTCCATAGATATAAGGGGGGATCGACGCAAGCAACTGAGAAGTAAAGAATGGGCCAAAAATATATAGGTAAAGTTTTGGCGTTTCCTTTTAATTCACTTTTGGTGGGCCGCCTGCAGCTGCTGAAATTCTCAGTGGTCCTCCAGAAGTGGAAGGGGGAGAGAGATAGAGAGCAGAACTGTCAACAATGGGAATCACAGTGTCAAAATTAGGCCAAAGGTGTCACCTTCAGCCACTGTAATACACGCAGAATCGAATAATGCATAGACCTACATGAAAAAATAAAGGAAGAAAGAAGATCAGGAAGACTGTGGGGGATGATTTGATGTTGAAAGGTATTGATTGAGATTGCGAAGTGGTGGATAGCAGTGTTGTCAAACCCGGCTCGATCTGACTGGGGTCGAACTAGTCCAACCACAATCCAGATGCGTAGCCGGGTTTTTACTGGTGTCGACTGAGGATTCAATTGTTTAAACCTATCGATCTACTCGAGCCGAGTAGAGACTGACAACAATAGGTTGAGGGCCACATTCTGGTTCATCCAATTCCAAAAATGCTGGTTTAGGCATCACAACAGGATTAAGATATGCTGTGTTACATCAGCCTTGTCACATATTCCAGTTCTGGAAGCATATCAACTCTACCTACTGGAAATTCCCTGGAATGCTTTTTTTTCTGAAAAGGGTACCTAATGATTCTTACAGCAGACCAGAGAGGGACAGACACATCTAGCAGCAAGCAGGATTACTTGGGAAGGTTGAAATGACTTATGGTCACGCCATATATAGCTTTTCCTCTTTGGAAATGGTACAGGGGAAAAGTTAGGAATTTTACAGCTTGGAAAGTACAAGAAGTATAGTGGAGTTTGGTTCCGCTTCTAAAAGGGTTCTCTACTCTGCTTGGCAAGGAAGAAAAAGGGAAATGCCACAGTGACCAACAACATAACCCAAATTGAAACGATAGTATTCCTTCCAGTACTCTGACTTTACTTCCCGCCACAAACTAGGTCACCTACTAGTGTTGAAGCTCTACGAAACTGAAAAGTCTATTGGCTAGTGGGAATATTAGTTTCGACCTAGGAACAGGTAACCAATATGCAGCAAATGTCGCCACATAGCACTAGCACTAGCATAACTATGATGATGGCAGGCAGCAACTATTACATGGCAGAAGGAAGGTGAACTAACCTTTACACCACTGGTGCTAACTTTAGTCCCTTCAACCTCTTCTCCACTTGTTATGGTGGAATGCTTTTGGTTACAGACTACCACTGCAAACACTGAACAGAGAACTGAAGCATATATAAAGCAAGCCTAATAAGTTATTCCTGTCATCATCTATTCAATCAACAATGCTCATTATTTCATATGCTGAATACCCTGGAAAAGCAGTAAGGCACTGCAGGAGCATGGCATTGAAAGAATATTGTATAAAGACACATACATTTCAATCATGTAGACGAGAGGACGAGCTATAATTACGACTGGAAATCGGCGACGAAGCAATCTGATTACAAGAATCGAGAACTCGACGGCCACTTAGTGCTACAAACTTATCAATGTGCAACAGTAATGGACACTGAGCAATCAACTTAGTGCCATCATGAGCTTCCTTTAAGAACACGGTGCTTCTTGCACCTTTATTCGTGATGTAAAAGATACCATGATGCTTGATCAAACAAAGCAGCAACCTTGATGGCAATAGATACTCGGAATGAAAAGCATCCAACTGTGAAGAAGTCATCCTCTTTTCCATGGTCAAGCTGAGAAGCTCATGTAGCACTGCCACCACACGCTTCCTTGCCTTGGGATCAGCAGCTTCAAATGTCCTGGGATTCAAATATGGTGAAGGGAAATCCAGTCTCTGCCACCTCTCAAGCTCTTCCAGGAAACTATTGTTTGGCCTGAAACCCGCAGTGAATTGCATGTTGAAAGCGAATGGACCTGAGTAGTTGCCATCTCTAGATATTCTAACCTGTTTACGAGATGGGTTAGAAGACGGAACTCCTTCAAGTTCCAATCTCTCCTCCCGGGCAGTGACCGCCAAGGAAGAATCCCAATGCTCCAAATGTAGACAAGCTTTCCCATTAACATCTTTAATTGAAAAGAACTGCGGGTATTTTGGAACTAACGATTCCCTGAAATCCAGAGGCAAACCTAATTCATTTTCAATGAGCTCCACCTTTTCTAATGGCACCCTGCAATCAGCCGACATCATCAATAACTTCCTCAGATTTCTAACTAAAATGGGTTCCATCAACGACCTAGCTTCGGGCTCTTCGCTTGCTATCTTTGCAGCTTTCTCGGTCAGGGTAACGAAAGGCGGAGTCCTATCGGAGCCGCCGCCTACGTAGAAAATGGTAGGATACTTCTCGATCAAGGCCATGAAGTTCCATTTCTGCACGAACCCAACTTCCTTCTCGAGGTCCCGCAGGAGAACCCGGCGGTGCCGGTGGGATTCGATGATGGATTTAAGGTGCAGGATCAGCGACGGTTTCTTCTGCAAGTCCATTACCTTGTCGAGGTTGTGGTCTCTGTGGTAAATCTTCTTCTTCGGCCTCCTTCCCCCGCTCGATATTTGCTTCTTCGAAAGCCAAACTGAACCCTGGGTCTGGAATAAAAGAGCGGATTCATCAGTTTTGCCGCACAAATATGACCGGAGAGACGATGTTCTTCTGTGCATCATGAGTTTTTCGGGGAAGTTTGGTTCAGGCAATCTGTCGAACACTTGGAGTGCTAGTCTTTCTGGGCTGGAGCGGGAAATTTCGACACTCACTCTGCGACATTCGCAACGGTTTGTTACCAGTTCCCTCGCTCTCGCTTTGGTCTAAATCCTGGTGGGCTATGATCTGGCTACTATTGGGCCAGAAGCATAACACTCTATTGGGCCTTCATTTAATAATACCCAATCCACTGATTAGCTTGTGCAAGGATATGGGCCTCAATACCTGAGCCCACTTTCCAGCGTAATCGTTTCCTAATATAGTCTATTCATTTCCTTCCAAAGATCCACTAGCTCAACTACGCCGCCGCACGAACGCTCTCTCATTTCTGCCGTTTTTCAGAGAATGGTGATCTCCTTCCTCTCCACATTCAAGCCCATCGCCTTCTTTCCCACCCAAAAACCCTCCCCGCCGCCGCTCTTCCGCTGCAATCTCTCCCTCCCCACTGTCACAATCACCGAGCCGGAACCCGTCTTCACCTCCGTCAAGACCTTCGCCCCTGCCACCGTCGCCAACCTCGGCCCCGGCTTCGATTTCCTGGGCTGCGCCGTCGATGGCCTGGGCGACCACGTCTCCGTCACCGTCGACCCTTCTGTCCACCCGGGAGAGATCTCCATCACCGAGATTTACGGCAGCCACGCCTCCTCCAAGTTGTCCAAGAACCCGATCTGGAACTGCGCCGGGATCGCAGCGATTGCCGCCATGAAATTACTCAACATCCGCTCCGTCGGCCTCTCCCTCTCCCTCGAGAAGGGCCTCCCGTTAGGGAGCGGCCTCGGATCCAGTGCAGCCAGCGCCGCCGCCGCCGCCGTGGCCGTAAACGAGCTATTCGGCGGGAAGCTCGATTCGAGGGAATTGGTCCTGGCGGGGCTTGAATCGGAAGCCAAAGTGTCCGGATATCACGCGGACAACATCGCCCCGGCGATAATGGGAGGGTTTGTCTTGATTCGTAGCTACGATCCGCTGGAATTGATGAGGCTGGAGTTCCCGGCGGATAAGGAATTGCTGTTCGTTCTGGTGAGCCCCGAATTCGAGGCGCCGACGAAGAAGATGAGGGCGGCGCTGCCACTGGAGATCGCGATGCCGCACCACGTGTGGAATTGCAGCCAGGCGGGAGCGCTGGTGGCGTCGATTTTGGGAGGGGATCTGGCGGGACTGGGGAAAGCTCTGTCGTCGGACAAAATCGTGGAGCCGAAGAGGGCTCCCCTGATTCCGGGGATGGAAGCTGTGAAGAAGGCGGCTTTGGAGGCTGGGGCGTTTGGGTGTACGATCAGCGGGGCAGGGCCGACGGCGGTGGCGGTGGTGGAAGGGGAAGAAAGAGGGGAAGAGGTCGGGAAGAGGATGGTGGAGGCTTTTCGGAGAGAAGGGAATTTGGAATCTGTGGCTATGGTGAAGCGGCTCGACAGAATTGGTGCCAGGCTTGTGAGTAGCGTGCCAAGATGATGGCTGGTATTGTTTTCCTTCTTTTTCTATTTAGGGTTCATGTGAATTTGCAGTGATGTAATTGGGAGGAGATGATATTGTTAGGTTGATTGATGAACAGTATGATCTGGCTCTGCAATGGCGGCTTCTGTATTTAGCTATAGCTATAGTTGTTCATGTTCTAAGCGATGATGAGATGGAAGAACCCTTTATTCCTTAGGTTAATAAGCAGCAATGAATTCCCGAGTCTGTTCTGTTGTATTGAGATTGAATTACATTTTAGAAGCAGTTGGAGACTGAGAGATACACTGCAAGAACACAAAAGAGCAGGTGGGAGGGTGACTGGTTTTTGGGTTGGTGCAACTACTCACTGATATTGACCGTGTAAAACAAACACGAGGGAGGCACCAATTCTTCCCTATGTATTGAACTTATTTGTTTGACGTTGTAACCGTTGTACGTGAAACTATTTTAATGTAATTGTGTGAATTTAGAGTATTGCGTTGTTGACTTTTTGTTTAATTTAAAGTTGACTTTTCTATTGTATAGGTGATTTTTTATGATATGATAAAGACACTCCCTTGGCCAATTTCCTGGCTCTGCCACCGTCTATCCCCACTCAATCTGCCATTTTTGGAAGGATAGACATGATAGCTGGTTAATGATTGATCAAGTTTGATGGTTCGCCTTCTGAAACAAGAATGTATGGATCAACGACTTCGTGATCGTTCTCTGAACTACCGGATTATGGTAAAGCTTGAAGCATAAATTTTATCTACTTCTGGAGAGATCCATGAGTCTCATAGCAAACAACTATTGGAGGAAGCATCAACAATGTCTTGAAGCCACTAATAAGCAGAGATGCAGAAGCTGAACTAATCCTCAAGTTTGGCCGGACTTTAGACCATAAAACATTGATCAGTACAAAGTGCATAAGTTGAGAACTACTCAGTTCCTTTCGAGGAAGATCTTACTGACTCTCGTCCAACTCTCTAACCATAGGGAAGAAAGAACATTCAAAGAATGAGTATACATATTCATCATCTAAGCTATTACTAGATATAAAAGGATTCCAGACTTTTTGTTTTGCTACAGTTCGTACACCAATAATGCACAAATAGGAATGAGGGGAAGAGAAGAAGGAACAAAAAGAGGATGCTATGGTATTAGTAAGGCATCAGGATTTTGTGGTGGAATTTTGCCCCAAAATCTCACGTCTACTGTGCTCGTTTGGAACCTCCGATTCTAGATGTTGTATTCTCAGTATATATGTATTCTGAGAATACAACGTTTTTTTTACTTATATAATAACAGAATGCATGTATTCATAATCTTACCTTTTTTGTGAGATTTTAGTATCCATAGTTTATATAAACTATAATTCATGCATTCTTTTATGGGTTCCAAATAATGAGTTTTCAAAATCACACATTCTAAGTATACACATAATCGTTAATACACATATTCTCGTAATACATCATTTTCAGAATCAAAGGTTCCAAACGACCCCGAATTATTGTCTAAATTAATGTTTGGTGATTATATGGGATTTGCTTGATGCTAGTGGATCCCATATGTGGGATTTTTTTGTGCCATGTGGATTCAGTGATTATAAAATCTTATATTATGAAGAGGGGTTTTGACTTCTCCAAAATTCATGAGATCAAATTACCCAAATAACCTTACATATTCCCTTTTTCATGTATAATTGTTATATGTTTGTAATATTTTACAAACGCTCATTGAACCGGGGTTATTTTTTAACAAAATAACTTGATTCTGCTTCGCATGCCCCTTACCCAATATCATATATTACTCTTGCTCTATTGCATTGAATTAATGATTTCTACTAATTATTTTTCTTTTGCCTTACCAAGTGAGAGAGCAAATATGCAAAGATTTATGGTGGTTTTTCAAAGTTTGAGAAGAATTCATGACACTTTCCCATGCTTGGAAATTACAGTTGGTCACAACAGTTATCTCCAATATTACACAATACCGGATGAGAATTATTCAATTACCTATTGTTTTCCGGCGAGAAAACTTGCGTTGAAACGAATTGAATGCACTTTGATTTCTTTGGACAACGATCACTAAGACACGGTTCACACCTCTTCAAACATAGTTCAAACGAGGGTGTTCGATGTTTACACGACTCACGAGGCAGAATCTAAATTAAGTTACTCCTACTCCTATGAAGGTTCAGTGAGAGCTCCAGATCTACGACTACGGCTAAAATTGCAGAGGAAAGGATAAAGGGATAAAATTTGACATTGTGTTGTCTGGTGTAAATTTTGCGAACCTTTCCCTGTCAACTCCTCCTATTTATAGCATTGAAGTGGTAACCGTCGTAGAAAAACTGCCTGAGAGTAACTTTCAAAAAGAACTGCTCCCCTTCTTCCTCGGACGTGGCTGACGTGTCCTTACACGTGGTATAATCGACAGTTGCTCTGTTAACCGCCTGCTCTTCATCTTGGAACTGTCGTCTTGTTACTTGCCTCTCCCACGTGGCTTGCCTTCTTACTTCCAACTTGTTAGCTCAAATCTTGGACATAGTCTCACGATGTGGTATAGATCTCGCGACCACGTCAGGCTCTAAATTTAACGCCAACGTGGTCTAGATCTCACGACTATGTCGGGCTCTAAATTTGACGCCAACGCGGTCTAGATCTCACGACCACGTCGGACTCTAAATTTGACGCCAACGCGGTCTAGATCTCACGACCACGTCTTGTAAGTAATCAATATGGTACACTAGTATTTTTTTAGGTGTAAACACCTATCAAAGTGATTAAGCAAGTTGAAAGAATATGTTCTGATTTCTTGTGGAGCTCAGAGAAGTAAGGGAAGAAGGCTAAGATTAAGTTGTAGTATGTAGCTAGACCAAAAAAAGAGGGAGGGCTGGGGTTCAAGGATTTGAGGAGCTGGAATTCAGCTTGTCTCATCAGGCATTTGTGGGCATTAGCTTCAAATTCATCCTCTATGTGGGCAACATGGGTTAGACACTATCAGCTCTCCTATACATCTATCTAGGATATACATATCTACTTCTCCCATAATTTCTCATTCTGAAACTCATCTATGGGCTGGACATATAAATTAAGCCCGCAATGTGTTAATGTATATATGGGAAATTATGGGAGAAGTAAGATCCAATTTATATTGTTTTTATCTTTGCTGTTTTATAAGGGGAAAAAGTGGGGTCAGTCTTATTTTAATAAAGGCCAACGGTGAGGCCCGATCTCCAGTTTCGGAAATGGGTACAGATGCCAAATCGCTCATTGTCATTAAAAAAAAAAAACAAAAAAACAAAGGCCTATGAGTAAGAATTTATTAATTTGTCTTGCTACCGGTTGGACAATTCTCTTTTTTTTTTTTCTTTCTTTCTCCCTTGTAGCTAATATCTATTGCCAAATACCAATTCTCCAATTAGCCTTGCTAGCAATAAGAAACAATATATAAATCAATTGTAAATCGATATAATTTGGTCTCTTTTCTAATAATCTTTTTCTATTCTCCCATTTTACTATTTGATTCTTCTAAATTAATTCTCTTCTTTGATTTAATTGAGTTTATGTAAGCTGTTCAAGTGAGCCTAGCTAATTGACTAATCATATATTTAGTTACGGTTTGATTCGATCTCTTAATTAGTTTCAATTTTAATTTCAACTTCTTAATCAAACATTTATCAATTCACAAATAATTGAATTTTTTTTATAATTTTTTTTTCCAAATTGAAGTTTTTGAAATTCTATTTGCCTTCTACAATGATACTAGAAATGCTTAATGGATTAGTTATTATAGCAATTGAAAACGATCACCTTGAAAATACGAAAAATTGAAGAGCTCATAGATAATATTATTTCAGAAAACGATTAAAGAATGTTATTTTCCAAATGAAAATGTAATGATTTTATTTATTGATTAATGCAATAATTTTATTTTAATATATTTGTCGAAAATAATTTGGGCCAAAAATAGTTGGTGGAACAGGGCCTCACGAGTTACAGGGCCGATCCTGGGCTTATTATCCTCAACAGGATCACTACCCTTGATAAGGTTTAGGTGTGGAATCCTTCAATGATTGACAAATGTCCCCTTTGCCTCTCTACTACAAAATCATGAGATTATTTGTTTTTTGACTGTTTATTCAAAGAAGGTTATACAGGCTATGTTTCAATCACAAGTTCAAACTGGAGGGAGTTGGGACGACTCCTTGAGGCTAGCTATTACTCAGTTCAAAGTTAATTCCCCAGCTTCTGATCGTGGCAGACTTCTTTGGAATATAGTGGTGAGTGAGTTGTGGAGGGAGCAGTGTAGGCATTTATATGCAAATGAATCTCTGATTGAAGCTCAACTACTGAAGAAGGTGCATCAACTACTGTCTTTGCTACGAAATGGCTTTCCTCGTATAAGAATCGCCATTTCAGAAGGCGAAATTCATAGTATAGTTTAAAGACGTTTTCTTTTTGTAATATGGTTTTCAGTTTGTCATTGTGTATAGATTCCGAAGTTAGTCTGTACTTGTGGATTGATATTGGTGAGGATCAGTTACCCGTTAGAATGGTATTATAATCATTCTTTCTTGAAGAATAAACAACTTATTCATAAATAAAAAAATCATTAAAGATAAGAAGGTAAGTTCATCATTTAACCAATAAAACCAAGGGATACAAATCCATTTGGAAATCCAACAAACAAAAAATCCATTCATAAAATCCAACACAAAATCCAATACAAATCTAAAATAATAAAATACAATATAATCTTCAATCCATGAGTTTTCCTAAATCTCTCATTTTATTAGATTCTACAGCAATATCCCAGTCAAATAGAATCTTCCCTGCATATACAATTTTCCAAAAACAGATTTGCAAAACAGAGTTCTTCAATACCACCTTCAATATGGCACAAAGTTCGGAATCTCGCATTCACTTTGTTGGCCATACGTTCACAGTCACTCTCAATTCACCCCAAAATTATTAGGAAATAGAATATAATAAGATTGTTCATCATAAGAAATAACCTGAGATTGACTACAAGTACAATTACATGTAAATTTTAAAGAGAAAATATGAAATTGAAAAAAGAAAAAGACAATTTGGAAATTTGGCTAATAGAGTAGGCATTACTTAAACTTTTTTCTTTTATGAAGTGATACGTATTAATTACACAAACTTATTAAAACTAGCAATAAATCAAATTTGTTGGATGAATATGAACGATCCAAAAACACATATGTACTTGTAGAAAACTAGCTTTGGTCCTGCCCTTTGGGCAGGTGGACACATAAATATTGTTTTTATATCATATATTAAGTTTTAATTTTTTTTTTCCCTTTATTTGTAGTTTCTAGCTCCTATGCAGACGTCCCGGTAGTTTGGCCTATACCACACCATGTGTGTAGTGAGAGATACTTTTTGTCTGAATAGTCTTGAAAATAAATTTAGTCTTAGCTCCTTTCATTCTTTAAAGATTGATTGACGAAATGAAGTTAGTATTTATCAACATCGAAAAATCGAAGTAAAATTTTTATGAGTATTTCCAAATTGATGTTATTCATAGCACTTGCAAATTATTTAGAACAAACAAATAGTGTGTTCTTTGACATCATAGTTTAATATATGTTTTTTATATTGTTACGATTCTCAGATTTGTGTTTGGTATAAAGTAACTCTAGTGGTTTAGATCTAGATCAAGTAGAGGCTGCCTCTTTTTTGTAGAACCAGGAGGTTTAGTGTTTCCGAGCTTATTTCATATTTTGTCATTTTCCTTTAGAGTGTTATGTTGAATGAATGTTTATTATCAAATTATTGTTTTAAATTATAAAATGTGGATGAATCACTAAGAATTGATAATTACTATGCAGCTAGATTTGAGTCCGACATATGCCTAAGAATATTACAAGGATCCATATCTTGGTAATGTCTACGTAACATATTAAAACTACCAAGAAATTGAGTTTGGTGGATGAATAATATATATGAACTATATACACTACCATATCTACTTATGTTGACTAGCTTTGTGCATGTCCATTGGCTCGATGGACATAATGTTGTGTTTTATTCCACTAATTAAGTTTTATTTGTACTTTATTTGTACTTTTTGTATTAGTGAAAAAATATTATTAATAAAGAAAACAATGTTTATAGTTTAACAAGAAACTTTTGTTTTTTGTATTTTCCAGCTCTTATCCAACTGTCTCGTAGTTTGCTGTATCATGTCATTCATTTTTAATGTGAGAGATAGTTTTTGTTTGAATAACCTTGTAAAGTAATAAAGACTTATAGAAACATAATAGTAGAGATTTTTAAAGGATACAATGAAAGGGAAAAAATAAAATGTTCTTCTTAGATAATGATTTGGAAAAGAACACCCCATGAAGTTATAGAGGATCCACATGACACATGATCTTATTGATCGCTATGTTTTGTTCCAAAGTTACAGTTTTGCGAACCCCCCCCCCCCCCCCCCCCCCCCCCCCCCCGCGGCTGCTCTAGATGAACACCTCATTCTCTTCCATGGTAAGGAGTATGTTGACTTAATTAGTAAAAATACCTCAAAGATCGACGGCAAGAAAAAACAAGGACCACTTTTGGGAATTCAACCTCTCAGAGGGAGGGGATTGCCCGATGTTCGCCAACATCTACACTTTCTGTCGGACCTATGTGAGACAGAATATACCCAGATTGTTCTTTATATCATATTTGACAGATAGTTTCACCTCTCCATTCAGTGTAGCTTGTATGGGGTGTCGAATATACCACACTATATGGTGCTTATTACATTGCAGAATAACCGGAGCTAACACAAATCAGTAACCTATCTTTATAGCATGCAATATTCGATTCCGAGAGAGGGAGAAGCTAAAATTCTTTTAAGATAATGTGACCTTCACTTCAACATTCTCCTCTATGCTAGATTTAGAATGCAGTATAAGATCATAAGACTCACATTCTTGTGCCATCTCCACCGCATACCCTTCTTTTATAAGGCAGTCCAGAATATGCAACTCTCATTTCCAACCGACGATCATAGCTGTTCATGACAAGAGCTTCGTATCCTTGTTAGCCTCGCTTACACGACGCAGATTGATGTATGTCTCATCTTTCTAACAATCCACAAACCAATCTCTCTCAAAAGTTTCTGCCCTTGATGAAAAGAAGCTCCTGTTTTTCAATAACAGTCTCCAAGCGAGCCGGAACATTTATACACGTTGGAACCGTGGGAGGCGGGGAGTCTTCACTCCGTGAGTGCTTCACTCCATGATTGACATCGACGCCCATCATGGGAATGGTGTGGATGAAGCTTTTTATACTAACAATAGGGTGATGACAGTGTCATTCCACAAGTATGAAAATATCTATGTTGCTAATAAAGTTATACCATGTTTTCCTCCTACTGGACACCAAGATCATAGTGGATGCGGTGATGGAAGAGGTTATTCTGTCAATGTTCCTCTAAATGACGGTATTGATAATGACACATATTGGAGTATGTTTAAACCCATTATTGATAAGGTAATGAAAGTCTTTAACCCCCATGCTGCGGATTCCTTAGCCGGTGATATGCTAGGTCCCTTCAACTTGACAATCAAGGGGCATGGGCGATGTGTAAATTACATCTGATCATTCGACAAGCCATTGTTGCTCCTTGGTGGTGGGGGATACACCATTCAGAATATAGCACGATGTTGGTGTTACGAGGTTTCTTTTCTATCTTTAATTCTATATATTATCGATTTTTCATTGAACTGCTATTTCAGGATTCTAAATTAGATCATGATTGAAATTGCCGAAGAGATTGAGGGCAAGATCTCATAATGTGTTTACCTAGATTACTATGTGCCAGAGTACAATCTTCACATTGATCCAAGTAACAAGGTGAAGAGAAACACTTCTTCGCAATGTCAAAAAATCTTAACTGATGTGTATAGGCACTTGTCCAACATACCGGCAGTTCCCAGCGTGCAATTTCAAGAGATATCTCCCGTGATAGGATTTCCCGAGGTGTGTTCTTTGGTTCCAACGTCTGCAATAGTTTTGTGGTTAGTTTTCTGTTGAACTTTTTAATTGATTCACTTTTTATCTTCTCCTTTTTTTTTTAAGTTATCTTCTTCTTTTCAGGTTGGGGGAAATGCATGATTTCCACACGAGATTAATTGATGGTAAGATTCCCATATTTGATGGATGGTGACTTATGATTGTACTTTTGATGGCAACAATCTTCCTTGCTTTTAATGACCATGAACTAGTGAATTCATGTGATTGACCTGTGAAAAGTGTGTTAGCTTATATTTGCTCTCAGCATGTCTTAAATTAGTAAGTTGAGGTGGCAGCAAAATTGAGGTCTTATGAGTTGGTTGGGTTGATTGATTTTGGCTTTCATCCTGACTTTGTCGAAGCCAAATTTGTTGGAGTGGTACATGGAGAAAGTTGCCAGGGTGAAACGCCCAACCATCAACACCGAATGAGAAAGCAACAGTTCCCATCTCGCGCGGGGGGGGGGGGGGGGGGGGGGGGGGTTGAAGAAGACTTTTAGAAATATAATTGTAGAGATTTTTAAGAGATGCAATGAAAGAGAAAATTCTAAGATGAGTATTGAAAATAAGTCCTTAAATGAGCTGGAATATGAATCCAAATATCAAAGCGAATATAGTGTCAAATAGAAAACATCATTATCACCACGTATTATTACCACACCACTCATTACCACCTTCCCTTCATCAAAACCCACTCATAGTTAAGACTTAGGCATCTTTCTCTTTTGATCTTACCCAATGAAAACTTTTTTTTACAAATCATACTGGATATGACCCTCTTGCTTGGGCTTCGCAACAAATGGAGGATGGATAACACGTATGATATTTAAAGCAAAATGTAACTCTTAAAATATAAATGCAAAAGCAACAAAAATGTTACAAAAATGTGAGAGGGCTTTGTATCGATTTGTACACGTTGGCCAATGATGCTGTGAAATTTAGTAAAATTTTAATTCTTAATACATTATTACAAAAACAGCAAGAAAAATCACAAAAATGTTGTGAAACAATTCTAAGCAATTTGCACTCGCTCGCCAACAAAACTATGGATCTATACAATATTGACTAAGAATAAACTATTTGATTTAGCAAAAAGGTAATTGATTATGCATCTATTATGCCCCACCAAACAAAAATGTTAACTTAGAAGTTAACCTGTATTTTCAACTAAGATGGAAAAAAAGAAAGAAATAAGAGAATTTGAAAAAATCAACAAAATCAAAGAAAAGATGGAAGAACCAAGTATATATGGTTTTGTACTTTTGTTGGGTATGATGCTATTTTCTTCCTTTTCATTGAGAGTGATAGATTTCATTGTTAACTTTCTATTCGATTAAGGTGAGAGAGATGAGTAAAAATGTAAAACCACATACGAAATTTGGTTTCGAGCATAAGAGATGAGTAAGAATAAAAAACCAAATACGAAAAAGAAATTAGTTTCAACTCAACAAACAAAAATTGATTTGTAAAAGTCATGATTATGATGAAAAAAACGAGGAGAGAGGCGAAATACGGAGATAATGGGATAAAAAAAAGAGATCATTAGAAAGTTGTCATGTGTACTCAACTACTCATTAAAAGTTTAGCTTTAAAGTTTAAGGGGTCCCTTCACTTGCTTGTTGGATTGGATTTGGGTGCCGAAAACCATGTTTGTTGAAAATTTTTGAGGGTTCAGAGATTTGCAAAAACCTAGCGAAGATGTGAGATTTAAGAAAGGGGTATAAATCCATGATGGTAAATGACTTATATACCTTTATTTTATTTTCAGATTACAATTGTATCCTCAATATCCCATGTTATTGATTGTGTGCCTAGGAAGATTCAAAATTTATAGGAATTATGGACAAAGATTATTTTCAAATACTTCAAATTCATTATTTTCATCAAATATTAACTATTCACTATACCTTTTTTTCTTTCTATGTTGGGATAAGATTAAAGTGAGCCTATCTTGATTAGGAATCATGTTGAATTGGTCGAAATTGGTTTATATGAAAAAACACATAACAAAGAAATAAGGACAACAAGGTAAATTGTGTTTTATACTACAAATATAATTTATCAAAATCCATCATGAAATCCAACAAGCAACCAATAGTTTTTTTTTTCCATATCCATAATGAACCAAATCCATCATAAATTCAAGGTTTCCAAAATCCAGCCCTCATTTTCAAATGGTAAGAAAGAATCAATTAATTCTAGCGTTGCATACGAAAAGCATATTGACCTTTCCTCGCAAATGGCAAGTATTCTGGGTATGAGCAGGGGGCGGACCTATGTGTTGCTAAGGGGTGTGGTCCGACACCCCTTTGTCCGAAATTTTGTGAAGAACCTATATGTTTACAAAAAATTTTAATACGAGATTTCCAACACCACTTTAATAATTATAGTCGATACTCGTTCATTAGCCGACACCCCTCTTCAACAATCCCGGATTCGCCACGAGGTTTACTCCAATGGCCTTATTCACTTACACTTCTAAAAAGCCATTTATGAACAGAGGATAATGTACCGTTAAAAGGCAATATTACAATTAGCCAATATTTCAGCCATTAAGAGCATCTCCATCAATACAATAGCAAAAGAAATTGCATTTTTGTTTTTTATTGTCAACTCAAATTTTTTGCAATCCACATCACATTCATTTCATTCACCTAGATCAATGCAATTAACTTGCAATTGCAAATGTAATAAAATATTATGTTTACATTATAAAAAATTAAGTAAAAGATAAAAGAAAATAATATAAAGTAAAAAATCCTCATTTTTTAAGGCTTTTTTGACTTGCATATGAAATTGCATTTGTTGCAAGCTTGCAAAGCAAATATGCAGTTGGTAGCCACATCAATGCAATTGGTTTTGCAATTGCAAACACCTATGACATGTCAATTTGCAATTGAGAATAACAATACCAATGTGGATGCTCATACAGAGAAGCATGCTGGACACACGCACGCAAATATTCACAAAATCTAAAGCATCCAGCACCAATAGGGTAATGAAAATCTAATGCTGATCATCCTACTTGATTCGCAAGCAACGTCTACCTGAGTACAGTTGAGCTATTCCCTGAGTTACAGGATTGACTGGATTGTCGTTCCTCTATCGCGGTTCAGCAATCAAACCAATCCCAGAGTCCCGCTTTCTTGTTCATCTTTTGTGCTTGTTTCGGTGAGCAGTGTCGTGGGACGGTGGGAGTTGTTGTTGCTTGGCACTCTGAACCAGCTCATGTGCCCATCGTAGATACCTCCCAATTCCTCGTACCTTGGAATCGGAGTAGGCCAGCAGGAGACCCGAGGTTGGAACACCGACCAATGAGGTGTATATAGCGTTAGAACTTAGAAGACGGACGTACGTACGTACTCTAATCCTCCCCGCTTCAGATTGTAGGACAAGGTAGCTCCATCATTGATATAAGGAGGATGATGATAATTAAAGTAAACAACTTCCGGCCTCTCTGGATGAGTATTAAGTATAGAATAGTATTTGAGATCCAAGTAAGACATTGATGATGATGTACTCGTCTTCAATAACCCTTCACATTGCATCGTCCATGATCTTCCATCTTCTTCCCGTCTCCAAACACTTACAGTTTCAGTTTGCATTTCGCGCAAAATTTACGTGCAGAGCACCCTGTGAGATTGAAAGATCCCACTGCTTGTCTTTAAACTGTGTTCCTGCCTAGGGTCTCCTGCTGTCCCACTCCAATTGCAAGGTACGAAGGATTGCAAGGTAAGTGCGATGGGAACACGAGCTGGTTTGGAGCAGTGAAGCAACAATGCCGGAGGAGAAAGGAGGACGACAAAGTACGAAAGTTTCGGAAACAGGGCATTATTAACGTAATGGTCAAGCAGCTCCTGCCAAATTCCTTAGGGATTAGAAAGGGAAGAGTGTTCTTGATTAGTATTCTTGGATGGTACAGTTACTATGAGGAAGAAGTGGCAAGCTGATAGCTATTTAAGCAGCCTCATCTATGATGGAGATGGTTTCGAGATGATATACAATGGAAAGTAGTAATTAAGTTCCTAGTTCTTGGTTATACTAACCTATGTCTCAATCTAGATCCAAGCGAAACCAATGCATGCAACTTTCCCCCGTCCTACTCAAATTCGGATTACTAAACATCAGTTGTGCAGTTAGGATTAATACAAACAGACACAAAATTGAGCTTCTTCACATAGTGAAACCCAAAAAACTAGCAAGGAAACTGACACAACAATATTGGACAATAAAGAACTAAGATTGATCTTGGCATAATATTTACACATGGCCAGTCTTTGGTTCAGATGGGCTCGGATGTTCGACGAACAACTGCAGAGACAAAGGCTGGCTGCTCATGGACTTGATTGGAGTAACTTCTGGGAGGTGCTGCCACTGCTTCGTGTCAGTCGGGATCCACACATCTGCTTCTTTGCTCGTACCAACCTCGGGAAGACCTCGGAAGTAAGCTGTTACTTCCCATCTGCAATCTGCAAATTTTTGGGAGTCAATGAGGGATCAAAAGGGTTCATTATGGTGATGGACTCATATAATATATGAATGTGGATTGCTAACTATAAGGCCTTCCAAATAAACTACACTAACAGCTCAGCTAAGCAGAATATCACATTGCAACTTATGAAGTGATTGCAGCTCATGAGTGCTCAAAACAGTTTTGCCCGGTGGTGATAGAATTAGAATGATAGATGTACAACTGTTGGTCGTTTAAACTATGAACAGTCAATCAGATTACAGAATCCGACATTTCCACCTGCATCTGCAAACATCCGAGCCCGAGCTCCTATACGTTGATGAAATGTATGACTGTGGATCATACTTACAGGACAGTTAAACTACCAACAATTGGGTATATTTTGAATTCCATTGCTTATCGGATTCCAGATTATAACAACTCAACAATCCATCACACCATTGACAAGAATCTATCGCCACAAAATAATCAACAAAACCAACTCTTTAGAGCAATCTTACCGGGAGGGAGAGGCTTGGTGAGATTTTCTGATGTGGGGAGTTTGATAAGGAAGGAGCGAAGCGAGAATTCGAGATCGGCTTCTTCAATCTTCGATCCAGATGATGACGACTGGTTCATACCGAGCTTGAACACGAATCGCTCGTTAGCCACATTATCATCTTTGTTGAAGAAGATCACTAGTACTCTTTCCACCAATCCCTAATTGGATTCCATCAATTTGAGAGTAAGCAAGCTAGCAATGTCCGCTTCCAGATTTATTCAATAAAAAGCGGACTAAAGCATCAATCACGGGAGGGAAAATGGATACGAAAGCTGACCTTTTGGATGAAAGGGAAGAGAGCGTTGACGGAAGAGTGGATGTAATCTCGGAGCTCTGGCTGCTTCGCTCTATGAACCACCGCGTTCATATATCTCCGCCTCTCAAAGGCGCCTTTGGAGAAAAGGAAAGCAACGAATCCCAATTCAGTCAATCAGGAGAAGACTGGAAACCCTAATTTCAGACGAGACGACTCAACTTACCGGCGGGATAAACCCTCTTGTGGAAAACGATGGACGTAATCGCCACTTCCAGGAACTCCACCAGAATCCTCGCCGTTTCCGCTGCGAAGAAAAACAGATAGCTCAATTTGTTTCCCGTTGGCCGGAGAGGGTAAATGGGAGAAATTACGATGAAAACATACCTCTAGTATCCATTTTTAGTCGTTGCCGGAGATGCCCCGGCTACTGGTTACGGTTTAGGGGATTTTCCTCTTCCGGGGAAGGGCGGCGGGAAAGATGAGAATTGGCCGCGGGAATATAAGAAAACGACGTCACACCAAATTTGGGTTTCAAAGTATCTATTAGGAAGGAGCCTGGGAATATTCTAAAAGACGGTTGGGCTGATAAGAAAGAGGAATTGGGAGCCCAAATAAACGGTTGGCCCAAGCCCAAAAGGAAAAAACCCTAGGGATGGCGCTTGCAAGCTGGCGAGGGATAGGATATTTCCGTGGCAGAGAATATATACATCCCTTCCTTACTTCTCCCTTAGCCGCTCTCTTACACTGAAAAACTAGACCAGAAAGAGAGCTAACGCAGTCCCCCATAAACCCTTTCATTCGCCGCTTCATCAGGTCTGTTCGTTCTCTCCTTCTTCTTCATCTTCCCTGCGCTAGCTTCGATCTAATTTTTATGATTAGTCTCTCTGTTTTTCATTATGATTGCTTGATGTTCTTCGTCTTTCGCTTAGGTAGCAGTAGATCTCTAGCTGCTTAGTAACTTAAGATTTTGTTTCTTGTTGATGGTTCGATTGTTTGGATCTTCGTGATTACCGAGCTTTTGGTGAGGAGTTATTGTGTCCGATTCAGTCGGATTCTCAGTTTGCTTATCATTTCACGTCATTCAAATCCGTCTATTGTTTCAGTTTTTGATTGCCGATTTTGAGTTTGTTGACTTTTGGATCTTTGTTTACGGGATTGATTCCTCTAGCTCGTGATTTGGATTTTCTCAGATGAGTAGATTTAAAAGCTTTGTAATGGATTTCTGGTTTGCTGTTCGTTAGTCTCTTCGTTTTTTACTTGAGAACCGATTTGTTGCTGGATGGTCTGCTTATGGAATTGATTGGTGTAGGTATATCATTAGGATTTATGTGTTCGTTAAATATGGGTTCTGTTTACGCTGATTGATTTTGTTTGTTTCGTTCTAACTATCTCCTTTTTGGATGGTGCAGCTTCCTAACTGTTGAAGGATATTACTATAAAGAGTAGGCAAGATGGTAAGTTTCCAGACTATTGACACTATGTTACTATCTTATCTTCTAATTACTGTATGTATAGTTAGTAATTACTCAATTTCTTTCTCTCAACAGGTGAAGTTCACAGCTGAGGAGCTTCGCCGCATCATGGACATGAAGCATAACATCCGTAATATGTCTGTTATTGCTCATGTCGATCATGGTAACTACTGTTCTGAACCCCACTTCACATCCTTGCCTCATTTTTTTATACGATTATTGTTTATGGGTTCTTATTACTGATATTGTTTGTTCTTTTTTATTTTAGGAAAATCAACGTTGACCGATTCTCTAGTTGCTGCTGCTGGAATCATCGCCCAGGAGGTTGCTGGTGATGTACGTATGACTGACACCAGGGCTGATGAAGCAGAACGTGGTATCACAATTAAGTCCACCGGTATCTCTCTCTACTATGAGATGTCTGAGAAATCCCTCAAGCAGTACAAGGGGCAGAGAGATGGCAACGAGTACCTCATCAATCTTATCGACTCTCCCGGGCACGTTGACTTCTCCTCTGAGGTCACTGCTGCCCTCCGTATCACAGACGGAGCTCTAGTTGTGGTTGATTGTGTTGAGGGAGTCTGTGTCCAGACTGAGACTGTCCTCCGTCAGGCTCTTGGTGAGAGGATTCGTCCTGTGCTGACTGTCAACAAGATGGACAGGTGTTTCCTTGAACTCCAAGTTGATGGAGAGGAGGCCTATCAGACATTCCAGAGGGTGATTGAAAATGCTAATGTCATCATGGCCACATACGAAGATCCCCTTCTTGGCGATGTCCAGGTTTATCCTGAGAAAGGTACTGTTGCTTTCTCTGCTGGGCTTCACGGGTGGGCTTTTACCCTCACCAATTTTGCCAAGATGTATGCTTCAAAGTTTGGAGTTGACGAGTCTAAAATGATGGAGAGGCTGTGGGGTGAGAACTTCTTTGACCCAGCAACAAAGAAGTGGACCACCAAGAACACTGGTTCTGCCACATGCAAGCGTGGGTTTGTTCAATTCTGTTACGAGCCCATCAAGCAAGTGATCAACACTTGCATGAACGATCAGAAAGACAAGTTGTGGCCTATGTTGTCAAAGCTGGGAATTCAGATGAAGGGTGAGGAGAAGGAATTGATGGGAAAGCCCCTAATGAAGCGTGTCATGCAGACTTGGCTCCCGGCAGCTGATGCTCTATTGGAAATGATGATCTTTCACCTTCCTTCCCCTGCAACTGCGCAGAGGTATCGTGTTGAGAACTTGTATGAAGGCCCACTCGATGATCAGTATGCTACTGCCATCAGGAACTGCGACCCTGAAGGACCTCTGATGCTTTATGTTTCCAAAATGATTCCAGCATCTGACAAAGGTCGATTCTTTGCTTTTGGTCGTGTGTTTGCTGGGAAGGTGTCTACTGGTGTTAAGGTCAGGATTATGGGCCCCAACTATGTCCCTGGTGAAAAGAAGGATCTGTATGTGAAGAATGTACAGAGGACCGTTATCTGGATGGGAAAGAGGCAGGAAACAGTTGAGGATGTTCCTTGCGGTAACACTGTTGCTCTGGTTGGTCTTGACCAGTTCATTACCAAGAATGCTACTCTGACAAATGAGAAGGAAGTGGATGCTCACCCTATTCGTGCTATGAAGTTCTCCGTCTCTCCTGTTGTTCGTGTTGCTGTCCAGTGTAAGGTTGCCTCTGATCTGCCCAAGCTTGTGGAAGGATTGAAGCGTCTGGCAAAGTCAGACCCTATGGTTGTCTGCTCAATTGAGGAGTCTGGTGAGCACATCATAGCTGGTGCTGGAGAGCTCCATCTTGAGATTTGTTTGAAGGATCTGCAGGATGACTTCATGGGTGGTGCTGAAATCATCAAGTCTGACCCCGTTGTGTCCTTCCGTGAAACTGTGCTGGAGAAGTCTAGCCGCATTGTCATGAGCAAATCTCCCAACAAACACAACCGTCTGTACATGGAGGCAAGGCCCATGGAGGAAGGTTTGGCAGAGGCGATCGATGATGGGCGCATTGGCCCAAGGGATGACCCCAAGGTTCGTTCCAAGATTCTGGCTGAGGAGTTTGGCTGGGACAAGGATCTTGCCAAGAAAATCTGGTGTTTTGGACCTGAAACCACTGGACCCAACATGGTGGTTGATATGTGTAAGGGAGTCCAGTACTTGAATGAAATCAAGGACTCTGTGGTTGCTGGTTTCCAGTGGGCGTCAAAGGAAGGAGCTTTGTGTGAAGAAAACATGAGAGGTATCTGCTATGAAGTCTGTGACGTTGTTCTCCATGCTGATGCTATTCACAGAGGTGGTGGCCAGGTCATCCCAACTGCCAGGAGGGTCATCTATGCTTCTCAGCTGACCGCCAAGCCCAGGCTTCTTGAACCAGTCTACATGGTCGAGATCCAGGCACCCGAGCAGGCTCTTGGAGGTATCTACAGTGTGCTGAATCAGAAGAGAGGACATGTGTTTGAGGAGATGCAGAGGCCCGGCACACCGCTCTACAACATCAAGGCTTACCTCCCTGTCATTGAGTCCTTTGGATTCTCCAGCACTCTGAGGGCGGCTACATCTGGGCAGGCTTTCCCGCAGTGTGTGTTTGATCACTGGGACATGATGATGTCTGATCCATTGGAGGCAGGAACCCAGGCTTCGACGCTCGTGGCAGATATCCGTAAGAGGAAGGGTTTGAAGGAACAGATGACTCCCCTCTCCGAGTTCGAGGACAAGCTGTAAGGTGGTTGAGAGAGAGTGGATGTTCAAGTCATCTTTTATGTTTTCGGTTTTACCTGTTTGGAATTTTTGTCTTCTATGTTGGATTTTGTATCGGTAGCAGTTTGGTAGCTATCCCAATTTCGTATCGGGTCCAAGTCTTGTTCTGAGAACTTGAGAATGTTTTTTTTGGTTTGCTGGCATGTAACCTTACAGTTGGAACTCTTTAGTTTACATATATTGTCTGTCGTTTAGACAAAATTTCGTGTTTTGCTTTTGCGTTTGCTCTTGTTCTGCTATTCTTAGTTGATTCTGTTCGGAGATCCATTTAGCATGTGGTGCTCTGCCTAATGTCTGTATGGACCCTGGCTATTTGCCCATCTGTTGTTAACGAGTGTTAGACAGATTGGATCCTGAACTCAGTTGTGCTTAGAAAAACTGCTACAAGTAACTAAATCTCCTTTTCGGAATTAATACACTCCTAAACAAGCATTAAAACAGAGTTTTCTGAAATCTCGTTTTGATCTGAGTATGTAATTTATCATATTCTCTCTCTTCAATTTGAGTACGTTATTTATCATGTTACAATCTCTCGGTTGGAGTTTCTAACATCAGTATCTCATCTTGGAAACTGAGAAGAGATGCGTTAAACCTTGAGTAGAGATGTGTTGCTTTGAACAACAGAATGGATTACAAGCAGCAGTAGACATCATTCACAACAACGAATTACGATACAAATGAAAGAAGTGTTGCCTTTCTCTTTCTATCAATGCACAACAGTGTTTCCTTTCAATTAACAGCACAACAGTTACGATCGAGCTGACTAAATGAAAAATGCCCTTTCTTTGTTTCTCTCTACCATAGTTGATCTGGAAAACCATCAAGACTCTAGCAGGGTCAGTCTATGAAATGAGGAAAGCTACTTGGACTTTTTCAGGAGGTTTGAGGTGGCGAGCTCAGCATCATCTCTAACGAAGCTCCACCACACGTATGTGAGAGGAATGGTTGTGGCATGCCAAATTGAATGAGCATCGAAGTAGCCTTTGTATGGAGGGAAGTCATAGATCTCCAGCAGCACGGCCAGCCCACCTCCGATCACTGGTACCCAGACCTTCCATCGAGACGGATGGCGGCTCACCCCTGCCCAAATCGCCCACGTGAGAAGCTGGGCGATACCCATTGCGACACAGACTATGATGTTCCATCCTGCAAGAAGACAGAATTCACATTATTGTCTTGGTCCAGACTCGAAAAGACATTACTTGGGACTCAAGTGAAATGACATGAAGAAGTGGAAAGAAGCTGTTATTACCGTAGTCCATCTTGTAAAAGTTGAGGTACAGTATATGGGTTGTGATAAATGCAAGTAGTGGAGCTGCGACCATGACTCTGGAAGCTTCTTCCTTAATGTTGAAGCTTCTTAGGATGGAAAGTATAAGGGAGTATCCGACCAATGCCACTGCGGATGAGTAGTCTAGCTTCTCCGTCAAGTCAACATCTCTGCAACTCGGTCGAGAAAATGGAAGTGAAAAAGGTAAGGTAAGGATCGGGAAAAAACTGCAGTTAAGATGGGAAGCAAACAGACCTAATCAGTTGGACGAAGTTATACAAGCAGCAGAATACGAGATTATAAAGCCAGACAGTTAAACTGAACCTCATGGAAGAACAAGATGAAGATTATAAGTAAGCTCTAGTGCAACTTCGTTTTTGTATGATTTAATGGCATGCATTGTTTGCACCATTGATCTATGCTCTGATGAGAGAGTCATTCTTATAGGCCATAGCAGAAAATTAGTTCCATAATCCATACTGCTTGTTTCGTAACATAGAAACAGGAACTTACCGACTATGGAAAATAATGCTCCAGAACCAGGAGTTACATGACAAGAGTCCATAGATGTGCCACAAAGGGGTGTATTCGTAGTAGGTCTTCTTGTCATATCTCAAGGGCAACTTGTAGTATAGAAGGATGATTAATGATAGCCAACCATGAAAATGAGCATAAAGGTTCAGTGCAGAGAAAACCACAGAGGCAACTTCCTGGAGGGAGAAGGACATGTTAATGAATATACTGGCTAGATCTCAAACCAACTAAAGGAACACCACAGCTACTAATATCAGTGCGGAAGAAACTCAAACCTGAATGCCGAAGACACGTTTGAAGGGCCATTTTCCATGGTATTTGACTGGACCATAACCTTGTTTTGCTCTCTCTTCTTCTCTGGCAAGCATGCAGAAATACCTGCACTCACTCTGACAGCCCCACTGTTTCCAGCGTTGATAGAGCGGCTCTTGGGTGTACCATGGACTATCATGAGAGGCACCATGAGAAGAATAGTTGCACTGGGCAAAGCAGGTTTCACCAACGCAGCCATCTCTCTCACATACTGTCACACAGCTCCTAAACAAAAGCCCAAAGGCAAACACCGAAGCGGAAAAGATCAGCAGGATGTTCAATTAGTGTTTCACAGGGAGAGCAAACACAGAACATTAACATAGAAAGATGGAAGACATATATTAAACATGTGAGAGCTAGCTCAATCATTCGAAAGCAATGTGAGTATAGGATAAACACTGTACGAATTTCTGGGAAAATGAGGGGTTCTAGCGAGTAAACAATGCACTGGTAGTATTCTATTAAGCCTCCATCCGGGTAAGCATATGGTCGAGTGCCAGTAAAATTTACCTGTAAACTGGATGAGCATCACCAGGGCTGGCTTGTGCAGTATATAGAAGACATAGCAGCACCAGGGAGAAGCCTAACCAATGTCGTCCTATCATCTAACAAGGAAAAAGAATCGAAGTCAGAAACTCAACACTTCAGGGAGAAATAGATAACAAGTTCATGAAAAATAGCCATTATAACATCTACATCAAGTCTCAACTTCCTAGGAAGAACTAAACCCTACACCCTAATCTGGCTCCGCAAGAATCAAGGAATGCACCAGCTGATCTGCCTATCAATGAAGAACAGCTCAAAACTTAGGCAACTGCAGTGATTTCCACAAGTTTCACCTCATTATCGTTCATCGAATTCGACAAGGGAAGTAAAGAAGAACTTCTCGTAGCAAACAGATCGATCAAAGCAGGTAGCAGCCTATAGGCATCTATAGTTCTCTACAATTGAAGATTCGGCAGAGAACAAACACATGAAAGAAAGAAAATGGAAGAAACAGAGAATCTTCACCATATATGGCTCGGGCGCTAAACAGGAAGTGAAGAATACAGCACAACTACAGCATTCGATCAAAATTAACATTCGCTGTAGTTACCGGAGAGCGGAGAATACACCACAAGCAGCAAATTCGACGAGGAAAAGTGGAAAGCACAGATCAAGAAGAGAGCCAGCTGGAGGATGCTGCCTTGGTGGAATCGGCGGCGACGAAACTAGTTTTCCGGCGGCTGAATCAGTTTGAAGATTCTTCCGATGGGAATGAAGAAGATTTACGCATTTTATTAATCAAAATCCCGAGATGCTGTCGACATTTCAGATGAATGACTGCAGGGGGGAGACTGAGAAGTGAGAATGGAGCAAAGGGGAATGAATGTCTTGAAAATAGTAACGTTTACGGACCGTGATGAGCCCGTAAGGGCCTGGTTGAAATTGGTCTATAGGCCCAAGTATCAAATAAGGCCTGAGATCCAATTGGCTTTCGCTTCTGCTACCAACAGTTAGGGGCGCAATTGGTTTGGTCGGGTTGCCATTCGTCCATATTTCTTGGTTTTCAATTTGATTGGCGTATTAGTGGCTGTTTTGTGTGCAAATTCTTGATTAATGAATCTCATCATCCATAAAAGTGATTAAGAATTCGAAAATTGCAATGAATGAAATACTAATCCAATTCAATCGAGAATCTAATCTGAACCATTTAAGATTACATCATATATCCGACATTGTTTTTTTTTTAAATTGAATTCCAAATAGTTTTTTTTTTGTTCCATTTGATCTTAAACCAAAATATAGATTTTTTTTTGTTCCAAGTAATAATACGTCTTTCAAGAATTTTTTTGGTTGAATACGTAGTTGGGCTCTTGCCATTCTTTGCTATCTTAAAGACAGACTGTTGGACTCAATGATGTTGAAGTTTAGGGGTGGCTATACGGTCCGGTCCGGTTAAGTTGGACCAAATTGATCCGGTCCCAGTCCGGTCTTTCGGGAATATAAGGATCAAAGATTGGATTGGATACAGTCCGGTCTTGATCCGGTCCGGTCCCAATTTTATCTTGATTTTAGGTGTTGGGGGTCTCTTATCCGGTCTTTATCCAGTTTTTTACCTCAAATCTAAGTCCGAATATGATATTCCATTGTTTGCTATCTGGTCCCAGTCCCGGATTATACGGTCCGGTTTCGGGTAAAACCAAACAGTCTGGGACCAAATAGCCAGCCCTATTGAAGTTGTTTGATTAGAAACCAAAAGTTGCATCATTATCACGTTCATTCAACCAACGTGTGATACAGACACACAAATCACAATTAGTCAATATTAATTAATTAGGAGATTAATATTACCTAATCGTGGCTGGCATTGGTTAACCCACCTTTGGCTGTTGTTCTTATCATAGTCTACATCCACTTCCATGAGTTTTGTTTGACTAGGGAATTTGTTGATCTTAGTGTTGCAAATAAGTCAAATCTCTCATATGTTAGAAGTGCCGTTTTCTATTAGAATTTGGCCAACCCAAAAGGTCAAACGACATCATTATTATTGTTCCATCTCCTTTAGTTGAAAACTAATGGTCAAAAGAGAACTAATTTGTTTACTCTTCTGCAAGAAACACAACAATAATTTGTAAGTGTTTGGATGAATAGTATAATTAAGATACTCTAACTAATTCGAGTTCAAGTAAGATTTTAAAATATCTGTTCACTTGACCAATGATAGTTATATCAGTGTGTCTTTCTCATTTAAATAATACGATTCTCAAAGCAACGCGAACTCAAAATTTATTTTTTAGATAAGATTATAGGTTTAGTTTTTGTGATTAGGTACTACTTAATGGATTCGAATCAGAGATCTCCAAATTCAAGACTAGTGGTATTATCACTAGACCAAATCCTTGTTCGTCAAAACTCGAAAGTTGTTAATCACCTCACTTTCTCAAGTATTGAAAATTAAACATATTATATGCCAACTAATACGGGTTGTTACATGCTCTAATTTTGTGTTTTGGATGTGGAATTGCACTGATGTATATCTCTAGTAGCACTATAGACTGTAATCCTTATACGCAAATAGCCTGCTTACTCTGCTAATGTGTCTCCACAATGAGAGTATAGTATACCACCCTAATCAAATCTTAATTTATTTCTCTCTCTCTCTCTCTAATTGAAGATCTTCTGGCCAGGGGACAAGATGAATTTGGGATCAAACTGGGCTTTCTTCTGCTGAAAACCAGCCCACTTCGGCCCAAAATGCTTGATCCAGTCTTGCTGCGTGGAATGACCCGCCAGGTACTGCTTGACCTTAATCCCAGCCTTCTCAGTATACGCCAACACGGCAGCGTTTTGGTCCTGATACTTCTGCCAGTCACCCACGTTGCTCTGACTCAGCAACGAGAACGCATAGAAAATCTCCTCGTCCGGTATAACAACCGACATCTTGTCATCCCACCTGATAAAACCCAAAAACCATAATTAATACGAAACGAAATGAACCGAATCGTTGCCCACCCCTAAACGACGTAAAAGATGATCAAACTATATATCTCTGCGTCGTCGCGACTTACTTGTTGCGGTTGACCGGGTAGAACAGGACGGGACCGACGGTGATGTTGGCTCGCATGACGATGTCCCTAACGACGCCGTCGTTGAACCGGGACACGCCGGATTTCGGCACGAAAAGGTTCAACCACGGGTGCGACAGCGGGATCGACGGGTCGGGCACGGGGACTCTGGTTAAAAACTCATAGTAGGTCACGTCTTTCATGGCAGCTAGCCCGCGGTCGTTCTTTAGCTGCCTCATCAGCTGCTTCATTTGCTACAATAGCCAACACAAACAACAAAGTACGTAAGTTACACTATTAATTACTAGACGAATGCATGCATGCATGGTGATACGGTGCCGTTTTATCAATTGTTTACCTGGTCCTTGATCGCCTCGTTGGCGGGGTTGTAGTACATGACGACCTCCAAGGCGTAAACGATGCCCTTTTGGTTGACGAGGGAGGTTATGGTGGGGATGGCGGCTGTCGGGAAGAAGCTGGTCTCCCACAGGTTTGGAGTGCCGTTGTCGAGTAAAACCTGGCCTTCGATGTAATCGACCGAATCGGGGTGCGCGTTGTTGGCGATGATCTTCTCCTGGTCGCTGCTGAAAGTCGCGAAATCACTGTACAAAAGTCGTGCCCATTTTACCTGCACAAAATTATTTAGTTAGTTACGTTCTACCGAATGGTTGACTTTTTTTTTTATAGTTAAGTGACGGGTACGGCTGGTGGTGGTATGTAGTGTGTGTTGTGGGTGGTGGTGCAGACTGTTGCAAAGGGATATGATGTTTGGTGCATTGCACGGGCTTTTAGTTACAGGAGCTATAGCGACGACTTTCGTTGGTTTTGCTTCAAGTTTTGACTTGTTATTTTTCAATTCACAGTAATGGAAATGGTCGGCCAATTATATATGATAGTAATTAGCATTATAATCCAATTTATAAGCAAGACAGGCCAAGAAAGGCAATTTTGGAGTTGGTCGGCCAGTTATGTATTATAATAATAGTTATAATCCAATTTTTAAGCAAGACAAGCCTAGAAAGGGAAATTTTGGAGTTGAATACAATCAAATAATCAATAGTAAAACATATATCTAACCTAAAAAAACTAGTTCCATGTACAGAAAACAAACACAATTTAAAAATCAAAGCTTATAAAAACCATTGTGATTTACAAAACCAGTTCTCTAAACAATTGAAAAAATCAATCAAAACCCCACACCAAACTAGTTGTAGTCAAAGAAAACCCATTTTCAGCTAATAATTTATATAAATTATTTATTTGTTGCTAGTAGTTTGATTCTCAAAACTGAAACCCTTGAACCCTTCAAAAAAACGGTTGTTAGATCTTTGAAAATACCCGAACCTGAACAATTTGTTATGTTGTATAACTACCTCTACAATATATGTATAATTATTTATTGGTAGCTAGTAATTTGATTCTCAAAATTGCTGAGACCCTTGAACCCTTTTAAAAAAAAAACGGTTGTTAGATCCTCGAAAATACCTGAACCTGAACAATGTTATGTTGTAACTACCAAAGAGCTAAGCAAGAGAGGGGACAAATTCTTAAGTTGGTAGCACATCACAACAATAAGTATAATAATCATAAATAAAATATCAATTTCACTGGATACGCTAAAGATTTGTACGCAATATAGTATAAATACCATTGTTATTAAAACTGGCCAGGACCTGCCGGTTGGACCGTGGTTAACCGGTTTCAGGCACTCATCCGGGTCGATTGCCTTTAAACGATAAGAAAAATGACCGGCCGGGTATTGAACGGTTCATCCGGTTAACCGAAAAACCCGAACAGACGGTTTGTAATTATAACTTACCATTTTTCTTAAAAAATTATTACTTACCTTTCTTTGTGCTAAAACGAAATATTAAATTGAAAAGGTAACAATAAATGATTCTTTTCCTTTTTTAACCACAATAAATCCTTCCAACCCATTTTTACTCTTCTTTTTTGTCCTGTATATTTTTTTTTTCACTTTCCCCAATGGTCAATCACGTTTTCTTTTCTCTTCTTCTAATTAATTCCAATCCTCCCCAAACAAGCCTTGTATTTCTAATAAAGACAAGTATACAACATTTTGTTAATTTAATTAATTTTTATTCAAATCATCACTTTATTTACTTCCGTCTTATTCTCAATTTCTCCATTTAAAGTAATAATTTGTAGAGCGTGAAGTCATGAATAATTTGAAAAATTTATATGCTGGCGGTTTTATTACCGATTTCATACCGGTTAATTATTGGTTATCCGATAAACCTTAAACCTCTTGCTAAACAGGATCGTTGTCCGGTTCGGTTTTGACAACACTGATAAATACCCACAGCATAGTGGTTGACTTGTTTCATAAAATACAGTTTGACCATCTATTAATTCCTTAAAAAAAAAAAAATCAAGGGGGTAACGTACCCTTTGGGGAGCTGGAGCCAAGGCAATCCTTGCTCTGGTAATCACTCCAAACTGCCCTAAACCGCCCAAAACTCCATAGAACAGCTCAGAGCTCTTGTTTGCCGAGCAGGTCACCACCTCTCCTTTCCCTTCATCAAGCAAACCATATCCAAAATTCAGCGCCACAAATCACAAAAAAATAACCAAATATATATATAGAACACCGTTAAAAAAATTGTCATGCATGGAAATCTCTCTCAGTAAATATAAATGTTATAATATTACCTGTAACGACGTCCATCTCGTGAACATTGGCGATCTGTGGCCCGAACCGGAAAGTCTGTCCGCCGAGCCCAGCGTTGGAGAGCGTGCCACCGACGGTCAGGTACAGGAAGTCGGTCCACGTCACCGGTGCAACTCCCAGCTTCAGTGCCTCGGTCAGCACCTCGATCCACAGCGCCCCGCCGCTGACGTCAGCAAACGTACGGTCCGAGGATACCACAATTTTCGTTCCCGCGTTTCCACCAGTACTCAAGCTCTGCATGTTGAGAACGACGCCGTCGCTGACCATCCCTTGCCCTTTGGTACAGTGGCCGTTCCCTCTGGCGGCTACGCCGTAGGGGAGGGAGCAGTTGTACGACGTCGTTATCAGCAGGGAGATGTCCTCGACGGATCTCGGGTGTGCGACGGCGGCCGGCTCCACGTGGACCATGTTTCCGTAGTCGGCGGAGGCGGCCAGTTTGGTGAGCTGGTCGGTGAGGAGGACCGGCGAGAGCTCGAGCGGGAGGGGACACGTGGCGGTGAGGGGTGGTACTACTTGAGAAGTGGAGAGGGTGAGCATTGTTGCGAGGATTGAAACGGCGAGGAGGAGTGTCGTTTTGGCGGCCATGGTTAGGTCTTGTGGAGATCGAGTAAGGAAATTGGAAGAAGAAGGAGATTGATTGAGAGTGGAAATGGTGAGGAGAAGAAGTGGGGAGGAGAGACTTGTATTTATAGGGGGAAGAGGACTGCATGGAAAACGAGAAGGAGTGCAACTAAGGTAACCACTAACCTAGCCGGCCAACAGTTTTTGGTTCTTAATTTTATAATAATTGGGGGGAAACTATAAAAATAGAGAAGGAAATTGAAAGTCATCGTTTATAATGTTAATTAAATTTGGGTTATCGATTGACCTCTTGCACTGATGCATGTATGTTTTCTTGGAATTACCGATTAATGGCTAGTTTTATTATTAAAATATAAATCAAGACTTCGAATCAAGGATTGCTAAATCGTATCATATGGTTTGGTTGGATTGTAAAATTCATATACCGTCATCTACGTCGGTATGATATGCAGATACTATAAAAATACCATGGCAGTATATTTTACGCTGTAAAATTGATAATTTCTGAGAATATTATTGGTAAGTGGAAATGAATGTTGTCTATACGTCAATATATAATTAGGTAACAGTTTTCATCACAAAAAGATATGGTGAGGTAACAAATTAATGAAGATCAAGCAACCTTTCTCTATCAGAGCCGTTTGGAAATGGTAAATGGAATAAAAATGGGAGTGTAGCTTAGAGTACGGTTGACAACGACGAAGAGGTATAGAATATTACATGAATGTGATATAAACAGTAAAACTGATACGTAATTGATTCTCAAATCTCAACCAAGCTAGGAAGATCACATTAAGGGACAAGTTCTATAAATATTGCTCAAAGATTGCTCCGAGATTTTCTGGTCCCAAAATATGGACTATCTAGCCTTTCAATTGGGTGAACAGTAGAATTTTGTGGAAATTTTCGAAAGTTGACGCAAGACTTCTTTTTAACGAGTAAGTATAGAAGCGTTCATATTTGTAAGGATTGCATTAATCGGAAGAAAGACCTCTTATCGAAAGATAAATTTGTGAACTGTATTTAGCGGCATGAAAATGGTGAATTGTGGTTAAATCATTATTTCAACATAAAGTACCCTATCATTAACTTTTCAAGTTTAACTTTCGATACGGTTTTCATAATCGTTGCTGAAAAGACTTTTTGTGGGTTGTTGGTGGTAGCTTCAGTTTATTGTGCAATAGCTAAGTAATACTTGCTACTATACTTACTACCATTATTATAACCTCATTGAGCATGACCCAAACGATCTTGCTCAAAGATCACAAAGAGAAACTATCAAACTAATGCAAGAGATATGAATGATGAAATTCAAAGATACATCACGTCACACCATTTGTCCTGTTGAAATTATTGTCATGACTCATGAGATCCCATTTCAATGTGAAATCTTTTATTTTTCTTTGGTCGAATTTCAATGTAAAATCTGGTTTAAATATATTTACTTCAATTAAAACCAAGAAAGAAGCTTAGATGAATTTAATGGCTCATCATACTCTGTTTCTGTCGTCACCATATACTTAAATGAATTTAAATTTGTGTCTTGATTACATGGTAGATAAATAACGACGGTAAGGTTTGCTGTGATCCAAAAAGCCCAATAGGGTTAAGAGTAAGCCCAATCGGGTCCGCTTGTTGATGCGATGTACAGACTTACGGCCCATATACGGAGGCATGGACGACGCGACCTGCCTACAGTCTTCCCAACATAGCAATTAGCAAGTCAAAGTTCCAGCGTGATTGACAGACTGTGAGACTTGTTAGTTACTGCCGGAAAATGTTACGGCCACCGTCCAACCGACGCCGGAGATTTATATATACATATATCATCCTCCGCAGCTAGAGGCGGTGTTTCTCAAAACCGTTGCTTAGTCTACACATTTGAAGTTCCCTTATTTTCACTCTTGATATGCCTTCGACAGATTGTTATGTTACTGATCACACACACTAATTTTCTTTATTATTATAATTTAGCGGCTATTATTGTTCTCAGCCGCCCCTATATCCACCACCTCATAGTAGGAATAAAGGGGAGATTAGAAATTCTAATCGTGTCATATAAGAGTTACTAGGATGTGACCATGAAACTATGTACTATTGGCTGGCACACACGAGTCCCACCACGAGCGTAAAACAACGACGGAGCAAGAAATCTACTTAGAGCGAGTTGACTGGAATTATGAAAATTTAGGAAGGTAGTTAAAATGTTACCAATTATTCTATTTTCTAAATTTATTACGAATTTTCACATGTAATTTTACTTATATATTAAATTGGGGAGCTATACCCCCTCTTGACTTCAATCTAGTTAGCGAACTCCTCCACTGGCCTAAACCTAGCACACTCTCAATCTCAAAGCTTTAGTTTTTGTAGTACAATATTGCTGAAAGCGAGATTGCGAAACTATGCCAGACTATAGTGTGCGCTATTGTACTATGTACGTTTTCGATTGTCTGTAGCTAATAGAAGTGTGATTATTGTCTTTAGTTCAAATCCATACATGGAGCTTCCCACCAACCTTAGTTAGTATATGACACCAGTTGGTTTATGAGATGATAATAGTTGTTTTAAAGAACATGGTATGACGAACTTGTGAAAACTTCAAATCAATGAGTTGACTTTCATTTGAATGAGCGAGTGAGAAATTGTTAAAGATCTATACATGGACCTCTTCCGATAATCCGACCTATTGGGGGGGAGTGGGTTTACAACAGTGATCGAGCCGAGCAAGCAAATTAAGGTCAAATGATTTATAAATCATAAGCTCTAATGATCCCACTAATAAATTAAGGGTAGTATACCTCTATTCTGGCTAGGATGTTGATTTGGACAACATGAATAGTCAATATAGGACATTGTTAGTATTGATGAAATATAAATAAATAAATAAATAAAGTACCCCTCAATTTTATGTGCTCCATTAATTCATAACAACTGAGAATGAATCAAAGTAAACGTATGATCCTTACACCACTCACCAAGGGAGGCCATCGAACTAGCTAGGCATGAATAGTTTAATTCGTTGACAAAAACAGGAAACTGTCTTCGGTCAAGCCTTTCCAAATTCAACCAAAATAATTGAACCATATATACAAAATAATAATAATTATTATTTAGGAATATACATATATGTCACCATTAAAAAATAGCCTTCATTTAACACAAGGATTGTGTATGTTAGACCACAATCGATCGAGTAGCTAGCCCTGTAGGTGGACCAATTCTGTGTCCTGTGAATCAATTTATTTAGAATACAGGTCAATTTCCATCTATAAAAATAACAATATTGATATGATGTGTCAACCCAAATGAATAAATAAGTAATTTATAAGCCTCTTTCTCCATTAAAAAAAAACCCAGATAAGTTATATATGTAATCAGCAAAGCTTCTTCCATTGAAGAGAGCTAATCAAAGGAGTTAAGTAGAACGTACAATGTACACTCAGACGTGCTTAGCTGTGCCAACAGAAACAATTTCTTCACATATATATATTATATAACATGATATGGGGAGTGGTGGTTTTGACGGTTGAAGTGTCGCCCATTGGTGGTCAAGGGGTTACTAGCTATAGCCAGAGAATTTGTCAGCTGGTGTACGTTCATAGAGCTAATAATCAATTAGCTGGTTTACGGCTAACTATAAAAATTCAATTAAGTTGTATTTGTGAACAATTGAGAAGTGAACAAAATGGTGTAGATGATCATTAAGAGGCAAAAGAGGAAGGGAGAATTACTGGAAGAGGACAGGAAAAACATTATTAGACATGGATACGGTTGCATAGTAACCGTATCTGTTAGAGTATGGTATAAGATCCAGCATAACCTTTTCTCAACAACTCGAGTTATTGGGACCAAATGGTTCATGACATGGTATCAGAGCTAGTTTTGCCAAGTGGTCGTGTGTTCGAATCTCCATGACCCCCAATACTAACAGTTGTCTTTGCAAAAACTTCAAACCCATGAATCGGTTTTCGTTTGAGAAGGCGTGTTAGAACCAACTGGTTCATGACAGTATCCATATTACTGAATACTGAGTAAATGAGTTTCAGTAGTGAAACTAAGGCATATATGTGTGCTAGCTAAGATACATTATTTCTACCCTAAAAAAAGCCATATGAATTACATTCCAGTTATACCGATATAAATATATGTTATATACATACGTATCGATACATGTACCATCTCCCCCACAGTCTAACTCAGGCAGAAGGAAGGAAGGAAGCGAGCTTGCTTATACATACATACATATATATATATATATATATTCAGAGAAGGGAGTTGGAGGGATCCAAAGCGAACTCCACCACAGATCTCAGCTCGTCGAAATCCCCAAACTGTAATAACTGACCTTCATCATCATGATGGACGTTACCAATGTTATGCTCGTTTCCGTACGGGCTCGAGATGTTGGACGAGGCAGCTGCCGCCATGGACGACGTCAAACTGCTCTGCGCCATGAAGCTAGATGCAGTAGCTGCCACGTGGCTCCTGACGAGGGCGGCGGCGGATGGCTTCCTGTCCACGTGGTGGCCGGGCGCAGCAGCAGCAGCAGAGAAGTCGATGAGGTGTCCGCCGCCACGTGTGTTGTAATTACCTGACGAGGATGAGGCGTAATTATTGGTGGATTCCATTAAAGAGGTAGTGCTGCTGCTGCATGGGAAGTTGTAGTTGTAGTTGTTGGACGTGGCGGCGGCGGTGATGGAAGAAGTGGCGCCTGTGTTGTGAGTACTCGTGGCGGCCGGGCGTTTGGATGACGTGGACAGCTCCCTCCAGTCTGGAGTGTACTTTCTGTTGGATGAACTTCTCTTGAAGATTCGGCAGATCGTCCATACCTCCTGTATATGGAGAGTGATTGTAATTATGTTATCATAGCATAATAATATATATATTCAAGAATGATAAGGATTCGAGTAAAAAATTGTAAGAGGAGTCCCGGCGAGGAAGAATCGTTTCATTTCGTCCCAATAACTCAAGAAAAATATTTAGATATTCTCACAAGACACTAAAGAGAGTGTTTGAATGACTAATAAGATAGCTCGATCGTCGTTGTAAGAATTCTAATTTTCCTACTATTACTACGTTTTCAATACAGGATCTTCATCCATCACCGATCACTAAAGACCTTTTTTCATATTATGAGAGATAGTTCCAACATCGAATAAATATCTAGGCCTTCATCAGTTAATTAAAACATTATTAGATCTAACACAAAATACTTCTATCTAGCAGAGATTACTTTGGTTTAATTTATGACAAGAATTAAGTTGCATACATCCAAGTTTAGTACGATCCTATAAATTACCATCCCAAATATATAGTACTATTATTCATGACCATCAAGAGATCATCTAGAATATTACTCTATAGGGCTTGAACTTATTACTTATAATCAGCACTTCTAGATCTCTATAACTCGTGAAGAAAAGCATAAGAATAAAAGTTAACACCATATTTTAGAGATGTTAGGCTTAGGCATGCGCAATGAATTATAGCACAAATTCATGATAGTTGCATATATATATATCCGGCCGGCCACTTACAGCTTCTTGGGAGGAGGCCGGGGAGGTGACGTGGCCAAAAAAGGCGTGGTTAGCGGTGGCGGCGGCGGCGGTTTCCGGGGTGGGAAGGCGGAACTCATGCATCATCCAGTCGGTCTTGGTGCCTTTCCCGGCGCTGCCGCGGTAGTAAACTAACGTCTTCTTCAGCCCAATGCAGTCTTTCGATCCGCCCGCTGAGTAGACCGGCTTGTCGATACCGGTTGCTTTCCAGAACCCAGAGCCGGTCACCCGGTTGGGCCGGATGCTGTTTCTGTACTTCCTCCCCCTCCTGCAGAAGAAGTATCCTTCTTTGTCTCCATCCCCACTTGGCCCTGCAATCATTATTGAATCACATTGAACAAAGAAGCTTAAGAAATGGACGATCACAACACACATATTAATACCAAGATCTCAATCCATCGAAACTTCCCACCAAATTTGAACATTTTATAGATCTCACATGGTACCATGAGCTCAAATTAGTTTTTAGAATCGGGTTATAATGAATCTAACGTTGTATAAGACGTTAATAAGTACGCCAAGTGGAGGAATTATGCGCGTGTTTGATGACTCTACAGAACGGTTGGAAATTCAAAATGATCCATGACTAATTGTTTGTTAAATCGAAAAATCATTGTTAAGAGATCTTAAAACGATAAAATCTCATTAACATCTGCTTATTTCCGACAACTATGATCGAAACCCTGATATGCTTTGATTACTATTACTCAATTGCGCGCACCCTAAATTTTCTGTATCAACAGTTGAATTGTCAACCATTTATCCATTTAGAGGAAATTAATTAACCTAATACAAGACTGATGCATGAACCCTGGCTATATGGATGTATACCCACTTAGATCAATCATCCAAAATCAACAAAATTAATTAGCAAATACTCATGGACTTGTTCAAATATAGAAAACCCTAATTCATCGATCCCAAAACCATAAAATTAGTTGAAGAGAAGGAATAAATGATAATAAGTAAGTAATTACTTGGTAGATCCCAGGGATCGTATTTGTAGATATCAACTTGCTTGATGAGCTCGATGGTGAGAGGCTTGTTGTCCACCTTCCTTCGAAGGTAGAACCCCAGCAGCTCTTCGTCCGTCGGGTGGAACCGGAACCCGGGAAGCGAAACGTCGTCGTCGTCTTCGACTCCCTCTTCTCCTTCTCCTTCTTCTTCCTTTCTGTGGTCATCATCTTCGTAGCATGCAGTCATGTAAGTAGTAGTAGTATTCATCTCGGGAAACTGGATAATAAGGCCAAATATGAAACGTTGGAGAAGGGAATATTGAATGAACGAAGAAAAATGGTGGGCGGTTGGCTGCTCTATATAGGCGCCCGCCCACTTGCATTGAACAGAAGGCAGATTTTCAAAGGGGAGAAGACAGCAAAAGCTATGTCTATAATTAAAGGCGCTTTCTTTTATTGGCTTATTATCATTTGATTCCCTATACTATATTGTTTTACTAAATATATCCTCATGTAATGTGCTCTTTAACAAATAAATTTTTTTAGCCCATTTGGTAAATATCATGTCCAAATTTGTTACTGATCGGGTCAACCCGTGCTTATATTTCGCATGCACACACATGTCTCCTAGGCGATTCACATGTCATGGATAATAAAACGATGTCTTTTATCATGCAGTCTGACCTCATTAATCAGTCCTGATCAGTGATCTCGTTAAACTCCAACTGATGCATGCACATGCATGGTAAACATGAAAATGGAATGTGGGGTTGGGAACTCTAATATAGGTGAACCATTGGAATTTCAAGCTTTCGGTCATCTGAGTCATTTAGAATGTGTTTATTCATCATGGATCGATCAACCAAATAAGTAAAATATCCCCTTGAAAACCAAATTAATGAAGGGACAAAAAATGGATGAATGACATAGGACATATGGTGCTTAATTATGTGTTGAAGTTGTAGGACAAGGTTGTGTTTGTCAAAATGACATAGTATAGGGACTATAATTATATGATTTATTTTCTTGGTTATTTATTTGGGCTTTGATATAGTTTAATATATTAAGGAGGTGAGTGAGTGAGGGAAGAGAGTTTGGTTGGTTTGATTTGCTCCAAGTCAAGTCATGAAGTTTGACTATGGAGAGTTTTCAAAGATGTTGATGGATACCTTTTTATGGCTATGTGTATGGTTTTAATAAATTTGTTTCGTCTTTGGAAAGAGTCCTCTTTTCTTCCTTTGCTAGCTTTCCGTTCCTCTAATGTCTAACCTCTCTGACTTTTTTAATTATTTAGTTGCCATCACAGACCTCACCAATTCTTAATGTCTCTTAGTAGTATTTTGTTCAATACTAGAACCTAAAGCATAAAAAAAGTTAACAACTTTAATGTTTTCTTTATGATTCAATTCGTGCAAAAAGAAGTTATGTATACTTATAATAGAGGCATAAAATATATGATAGTGTTCTTAAGTTTATTCAACAACTATTAAAGTGGCGTAATTTGCATGTTATCAATTTTGGGTAAGCAATTATCTATAAAAGTTTGGCATTTCACATGATACCTTTAATATAACACATACTTGAAAAGAAAAAAAAATAGTATAGATTAAAGTTTGCACATCATGTTGTACTATGTGTTTATATGAACTTTTTTATAGGGGTCGTGATTAGGATTTGACATTAGATCTTTTAATGACGGGTGATGATATTATGTAGCGAATAATTTTGAATTACAATAACTCATGTGGTTGATAATGAGCAAGACTATAACTTGTATTTATCATTCTGTAAACTTAAGAGGACCCGATACAACTTAAAAACAAAGGGCAATGAGAAGAACAAAACTAGAACTAGAAGTATTAAGAAATTAATATATTTGCAAACACTTTTTTTATAAGAATGATATAGGTTTGGATTTTCTTTTTAGTTAGATACTGCTAAAAGGATTTAAACATGACATTTTCAGGTTCAAAATTAGTGGTATTAATGCTACTGGACCAAGCCCTTATTCGTGTGTAAAGTATTTTTATTGTAAACTTACGCGAAACTGAATACTTCTCAATAATTTTAAATATTGTGAGAGTTTATTTTCGAATTTGTATAGATTCATTATCTTGTGTGTTTAAATTGATCGATAATTTTTAGAAATCTAACCTGCGGTGTCTCAATCGTCAAAATTCTAATATTATATAGAAAAATAAACACAATTTGCGTGCTAACTGAAGTGATTGAAACCATTGAAATATGAATAGTATTCCCTTAAAAAATGCCATTCCTCCTTTCTTGTAAGTTGTAACCTCAAATGGTTAGAAATGATGTAGTTTGAAAATTTACATACATTTCAAACAATACCTCATTTTCCCACATAAATAATTTTCAGAAAACATGTACATTTCGTACCATTGGAACATGAAAGAAAGAAAGAAACTTTACACATTATAATTCCTTTCATATTTAGGGTTCTTAATTCAATAGTACTAAGTATCCCCTAAGTCTTGTAAGAGCTGGAGTTGTTGACTAAATTAACCTCTTTTAAAAGGTGCATGTCATTCCATTAACCAAAGCAATCATAATTCAACATGTTTTAGGCACATGAACACAAACCCTAATGGACATCAGGCCCATTTGTCTCCCATTATTCCACATCTTCAAATGATTTGTTCTTGTTTTGTTTTTTAAACCGATATCGAAAGGTTGTCCTAACATGTATCATTAATCATTCGAAATTCAGAAATTTCATATCATTAATTTCTCATAATCTCAACAACTTGTAAATAAAAATTTAGTACGAGGGTAGTTTCTCACAATAAAAAAAATTATCATATCATAAATTTCTCATAATTTCGATAAAGTAAAACGCACAACTTTTAATCAACATTGTGAATTCGTGTAGACATCCAATATACTGTTCCTCCTTGTATATATTCAATTTTCTTTTCTACTAAGTAAAAACGTTGAATTTCTTCCTTTTTCGTTGTGTTTCTATAATGCAGTGCACAATCTCTGACCAGACCATTTACTTTATCACCAAAGGTAGAGAGGAGCCAAATACGAGTACTATTCACGGGCTTCAAATGTAACATATATACATAGGACTCATAATGCAAACATAATATTTGGTCAAATTTTCTGTCTCATTTATGATGTGGCTGACTATTATATTACATCCAATTTTTGTCTATCTCTGTTCTCCCACCTCGTCATTTCATTTCATCTTTAGGTTGAAAAAAACAGAACTCTTGACTTTCCAAAAAAAGTTCCATGCATATTTCAGACTTCTCTAGCTAGCCGCTTCTCCTTTTAAGAAAAAAAAAATCTATTTAAAATTCACATCTAGTGTGTTTTAGTTCGATTTAAGAGAATGTCACTGGTTTTATAACGATCACACCAAACTTTAAAATCTACTAAGTATGAGTGGATGATTGTCCAATATGATTAATTAATTTTATCTCGAAGATAATTACAAAATGATAACTTACGTACGTTAATGTATCAAAATCTAATTTTTCGTGCATTTTCATCCACTATCATAACAGAGTGCTCGTATGACAGGAGACACATGTACTAATCATCAAAATTATTCTTTTTTATTATCATTATAGCTGTTCTTTCCTCTTTTTTTTCATTATCAGTAATTTTTCGATAGTGGACAAAAATATTGTTTCCTCATTACCAATTCATTCTAACTTATTGTTTTTTTTTTTTACTTTCAAAGTTGAGTTGATTTAGCTACCATGTACATTATTTGGTAATTTTTAAAATTTTCCCATGGATGATCCAAACACAAAATATGTATATTTGTTTATTTTGTAAGTTACAAAGTAGATTACTTAGTTCTAGACTGTTTTGTTTTAACATAGTTAATTAGTCCTCCTGATTCAGTTGCTTATCCACACATATGATTACGGTTTGGTACATCTACCAGGCTCAAATAAGTTCCAACCTGCAATTGATGAAAGCCTAATTAAGAAGCTTCAGAACAAATAAATAACAACAAATTGTACTTAACTTATCACACTATCAGAAGAAGAAAAATGAAGAGAAATTGGGAGACTAGATTCGCCGCATCCTACAGTTAAACTGCCACTGAGACTTAAACGGTTGAATATTTTGGGCAAGAAATAATTTTTCATCTTTTTTAACCACTTCCAAGAAATTGAGTTGCAACTGATGAAATGTTGCTTGAAAGCATAATCTCGTAATGAACCTTCCACATTGATTAATTTACCCCTTGATGATGTTGGAGACTTTCTCGTAAGTTATTGGGACTTCTCGAAATGGACAACAATATCTTATTCATTTACCTGTTAATATCATTGATCTTCAATATGAAAATCCAAGGTACGGATTCATTAATTAACATATAATGATAAAAAACTAATATATATTACTCTTTCAAAAAATATTACCGATGTGGTACTTGAATTGTCCCATAACATTTTCATATATTAAAAATATCACTAAAAAAACTCAACCTTACCTAGCTACGTACATGCGAATAACATAACCAACTCGCTGAAAGCTAATCTATGTCACTCTTATACAAAAAGCTTAATATATTACACATATCACTAAAAAACTAAACCTTACCTACATGCGAATAACATAACCAACTCGCTAAAACATAGTATATGTCAATGTAATTAGGCCATTATTTTTTCTGTAATTAGGCCAACCGCTACGGTTTAAGCAGTTGCTTATGATCCAAAACCATTTGGTAATATTCTGTATCAATTGCATTATCATATGATGTCGTATTGGTTATGTAGAGAAGGAAAAGGAACAGAGAGATGGAGAAAATTCAAAGAAAGGAATAGATAACCACTACGTACAATTAATCACCACCAGAAGAATAGACAACCAATTGACTCCAGGTGTACCCTTAGCCATATTTTTCAAGTCAAGATCACAATTCGTTGCATTCAACAAGTCAATCCTGTACTTCAGCTCCAGTCAAACATTAATGAACCAATCTCTTGGGCCAAACTTTTTTGTGTTTATTAGACTAGTTCCATCGTCATCTGTTTGCTCGATGAACCAGAGACAACTTTGGCGTATTGATTCTTTGATAACCAAAGTGTTACCTTGTTAGAAACTCTTTTTTTCCTTCTATGCTATCGCGATTTCCTTACATTAGTTTCCCATAAACTGAATTTTATTCGATGTGTATGAAATTTTTTAACAATTATTGTCCTGGCTAATTGAATTCATGAAAACCAATTATCTTCCTCTTAGTTGTCCAAGGAGGAAACGACGAGGACCTAGATGTAGTTGTTGATTAGTTTATAGCTATTACTGTAAATATGTAAACTGTGAGTACTATATAGGTAGTTTGTAGTTATTATATATATGTAATGTTGTAATGAATAATGTAACTTTTTGATTCCAATTAATAAAAATCTGCCTGATGGCTTCCCTAAACGACATGGTATCAGAGCGGTGAATTTCACCCTTCTGCGTTTCTTGACTTTCCAGTCATCATTTTGTTTCTCGAGGATTTCGGGAGAAAGGAACCACTCGTTCGTTTCTCTCCCCTCTGTTTCCGTTTCTCGATCCTTCTTCGATCGTCCCGATCCAGTTTCCGCTTCCTCTGTTCGTTTTTTCCTCGATTCTCGATCGTCCCGATCGTCTGTTCGTTTCTCGATTCGATTTTCCTCTGAGAAGATCGTGATTCTTGTTTCTTGACTCAGTTAGTTGATTCGTTCACGACTTGTAGATCTAGCTCGATGACAACCTTCTCTGCTGTCAACGCGGCGTTCTGTCCGTCTTCGTCTGGTGCTGCGACGGGAGGTACTGGCGGTGTTCCTCCGGTCTCTGGTGTCGTTCCCCCGGTGAGTGCCATGGCTGGCGGTACTGTGAATCCGGCGACTATTGGTGCTTCGCTATCGCCGGCGCATCCATTTTTCGTCGCCAATGGCGATCTGTCTGCTCAACAGCTCGTGACCGTGCTTCTCTCTGGTTCCAACTACCACAGCTGGGCAAGGTCAATGCGAATGGGGCTGCATGCAAGGAACAAGCTCCCGTTGATTGATTCTGCTTCACCGGTCCCAGCGCCTACTGATCCTCTCTGGAGTGCTTGGGATCAGGCCAATGTTCTTGTGCTCGGATGGATTCAGAGATCTGTTACTCCTGAGATAGCACAGAGCATATTATGGTTCAACACAGCTGTGGAAGCCTGGGAGGATCTTCGAGAGCGTTTCAGTGAGGGCAATGAGATTCGTATCTCAGATATCTACGATGAAATTGCTGCTCTTAAACAAGGTTCGATGTCTATCAGTGCTTACTTTACCAAGTTTCGAGTACTTTGGGAAGAGTTCTTGATTCTCAGACCTCTGCCTGTATGTACTTGTAACCCTAAGTGTGCTTGTCTAGCTTCGTCGATTCCACGAGAGTATGTGCGTAGGGATCAGGTCATTCGATTTCTGAAAGGATTGAATGAAAGTTTTGGTCATATCAAGTCTCAATTGTTGTTGAATGATCCACTGCCGTCCATCAATAAGGTGTTTTCTAGCCTAGCTCAACATGAACGTCAGGCTGCACTTCCATCTTCCCTACCTGTTGCTCTTGCTGCTCATAGCAATTCGAAGGGGCAGTCTACTAGTCATGGCAAGGGTCAGGGATTATCTGCTCAAGGTCCTGGTGGGGGTAAGAAGAGGCCTTATTGTACACATTGTGAAGGATATGGACATACTGTGGATCGCTGCTACAAGCTTCATGGTTATCCTCCTGGATATAAGCATCGTCGGGTTAATGCTGTGGTTGATTCTGATTCTCCTAATCAGCCTTCTGGAATGGTAGCTGATGATTCTGTGACACTATCTAGAGCTCAGTATCAGTCTCTCTTAACTCAGACTCAATTCCAGCATGTTCAGCGCTCTTCTGCTACTCCTGTAGCCAACTTGGTCACTTCAGCTAGACAGATCACTCCTGCATCAGAAGTTTGCACTCATCCATCTGCTGATTCTGGAATTCTTCCTCAGACTGCTGCTTCTGGAGTTCTTCCTCAGCCTGCTGATTCTGATATAATTCCTCAGGCAACTGATTCTGGTTACATTCCACAACCTGTTGGGGTTAACTTGGTTCCCACAGAAGACACTGGTATGATTCTGTCCTCTATTAATTCAGTCTTAACTTCTATGGATTGGATAGTGGATAGTGGTGCTACTGATCATGTTGTTTCTGTTCTACATTTATTTCAAACATATACAACTATAAACAATATGTCAGTTTCTTTACCCAATGGTGTAAAAGTTCAGGTTACACACATAGGCAACATTAATATTACCCCAAAACTGACCTTATATGATGTCTTATACATCCCTGCTTTTACTTTCAATCTCATCTCAGTATCCAAATTAGTTCAAACCTCAAATTGTTCATTACAATTTACTGCTGATTCTTGCTTAATTCAGGATCTTTCATCCCTCGAAACGATTGGTACAGCTAAGCAAGAATCTGGCCTATATCATCTCAACATGCCACTTCCTAAGCCTCCACTATCTGTCTGTAATGTTTGTTTCAATACAGATTTTGTTCCTTTTGATGTATGGCACTATAGGCTTGGCCATACTGCCATTCCTCTATCCCAGTTCTTAGACAAGGATGTTAAACCTTCTGTTAGTATTAATAAAACTCCTTGTACTGTTTGCCCTTTAGCAAAACAAAACGGCTTCCTTTTCCTTCTAGTACATCTCATGCTCTTAATCCGTTTGAATTACTTCACTTAGATATATGGGGTCCTTATCAAACTCCTACTATTGATGGTTTTCGGTATTTTCTTACTTGTGTTGATGATTTTTCACGACATACTTGGGTTTATTTACTCAAAACAAAGAGTGAAGCTCGGCAAATCATGTTAGATCTGCCAGCATTTGTTAACACTCAATTTTCTTCTAAAATTAAAACAATCAGAACCGACAATGGGCAAGAATTTAATATTCCAACCTTCTACAGTGAGTTTGGAATTATACATCAAACAACTTGTGTAGCTTCCTCTCAACAAAATGGTCGTGTTGAGAGGAAACATCAACATATATTAGCTGTAGCTCGTGCTCTTATGTTTCAGGCTTCTTTACCTATCAAATTTTGGGGCTTTGCTGTTTTACACTCGGTTTTCTTGATTAAAGAATGCCATCTCCCCTGTTAAAAAATCTTTCCCCTTATGAAATACTTTTTTCACACCAAACCGGTCTATAATGATTTCAAGGTCTTTGGTTGTTTAGTTTTTGCATCTACCCTGCAACATAACAGATCCAAATTTGCCCCTAGGGCTGATCCTTGTGTTTTCTTAGGGTTCATCAACACTGTTAAGGGGCATAGGCTTTATAACCTAGTCTCCCATAACATCTTTTATTCACGAGACACTGTTTTCCATGAGCATGTATTTCCTTTTGCGTCCTCTAACTCCACACTCGACTTTGACTTTTGTTTTCCTTGCATTCAAGTTCAAGAAACAGTAGCTAATAATACTCCATCAACTTCCCATTCTTCACCAGTACATAATGTTTTAGATACACATTTACCATTTCCTGAGGAGCCTCTAGATCTGGTTGACATAATTCAAGCAGTAGAGCCTCCACCACATGCGAGGCCTCCTCGTGTTAAGGTGCGTCCTAAAAAGCTTAATGACTATATTTGTACTGTTGAATGTGATGGGATTACTTACCCTATATCTCAAGTCATGTCTTTTGATAAACTCAGCCCAGCATACAAAAAGTATATTCTGGCCAGTTCTGCCATTCTAGAACCTAGGTCTTACAAAGAAGCTATTAAGGATCCTAGGTGGTCAGAAGCTTGCAATTCTGAATTAGCTTCATTAGATAAAACTAATACATGGACAATTGTAGAGTTACCTGATGGTAAGATTGCCATAGGCAACATGTGGGTTTTTAAAGTTAAATTTCTTTCAAATGGTGAGATAGAAAGATTTAAGTCTCGCTTAGTAGCTAAGGGGTACACTCAAACCCCTGGCCTAGACTACTTAGAAACCTTTGCTCCAGTTGTTAAACACACTACTGTTCGTCTTGTTCTTTCTTTAGCTGCTATTAATAATTGGCATTTGCATCAACTTGACGTTAATACAACTTTTCTTCATGGAGACCTTGATGAAGAGGTTTACATGAAGATTCCTCCAGGTCTGAATGTACCCCCTGGTTTTAAAAACCCTGTTTGTCGTCTTAACAAATCTATATATGGGTTAAAACAGGCTAGTCGCCAATGGAATATTAAGTTGTCCAATTTTTTAACTGCTGCTGGTTACAGACAGTCTAAGGCAGATTATTCCATGTTTGTGCGTAGTCATGAGAAATCCTTTACCATTGTCCTTGTATATGTTGACGACATCATTTTGGCAGGTAACGATCTCAAAGCTATTACTGATCTCAAACATAAATTGGATCAAACCTTCACTATCAAGGACCTTGGTGAACTGAAATTCTTTCTTGGACTAGAGATTGCTAGGACAGAGAAGGGTATTTTGTTATATCAAAGGAAATTTGCATTAGATTTGTTAACCGATTATGGTTTTCTTAGTGCAGAACCTTGTGATTCTCCTTCTGTTCCAGGTATTAAGCTCTCTGCTACTTCTGGTAACACACTTTCTGACCCTTCTGTTTATAAACGATTGGTAGGTAGGTTACTTTATCTATGCAATACACGACCTGATTTGGCTTATTCAGTGCATCAATTGAGTCAGTTCACTCACAGCCCCACTGATTTACATATGCAAGCTGCTGAACGTGTGTTACGTTATATCAAAGGCACTGCAGGTCAAGGACTTTTCTTTTCTGCTTCTTCTGAGCTTAAATTGAATGCATTTTGTGATAGCGATTGGGCTGGATGTCTAGACACACGCAGGTCTACAACAGGTTTTTGTGTATTGTTAGGGAATTCACTAATCAGTTGGCGTTCAAAGAAACAGAAGATTGTTTCTCGCTCTTCAGCTGAAGCGGAATATAGAGCAATGGCTAGTTTGACTTGTGAAATCTTATGGCTCAGATATGTTATGAATGATTTGCATATCAGTTTCTCTTCTCCTACTCCCATATACTGTGATAGCATGTCTGCTATCAAACTTGCTGATAATCCAGTCAATCATGAACGTACAAAACATATTGAAATTGACTGTCATGTTATTAGGGATAGAATTCTTGATGGTGTGATTAAAGTTTTACATGTTTCCTCTGTTAATCAGCTGGCTGACATGTTTACAAAGTCGCTTCCAGTTCATGTTTTTCAGCAGTTGCAGGTCAAGCTG